CCATCATGATATCGTCGGTCTTTCCCCTATGGTCTTATTTACTCTGGATATCACAAAAAAGTCTTTAAAAAGGTTTCAGTCTATTTCATTCATGTAAAAGAATCCTCATAGTGGCTTTAACATATTAAAATGATATTTTCACACTTTAGTCTAGTACAAAATAGCCATGTGTGTCACTTATCTGTACACAGACATGGCATAAATCTACTAGAATAAGCTTGAATAGGATGAATCCGTTTTAATGTTATCTTCATATTTCAACACTGAAAGCAGACTGCTTCAAACTGACCTTTTATTAGTCAGCTGATTGCAGATACAGCTTCTGATTGTTCCACAACATGTCAGCTTTGTAATAGCTGTAATATAGTCAACTTACAACAAAATTACCACTAAATTCTTGAAAATTTTAACATGAATCAGTGATCAAACACTGTCATCACACGTACTCATGCGCACACACACACACACACACACACACACACACACACATGCGCGCGCACGCACACACACACACACACACACACACACACACACACATGCGCGCGCACGCACACACACACACACACACACACACACACACACACACACACACACAGAATGCTGTCAGCACTGTGGCAGCTGTCAAATCCTACATCATCGAAGATAAACTACTCACACACGTGTCTGTTTCTTTGTGTGTGTGTGTGTGTGTGTGAGTGTGTGTGTGTGTGTGTGTGTGTGTTGAAATATTTTCGCAGCACTGTACAGGAATGGAAAACTGACCCAGACAAATGATCTGCATTTGTGATGATGTCACCCCAATATGTGTGTGTGTGTGTGTGTGTGTGTATGTGTGTATGTGAGTATGTGTGCGTAAGTGTGTTTTATACATATATATTTCTGTTTTTGTGAAAACAGAAATTGATCTGCTTTAGCAATGATGTCATAACCCTCAAAACCTGTTTTACAAGTGTGTGTCAGCATGCTTGTGTGTGTGTGTGTGTGTGTGTGTGTGTCAGCTGGGTGATAACACATGTTTGATATTTCAATCCACTGAGGTCGTGATGAGCTGCTGCTGAAGGTGTTTCACACACCCACAGACACCCAAAGACACACGCGCGCGCACGCACGCACGCACGCACGCACGCACGCACTCATATCCAAGCTGCTGCTTTGTGACACTGACCACATCAAACAACAGGATCTGCTTTTCATCATCACCAAGAATGAAACTTTCAAACTTAAATTAAGTTTAATGCGATGCCATTATTAAAGGTACAATGTGTAGATATGAGTGTCATTTTCCCAAAGAAATTTAATTTATTAAGCAGAAGTTTGTTTTAATTGGTTTATACTGAACACAACATAATAATTGTTTAATTCCTAACTTAGAAGTCTTTCATATTGTAGGGGCAGCGTTTCTTTGCTCTGAGAGCTGCTATGTTGCACCACCATATTTTCTACTGTAGCTCAGAAAGGACAGAGTAGTGGAAACAAAATGAGCTTTATTAATGAGAGGGTGGAGTTAGCAAAATCTGCCAGTAGGACCAGGAGACCAGAGGATAGATTTGAATCAAATCTGAAGTTTCTGGGAGACATGAGTCCAGCGAGGACTCAAAAGGCTGTAAAATCAGACCTCCTCTCTGCAGCTTGCTGTTCTGTCTGAGTCCGTCTGTATTAAACACATCCAGATATTCAGTCGTTAGAGCTGCCTGGATTAACAACAGAAGCAGAGGGATCTGTGGCTGCTGTGAGTCCAAATCTCCTTTGTGTGTTTCTCAGCAACATCATTGCGTCATAAAACAATGTCATAACAATGTGACAGAGAGTTGGTGACTGTTGTGGTGAATTATCAGCCGAATCTGTAGATCCTCTTGGCTTGACAGAACTTTAAGGTAGAGTTTTCACACAATTCTTGAGCCAAAGTGCTCTCATTGTGCAGTATGAAGAGGCAAGCTTGGAAAGTGACTTTATAGAGCCTACGAAGGAGCAAAGAGGATAAAGATCGTCAACATTAAGGAGCTGCTACAGGGACAGATATTCCCCTCAGGAGACTTAAAAGCTTAAGACAGTTTTACAGGCTTTACATTCAATCAGTCCCAAAAAACTCCTTTACGCAGAAATCAGACAAACAGCTGTTAGAGGCAACTGAAAATAGTGCAAAGGATCCACAATAAACTAGAGGTAAATGTCTGAGCTCATGAGTTCAGTGTCTGTCTGACAGCGCCATCCTGTGAACAAACAGCAGAACTACAAGACACTGCTGCTGACCTTTGACCTGCAGGAGCTGAATCATAATCCGCTGCAGCTCCAGTCTGTGGTGAAAAATATTGACTGCAACAAAATCTAGCCAGTTCATGATACCATACTGTTTACAGACCATAAATTTATTGTTGGTTATGTTTAGGAAATAACCATGTGGATAATTAAAAGACTCCACATTTAAAGAAAACATGTTCAATTCAGTTTAAAAGGTTCTGGCTTTTAAACAATTTTATTGTGATGTACATATGAAACTTATATCAACAAGGTAAAAATTTGAAGCAGTTGTCTGCAGACAGATTCAAAAGTGCTGCAAAGACTGTGCTGTAGATGCTTTATGTGTTGGAAGTTCTGCAAATCATGTTGTAGATAGTGTTCATAGAACAGCAAATGATGTTTGGAGTATGACAGAAAGTGTTCGATGTGTTGAAGATGTTTTAAGGTCTGCATAAAATATTAAAAGACCAGAGAGTATTCAAAGTTCGACAGCAACTGTATTAATTCATGCAAATAATGTTAAGAACACCAGACAGAGATAAAAGTACTGCATCTACTAACAGATGCACTGAAGATAATTATCAAGACCAAAAGATGGAGCTCTAAAGACAGTGTCAACAAATTGTGATCATCACATCATCAGAACTAGAGTACTTTATTTATCCCCAGGGATAATTACAGCAAAAATTAAGAGAGGGGTCTGGCTGCAGACCTGTACTGAGAGGACAAGAAGTTTTTTGAAGTGTTTAAAAATAAAAGCAAATATACCAGGAGTAGGCTTGTTTTTTTTTTATGTCTGAAGTTGATTCAAAGCCCTTCATGTGTCGTGTGAACGGTTTGAAAAACAGATTGTACAGTAGAATTTGAACAAGGCAAAAAGTAAGAAAGTGAGCTAGAGCGACCGTAACAGTGTTTAGAGTTTTGCAGATTGTAATTGCAAAAGTATAAAGTTTGTGTTTTAAATACTGCAAAAGTGTTGACTGCACTAAAGATAGATTTGACGGTATTATGGCCACTATTTAGAGAAATGCGGTTACTTGTAAAATTTTTTGGGGACAATTTTTTAAATAGTGCAGAAAGTGTTTAATTGATGAAAATACTTTCCAGAGATTAAATTACTACTGATAGTGTGAAAAGGGCAGCAGATACTGTTAAGAGTTTAAAATACACGATTAAGTGTTACAAGTGCTGCAGATATCATTTAAAGTGTAAAAGAAATACAGAAAGTTCTTCAAGTGCCATAAATACTATTCAGAGTTTAAAATACTGTATACTGTTTTTTTAAGTGTGGCAGACATTGTTCAGACTTTTACATTTTTACAGAAAGTGTTGCAGATACTGTGTAGAGTTAAAAATACTATACAAAGTAGCTAAAGGTGCAACTGACACTGTTTACAGCTAGAGAATACCACAGATAGTGTATTTAAGCGCTGCAGATGGTGTTTAGAGTTTAAATCACTGCAGCTAATGTTGAACTGTAGATACTGTTTTGAGTATTTCAAATTTGTTTGAAGCAAGAATTCAAGAATTTTAAGTGTAACAGAATTTCAGCAGTTCTGCAGATAGTGGTCAAAGCACTGCAAACAGTGCTGAAAGTGCTGCAGCTACAATTAAAAAAGAATGCAGATGGTCTTCAAAGTACTGCAGATATTGATCAAAGTATCGTCAATCATATGAAGTACTGTAGGTAGTGTTGAAATACTGTATATCGGGGTGAAAGTACTTCAGATGTTGTGAGTAATGCATCAGGAATATCAGTTGTTACTGTTTGTTGCTCGTTGTTATGGAACTTAGCTTGCCACACCATGATCAGGCTGCAGGTATTTAGAGATGGCGATCACATGTGATGTTCATGTGTACATTTTGTTGTCTGTAAATGTCATGTGCAGGTATTTATAGATGAAACACAATACAAACAGGATTACTTTCAGCTCTTTGGAGGCTTTTTGTGACTGACACAAATTCTGCATGACATGCAGAGCAAAGACATAAATCATTGCTCTGATAATCCTCATTTTATTTTTGAAACTGTTAAACCATTTGAACTTCGCCATTGATTATTGTGTAGGTTCTTATTCATCCAGGTCATGGTTATCCTGTCCTTTGTTGAAAGGGTAACTGGACTTGTTCGAGGTTCTTGAAGATGTTTATGTCTTCAAGAACCTCAACCAAGTCCAGTTGCCCTTTCAAAATAAACAGCAAACAGTGAAAAGAAAACTTCAAAGTGAGTTTTGCCTGACCATAGACAGTTTTCTGCCTCACATTAGTCCATCTTAGATGGTCCAGAGAAGTCACCTTTGTTTAAGAATCAGGTTTATATGTGATCCCCTCTTAGCATGGTGCAGCTTTAACCTGCAATATTTGGATGTAGTGATAAACTCTGTTTACAGTGAGTGGTTTGTGGAAGTGATTTTGAGCCCATACAGTGATTTCTACTCCAGAGTCACACCTTGATGCAGTGACACACTACGGCCTCAGATTTAACATAAGATTCTTTTCTCATAAGGTCCCTTTCTTGTTAGTACACAGATCTCGCCAGATTCCTGATATTTGCACTGTGATCCACATCAAAGCTTTCATTCAAGGAGGGAAGGGGCATCATAAGGGGCATCATGTGACTCCACACACACACACACACACACACACACACACACACACACACACACACACACACACACACACACACACACACACACCGCAGGGGTCACATCTCAGCAGGTAAAAATAGCATGTTGTGTCACACAGAAACACACACAGTCATACACAAACTCAGTTCTCAGTAAACAAGCTGGTGAAAGTGAGTAGGACGTGGACCGGGACTCTCAGGTATGAACACACAGGACAGGAGAGTTTTTATATTTCTCAGTTCCTGCTTTATGTAGATTGTAGTTATACTAACATCTTAAACTTGTGCTGCATCTGGGTTTGTCACACTATAAACAGAGACACACAGGAAACATGACTTGTGATGGATTAGCAGCTCTCACAGTCTAAATGTTCCTTCATAAATAGCCAGAGGATAAACCATGAGTGATGATTCATGGGAAGATGAGTTTCAACCCCTTATTTCCTGCTGTCTTTGTATTTCTGTTGATTGGTGTCAGCAAGACTTTCTACCATATGCATAATGCTATTGTTAGCATGGTAGCTGCTCAGGGTGACACCTACTCAACGGTTGGTTCAGGAGGAGACACTGTGGTTTATCCTCTTGGGGTAAATAATGTCTGAATTCTGTTGGTACCAAAGGTATTCACTAGTTTCATGACAACAAGACAGCAGAACAGCCAGAACAAGCAAACATAAAACCAAGGGAGGGAAATACATTTCAAACTGGAATAAATGAAAACAAGAGGAAATGGAAAATAAAACTAACCCTGGTCTAAAAAGGTGATCTCAGTTACAAGGTGAAGTATCCTAGAGTCCCACTCTGATTTTTTTTGTTTACTACTTAAAGTATTCTCAGTGGCCTTTTAATTGTGATTATAAAGTTATTTTTTGCCAAAATCATGTCACCTGTCATTTTCAAGAGATTTTCTTCTGCAGAGCTCCAGTAGCTCATTAGAAATTCACCTCTGAGTCGTGGGTGGAGACAGCGCTGCTCTGCACACTTGTCTTCACGCTAGCCTGCAGCCTAACATTGCTGGTGTAGTAGCAGTAGCAGGTAACATAGGAGCTACTCAGCTCTTGGACACTTATGTCTTTAAGGACATGATAAAAGTTTATATCATAATCAGCTTTCTTACGAGCATTGCAATCCGCTAACGCACTCACTTGTTCCGCGATCGTCCTCTCTACTTCTCTGAGTCTAGCCTGCAGAGCAGAGCTCGGGGGGTGGAGCTTGGAGTTATAACATAGGAAATCTCACTCCATCTGAGCCTGCTGTTCGGGTCTGCCGGAGGTTCACAGCGATTTGAATGCCGAAATACTCAGAAATGCAATTTTGCACTTACTCTTCACATGATATGTCCTGTAGCATCTGAAAAATACCATATGAACATGGAGACAACAAGGAAAACACGATATTCATTAGTGTGGGCCTTAAAAGCCAGATCAGAGTAGAGCCAACAGGACTTTATGAGAAGTCTCTGAGATTACAGGTCAGAATACTCTGTAGAGATACAAAATAATAATGATCATTATCATGTGCATATAAAACATGCTGTTTCAGATGCTGTTTTGGTAAATGTAAAACAAAGTGCCCTCTGGATGTTAAAAATTAGATAAAAACAAAGTTCCCCTGTGATTGCTTTAACAAAAAAACAAAATGTAAAAGTAACCTCTGATTGCTCTTTCATTGGAATGATTGAAAACAAAGTGCCCACTGGTTTGTCTTGCTCCTCAGTGGATAAAGTACAAACAAGGGCTCTTTGTTTGCTCTTTAAGTTGATATAATGAGTCAGTGCTCTCTGGATCCTTTGTTAGCAAATGAAATGCGAACAAAGTACCTAGTGGTTGCTCTCCAAGAAGATAAAGTATAATCAAAGTGCTCTCCAGTTGCTCTTTTAGTGGATAAACTACAGGCCAAGTGCACTTTGGGTACCTTGTTAGGAAAAACATAAACACAGTGCCCTCTTGGTGCTCTTATCGTGGATCAAATGTGAACAAAGTACCTAGTTGTTCTTCTAGTGGGTAATTAATGGTAATTAAGTGCTCTCTAGTTGCTTTTTAGTGCATAAATGTTGAAAGTGAATCTTCTAGCTGTTCTCTTAATATTTGAGCTTACAAATGAAACAGAAATTTTGTCAACAAAGTTACAGAGTTACAGACATTACAGAGTGTTAAAATACAACGATATCGGTCTCCCCCTTCTCCTCTATCATAGGAGCAGAGATGGGTTTGGGGAGTAAGCTGGACGTCCCGGTCTGCGATCTCTCTCTGCTCAGAGGGATCTGGGAGGTCCGAGTGAAGAAACACAGACAGAGACAGAAGAAGGAGCAGGAGAGGATTGAAAAGAGTGCGCTCCCAAAGTAAGATGATCAGAGTTGTAAAATAACAACACATCAGCTGTCACAGTCAGTTCTAGAAAAACACATTTACTCAAGTACTGAGGTACAGCTTAGGGGATATGACTAAGGACAAAAACTGTCATTTTAAAAAGTGTAGATTGAAAAAGTTTTACAAAAGTGTGCATGTCAAGATGGAGTTTTTGTGCAACATTTAACATGGAGGTTTGTGCTCAAAATATGCACAAAAGCCTGTGTTTATGTGTAGTGTTTACTCTCTTTTATGAGCCTCAAATTTACCATCCGCTTTACAAATCCCAAACAAGCTGTCAACAATTTCTGTGCAATGACGATTGGACTTTTTTAATCTCTGAGTCAGAATTACGCTCTGCAGAATGTTGTTAGTCATTTACCGAGCAAGTCACAGCTGATTTTAGCAGTATGAACACACATGCTACTATTTATATCCTTGTATCATTGCTGTGGTATAGCAGGTCAGCGTCTGGCTTCCAGACAGCAGAAAGGTCAGGAGTTTGGAGACTGACCCAGAACATCCAGTCTGCCTGAATTCTGATATGAAGCTGCAGACGCTCTGTTAAAATATCTGTGTGTGTGTGTGTGTGTGTGTGTGTGTGCGTGTGTGTGTATAGAATCGACCAGCAATGGCAGTATCGTATCTACTGTAAGACACTGAAGACACATGAACGTAACCTGCTGCATCATTACCTGGAGAGATCTACACTGCCTGATACCCAGCCCCATACAGGTAAACATACACAGGTGTACCAGGGTTACAGGTTGTCAGGACGACCTGACATACAACGCTTAAGGTGAGTGTACTGCAACACTTCTGTTTCGGATATCTGGGTTCTGCTGCTTCCTGCTGTGTTTTTTATTTTTTATTTTTTATTCAGATTAGTTCTTTATTCCTCCAAACTGTTCTCAGTGTAATCCACGATCACATTTCCCCACATTTCATTTGTTGATGTGTTCATCAGAAACAGAGCAGCCAGAGCAGAAAGACCAACAGGATCATGCAGATCAGGAGCAGAACAAGCTGGTGTTTAGGCTGGATGGAGATCGTTGGATGGTAAGCAAACATGATGAGAACTGACTTACATTACACTGTTTAAGTCTCTAATAAAATGTTTTCATGTGAATTTTCTCGGCAGAACTTCCCCAAAGAGCTGCAGTGGATGACCTACCTGAAAGAGTGGCACGTCACACGGACAAGGATCTGCCGGCTGCCTGAATACTTGGCGGCGTTCACCCAGCTCACCGTGCTGGAGATCCCCAAAAACACTATCGCAGAGCTGCCACCTGAGATCAGTGAGGATAGAAGATGGACTGTTAATCCATAAAGCACAACCTAAAGTTCCTGGCCAAGTTTGATCATGACCTTTAGATAAAGCAGTGGAAGAAATGTTTGTGTGTTACAAGACAGACAGGAAACACCAAATTAAAAGCTCTTCTTCTCTGTCTCCAGGTAAACTCACAGAGCTGAGGGAGTTAAATGTCAGCTACAATCGCCTGCTTAAAGTTCCTCCAGAGCTCGGAAACTGTGAGAAGCTGGAGAGGCTTCAACTGGCAGGAAACCACAGTCTATCTGAGCTTCCATTTGAGGTGAGACCATAGACTGCATATAGACTACATACAGTACAGGCCAAAAGTTTGGACACACCTTCTCATTCAATACATTTTCTTTATTTTCATGACTGTTTACATCGTAGATTCTCACTGAAGGCATAAAAACTATGAATGAACACGTGGAGTTATGTACTTCACAAAAAAAGGTGAAATAATTGAAAACATGTTTCATATTCTAGGTTCTTCAAAATAGCCACCCTTTGCTCTGATTACTGCTTTGCACACTCTTAGCATTCTCTCGATGAGCTTCAAGAAGTAGTCACCTGAAATGGTTTTCCAACAGCCTTAAAGCAGTTCCAAGAGGAGTTTAGCACTTGTTGGCCCCTTTGCCTTCACTCTGCGGTCCAACTCACCCCAAACCATCTCGATTGGGTTCAGGTCCGGTGACTGTGGAGGCCAGGGCATCTGCTGCAGCACTCCATCACTCTCCTTCTTGGTCAAATAGCCCTTACATAGCCTGGAGGTGTGTTTGGGGACATTGTCCTGTTGAAAAATAAATGATCGTCCGTAGTCAATCCATCCGTTCACCTTTTCTGCGTCTCACAAAGACACAGCGTTTGGAACCAAAGATCTGGAATTTGGACTCATCAGACCAAAGCACAGATTTCCACTGGTCTAATGTCCATTCCTTGAGTTTCTTGGCCCAAACAATTCTCTCTGACTCTTAACAGTTGTTGTAGAGATGGGTCTGCTGCTAGAACTCTGTGTGGCATTCATCTGGTCTCTAATCTGAGCTGCTGTTAACTTGCGATTCCTGAGGCTGGTGACTCGGATGAACTTATCCTCAGAGTCAGAGGTGACTCTTGGTCTTCTTTTCCAGGGTCGGTCCTCATGTGTGCCAGTTTCGTTGTAGCACTTGATGGTTTGGGGGACACATTTAAAGTTTTTTCAATTTTACGGACTGACTGACCTTAATTTCTTAAAGTAATGATGGCCACTCGTTTTCTTTAGTTAGCTGATTGGTTCTTGGCATAATATGAATTTTAACAGCTGTCCAGTAGGGCTGTCAGCTGTGTATTAACCTGACTTCTGCACAACACAACTGATGGTCCCATCCCCATTGATAAAGCAAGATATTCCACTAATTAACCCTGATAAGGCACATCTGTAATGTGAAAGCCATTTCAGATGACCACCTCTTGAAGCTCATCGAGAGAATGCTAAGAGTGTGCAAAGCAGTAATCAGAGCAAAGGGTGGCTATTTTGAAGAAACTAGAATATGAAAGATGTTTTCGGTTATTTCACCTTTTTTTGTGAAGTACATAACTCCACATGTGTTCATTCATAGTATTTATGCCTTCAGTGAGAATCTTCAATGTAAACAGTCATGAAAATAAAGAAAATGTATTGAATGAGAAGGTGTGTCCAAACTTTTGTCCTGTACTGTACATACAGTCTATAGGTGAGAAAGGCCAAAGGGGATAATATATTATGTGGACAGAAGTTGTAGTAAAGTCAGAATAGCATGAGGATTAAGTCATACTGTTACAAGATGATAAGGATGTCCTGATATAATATTGATATCGCATATCTGTCTGATATTAGCCAAGAAACGAATATCGGATTATATTGGCCTGCATCTAAAATCTCAGATATCAGCACTGTAATACAAGTAGTCCATTCCAGACTCTGCTTCGGCACCCTGTCTAGCAGCGTCTGGATCTAGCATGCAGAGCCCAGGTAATCACAACGACAGTGTGTACCAAGGTACGAACAAAGTATCAAGGAGTAGGAGTGATGTGACAGTATTTTTTGGAAAAGTCTGAAAAAGACATTGCAGCTGAGTGCAAAACATGTCATGCGCAATTTTGTGCCAATATTGGATTAATATCAGTTTCGGCTAATACTGAAGGCTACAATATCGATATCGTATTGGAAGTTAAAAAGTTGTATTGGGACGCCCCAACAAGATGATGTCACAATGTTGATGATGTCACTCTGTCAGCTGAGCAGCCTGAAGCAGCTGGTTCACCTGGACATTGCGGAGAACAGGTTCATATCAATCCCCATCTGTGCTCTGAGGATGATCAGCCTGCAGCTATTGGACCTGAGCAACAACAAACTGACCGACCTGCCAGAGGACATGGACAGGTAACTTATGACATTATGGTTTCATCACCAATAATGGCAAATGTTTAAAAGCTGTTATGAATGAGTAGTTTTTAATTGCAGAGTATTTGTGTGTATAAACACTGGAACGTTTTGTGTATCTCTGCAGGTTGGTGCAGCTGGCCACCTTGTTTGTCCACAGAAACCGCCTGACTTACCTCCCTCAGAGTCTCACCAACATCTCTACGCTGAAGATGATCGTCATTAGTGCTGATGAGCTCCACTGTGTCCCAACCAAACTGTGCAGTAATCCTGAAATCAAGTACAAAAACACACCTGTATAACACCTCTCACCTAAATCTGTGAATTGGGGACTGGCAAGTTTAAATAATGTAAAAATAAATTACAGAAAGGCAAGTTATGGAAAACATAATGTGTTAAAGATCAAAGACCAGTCTGCTCATTGTAGAGTGAAAAAAGGAAGTGTAGAGGACCCAGAATAAAGCCTTGTGGAACTCCTTGAAAAGATTAGCTTAATCAAAAATACCAACAAATAAGGATGTTGTGTCAAGATTTTTAAATTTTAGTCATTCTTTGAAATGAGTTGCTCATACTCAAACATGAAATGATCAGATATTGTAAAACAGAGAATATAAATCGTAGCTCCTGCATGAGGACTTTGATTGGATGAAGTTTCCATGACGATATGCAGTCTGAGGAATCACTGGAAATTGTGAAGTACAGATACATCTGCTGTCTGCAACCACTTTGCTTGTGACAAATATCCAGCTGATTCCCCTTTTGTTCTGCAGGTTTATTCGACTGTACGACAACCCGTCGAGTGCAGAGAGAAGGAAGAAGAAAGAGGAGGAAAAGAAAGAGAAAAAGAAGAAGAGGTGGAGAGACCCAAAAGAGGAGGAGGAGGTGAAAAAAGACAGTGGAGAGAAAGAGTTCATGGAGGCGTACATCAGCTCACTGCAAGACAGAGGTGAGCCTCCACAGAGCTGGTTTTGTTTCGACCAGCTCACATTATTCTTTGGATTTTAAAGGTCCAGTCTGTACATTAGGGATACTAAGCAACATATGGCGGTAAAGTGCTAGAGTAAACCGGTTCCTCGCCAATCTCTCCTGTAACCACAGTAACAGTGGCCATCGAGGACCAGAAGAGATTTTCGTGATAAAGATGGTGTCATCCACAAAAGAAGCAATTCAGTTGTTAAAGAGATGGGGTGGCAGTGTTTTTAGTTATTTATCCAAACAGATGTAGTTTATGGTTCAATTCTGAGATATCCATTATGAGTTCAAGTAAGTAGTAATACAAATACACCACTGAAATGAGGTAAAATGGGCTTAGTATCTTACGATAACCATTTGAACACAGACACTTATAAAGCTTTTACAGTCAGAACAGGGTCAGAAGAATCAACACAAACTGGTCTGCACACGAAACGGTACTGACATTTTCAAATTCAGCATTTCGATTCCAAGTCTGACTATTCAATCACAGTGAGATAAACTAGTTTACGTGCTGTTTGTCCCTCACCAGATACCGTCCCCTTCTCCACCACAAAGGTCTCCATTTCCTGTGTGCTGTGAGAAAGAGGAGGAAGAGGAGGAGAGAGAGAGTGTGAGTGACGGACAGATCACTCAGAGCTGCACTTTTCAACAACCAAACCATAGTGACACATACTGTATGTTCTTGTTTCTGGTGTAGTATGAGCCCTGACAACTGAGTCCGTTTGCAGTCAGAGAACCCAATCATACATTTAAATGAACCTGTCTCAATTTATGAAAGTTAGTGAGCAAATTCAGCGTGTTTGGTCTGTGAAAGTACTGAGATTCAGCAACTGTGAGAATATAAGGGTGAGTGCGTGGAGAGGACAGACAAAGAGAAAATAATAGAGAAACAGGAAGAAAAGTAAGAGCAGAAAGGAGACCGACAGTCAAGGTTTTCCGCCCGGTCTGCAGCTGTACTCGAGAGTTTGAAGGATTTATGTTTCTACTTTGAATTATGGTGACTAAAATAGTTTTTCAGCTCCTTGTGAAAATATCTCAGTTTGTTTTGGCTTCTAAAATCAATTTTCAGGTTAAATAAACTTTGCAACAATAATTAGGATCTTGATAGTTGACAAAGAAGTGCTTTTCAGCTTTTTTCATAGTTTTAAAAAACAAATGTTGGACATCAGTGCTTTACATGAGCTAAGTTTCAGACTGAGGGTTAATGTGTGTTGAAGGATCCCCAGATGGGACTACAGGGGGCTCTGAATGGTTCATTCAGGAAGTCACATGAGAATTCAGCAAGATCAATATGAGATCTTTTCGAATGGTGACAGCTCAAGACAGTGGACCTTCTTAAAAGGGCAAATTTGCCATGGCAACAGTAAAGAGGCTTTCAAAATGCTGGTCTCTGGAATACTGGGGGGCCCTGAAGAGACAGTGGCTTGTAAAGAGTTAAATATGTTGAGAGTTTGTTGAACTGTAAGTCCTGTAAAGCTGCTAAAAAGTGATCAGAGGGATGATATAAATCCATACTAACAAGAATAATACTGCCTCTTTAAGTAGCAGGGGTAAGGCGATACATTTGGAGGACAGCCAGTAAAGAAAGTCAGTCAACAGAGTTTTTAGACACTCCAAATTGAGGATTTTCCAAACTGGAAAGTTTTGAAGATGCTGTTTAGTCGTTTTCATGTTTTGGGAAACACTAACTCCGATTGGGTGACTGTGTTTGACGTGCATGGAGGATTGGCTGAGATGGCGGCCTACAGGTGGGATTATTTCCGCTACTCACTGTGAAGTTTGAGTGAAGCTTCAGAAGAAGATGTTTCTATTAACATACCGGGGCACCATGGCAAAAACACCGCTCAACAGTTCCTCCTTTGAAAAAATAAAAACTCTCGTTCAGAGAAAAATGCAGAAACTAAAACTCCTGATCAGCAGGTGTTAATAATGTTCAATCAGTTCATCACATCTTGGTTGAATATCAGGTGTTTCCGATCATTCTGACAAAGTCTGGGTTTGTGGTGGTTCAATGTCTTTGTGATCAGCTGGACTTGGGGGTGAAGGTGGTAAATATTGTGACCAAATGAGCGGTGGGAGTTTGTTCATCAGATTAAAATCAGGGATTTATGGTTCAAACTGTTTGTTCTTCTAAATCAGCTCCAAACTAAAAATTGAATTGAATGAGTTTCTGAATAAAGCAATTAATGCAGCACATTTACTGACTTCATTTCCCAGTTTGCCATGAGCCCCCCCCTCAAAATGAACAGATGAAATGTTTGTTTTCTATTTTTATACTGTAGATTTATACTGAAGTGTGTTCCTGTGTGTGACGCTTTGATTGAAGTGGGCCAGACATTTTCATTTTCTTCAGTTTTTGCTTGTCTTTTGATGAATAAAGTGTTTTATAACTTTGACAAATACATTTTCCTGGTTTTTCATTGAAAAGACAAATCTGTGAACAAACAATAAAAAACATGACTCCAGATTTTAAATGTCATACATTTCTTTATTATTATTATCATTATTATCATAGATATTCAAAATTATGTTCTTAGGATAAAAGAAAGCAACTGCAAATACACAACATCTAGACGTCATTCAGCGTCTCTTTGTTTTATATAAAAACAGATATGGACGTGAATGATTCGAGGCACACGTTCAGAGAAATTAAAGTGCAGAAATCAGCAAATGTCCTGCATCACGTACACACATAGAAAGGGGAGGGAGGTGGAAACTAAGCCTGCAGAAATAACACTTTGTAATTATCTATCAAACTAAAAGTCCTCTCAGTAAACTGATGATTCATATTCAGTAACAAGTGCAGACGTTGAAAACTGTCAGGTTTGTTCCCTGTCAGTCCGAACAGGCGCCCATGTCGTCGCTTTAATCAGCTTTACTGCATTTAAAGGTAAGTTCTATTTAAATTCTTATGATATCAGTGCCGACACAAACTCAAGAAAAGCGTAGCATGAAACATGGTAACAGTCTCATGTTCTAATTCTGCTTTGACACACTGAAAAAAATACAGGGGACTAAATATTGAGTTCTTGAATTGATTTGAGTTTGATGACAGCAAAGTGAAGTTCTACTCGACATCCTGACCTGTGTTAAATTTTTAAATCACAGTTTCAACATCTTAAAATGGGATAAAAGTCTTCATAACAGTTTCATGTGACAGTCAGTTTTCAGGATGCTTCTGTTTGATACTCTACAACATTCAAAATTTCACTGGAAAAATCCCTGCCCTGCACTCAAACAGACCCTGCCTGCGCTCCGATGAGCTCTGCTTGTGCTCAAAATGGAACTTGCACTCACACAGATATATTCTGTCCTCAGTCTTCAGCTCTTTTTGTAATCAGACTGCGGCTTTGCACTTGCTAAATATTTAAGCTTTGGCATTGACAAGAAAACTTAAGTGCAAGCAGGGGCTTTTCTGTGTGCACCAGCAGGTTTTTTCAGGGATAATGTCACAGGGTCTGGACACACAAACACACGATATGCTCCAAAGCTGGAGATGTGCTGAATTACTGATTGGCAGAGGGACACCACCATCATCAGCTCTTGAAATTTGAAAGAAATTGCAAAATGAATTCAAGAAAAAAGTCTAAAAGAAGTGAGAGGCTCACAAGAACATTTTCCAATGAAATATGAACACAGACAAAACTTTAGGACCTGTAACAGATACTGTCAGTTTTTTGATTGGACACTTGTTTATGCAACTTTAGGTGCAAGCAGGGGCTCTTTGGTGCACAAGAGGGTTTTGACTATATCGATGATTGACTAAAGGGATCTATAAAAGCGGAGTTGTCTGACTAGTAAATTGGCACAAACAAAAAAGTCAAGAGGAGTTAAGACTCCAAACGTGAACTCAGCCATTTCACTTAAGCCAGAATTCAATAGACACTTTAATAAGCTCCATCAGTTCAAGCAGTAGCAGAGTGATTCAAAGTGATCTTCAGTGCACAAGCAGGGTTTACACTGAGTCACTGATTAAAAACTGGATCTTTTTTTTTTATTGAGAGATGTTTTTTTATTAAGTTATGAATCATCACTTAATTGATAACTGGATCTAATAAACATTCAAATCTTCTTGTTGATAAACAAGAACATTTTGGATAGAACTAAACCAAATGGACAACAGTCTTTAAGAGCTTATTTAGCTCTCTTAGTTTGAGTGCTGTATGATTGGTAGAAACTTCAAATAAAATGTTCTAAAACATGAACGTATCAGAAATTCCTTTGCTCTGATAGTCTGAGCACAAACGGAGCAGTTTGAAGTGTTACCAGGAGCTTTTTGGGGAAATTAGCAGAATCACTGAAGGACCAAGTGTAAGAAATTTGAGATGTAGTTCATGGCATTGAGCAACAACACTGTAGGATCTTCAAAGTGTCTGTAGAAAACATCCTGTGGCTCCAACTTTCTATTTTTGACATCTTTTAGAAACAGCAGCTTGGGAAAAATCAGGCAGTAGCTACGATTTAAGAGCAGACACGAAGCTCCAGGTGAATAAAAAATGATGAAGACTGCTGTTACATGATTGTGCTTCATGACGCTACACACCATCATCTTCCTCAGTATCAGGACTCTCAGGTGTTCTTGTAGCTGTGAGTGCTGGAGCACAGAGGGAAACGCAGAGACTGTAAGATTTCTTTTGAACTTTGGTGTGACTATCAAATTTCACTCTGGCTGTGGTGTTGTGAGGGCAAGGTCAGAGGTTTTGGGGATGGCATAGTTTGACCCCTAAGGAGGAAAGATTAGTAACACACAGTAAAACATGGCACGATCCAGTTCCTATCAATCGCCTGAATCAGAGAATTCAAATCTCTGCGATCCAAAGTTTTGAGGTTTTCAAACGGACTAAAAAACAGCAATAGAACAGCTTTCATTGCACAGACGACTGAAAACACATAAACGAACTACGTCAGTAACTGGGAGCGCTTGATATGTCCCACCTGGATCTGCAGGTTAGGTGGGAGTAGCACTTTCAGGTCCAAAAGCTCAAGAAGAACCATCTGGACTCACTTATTCAAGTATTAAAACTCAACAAAAAGAACTGATGAAGAAGAATCTGAGACCGAGACTGATCAGCTGAGAGGAGCCAGGAGGGTCATGGAGGAAAAAATAATCAGTCTGGCGGATTTGACAGTTAAAGAAAACACTAACCTACTTCTGATTTAGAAACTCTGCAATAATATTCAAAGTCTGTTTTCAATCGGGAGTGTGGGGATGTCGTAGATGGCAGCTGCTTTTATAACTCAAACATAGAAAACACAGTGCCAGTAAAAATGTCCTTGTCACACTTCGACCCTTTCACCAATATAATGTGCTGTACTGTGGTACGTTTACTACACCACAGGTTTTCAGACCATATTATAGTTGGAGAAACAAATGTGCAGTTGACCAGCTGTCAGCCTGGCTGGTTATCGAGGGCTGGTGTTTGGGATTTAGCCGATTATCTGTCAGCGTTTTATTTCACTGATCACAGATCTACTTGATTGATTAAAAAATGAGCGTCTCTGGCTCCACTCTCCTATAGGTCTGTTTTCACACATCAATTGAATTGACTTGATGTTCACTCACAACTACTGTAATCTAAGTGCTGATTAATCTGGTTAATCTATGCAGGACCAGAAAAAAGAGTGTAGTTTTTTTTTGAATGACAGGTCTACAGTCTCAACTTTAACAGACAGATTTTCATTTTTACTGTAAATGCCTGTTGGTCCTATTTATTGGTGTCATGAACTACATGAACCAGGAATTGGCCCTGAATAGTCTGTATCTGTCAATCCAAATGGGTCAAAATCATCCATGGCAGATCAGGTTGACTCCATTCTGGGGTCTCATTTTAGCTTTAGTGTGCTACCTGCAGAGGGGACCATCTCTGCAGAAACCTTTTCAAAACTTTTGTCATTAAAAACAAAGAAAGCCTCAGAGCAAGTGAGGAGATCAGGCACAAGAGGAGGGTGAGGAGGAATCCCACATGAAATTATGTCAAACCTGTAGCAGGAGTTCGTAAACTGATGAGATTTCTACCCTCCATGACACCATCCAGCTCCACAGAGAGAAAAACCTAAACCCACTTCAGACTGTTTGAGTTACTTTCCTAAATATGTCTCAGAGTGTTTTTGCTTTTACACACTTCGGTCATCCTTCTTCCAATCAGGGTCTGCACATGCTCAGTGTGAGTAAGCCGTGCTTGGTCTGTCACAGTAACAGTCATCCAGCAGACATCTGAAGTCGGCTGTGGAGATGATACATACACAGCTTTGCTGCCCCCTGCAGGATGCCCACTCCCATGAATCACCTCTTCTTTGTGACATCTCAAAATGCCAAATGTCCATCGTGGTGAGGGGGTTTCTGAGTCTGGAGTTCAGGGACCTCTGCCTCCTCCCCACAGTCACTGCAGGCCTTATTTGTTTGTTTTCTGACTTCTGCAGATTTACTGGGGGGTGTTTGGGGTGACAGACGCAGAGCGGAAAGGCAAACAGACTCTGGAGTGTTTAGGCAGCAAACAGACTGACAGCTGGGGGAAAAAATCCACTGAAGTTCGGTTTCAGAATCTGTCAGCTGATCGAAAATCTTCAATAGAAAAAGATTCATCAAAACTAAATCAGAGCAGACGTGCTTCAGCCAGTTCTCTTTCTATTCTGCTGTCCAATCAGAAATACCAAAAAATAGTCCTAAAGCAGTGAAATGTATGACTGGAAAAAAAAACAAAAACGTTATCTTTACTTAATAAAAACTGTCTGCTACACGACAACTAGAACGACTGAAACTCCAACGATCAGACAAGTTCTTTCCCACCTTTAAACCAATCATTGGCGGTAAAATATGAACTATTATTGATGATTAGTTTGTACTGATACCAAAAGTCCCTGAAAAAAACACGGTTCTTTTCAGCGATAAGAAACAGGTCTAAAGTGCAGGTTTTCAGGCCCTCTTATGTGTCATTTAATGTTTACTCTCTGACTATGATAGCCTCCATCCTGCCGGCTGCTGAGGTACGTCCCACTGTGGGTTCAAAGCCCTTTGGTTACACTTGCTCAGACACACACACAGGTAACACCAGGTGTGTCTTAAGGAGGCCTGAATTGGGACTGACTGTTATCTCATTCAAACAATATTAATGTGTTAATATCTTATGTGTGTCTCACACCAGCAGGGGGCGTGACAGACGTGGACCAAGTGAAACATTTAGCTGCTAAATTATCAGTGAATTCATCAGAGAGATTAAATATAATCCATCATGTGAAGAAATAAAGCTTGTCAGTGTGATCGCCGTCCGCCTGATTCTTTCATTTCACCAGGGTCTGAAGACATAAAAAAATAAAAGGCCGTGTTTTCTAAAGGGGGGGTGAGACTGGCAGCGCTGTCATTGGCTGAGCTGTCTGTCAGTCACAAGCTGCTGTCCTGCAGAAGAGGCTCAATGTCCTCTGCATCACTGGGGGATGTAGCCAGAGGGCTGCTGTTCTGAGCATGTGCGATGGAAGAGGTGGACTTGCAGGTGGAGGAGTTCTTGGTGTCACCCAGCTGGTGGTGGTCTGGGATAAAGACGGCGACCAGGAGGGCGAACAAGACTGCGCATGCACCAAACAGGAAGGGAGGTCCGGGGACCATCAGCTTCTACACAGAGAGACAGAAGATTATACGATGTGTTGTGACCAAACAAACGATCCAATAATAAATAAAAATATCAAAAATCAACACAATATGAACATCAATACAGACTCTAAGAGTTTATCTGAGTACTTGACAGAAAAAAAAAGAGAAGAGTCCTCTTAAAAACAGTTGTTCAGTTCACTAAATATGCTCCATGTAAGGCTGGGTGATAGAGTCTGGAGCCGGGTTTCTGAAGGTGACTGATTTTGGACCAGTCTAAAGTCAAGTTCTTCTAACATGAACCTGTACAGACGTGTTGTTCCTTTACACAACACTGAAAGAAAAGTAGTTATTGGGGTGGTTTAAAGTTAAAATTGTTGTAATGGAGGGTTTTTTTTTGTCTAACAGCACACAATGACTCGACATTTAGTTGGATAGGTATAAAACACTAATTTTGTGCTGTAGAAGACTCTTTCTTGGTAGCAGATTCAACCTGCAAGTTAAAAACAAAAATGCACTTGGTTTTGTTTATGTTACAGGAAAAGTATTTTTTTCCTTCAATAAGTAATCAATAATTGATCCTTCAAATATCCATTGATTGGTCACAGAAAATACTCTCATCCCCAAAAACAGTGTGTGTAATGTGAAATTATTGTCTCTTTGAAACCGATGACTCTTAAGGTCCTTACACACCAGGCGCGAATTCACAAGGCGAATCATTCGCCTTTTTTTTTAAAACAGCTTAAAGTCAATGCAAGCCTCCACACCGGCGGCGATTTTTCCGCAGGGGGAAAAGCGTCTTTTATTTTTTCGCTCGTGTCGAATTTTTCGGAGATTCGCAGGCGAATATCTGGACCTGCTAAACCTCTGGCCAATCAAAAGTCATGTTGTTGATGACGTCACAGACCCATGCGGCTGCAGTTACTACTGCACTACTCACCCATCTCCTTCCTCAAAGTCAATATGGGATGTACCCAAACACTCCTTTGTTTATTCTTCTGTCTTCTTTTTTTTGCCAAAAGCATCACATCGAGCTCATCATCATTTGATGTTGTTGACTCCATTTCTTTGTTCTCCTCTCCTCCGTGGTGCAAAAGAACTTGCGCCAAAGACAATATATATTTATTAATTCGCTTTGCAAAATTTATACGCATATTCACTTTGCGCCCGGTGTGTATAGGCGAAAGCGATTTTTCGGACCAGCGAATATTTTCGCATTTTCGTCTCGCTTTTTTGCTTCGCTCCGCAAATTCGCTGGTGTGTAAGGACCTTTACAGGTTCAGACACCTGATCCAACACAAGAGAGACATGTCTGAAAGTGTGTGTGTGTGTGTGTATTTACACCTCTGTGTTTGGTGTGGTTCCTTCAGACACTGGGTCCAGCTCCACGTGAAAGACAAAGAAGATGAAGCCGTAAAGAGCCGGACCCAAACCGTTACACAGACCTCTGATACCTGTGATCATCCCCTGGGCCACACCTGAAGACAAAAAAGCCTTAATGAAGCAGCCCTGTCAGAAAGGCTGTTAAAACAGATGTACAGACAGACTTTAAGAGGGACAGGTGGACAGACCTTGCTGGTCAGGTGCTGCACTGTGTGAGACCAGAGCAGAGATTGCTGGGAATGTGATGGAGGACATGGCTGCTACTGTTCCTGCTGCCCACATCATCCTGAAACAAACAGAGACTGAGCTTTAGGGAGCGGGACAGAAAAACAAACCAAGACATGAACAAAACTGAGGATGTACACACCATGGCTCAGAGCCGAAGCTGTACCAGGCCAGCTGGAAGAGCTGAAAGCTCAGACCCATGAGAACTGTGTTCTTGTTACCGATGGTCCTCATTAAAACACTGAGGAACAGAGTCTAACAGAGAGAAAGAGAGAGAGAGATAAAGCGAGGTTAGAGAACAGTCTCAGTATCCACTATGTAAATCCATCATTTCTCCTCAGATGACTTCTCTCGCTCATAACCTTTAGGCATCTTTGTTTCTTGGCAGTTAATTCCTTTTTTTTTTACTTTGTGTTTTATTTTGTCATCTTTTTTTTTTCCATTTGAGCTCTTCTTGTTTTTCTCAGCTCTGGAAAAATCTGTCACTAGATTGTCTTTCAGGCTTCCATCGGATTTTCTAGGAGGCTCTTGATTCACTCTCCGTAACTTCACGTTTGGCTAGTTCCTGTAGAACGCTATATGCAAAGCTTTCCTGCATGATCATGTCAGCATGTTGTTTGAGTACCTGAGCGACTATAGAGAGGATTCCCACCATGGCGATGAAGCCGGCGATGGCTGCAGGCGAGAACTCAATAACCTGAAACACAGAGGGAGGAAAACAAAATAAAAAATAAAAACACATCAGGGCTGCTCTGTGTTCACACACAAAAACACAAGTTTTCACCAAAGGCAGAAACTCCTGGAAACAAGAACGGTAGTAAACACAGTTAGAAGAGTAGGACATAAGACGGGGTCCATTTTTGGAGGGTTTCCACAGAAAAGGTTGACATAGAGTTCCTGCACAGAGGCTTTCATGGTGTTCAGCAATGTGCTGTTCATATGCAGATGTGTAGCCCTGACTAGTACTATTTGTTCTCGCCATCCCGCCAGCTACTTGTAGTGTAGGTGAGCTCAGCTGAGAGGAGTATAGATAAAGATATAAAACTATAGATGGATCCACTGTCAGACTTTAAAGTGTGTCGTTAGTGATGTTAATGAGGAAGGACATCTACAGGAGATTGGTTCTCTACCATGACTTAAGATGAGAACACAGCTCACACCCCTAACTGTATCTGTGTGTGTGTGTGTGTGTGTGTGTGTTACCTGTCTCAGGTAGAGGAAGAAGCTGGAGTACTGTCCAGCCTCGGGCAGGTAGGACAGGAACACTGTGACACAGATCAGCAGCACTGTGCTGTCTTTCCCCACACGACGCAGAGACTGAACACAAAGAAACCAATCAGGGATAAAAAGGCTTTTATCAATATGACGTCAATCAATTGGCTGATCAGCTGACACCTACTGGACACCTCACTACCCTTTAACTTCTCTAGAGCTCTGCTCTCTGGTCCACAAACCAAAGAGTGGAGGCTGTAAAAACAAGGGCTGTATTTGTTTAAACAGTCAAAGCTGATTCAGTGCTATTGCATGTGATCTGCAGTGTAAATGATGTCAAATCTTCAAAAAAGGATTATAACAGAGAGAGAATCATAAAAACTGTTCGAAAAGATGGCTCTATCAAATACGTCCAAACACTGAAATGGTTTTCCTTTTGGGGTTTGTCTTCCTTTGATCTGCTATGTGACGAGGTCAGCTCTAAACAAATAGCTGCTGACCTCTGACCCCTTTCTGTCATGTTCTGCAGCTCAAATCTTGTCAACTCACAGCGAAGGGGTCGGCCTGCTCCCAGGAGATGGGAAAGCCCCAGGATGTCAGCCGCATCTTGTCTGGCAGCGACTCTGGGACGACAAAGAACACGAAGGCGATGTCTACCACTGCGACCACCGTGGCAACAAGGACCACCAGGCTGTCTCCATACTTTGCAGACAGAAAGTCCCCGATGGCCGGGCTTGTCACCAGACTAGCTGCGAAGGTTGCAGAGACCTGAAAAAACAGGCGACAGTCAATAGATATGGAAGAGCGAATGGTTTTTCTTGATTTAGGTGATACAATGTCCAGACAGATGAAGGTAAAATACTCTCAGTATTGGAGACACAACTGGTGTCAACAGAAATTAAAGTCTTTTCTTCACATCTTAGAACAGCTTTAAAAACACTTCGTGCTGAGGAACCTCCGCCTCCTGGTGAGCTCTCATCTGGATCCTCTGCAGTCTGCGTACCAGCCAAACATCGAAGTGGACGACGCAGTCATCTACCTGCTGCAGAGGTCCATGGCTCACTTGGAGAACACTGGCAGCACTGTGAGGGTCATGTTTTTTGACTTCTCCAGTGCTTTTAACACCATCCAGCCTTCACTGCTCAGGGGGAAGCTCGAGAGGGTGGGAGTGGACTGTCACCTAGCCACATGGACTGTGGACTACCTCACCGACAGACCACAGTTTGTGAGGCTTCAGAACTGACAATCCCTCTCACCCACTGCACCAGACTGTGGGGGCCTTAAGCAGCTCCTTCAGCAGCAGACTGAGACTCCCACCTTGCAAGACGGAGCGCTACCGCAGGTCAATCCTCCCTTCTGCAATAAGACTTTACAACGAACTGTAATAATAACTGGACTCACACCACCACTTTTTTCTGGCATTTAGATTGTGTATATTGTAGATAGTTTTACTTTCTTCTCCCTTTTCCTTTCCTAATTTTTTTCTTAATTAGAACATTTATTTAAGTTCTTAATATACGATCTTTATTTTTATAACTGCATTTTTGCACTATTTGTCTGTGATGCTGCTGTGATCCCCATGGGGGGTCAATAAAGGAATATTTTATTCTATTCTTCTTAGGCTAAGACCATTTCTGCCTTTGACTGTGAGGCTGTGAAACCAGCAGGTAAGGAGACTTTCAATAAAAGTCTTTTTAAAGCAACAGAGGGCCATCAGAGAAAATAAAGCGACTGCTAGATTTCAGAGTCCACCAGCCACAGAGGCACGTGGACAAACAAGCTCATTTCCAACTCTGATATACTTGACAAACAGTCTTATTCATATATGAATAACTTTCAGTTGTCGTTATTACCATGACTGTCTGCTGTTGATTATAGAGTTAATTCAAATGTGTTCATTACCACCATGAGTCAATCCTTCAGTGCTGCTCATTTAGACATTTTCCATGTAGAAATAAACCAGATTATGAACATCAGAAGGGAGCATGGACTCTTTTGGGACCAGTAATTAAACATCCCGTGAATGAAGGTGTAAAAAAAGCAGCAGGTTGCAGTGCTGCAGTGCATCCTGGTCCTTCTGAGAGAGAAATCATGCTGGAGAGATTTCCTTTTCGCAGAAAACCCGTATGATCTCTCTCTTTACTGCTACGTTAAACAAATACAAATGCTTGTCTAGCCTAGGGTTAACATATGTCCTCTTTTACCTGGACATGTTCTCTTTTTTGTAGGCTGTCTGGCCTGTGCGGGCGAATTTATAAAATCCATCAAATGTCCGGGGTTTTGTATGGAAGTTTTGAGTTTGTGTAGCATGGACTAACTGAGTTAGAAGCGTATAAACAACACTCAACCCTACCCGAAAAAACCCTCCAAATTTTGCACGTCACTCCACCCCACATGGTGTTGTCCCCTTTTGGGTGATTCAGAATATGGTCACCCTCGTCTAGCCCAGCAGACACAGATCCTTGTCATTTAAATAACCAGTGTAAATTAGTATATCTGTTGTTATTCTTTTTTAGTTTACTTTCTTCCCTTGTGTTTTTTTCTGCAGCTCTTAATAAATAGGATGTTTCTGATTTGATCATCATATTTGAGTCTCTGAACAGCTGATTTGTGCACGCTCAGAGACTGCTCACTGCTGCTGTGTGTGTCTGTGGGTGTTTAATGATGCTAACAAAGTGTATTACTGTATTAACTCAAAGCAGCTCTGCCTCTTTGATTTTTTTTATTCATAGAACAATGTGAAGCTGTTGGTGGTCACATGCTGTGGTCACATGACCCGTGTGCCTGTTTGAAACCACAAAGATTAACAAACCATAGCAGGTTACATTTTAGGTGGCGATTAAACGGCATGTGTCAGTCAGTAGGAGTCAGAAACACAGAGATGCCTTTGTATCAAAAAACAAACTCTAACAGAGCCAGGAAAAGCCCAGAACGCACTGCAGCAGCTCTGATTTAATTAATCTGTTGACATGATCAATGTCTTTAAAAGCAAATATAAAGCACTCAGACAACTCAAAGAGTCCATCTGTAACAGTCCTTCCTGTCCTGCCTGTGACCCTGGTCCACTGTAGACCTCCATAATGACAGGAAACACAGTGAAAGAGCTCTGAGAGCAGAGAGCAGGACCTCCATTATGAACACACACAATCAGCCTTTACTGTAAGTCCGTGCTCTGGAAGTCCTGCACGATCAGGACAGCCTTTATCACATTACAACACCAGACTGGTTTAGTTTTTGTTGCTCTGTGAAAGCTGAAGTCTCTTTTTTCTATTTCTGAATGAGCAGCATAGTTACCAGTCCGTAGGCTGTGCTCCTCTCGTGCTCCTCTGTTATGTCGGCGACGTAGGCGAAGATCACCGAGAAGGTCACAGCGAAAATCCCTGAGACTGAGATCAGAGCGAAATACCACCTGCACACACAGACAGACAGAAACACCAGCTCAAAAATACATCCTATTTAGGCTGGAGAATGAGACGTTTTAGAGAGACTTACATGGTTTACAAATAACCAAAGTGCATCAAAAATAAGTAAAAAAAAGGTCCTCCAATTCGAACAAAACGATCTTAGTATTTATCACAGTTGCTGTAACAAACAGATTCAAACATTTTCATCTTGGTTTCTTCTGAAGCAGGTTAGTTTGACCTCTGGATGAATTTACATTTAGATGTTGTTGTTCTTTCTCCTGTACTCCTGCTGCCTGCGCTCTCATGACCTCTGCGTGTCCTTAAACTTGACTGTTGGTATAGTCAGGATACCCAACAGAGTATCAGCATCAGTCAGCGTTGGATCTGCTGACAGATTATTTAGTGATCACCAGATGCAGAGGCAGATAGAAATCCGTTGCATGGCCTTAGCATACTGTAAGGTTTGACTCTCATTTTTTACTGTTTTTGGGGTGTTTTTATAGCTGCTTATATCGGGACAAAATGATCTGTTTCATGCCTTTAGAATATAAAGAATAGAATATTTCAGACCTTTGCTTTTATTCTTGAACGCTCTCTTTTTAAAGCAGTAGCTTGTACTTTGTGCCCTCTGCATTAGAACCATGTGAATACTGAAATTCAATAGGACTAAGAGAGAGCAGCAGGAGAGGAGGGGGGCTGTTTCAGCTCTGCAGCATTCATGCTGATGCTCGCCCGCTCACATGAACAACATGTGACGGTTTAAACTCCAAAAAGCTGCAGCAGAGCCTGTTCCAACTCCACCAACTCTGAGTGGTCATCTAACAGCCTTCAAAAGCATGTGACTAGCAGCAGCAGCAGCAGCAGCAGCAGAGACATGGGAAAACACAGCGTACAGGCCAAAAACTAGAAAAGAGCAGCGTGTTAAAACTAAATATTTTAGGCAGCATTTCAGGGAAATGGTTCTGGAGGTTTGTTGAACCTGTGCTGAGGAGAAGTGGTCTAATATTAGTCCTAAAGAAATCTAGATTATAAAAGGGGGTGATGGGAAAGCCTCCACAGAAATTTACTCTAAAGTTCATCCTTTTTGTTCTACGTTTACAGGGAAATAACAACATCAATCTGATTTCAACTTGGAGACATACAAGTGATGCATCTGTCTAAACCTACTCATATCAAGAAGTCTTCACTAACTTCATCCTTCAATTCTGTCAGTTAAACTGAGACAGCTCACACATTTAACCAGAACAGGCACCTGGTCAGATTTATCATCTAGTTTTGGGGCTTTTTTGCAAGTGAAGTTTGACTTTCAAACTTTTGCCTTTTTTGTTTAATAAAGATAAGGATTGTTAAATCAAGTTCCAATCTAGTCCACAGTACACAGCAGACGAACCACTCAGACAGAGACATGAGCAGTGTTGGGTTTTCATGAAAACCTGTTCTGATGGTATGAATCTTTTTACAATCGTTGTGGGCAGGGCTGTCACGGTAAGAACATTTGGTGATTAAGGGTGGATAAATATTTTGACACAGATCTGTTTGTCTATAAATAGTTAATAATCAGCTTTACTTAGTTCATATTGACTATCAACATAGGCAATTGTTTGGAAATCATTATCAAAAGCTTTGACATCTGCTTCAGTTCTCTCCGACATGATCAGTTTTGCCTCATCAGTTCTGCTTCTCTGCAGTAATGCAGCTTCGCTGAGATGGCGAGTAAGTGCCGACCATGAAGGACTCGGCTCTAAAAATCGTCCTCACAGAGCCGTCAGGGAGCAGACAAGGTTGGTTCTTGCAGAGCTAAATGATCTGAATCACGAAAAAAAAGAGCCTGAGTGCCCTTCACCAGCAGCACTTACACCAAGGCTACTTCCCTGAGAAAAACAAGAGATCCTTTCCCTCAAAGATCCTGGACAACTAGAGTGAGACCATGAAGCCTCACAATCCAGGCTCAGAAGTCTCAAGAGAATAGAGGTGTGTTTTTTTTTTTGGATATATCAACTGTCCTTCACAGACACACACAGTGTTCGACTCACCATGGGCTGATCTTCATGAAGGGGATGGGGGCGCAGGTGAAGAAGACTGTCATGAGGAGGAAGGACTTCCTACCCCAGATGTCTGACAGAGCACCAATCAGAGGAGCGGACAAAAACGACAGGAAGCCCTGGACGGGAACACAGACCAAGGTTTTGAGTGTTTGAGATCACAGTCCAGTGTCATCATAACTGTTGTATTCAGAAGTTTTTATTAAGGACATGTGAACCTGTTATTTTGGTATAGAGATTAAATTGCACGTGGCCCTCAGCTTTTATTATTTGAGAAGGCTACCAAGAAAAGCTCTAAGATGAGGTGTCAGTTAGCTGAGGAATCCAAAACATCAGGGGATCATCAGTTTGTGTTTACATCTAGCGCCAGTAAAATCCTCTACTCGCTTAACTGGCTAAAATGTTGCGTATTTACTCGCTTGATTCATGAGACTAACTCACTCAATTTGTGTGTTTGTATGGGGTCCAAACACACGTGACAGTGGGAGAGGAGAGAAAGAGAGGAGGGGCGCCTACATGTCAGGTCAGACTGTGTACATCAATGATAGCAGAGGTTTATCACACTGTGAGGATCTGTTGTGTTTAAATAACTTTGCAGATAATCAGACCTCCTCACTCTCTTCTCTCCAGCTGAGGTCTTTTTTATCCTCCAGCTAGGTAGTTTCATAGCGTCACCATCGGTTAATCCTCCATTTTCCTCATGAGTGAATCTAAGTCGGTCTGTTTTTGACATACATCACCGGGGTATCTCCATGCTGATTGGTTATTGCAGCGAACATTCGCTTGAGTTGAGATATTTTCATAGGCGTTTGAAGAAAGTAGTGCATTGGACGCAACACGAATTCGCATTATTTACGAGAATGGTCTGCTCAATTCACGCTACCAGACGCGCATCTAGTCATGTCTTTCTTCGACTTTACATGTATTTCACTTGAGCTACAGATTTTTTAGAATTTATTTTACACTCCTCAAACTGGTCTCCTTTATCCCAAAACATTCACAGTGTTGTTTAGAGAAGATGTGACTCCTTTCAATTTAATATTAGCTTGAAATGATTTGGAAACTATTCAATTCTGTGTATGCAGTTATGGTGCTGTGATGGAAATCTTACCTTCACGCCCTGAACCAGGCCGTTCATCAGGAAAGTGTGCTGAGGAAACGTCTTATGGAGGACCTGAAAGAACAACACAGGGTCATCACGCCTTATACATGAACAGGTTTAACGCAGTCTGCTATAACACACTCAAAATCAATTCACCATCTGTGGCTTCTTACACAAACTCACACATGCTTAGTGTTTGCACACACTTGACAAGCAGAAACATCAGGCATCATAATAAGACTGTTGTGTGACAAAATCAGGATGTACAACAAAGAAAGGCATCGCTAATCACGTCCTTTACACGCTCACCTCACATTATGGGAGTCTTTTGTTCAGCTGATTCTGACTGCTGACTCAGCAGTCAGAGCCTCAGAGATCAGCTGCTAGAGGGCGAGCAGACTAAATTCTCACTTTGGTCATGAACACGACATCTTTCAGTCAATGAAACCCTGAAAACAAACTCTGACGTTGTTGAAGAGCTTGCCGGTTTGCTTGATTTCTTGTCATGAATTTGTCAAATAGATCTCAGTGAAATCACAGGCTCAGTGCAGAAACGGTTGTTGGAGATGTGGAGTGTAGCTTAGCCGGAGGCTGGGAGCAGGAGGGGTCAAAGTTCACCATGCAGGAAAAAGGCAGACAAAGCAGCATTCACAACAATCAGCAATAAAAAGTGACTCCAGCCTGCAAAGCCCTGAGCGAGCTCAGTGTGAAAGTATGACAACATTATGGTTATGGTTTAGTGCCTCTTTTGTACCATTAAGGTATTTCAATTGTGTGTTGTGTGACATCATTACAAAAATAATAAGCACCAGTTTTTGCTTCAGGTGTGATAAAGGACTGCAGGACTTGCTTTAGGTCTGGTTTCGTGTCACTCAGCTATTAAACATATCCAGGGATTGTCATCATATATCCTGTGTTTGTAAAGCAGATGTAGTGACCCACCTCAATCGAACAGAATTGATAGTTGAGTTTATACTCATGGTTGAGTGTTTCTCCTGTGGATTTCAAATAAGCTCTGGTTTCTCATGGTGTTCAGCTGCCCTACATGAGATTTGCTGACTGGGTTTACTGTGCATGGTCACCTAATCTCAGAGAACAGCTGATAGATCGGTTTCATTCTAAAACTTCTCAGGTCAGACTCTTACGGCCGGATTTCTGTTCTACTTGTAAAAGTGCTGACACATGTGGATTATTCGTCAGTCATTGATTCGATCACACTGTGACAAAACATCTTGTACTGAAAACAACCCCGAACACGAGCCATTCAAATATTTGCCAGGCCACATTCCTGATGATTGACGTTGTTACATAACGAGGTAATTTTACGTGACACTTTAGTGATTCTCTTTCATGAGTTCTCTGAACCTTACAAACCTGATAAATTTACCTTTAAGATCCCTCACTGGACTGGACCACCTGTAGAAGAACTGTGGTCTGTTTTTAAAACTCCTGTGAGGACATTTTTTACTTTCATGAAATAGACTGATGTCCTTTTACGATAGCCAAAAGCAAAATAGACGATCAGCGACAAGACTGACAATTTTATATACGTTAATTTTCAATGTCTGAAACTGATTCAGGAGGAATTACACTACAGGCCAAAATTTTGAAAGCAAGATCAGATTTGTTAAAAAAAAAAGGATCATAGTTGCATATATAATTTGCAACACAATAAACATGACTACTGTGTAAAGAGTAACGTATCAGAAGAAATTTGGACTATAATTATTAGGTATTTCAGTTATTGTTGCTTAGACTTTGCTTTCTTTGAAGTAACCTCTTCTGGCTTTAACAACAGCTTGGCATATATCAGGCATTCCTTCCACAAGTTTTCTAAGGTATGTTCCAGGGATTGAATTCCAAGCTTTCTTAAGTTCATTAAAAAGACACTGCTGATTCGTGGGACGCGTTTTTCTGACCCACTGATCCAATTCATTCCGCACAAGCTCAATTGGAGAAAGGTCTGGAGACTGAGGGGGCCAAACCATCTTTTGAAGAGCACCTTCCTCTCCTTTTTGGTCTAGGTAACCCTGACAGAGCTTGGCAGAGTGCTTAGGGTCATTGTCTTGCTGCAAAACAAACTTATGAGCCACAAGTCTGAGTCCAGATGGAACAGCATGGTGCTGGAGGATGGAGTGGTACTGTTCCTTCTTCATGATACCCTTTACTTCAAACAAATCTCCTACTCCATCACCTGCAAAACATCCCCATACCATGGAACTACCACCTCCATGCTGAATTGTGGGTGTAACACATGGTGCTTTCAGATGTTCCCAGTTTGTCTGTGGACATAGACTCTGCGTTTTGAACCAAACAGTGCAAACTTGTTTCTAGTCATCATAAGTCCAATTTTTGTGAGCTTTTGCCCACTCATATCTCTTTTTCTTGTTCTGTGAACGAAGTAGTGTTTTTTTGCAGATACACAAGCCTTCAGACCAGCCTTTCTCAAACATCATTTCGCGGTTGTCAGAGATATGGGTTTCGACCTTGTCATGTTGATTTCCTCACTTTAGGCCTGTCACGATAACAAATTTTGCTGGACGATAATTGTGCTACAAATTATCGCCGATAAACGATATTATTGACACCATTTTTTAAATTATAGATAATGATATTATATGGCATAATAATGCGAGTACACCATGTCAAAAGTGATAAACTTTAATTTCCACACGAGAACAACACTGGTTGTTTTCGTTGACTAAAATATTTCCCTTTTCTCCCACGACGAAGACGTAACGTTGACGAGCTAAACATAAGTCGGAGATGACTAAAATGTGACGAGACGAAAGTGCGTTTACGTTGATGGGACGAGACGAAAATGACGAACAGAGTTGCAAAACTCAGTCAGTTAAACGCTAAACATATAGGAGCAGCTTCAGTCCGCTCTGACAGCTCTCATCAGCCTGCTGTGCTCCTCCAACACACAGACACACACGCACGCGCGCGCACACACACACGTGGAGTTTTGTGGTTGACGAAAACAAAACTGGTTTAAAGCCGGAATATTCCCACACTTGGGCTGTTGCGTTCGGTTTAGACACCAAAGCTGTCGTGTTCATTCTGTTAGCTTGCTTTTCACTCACGATGCTCACTTGCAGCACTGTATCCAAAAGTCTGTGTCTGTGTGCCTGTGCGCGCCAGCCCCCTCGTGACAAAGACACTGAATGACTGACAGGAGGGTTCACTAACTCCGTTCATTCCGCTATAGAGCCAACGCCCCCAGGTGCCGAGAACAATGCGCAGAGTGAGACCTCTTCTCTCATCCAGCGTGTTTGGTAGCGAGAGAGGAGGAAAACAAACGCACGTCAATTATCAAGGCTGGCAAAATGACCGACCTCGTTTATATTTATCGAGCGATAAGGCGATTTATTGATTATCGCGACAGGCCTACCTCACTTATTTGTGGTGCTGTCTTTTGCCGATCTCTCTTACTGGTGACAATGCTATGTTTATTCTCTGCTTTTGTAGTAACTCTTTCGTCCAGATCTTTTTCTATCATCATAACTTCCAGGTTCCTCTCGTCTCTTCAGAGTGTAGTGGACTCCTTTGTTAAACACCTTTAGGCATTTTGCAATTTCTCTTTCTGCGTATCCTTCTTTCCTCAATGTACAAATCTGCACTTTTGTTTCTTTACTCAGTTGCTTCTTTCTAGCCATTTTTGCGGTAGTTTGAACGTAGTTGAGATTTATTAGGATTTTTGTATGCAGACTCTCAAAGCCAAAAAGTTCAAGTGAATAATCCAACTGTGACTTGTTTTTTGCTTTTGTACTGAAGTTGTGACTTTTGCAAATGTTTTCAACCCTAAAACTAAGCCCTTATTATCTTTTGCTGACATACAGTATATTTGATAATGGTCTGTTAACATCAATGTATATCTAAAGGTAAATGGAGTAAAATGGTGCATTTCCATGAAAGCAACATCTGATCATGGAGTAAATACATCCCAAAATACATCAAACTCATGCTGGATTTAAAAAAAAAGCATTGTTAACAAAAACTTGAAGTTACTCCCAACTGTTCGGCCTGTAATGGCCTTGCTTCCAAACTTTTGGCCTGTAGTGTATGTCCATAGAGCAGCTGGACAAACAGCCCTGATTTTACATTTCTACATGAGATATTAACAATTAACACCACATTTGACCGTCAAAACTCAGCAGGATGGGATTTTTTGTTTAACATCAATACTAGAGAACAAGACACACTAAGTCTGCTATGTCCACAGGGGGAGCTAAAGCTGATCCAAACTGAAAGTTCCTCACAGTAGCTAAAACAATTTTCCCACAATAAAACACAGAGGCTAAGTTGTCTACATGGGATAATGAAAGAAAGCTTTCAGATTCATCTGCTCACTGGGTCCTGACTGAGACATTCACGCCCACCAGGTGAGAAGTGTGTGCAGACAATCCCTTTGGTTGGTAAAATGCACCACTTGACCATAAAATACTCGTTATTTAAAGCCCCTTTGGCGCCCCCTGTGGTCAAAGTGATAACTGATTTTGTCTTGGGCCTGTACAACGCTATTTACAGACAGAAAGCTTCCTCCTGTTGTCTATATTATTTTTCTGAATGTATCACCTACCATGTATGTTAGCTGTAGATAAAAGTAACTAAGGCTGTTTCTTTCAGTGTTACCTAGCCTGTCATCCAAGACAGGACAGACAGGAGCATTTTCTAGTGCTGCTGCATCTCTGCTGTCTGCATGTTAGAGCTACGCAGGTGCAGGCTGACGAATGTAAAGAAGCACTGACACACACAGAGGGATGCAAACAAGACTTTATAGGATTCCTGTTTAGACTTGAATTAAAAGCTGATCAAAAACAGTGATCTGGCTTCAGAGTTTGCTTTTGCTCACTCTTTTACTTTGTATTCAGCACGTCACTATTTATGAAAATGCATTGTTACAAATGTGGGTGTAATACAAAAACCTTATGTATTATTGTGGACCAATACAAGATAGGGAAAGTCTACCTGCCAGCTCAGTCAGTGAGTCTTCAGAGTTCATTTCAGACCTTGTCTCCTCACCTGTCACAGTGTGCTAGTTTTCGAGCACAATCTGGGACAGGTAACATGACTGGCAATTTCACACAAAGAGAGGGCAAACACCTGATACATCTTCTGTTTATCTTTAACTTCCCCGAAATGCTGCTGCACACAACAAGGGCTGTGTCACGGGTCAATTTCATGTGATAGATTAAAATTTCTCAGCACACAACAAAAAACAATAATACAACATAATCAGATTATATTCCCATATTTTATGATAGAAAATGCAGCACAGAGGGCTGTTGCTTTGAATTTGAAGTGCTGGTATTGTTTTCCATAGTCTTGTTTGCTTGTTATCATCTGTTCAGTTCAAGGACACATTCACATTTTTCCTTGTCGGTCTTCAACTAACGCTTCCTGAAACCAAATATAACAGACTTTGATTTTAGAGAAAACTTACTTTGACTGATTGTGATTGCTAAAGCCACGTGACAACTTAAGTCAGATTAATCACAAACTTGAAATGTTAAAATACCATGTGAGCGCTGAATAAACAAACCTTTGAAATGTATCCTCCAGTAACAGAATGAACTAAAGAATGCAGAGATTGTTTTGAGGAGAGGTTAAATCTGCAGGTAAACCGTGACCTTGTCTTTATTTTATGGAGTGCTATGATGTTGTGTGTTGATGCTGGTAATCAGGTGTTTTCACTCACTGTCAGCATGGGTGTGGTAAGCAGTCCCCAGGCGAAGAACTCCAGAAAGATCACCACCACTGCATGAGTCACTCTGGCCCGGCCGCGGCCGTGCTGCGGGGAGAACAGAAGCATTAACTATTCATCTGTGGGAAATAAAAACCTGACATCCTGTTTAAACTCATCTCCTCATTTCCTACTGGCAGTTTCGTCGTCATGTTGACTGGGAGCTTGCTCAGGGTCACTGCTAGTTTTGAAGTCCATTTTAAAGCTTTTTCAACCTTTTCAAGACCCCAAATATAAGCCCCCCAAAATATTTGAACAATTTCTTTGATAGAGGCTGGGTCCCTGAGATTTCTCAACATGTCACCCCTTGATTCCATTTTTGTCAAACTGTGCATTAGCCATCAACAGTCTGTGGCTGTTCTCTCTGTGTTTCTCCAGTGAGAGCCAAACAAACTTCAGGTTCATGTTTGATCCACTAACAGGAGAGTCACTCTCAGATTCAGCTGCTTTGACCCCCACCAGGCTTTGATAATGATAATAAAGATTTAAGAAACTTTTCTTCAGCCTGGGTATGTGCCAGTCAGTAGAACTTGCTGTCTATAGGTGAATCATTATTAAAACCATCCATCCAATACACAGGTGCAGCTCAGAAAGTTAGAATGTCCTAAAAAGTTCACCATTTCCCACAATTTAATTCAAAAAGTGAAACTTCCATTTATTCTAGATTCATCAAAAGCAAAGTAAAATATTTCAAGATTTTTTTTGTTTGAATCTTGATAGTTACAGCTCACAAAAACCTCAGAATATTACAAAACACCAATCCAAAAACCTGATTTATGAGACAGATCCTCTATGGGGTTCAAGTCAGGTCAGTTGGCTGGCCAATCAAGCACAGTAATACCAAATTTGGTAACCAGTTACTGGTAGTTTTGGAGCTGTGGGCAGGTGACAAAGGAAATCTGTATTTCCAGAAAGCTTCTCAGCAGACGAAGCATGACGGGTCTCTAAAATCTCTTTTTCAGGACTGTCTAGATCTTTTTTTGAGTGCACCTGCACACCTCAACCCTCTTGGCAAAACCCTCAATTTAAGCAGTGGAATCAATGGACAGGACCTGGAACCCTTGGGCAGCTTCGACAGCAGAAGGACTGGAAACCTTGCATACTCCAGAATCACTACAGATCTCCCCAGTTTAAGATAAAATGGCCCGTGCCAAACTTTGTGCCAACTTCCATCAGACTCATTAACTGCTCATCCTGGGACGAGACCTGTCAACAGCTGACCTTCCTCTTAAACTGAAGACAAAAGCACATTTCAGTGGGACCATGACCTGCTTATTTGAGCTGAAGGTTACTCCAGGATTAGAAAAGTTCTGATTTCCTGGGCTGAAAAACTCACTGCCATAAAAGCAAGAGAAGCAGCACTGATCCGAGGACCTGACCTGTAATAGCCTAAACATTGAAGTCCTGTCCTTTCCCCAGTGAATGTTAATTCACCTGCTGAGCCCAAGATGCCAAATCTCCTCAAGAGCAAAAGTGTTGAAAGGTACTCAGTAAAGCTAAGACTGGATAATAATATCATAATCATATTGGGAATGCACATTATTGGATTTTTGCAGATCTCTGGCATGCTGATGTTTTCAAACTCACTTTGGCTGATTCTGATTTATAGCCCTTCCCATAATAAAGTACACAAAGTTTCTTCTGCTCCCCTGAGTATGACGTCTATTTGTTGAACCAACAGACATAAAACAAGACAAACACTTGATCCCATAATCGCTCCAAACCATAAATGATGTGCCTCCGTCTTTAAATGTTGACTGTACTGAAAACCTATGTGTTGTGTCTGTTTTTGGTGGGATGATAGAACAGTTTTCATGTGTCCAACAGTCAGGTAGGCCTGTGCCATAGATCCCTCTCTCTTTAGCATAAAGTGCATGTATTTGTCATTTTTATTTTGGAGTTAACTCTTGCAAGCAAAAAAAAAAATCCTCATCTCTGGCTTGTATCAGTTCCCTGCAGTTGAGGCTATAAATTCACTATGTTTAATGATGAGGTTTTCATTTAACAATTGATCAAAGTGTAAACTGGACAGACTAACAAAGGATTTTCAGCTGAGTGTTCATGAAACCAACACGGCTTCCTTACCATGAAGAGTGAAAAAGACCTGTTGAAGATAGACACAAGCAGCTTGACCACCATCACTCCTTTACGTGACTTAACGGCAGAGAAAGTCTGATCTTGTTGTTTCCACTGGAACATCTAAACTGCAGTGTAACCTTTAAAGTTACGACAATAGACCTGACGCTCTAAATCTGTCTCAAACTCCAGCACATTGACTAGTGTTCAGCACACAGTGTTGTAGCTTCAAAGGTAAAGCAGGATGTGGTCACACAGGATTTCACGACAGCAGAGAGAGACAGCAATAAAGAGGAAGGGTTTTGGCTCTTCGTGCTGCCACTTTCTGCGGGCCCTGCTCAGTTTATAGGAGAATAAAAGTCGACATGAATCTGAAGTCTAAATGAAACTACTTCAGACAGGAAATGAATCTGAAACCATTTTCTAATGCCTTAGCCATTCACTGTGCAAACACACTACCCTCTCAATCTGAGTACCCTTGTGCTTGTCGGCTTCATGTTATTTTTAATTGGATATATTTGAGACATTTGCTTCTTATCAGACAATATCAGTGATATTCAAACTAACAACCCTCCTCTTTAAGAATAACAGCTGCTGCATGAACTTTCTGAGGATGACGGTATCACAACTTCTCTATAGATTTTTGGACTTTACAGATCACCACTGACAAGTTTACGGTCATCTGCAGGGTGTCTGTATGAAGTGGCTCATATTTTCCATTGTGTTGCTCACACAGATAACCACAGTAGAAGCATTCTGTAAATAAAGCTGCTCCATTTCAGGGCTTCTATTTCCATGTTTGATACTCTTGAGCAGAACTGAATGCAAAACGTATACAAAGGACATACAGAGGTATTCAATAACATGTCAGTTAGTCATTATTTACTTATGTAGTTAATGATTATTTACTTGTGTGAGCAACTTTGAAGACTAAGGGTTGATCTGAAAACAAATGATGGTGTACAAATGCACCTCCTGCTGAGGTAAGGTTGTCACAATTTTCAATATCCTTATTCCACCGCATGCAGATCCGCTCCGCTACGATCCAGAATGGCAGGCAGATCAAAAATGCAAGCATACAGCACCCACCGGATCCGATCTGCTACTGCAAGCGGAGGGGAAGTGCTTGCGATATTACTGATATTTTTTACGAGGCTGGACGAGATCTCACGTGTTTCACTGTGAGACATTGAATGAGTTCGGCGGTGTATAGAAACACCCACATCCCACAACCCTGGCCCCTTCCATTATCACGTGAAGAACAGTTCAACATATTGACTTTATTTTATTTTGAAAATTAACCAGGTATTTTACTCTGTAGTTGCATACAACTTTGGCTGCAGCTGGTGCTGCTCTGCACTGAAATGATGCATTGTGCTGTGGCGTCCGGATCCTGTGGAACTTTGCCGTAATACTTTCAATCCCACAGGCACAAAAATGAAGCACTGTCTGCTGGTTATAGGCACCAATGCTTATTATACGAGCAATACCACTATAACATAAGTGATAAAATTAACAAAACAGCCAGAGTCAAGAAAGTTAGTCGAGCTGTTTGTTTCACAGCAGTTACACTCTTAAGAACTTAAGTTTCTCCTCTGCGCACTTGCCAGTCGTGTGTCTATGCTCCACCCTCCGCCACAACCCCATCCACAACCACTACGCCACTAAATCTCATTTACAGCTCAGCAAACACTGATATTTGTTAGGTCCTTGAGGCATCTAATAAAAACACACCTTTATATCTGCTGCAGGAGGACAGAGAGCAGAGCAGAGAGAGAAAGCATCACTGCCTGATCCTTTTATGTTTTCTATCATTTGACCAGACTGTTGACAGGAACAATTTTCAATAACCATCTTCCATAAAATGACCCAGAGTAAAAATACAGACAGGAGTATTCAGAGGAAACTTTCGTTTTTAAAAAATCTTGTTCATTTAGCCTTCATTGCTAAAAACATGAGGTCAAATGTTGATGTTTTTCACTGCGTTTTCTATACCTGCGCTGTGCACAGGCTTCCTCTTTTTCTACCTGTGGGGTAGGGATGGGCGATATGGGCTAAAAAATTTATCACGATAAGATTTGCCATTCTGGCGATAATGATAAAAGTCCCTATAAAAATATTATAATTCCAATCTCTATTTTTGACTCATTTTGTCTTGAGAACACCAGTTGTAGTCGTCAAATACGATACTTAACCACAAGTTTAAGTGGTAGGTTATAGAGAAAACTAATGAGATCAAACAATATCAAACATATGTGAAAACATTTTCAACATTTATTGAAAACTCTGATTTCACAGAGTGAACAGCAGCAGCAGATCCACTGTTTGATGTCAGGTATACCTGATTGCACTCATCTAAACCCCAATCTTGAAGGAAATCCCTCATGAGGCGCCTGGTTCAGTTACGAGCTGCTCAGAGAAGTCTTCTTCACCACTTTTGGCCATGCTTTTTTGTTATTCTGCTCTGTGTTGGCTATGGCTGCGAGTCCCTCGCTCACGCTTATGTCATCAACTTGTATTTATCATATTAATCATCAGATAGCAAATATTTATCATGGGAGTTTTCTGATGATATATCGTGAACGATAATTTATCACCCATCCCTACTGTGGGGTTCATTCTTATGTGGGATCTAAACAGACCACATGTTGAAGTGAAAAGTTTGTGTTTTGTATTCGTGCTCCTCTTCACATGCATGTGCTGTTTTTACAGCCTTTTTACTTCACCCAAACTTTTCCCTGTTAGATGCCTGACAGAATTTAAAGTGGGGAAGAGTTTGTGGGAGACTGCGCCAGGTTATATTCAAGGGCAGAAGTGATGACATGGATATCACAGAATTTTTCAGGAGAAGGACTTGTGTCTCATTGTGAACATTTCTACATGTTGTGACAGTCTTATGAATGATGTCTACAGTCATAGAGGGCTTGTATCATGCTCACTGGGTGAGGTTACAAGAACTGCTGAAGTTAAGTAACTCGGTGTAGTTATCTGAATTGGTGATTCATAATCCAAAGAGAATATAGAAAAGGTGCAGTTGAGTAAAGTGAGGCAGTGATCGCTTTTTGTCTGTTAGCCTATATTACACTGAACTACAGAGATTTCATGAGGAGGTGAATAACCGCAGTCTGTTTCTTGACAGAATGTCAATGCCATGGAGTCAATTCCACTCCTTTATTGTTTTAATCGATCAATAATTAGTTTTCTGGTTTCATCTACACAAATTTAGACTATTCTAATAATGTGCCATAGTGCAAAAACACAGACCACAACACAGGAAAAATCATGTTGCTTCTTCAATAACGCTTAAAAGACACTTACTAACTGAGCTTCAGGTGAGAACAAACTGTCCCCAGGTAACAGCGCTCAAGTTAGCACCTGATTTACAGCCTCTAGTTTAGTTGTAACAAGGCTGCTGAAGGAAACAAGGTCCTAATTCAAACCTGTACACCTAGACTTGTTAGATCTGGAACAGATTGTTCTAGAGAGAATACAGACTCCTTACAGTAGAGTGAAATCCTTAATCTACATCCATTAATGCAAAAAAGGGCAATTTCACTGCTCTTTCCTGTCTAGATTACAATGAAAACCTGATCAACAATGACAATACTGAGACGTGTGTGATCTAGACTACATGATTCTAGACTAAATTACAAACTCTATAAAACACAGTTGCAGATTTGTTTGACCTTTAGTCCATTCATAAAGAATCAACATGAGCACTGTGACTGCAGTTTTTCTGGACTATGATGGACTGGGTCCTAATCCAGAATCACTTTAACTGGTCCAGAGCATTCTTGGTAAGCTTTAGACTCTTTAAAACAAAGAGACACAGCTCTTTCCTGCTTTTTCACAAAAAGAATAAGGGTTTCGTAGATCTGAAACTGCGTTTGAATGAATCTGGAGACTCTTGAAGATAGACTAGTCTGGATCTGACAGGTCTACTAATGGGGTATTGGACCACAAAATACTCTCATGTGGTCCACAAGTAAACAAAGGAGGGAAAGCCTTTTTCTGCATATTCACAAATAGAGTAAATGTTTCACCAATCTGAAAATTATGTTTGAATAATTCTGTAGTCACTTAAATATGATCTTATCCAGACATTTCAAGTCTTGTGGTTGTGGATCAGGATCCGGTCTACTGTGGTGCACAGGTAGAAAATGAGTGAAATGTCCTTTTTTTCATTTCAACAAATAGACTAAATGTTCCACAAGTTAAAAAATGTCCTTAGTCAGCCCCAGATAGTCTGGTCCTGATCTGACAAGTATTGGATGGGTGCACAGTCTGATGTGGTCTGCAGGTAAACTAAAGGGTGAAATCACAATTTCTGCCTCTTTTCCAAGAGCATACAGGAGATATGGATCAGAAACCGGGTTTATAGAAGTTTGTAGTCCTTCTCACAAGGATCAGGATCTGGTCTACTGTGATCTACACAGAAAAACTGTTAAAATTATGCTGTAAAGTATATTTGAGGTTTCCCCAGCTTGAGACATTTTTTTTTTTTTTTGGGGGGGGGGGGTAGTCTCTTTACAACAATATGGTCTGATGTGACGTGACTTAATAATGTAGTATTGAATCAGGATCCGGTCTCCTGTGATCTACACAGGAAAACACTTGTGAAATCGCATTTTATGCATTTTCAAATCTGAATGACTATTTCAGTAATGTAAATTGTGTTTCAATACGTGTGTAGACTCTTTAAGGTACTGTAGTAAAGGTCTAACGGGGTAGGTTAAGTGGTTCTGGATCAAAATCTTGCTTCCTTAATACTAACGTCAGGGTTATTTCCAGGTTAAACCTGAGGACTTAAATGTTCAGAAAGGTAGTGAATGAGTCTAAGTATCCAGTAAACGGTGTAAATCTTCACCTGACACAAACATAACCCCAAAGTACAACCAGACTGCCGGTAAACTGATTTATGTAATGGTTGGTGTGCTAACTGACGGAGTGTCAAAACAGTACATTAAGGACTACTAACAACTTACAATGAGAGTGACACTTGAGTTATTACACAACTGTCTGTCTTTCACTGTCCAGTACATGTCAGCTATTCAGCTGTATGTTATAATTACGCGTTTCATGTGAACCACATTAGCCGACAGTGCTAACAAACCCAGCTAGCGCACTTCTTACCGAGCCCCGGACCAACATGATGTCGTTGGCCTCGGTCGCTGATTTCTCCCGGTTCATCTCACATCTTGCCGGAAAGATTTTCACATCAAGCTCGAATAATTCTTCATCCTCCAAACGTGTTCCTGTCACTTCCAGGGTTCACTGTTGAGTCTGTTATAAATACAGTTCTGCTCCACCGTTAGGCTCTGCTAAAGTCGACGCGTTGATGTGGAGGTAAACTGAAGAGGGGGCTTGGCTTGGGTTTTTCACCAAAATTCCTCTGCTCTGAATGCAATTTCACAGCTCGTCACTATGTTTTGTTCAACAAAGTTCACCGAGTGGGTGGCAATCGCTCAACTGTAATAAACCAGAGAAGCACCGCCCTTACACACCGTCCTTAAAATAAAAACAAACGTCTTTCACCGGCGCGCGGTTCCTCCTCCAACGTATGTCACGTTTGGTTGTTGGCTGCTCCCAGATCAGTTCTTACACAAATTCGGTTAATTCGTTTAATATTCGAGGGCAAACATATCTGACACTGGGTCAGTTCATACATAAATAGTTTTATGCATTTACCAAGGAGAGCGCCCTCTGCAGTGCCGCCGCTTGAATTACAATGCAGATAGTGTGTTATTAGCTTAGCGGCGTGGAAAGCGTGCAATATTACAACATGTAAAATGTCGGAGTACAGCTAATGTCGAATACTGTTGGCGTTTCAGTGATTCTTCCATAACAGCCCAGTTTTTGGAGAAAACGGGCTGTCATATCGTCTCGGTATTTGGCTGGAAGACTCAGTAACAGGGGCATCCACCTGGATCACTGTTCAGCAAGAGGCAGAAAGGCGGGACTCGGCGGTGGAAGAATTTGAGGTTCGCAAACCCGCACGACAACCAGTGTCAAGACCATCAGCATGATAAACAGCACTTCCGGGTGGGGCTCTTAAAAATAAAAGTCGATGGAACAATCATAAAAATCAAAGAATCCACCAAAGATGATTATCTGATGTAGAATAATGTTTCTCAAAACAAACGGCAAAGGAATTTGGGAAAATATTTAAAGAATCCAGAGTAATATTTGTATAACTAGCGGCAATTTATATATAGAAAAATGACACGTCTCTGTGGTGGAAATCACTGCCTGGGCTATAAATCACACCAAAAGAAAAAAAACAATCTGTCAGCACAGTTTGTTGCTGCCATGACAGCCCCTGTGCAGATGTTTAAACTGGAGATCTGACATATCTATCAGAGCCAGGTTATTATCCTGCATTTAAATATACAGGTTAAAACCATGCAAACGGAAACACAGGGGAAATAGCACACTGCCCTGTGGTCTTACAAATCAATATTAACAGCATTTTATCATGGACACAGAACGTCTGTTCTGAAGAGGAGAGAGACCTGTTGGCTTGTCTTTCACAGATTAACCCAAATGCAGGAGACTGCATGAGCAAACAGTTTAGAAATGTAGGAATGTTTCTTAGCTAAGAACTGCAAAATATTTGTTGATTTAAAGATAAACGACTCATAATATCAATAAAATATTTAGAGATTCTTGAGAAATCTCCAAACCCAAAGACTGGGTGGCAGTGATCTTAAGTTCTTCAGGCGGCACTGTATTGAAAACAGATATGACTGAGTCTGTAGTGGGAATCACTGCATGGACTCAAATCATGTCTAAACCATTTTCCTTTTTGAAGATTGGCATTGCACATACAAGTGCGGGCCAAAAACTGTACCATACAAAACCATACATGAAGATGATTCTTTAATGTGGGTTACTTCTCCTGGCCTGAGCCCCTTTGAAATGAGCTGAGATGAAGTAGGAATCTGCCCTGTGGCCTGACAAATCCCCTGTGGCCCCAGCTGTGCCCACACATCTGGGAAGACCCCATTAATGCTAAGCAATATACAGGGTTTTTTAGTTATACATACTGCCATACAGACAATGGTTTTTAAAAGAAAGACCTTACATATTTCAGTATGACAATGCCAAACCACATTACTCACATTTTACACCAGCATGGCTGTGAAGATGAGTCCTTTGCTGAACTGTTCTGACAAGCACCCACTGAAAATATTTGGCAAATCATGAATGAAAATAATAGCAAGGCGGCTATTTAGGAATTAAAGTTTATGAACCTCATAGTTCATTACAGGCTGAAAAGGAGAATGTTTGACAGAGACTGTACTTGAAAGGACTTTGAAAAAGTGTAAGTAATGCTCTACACATAGTTCCTGGAAAAATATATTACATGTTTTTCTGTCAATAATAAAACTGTAATATGGGGAATTATTGCGGATTACCTACAAACTTACTTAAAGGTACTCTTAAAAGCACAAGTTGTGCACAACCATTTTAGCCTAAAACCATGCATGAAAACATCAGTAAAAACATGCATTAAATCCGGAATAAATTCACAGTGGAAGCAAAACACATTATAACAAGAAAATAAAACACTCTTCTGAAACAAGTCATTGTGAAAACAGTTTAAAATAAGACTATTACATCAAAAAATTATCTTGTTTTGTTCTGAAGTCCTCACTGCCTCTTTTCCGGTTTCCCTACATATTAACATCGCTAGCTTGACTCAGCGGAGACCCAAACGGAGGCAGAGCGGATCAATTTAGAGCTACGGTAGTTGATCGGGATTATGCGGCGACACTGATTACTGCATCGGTAAGTATCTGCAGCCTCTGGCACCACCGAACGAGACAATTAACGGACTGTTCGGCCGCTTTCACGATTTACCGCAAACCAGCTAGCCTAGCGCCTGTGTTTTTCTCCCTCTCAGACCTCCCCTCTCCCTTTGTTCGCTTGCGCCTTTTTTTTGCTCCGATGCGGGTTTTGTAAATACTGGCGCAACATGGCTGCCGTGTGTTAGGGGGTTTGACCAATTATCTCTACACATATTTGAGTATTTCAGTTTGTTCTCGGGAGTGCTGTTTATGTTATCCCCAGGTAATTAAGGATAGTAAACTGTGACCTCTGCCTGCTCATTTTCATCCTCATCATCAGCCAAAACAAGCAGCAACTCATCTCTCCTACAGAGATAGTCTCAAAGAAACAGTGACTGCATGCTGTTCTGTTAATGTGAGCTGTCTGTTTAAACGTATGAAACCACACGCAGAGTGTGTGGAGAAAATGCTCACACTGAACAATGAAAGGCAGAAGAAGCAGGAGGACAGTGTGACAGGTAAACTCAGGGGAGGTCACTTTGTTGTTCTCTTACATCTGGATGGTTTGGTTAATTATGGATGAATGAGTAATGTTGCTTTAAAACTTTGATGAGAGACAAGGATCACAACGCACTCATAACTCACGATACATACACACTGAAGATGATGATATCACGATACAGCAATAATGGACAAACTGCAAGGCTATGATGCACTTCCATATGTAATTAATAGGAAGATGGAGAATTCACTGAACAGGTAATATGCAAGATTATTGTCATCAAATACAGGTATAGATATTTGCTGTCAGCAATAATTGAGAATGATACACCATATTTTGTTCCTCCCTTTACATCTGTGCAGATGCTGCTTGTATTTATGGCTCTATAACACTGAATGTAGACTATTGATTAACTTACTGACATGATCTGTACATTAGAATTTTTAAGTTCTTTTTACAGTCATTGTTGCCAGTGTCACCAAAACGTTAACATGATACTTATTGATGTGATATGATTGAATTTAATACCAGATATGCCCCACAGTAACAATATCCTATCACAATAATTTTGAGGTAATTGATACATTGCGTAACATTCATGTAATAATATGTAATAGATAGGGGTGCAGCTATTGAATATTTTAGTAATTGAGTATTCTACCAAATATTCCATCGATTAATAGAGTAATTGGATAAAACACAATTTTTTTCAGTTAAAGTGCAGTTATTAATTTACAAGAGAAAATAAGACATTTAACATAATAATGAACAATCAATTATTTTCCTTTTTTAGAAACAAGGAACGCTGAACAAGCATGTGTGTTAGCGGATTGCAATGCTCGTAAGAAAGCTAATTATGATATTAACTTTCATCATGCGCCTAAAGATATTAGCATCCAGGAGATGAATAGCTCCTGTTACCTGCTTCTGCTACGACACTGGCAATGTTAGGCTGCAAGCTAGCATGAAGAGGAGTGTGCAGAGCTGCGCTGTCTCCGCCCGTGACTCAGAGACCAAGTGCTAATGAGCAACTGGAGCTCTGCAGAAGGAAAGCCCCTCTCATCATTCATTTTTTCCCTTCCGCAAAACCAAAACTGCGCTTACCCCTCTTTCTACCATGGTGACGTAAGCGTGTTGTGTCACCCTGAAAACAATTTGTGCGAAATAGGGATGATTTGAGCTTATAAACGAGTACTAGAGGCAGGAAAAATTCTATCATTTTTTGTAATTGAGGTATTTGAGGTACTCGAGGAATTGTTTCAGCCCTAGTGAAAGAGCTAAATTATTGTTCTCTACAATCATAAAAATGTCCTCCCTCTCTTTGCTTTGGAATAGCTTCACCGTTCACCCCAAACATCTTTCACTTTCATTTCACCATAAATAGCTCAGATCAATGAGAAACAAAGTTTGGGAGTACAAGAAAATTTTGTGTCCCATTAAATATAATGGTGGCCTGTTGTATTATCAACAAGTGCAACAGTGCCACAGCCACAGGTGGCGAGAGTAAAGCAGAGATAGAAGCAGGAGGAGGAGAGATGATAGCAGCGAGAGGAGAAGAGTGAAGACAGGAGAGCCTGAAGAGGATGAAGGTGGAGAGAGGAGAGCAAGGAGTGGAGCAGGTAGGAGGAGCAGGAGGAGGCAGGTGTATATCTGTGTGTAAGACAGAGGGACAGAATGAGCATGACCAGAGAGAGACTGTAGTGATAATAAGTGTGTAATTATGATTGTGATAATGAGTTTTGTTAGAATCGAGCAGCCCTAACAGATACATTTGATGAACTTAACAATAATGAATTCCCCTGAAGGTCAAATGTTAGGGATGTCTCGATAGGATATTGATATTGGATAGCGGTCTGATATCAGCCAAAAAACGGATATCAGATTATATCGGCCTGCATCTAAAATCTCTGATATCAGTACTCCGATACAACAGTCCATTCCAGACTCGGCTCCGGCACCTCTATCTATCAGCGCCTTGATCCTGCATGCAGAGCCTATGTAATCACAACAACAGTGTGTACTAACGTACTAACAAAGTAGCAAGAAGTGGGAGCGATGTCGACCGTTTGGCAGTATTTTTTGTTGAAGTCTGAAAAAGACATTGCAGCTGAGTGCAAAATGTGTCATGCACAAGTTTAAGGTGATATCAGGTCAATATCGGTGTTGGCCAATACTGAAGGCCACAATATCGGTATCGTATCAGAAGTAAAAAAGTTGTGTTGAGACACCCTTGCATAGCCCTAATGACTATTGAACCATGTTTTTTATCATAGCAGTTTTTAATGCCTAATGTTCTCACCAGAATAAACAAGAATAACTTGGGTCCTAGTACTGATCCTTGTGGGACACCGCTTGTTAGCTATAAGATTGTAACCCCTTTTTTAAGTGACATTCTTACTATAATGTTCTAATTTCTGCATAAGTACCTTTTCATTGGTTTGCATAAAACAACTACCCAAAAAGACATTCTATTTAACACTGTCAGTCAGTTTAATCACAGAGCCAATGTTTAATGTTTGAGTCGCTTTTTTTGTTTTGGTCCAGTTTGAGTCTTCTGCAAAATTTCCTCCTATGTCATGGGTGTTAAAAAGGACAGCTGAGTCTAACCTCAGATAAAGCATCGCAGTTTGGGGTCTGGTGAATCTTCCTGATCTCTTCTTGACAGCATCTTATTGTGCCTGTGTGTCATGTGACGGTCTGTAGTTCTAGTTGAACAGCTTGGCTTCTCTGTAAACTGGCTTCAAAGCCCAGCAGACATAACTGATGTGGCTCCTGAAACACAGAAAGGCAAGTCTGTAGAAATATATCAATATAAAGACAGACTTGGAGAGATGGGCGGATGAAGCTCTGGTTCTTTTTTTCAGTTTGTGCTGATAAAAATCCTTTAAAGCTTTGACGCTAAACTCAGCAAACACAGCGACATCTGGTGTCTGTAAAACTGAAGACAAAATTGTGGTTTACTGGAGGAAGCACAGATGACACTTCAAGTCTGGACCAAAGTCCTAGTGTGGAATTTGCAGAGGCCAAACAAGGGTCCACAATGGGCTGTTTTTTGGCTCCAGCAGTAGGGAAAAACTTCATGTTAACAGGTAGAAACCTTGAGTAGAACCAGACTCATGGTGGCCAGCCACCTGCAAGGAATAGATATGCCAAGAAGAACAATCAAGAATGTAGAATAAAGGAGAAAGACTGTGCAAAGTTGTAGATCTTTTACTTAGATATACTGTATGTGGATGTATATGACCCACATAGTTTGAGCTTGCAAAGTCTGCACCTGACCTTGTTTGCAACTCTTTGAAGGCTGCAGAAGTCTTTTGTATTTTTCTCCAGTTGCAAATCTGACAGTGTCACGCCCATGTTTCTTCTTCTTTAGTTAATTAGAAGCATACAGAAAACAGTTTTCAGATGTTCACTGCCATTGTCTGGTGGCAGTATGGCATCACAACCGGGTGCTGCTAAAAACAGCAGAAAGATTTGATTTTCAAAATGAGAAACGAGTAGCACAAAGATTTTTATTATCAAACTTTGATATAAATGACCCGTTCCTGGTATTGTCCACCAGTTTTTCAGCAGGCTTTGTCAGTAGAACAGTCTGGTAGAGCTGGGTGGTTAATCAGATTTCAATTTTCCATAAGATTGACTGTTTTTTATGATCATAAAAAATCATAATTTAGCATAAGCCATGTTGTCCATCTGCTGTGTTTTGCACATTATGAAGTGCTCCTTAACATGTTGTGTAACAGTGGTACAAAGTATCAGGTAGCTACAGGAGGAGAGAGGAAAGCAGGGAGAGGAGCAGGAAGAAGAGAGGAGGGCAGGGAGAGGAGTAAGAGGAAGAGAGGAGAGCAGGGAGAGGAGCAGGAGGAAGAGAGGAGAGCAGGGAGAGGAGCAGGAGGAGAGAGGAGAGCAGGGAAAGGAGCAGGAGGAAGAGAGGAGAACAGGGAAAGGAGCAGGAGGAAGAGAGGAGAACAGGGAAAGGAGCAGGAGGAAGAGAGGAGAACAGGGAGAGAAGCAGGAGGAGAGCAGGGAGAGGAGCAGGAGGAGAGAGGAGAGCAGGGAAAGGAGCAGGAGGAAGAGAGGAGAGCGGGGAGAGGAGCAGGAGGAAGAGAGGAGAGCAGGGAAAGGAGCAGGAGGAAGAGAGGAGAACAGGGAAAGGAGCAGGAGGAAGAGAGGAGAACAGGGAGAGAAGCAGGAGGAGAGCAGGGAGAGGAGCAGGAGGAGAGAGGAGAGCAGGGAAAGGAGCAGGAGGAAGAGAGGAGAGCGGGGAGAGGAGCAGGAGGAAGAGAGGAGAGCAGGGAAAGGAGCAGGAGGAAGAGAGGAGAACAGGGAAAGGAGCAGGAGGTAGAGAGGAGAACAGGGAGAGAAGCAGGAGGAGAGCAGGGAGAGAGCAGGAGGAGAGAGGAGAGCAGGGAAAGGAGCAGGAGGAAGAGAGGAGAGCGGGGAGAGGAGCAGGAGGAAGAGAGGAGAGCAGGGAGAGGAGCAGGAGGAAGAGAGGAGAACAGGGAAAGGAGCAGGAGGAAGAGAGGAGAGCGGGGAGAGGAGCAGGAGGAAGAGAGGAGAGCAGGGAAAGGAGCAGGAGGAAGAGAGGAGAACAGGGAAAGGAGCAGGAGGAAGAGAGGAGAACAGGGAGAGAAGCAGGAGGAGAGAGGAGAGCAGGGAGAGGAGCAGGAGGAGAGAGGAGAGCAGGGAAAGGAGCAGGAGGAAGAGAGGAGAGCGGGGAGAGGAGCAGGAGGAAGAGAGGAGAGCAGGGAAAGGAGCAGGAGGAAGAGAGGAGAACAGGGAAAGGAGCAGGAGGTAGAGAGGAGAACAGGGAGAGAAGCAGGAGGAGAGCAGGGAGAGAAGCAGGAGGAGAGAGGAGAGCAGTAGAGTGTTACTCTACTGTGTGAGTAAATCTGACACAGTTTTGTCCTTGTAGTGGTGGGACTGCTAAAAAAAGCAGCCTCTGTTAATTTTAGGGTCCTTTTAACGATCACTTTTTCAGCCTCTGTCCTGGACTTTAATCCCTCACATCAGATGTGTACCTCCTGCTGGGTCCCTGGCTTCAATCTCCTCTCTTGTGTCCCCCTTAGTTTGGTCGATACTGGTCTGATCCTGGTCTGATCAGAGCCTGTGCTGCTGCCTGGTTGTGTTACTGCAGCGCTGCATGTGTGTCAGGGTCTGCGGTTCAGCAGTTAGTTTTGCAGTTGTGCTCGTTTTCATGCAGCGTGCAGCTCCAAACAGCCCCCTCTGTTTATCGCTGATTTTATCACCAAGAAGACATTATCTGCAGAACAACAGGAGGAGTGTGTTCCTGTGTGTTTTAGAGGGAAGCATCCTGTGAATATCTTTTGTGTAGTCTCTCAGCAGTGCTCAGTGTGTGTGTTTGACCTTGTGATACAGAATATGTCTGTGATTATCAGGGATTTTATCCTCTACTGCTGCTGCTGCTGACGTTTATCCTGGTTTTCATGGACAGTTTGTTGTTTCTGTGCCTCCTTGTGCTTTTTAATGATGTGCAAAATCACTTTTTATACCATTTACAGTCAGAGAGTGGTTAAGTTAATCAATGTAATTGTAAACAAGAGCTGGTTGTAAAAATCTCTTTATAAAGTCAGAAAAGGGATCCTGCTTTTGAATATCTTAGACACCAGAGCAGCTGTTTTCAGTAAAGCACTGCTGCAAATATTCAAGCAATAGATAATTCATCAACATAAGGGAGGTAGCTTTAGCCTTTGCTTGATTCTCTCTGCAAAATCACCACAAAAGGGCTGTTCCCAGCTGGGATTTTGACCTTTGACCTCTGATCCGTGACCTGTGCTTGTGATGGAGGGAGTTAAATGCCTTTGTAAAACAATGATCAGGTTTTTCGTGCAGCTCAAACCAGGAAAAGATTAAAATTCACCCCGGTGCCGACCAAGATCAGTTAAACATTTGCAAACTCAGAGTAAAACTTCTGAGGATGAATTTAAGTGCAGTCATGGGGAATGGATGTAAAGATGGTCAGCTTCTGAGGGACGAATGAAAAGAAACCACTCACTAACAATTAGCTCATTAGAGGTGTAACGAATGGACTCAGACTCTGTAATTAACCCATAGTTATGTCAGTTGAACCCTGAGAAAGCCCTCAGTAAAGAGGTGATGCCTCTGATAAGTGGTTTTTATACAGTGAGCTTCAAGGGCATGTGAGTGCACAGTCAGCAAAGGGATACAGTGGTCACAATACAGTACTGTTATCCTAACTAAATCATGATACTTACTATCATGATATAATGTCATCACAATATGATCATACAAAGATACTAATGATCACAGTATGGTATCAGGATATGAAATTGTCCCAAGATGATGATAATAATACACTGTAATCAGGCTGCAGTTTCCTAGACATACAACACTATCATACATTGATATTATCATGATATATCACAATATGATTGTACAATACCATCACAATATCATATTACCAGCAGTGTTTCCCACCAGATGGGAATCTATGTCAATATATGTTATTTTGACATTTCGGTGTGCAAGGACATCATCACGAAACGACAAAGGAAATTAACATATTTTTTGGGTGCAGAGAAAACATTAATGTGTGTATCTGCCACAAACAGGAAATAAAACTGTTTTAAATCAGCCAGTCTAGTATTAAATATGTGAGTTTCATGTTTGTATCTCTTGTCCTCCCCCTCCAGGTTGAACGCACTGTGTCCTCAGTGAGTCCAGCAGCTGTGACGTCACCCAAGTCTCCAGGCTTTAGTCTGTCTCCGGCCTGTATGCAGCCTGTCCAGGGCCCGGCCTAATCCCTGGTCCTCCTTCTTTCCCACCACCTCCTCCCTCCTTTCCCTACCCTCCTCCCCCTGCCCCCACCCCTCTGCCCTCAACCCCTACCCCCACCCCATAACCCCAAACCCAGTGTCACACACATTGACAACCAGCACTTAATCCAAACCGGCAGCCTGGCTGGCTAGCCTCCTCAGGTGGATGAATGAAGACTCCATTCAAGAGCCCAGCGGCCCCTCGGCCCCGAGCCGACGGGGGTGAGTCACTGAACAGCAGACACAATTAACACACATACACTACAGGCCAAAGGTTTGAAAGCAAGGCCATTACAGGCCGAACAGTTGGGAGTAACTTCAAGTTTTTGTTCACAATGCTTTCTTTAAAATCCAGCATGAGTTTTATGTATTTTGGGATGTATTTACTCCATGATCAGATGCTGCTTTCATGGAAATGCACCATTTTACTCCATTTACCTTCAGATATACATTGATGTTAACAGACCATTGCTAAATATATGTCAGCAAAAGATAATAAGGGCTTAGTTTTAGGGTTGAAAACATTTGCAAGAGTCACAACTTCAGTGCAAAAGCTAAAAAACAAATCACAGTTGAATTATTCACTTTAACTTTTTGGCTTTTGAGAGTCTGCATACAAAAATCCTAATAAATCTCAACTGCATTTACACTACCGCAAAAATGGCTAGAAAGAAGCAACTGAGTAAAGCAGGCATGTCCAAACTATTCCACAAAGGGCTGGTGTGGCTGCAGGTTTGTCTTCCAACCAATCAAGAGCATGCAGTCTGACCAATCAGCTCTCTGCAGACTGAGATCAGCTGATGAAATAAATCAAATCTGGTGTGCTGCTGCTTGGTTGGAAGAAAAACCTGCAGCCACACCGTCCTTTTGTGAAATAGTTTGGACATGCCTGGAGTAAAGAAACAAAAGTACATATTTGTACACTGAGGAAAGAAGGATACACAGAAAGAGAAATTGCAAAATGCCTAAAGGTGTTTAACAAAGGAGTCCACTACACTCGGAAGAGACTAGAGGAACCTGGAAGTTATGATGATAGAAAAAGATCTGGACGAAAGAAAGTTACTACAAAAGCAGAGGATAAACATAGCATCGTCACCAGTAAGAGACAGCACCAAAAATAAGGGAGGAAATCAACATGACAAGGTCGAAACCCATATCTCTGACAACCGTGAAATGACGTTTGAGAAAGGCTGGTCTGAAGGGTTGTGTGTCTGCAAAAAAACACTACTTCGTCCATAGAACAAGAAAAAGAGATATGAGTGGGCAAAAGCTCACAAAAATTGGACTTATGATGACTAGAAACAAGTTTGCACTGTTTGGTTCAAAACGCAGAGTCTATGTTCGCAGGCAAACTGGTGAACGTCTGAAAGCGCCATGTGTTACACCCACAATTCAGCATGGAGGTGGTAGTTCCATGGTATGGGAATGTTTTGCAGGTGATGGAGTAGGAGATTTGTTCAAAGTAAAGGGTATCATGAAGAAGGAACAGTACCACTCCATCCTCCAGCACCATGCTGTTCCATCTAGACTCAGACTTGTGGCTCATAAGTTTGTTTTGCAGCAAGACAATGACCCTAAGCACTCTGCCAAGCTCTGTCAGGGTTACCTAGACAAAAAAGAAAAGGAAGGTGTTCTTCAAAAGATGGTTTGGCCCCCTCAGTCTCCAGACCTTTCTCCAATTGAGCTTGTGCGGGATGAATTGGATCGATCGGTCAGAAAAACGCGTCCCACGAATCAGCAGTCTCTTTTTAATAAACTTAAGAAAGCTTGGAATGCAATCCCTGGAACATACCTTAGAAAACTTGTGGAACGAATGCCTGGTATATGCAAAGCTGTTGTTAAAGCCAGAGGAGGTTACTTCAGAGAAAGCAAAGTCTAAGCAACAATAACTCAAATACCTAATAATTAGGTATAATTAGGTATCTTTTTTGCACAAATCTGATATTGCTTCCAAACTTTTGGCCTGTAGTGTACATGATTAAAGATGGAGGACCCTGGGGTGATATTATGAGTTTGTTATTTCTCACAATGAAACACTTCCTGTTGTTCTCCTGACTCAATAAGCTCTCATATCTGACAATCCTTAAACACACCATCTCTTTCAGTGATAAATGCTCCATGTTTGTGTTTCAGGACATTCAGGCGTCTCTGCAAACATGATGAAGAAGAAGAACACACACAAGTAAGTCTTATGAATGCCCACTGACACAAAAAAATACCAGAACTCAGTTTTGATAACCATGAACCTCCTTTACTTCCTTTTACAAGCACACCGCCAGATCCAAATAAGTCTGGACAGCATTTCAAATGTTGTTTAAAACAGACTTTGGTTCATCTAATTAGTTTTACCAGTCCAAAATCTTAGTATCAAATGTTGAAATTAAAACATCTCGTTGTTCTATAAAAAGTATGAATTTATTAACATCAATGTCAACAGCAAATTTTGAAAAGTCTGGACAGGGGGTCTTTTTCATTGTGTTGCAGTACCTCCTTTTTTAAAGTCCCACTCAGATCGTTTTTTTTTTCTCTACTTAACATGTTCTCAGTGGTCTTAAAATTGTGATTATGAAGTTTATAGCTAAAATCATGTTACCTGTGTCATTTTCGAGTGCTTTTCCTCTACAGAGCTCCAGTAGCTCATTAACAATTCTCCTCTGAGTCCTGGGCGGAGACAGTGCTGCTCTGCACACTCCTCTTCACGCTAGCTTGCAGCCTAACATTGTCAGTGTAGTAGAAATGGCAGGTAATATAGAATAACTTGAACACTAATGTCTTTTGTGACATGATAAAAGTTAATTTCATAATTAGCTTTCTTACGAGCATTGCAATCTGCTAACGCACATGGTTGTTCCGTGACCGTCCTTCCTATTTCTTTTAGTCTGGCCTGCATAGTGGGGCTCTGGGGCAGCGCTTGGATTTGTGATGTAGGAAATTACACTGTGTCTGAGTCTGTTGTTTTGGTCTGCCAGAGATTCACAGCGATTTAAATGCAGAAATACACAGAAATGAACATGTAGACAACAAGAAAAGCGTGATTTTCATCGGAGTGGGTCTGTAACAAGACTATAAACATTTAGGGACCCAGCTGACCAGTTTCTGGCGTTTGGAAAGTGAAATGTTGTCCATTTCTCGCTTGCTCAACAGTTCATGTTGCCCCACTTTTTCAAGCTGAGACTGCAGACAGAGCGGAGGACACAGTGTCCATGATTTCCATAAAGAATGTTTAATTTTAAATCCTAGGATATGAGGACGATCCTCCTCTCCTAAATGGGCCCAGAAAATTACAAGAGTTTCTAGATGGACATGAGGAAGTGGTTGACCAACCTCTCCTCTGTTTGATTTATCGATATGTTCTTCTCTCTCTCTCTATCTACTGCTTTTCTTTGATTTATCCTCTCTTCATCTTTTAATATCTTTATCATCATCGTCATTGTCTCCTCTTGTTCCTGTTGTCCCTGCAGAAAACAGAAGACCAGTGTTGGTCCCAGTAAGACTCTGGCTCAGCCCAGAAGGAACATCGTGGGTTGCAGGATCCAGCACATCTGGAAGGAGGGCAGTAAGTTGGATTTGAATGAATCTTTGAATGACTGACAGCAAATGTTTGAAGCCAGAATCCTGCAGTTTTCAGGAGCATTAGCAAAGCAGACAAGCTCTTTTTGTTTCCCCGTTCAGCTGACTCAGCTGTGTCTGTATCTTCTCAGGTAAGTCTTCCCAGTGGAAAGGGACGGTCCTGGACCAGGTCCCTGTCAACCCCTCCCTCTACTTGATCAAATATGATGGCTTCGACTGCATCTATGGTCTGGAGCTGTACAGTGATGAGCGGGTGGTGGGGCTGGAGGTCCTACCTGACAGAGTGGGTATGTAGACAAACAGGACTGTCCCACAGTCAGAAATAAAGACAAACAGGGTGAAATATTGACAGATTTGAAGGAAGTCTTAGTTTGAGCTTTGCAAAGCAAATAACTTTTAAAAGACTTGTTGTCTAAATGGAGTTCAAATCTTCTATTTCACACGCTTTCTCAGGATCCCTGAAGAATCTAGACACTTAGAGGCTATCTTCGCATATAGTCAAGCCGACCAGTGTTAGGCTTGTTCAGGTTAAAGCGGTATTTTAGTGTTTCTGGGGTGGTTTTATGAGTAACATGTCATGAAGGCCAGGCAGCTCAACCCTTCTAATGAGAGACTGCGGGGGAACCAGTCCACAAATAATGCAGAAACAAACAGGCTTTCAGATAGTAAAGAACAGTGCTGAAAAGTTTCTCAGTAGAGTGCACACTTTGACTGTGATGAGTGCTTGAGTCCATTAGCTGGATTGCATGGCAGAGTTGACCCCGTCTGCAGGAAACTGTAGCCTAGCATGTGTCCTGTTTCCTCCTGGCAGTTTCATTAAAGGGGCAGAATTGACTGGCGTTAATTGTGGCTAAAACACTTAGTCGTAAAATGTAACTCATACAACCCCACTTCAAAAATACTGAAATATCCCTTTAATTTTAGCTGTGTGTGTAGATGTATTTTAAAGAGAGTCAGACCCTTAATACACAGTCAAAAATCAGACTTGGCTAACATGATAGACAAAGAGAGGACAGCATTCAGGACTCAAAGGATTCTCTTCAGTCCAGATAAACTGTTAATAAGAAGATAACCAGATTAATAATCACTGAACAAACTAACAGCTGTGCTGTGATTGGTCCAGCTCCGGCCCGTGTGAGCGACTCCATGCTGGCAGAGACGATGATCGGGAAGGCAGTGGAGCACATGTTTGAGACAGAGGACGGGCCGAAGGAGGAGTGGAGGGGGATGGTGCTGGCTCGAGCTCCCATCATGACCTCCTGGTTCTACATCACCTACGAGAAGGACCCGGTGCTCTACATGTACCAGCTGCTGGACGACTACAAGGAGGGAGACCTCCGCATCATGCCTGACTCCAGTGAGTAAACAAACAGGCTGGAACGGTGTTGTTAGACCAGATAGACCGAGGTTTAGTCCAGCCTCTCCTTTGGGCACATTTGAATGAAGTGAATTATATCTGTTATTTATACGTCCACTTCCACCTGTTTGTTTGTTTGTGACTCTGTAGATGACAGCGTGACGGCGGAGCGAGAACCTGGCGAGGTGGTGGACAGTCTGGTGGGTAAACAGGTGGAGTACGCCAAAGAGGACGGCGGGAAACGGTCGGGGATGGTGATCCACCAGGTGGAGGCCAAACCGTCTGTCTACTTCATCAAGTTTGATGACGACTTCCACATCTACGTCTACGACCTGGTCAAGACCTCCTAAGACCTGAAGACCTGGTCTGGGGCCTGAAAAAGACTTACTGAGACCTGCCTGGACCCAGTGACATCCACTACACCCCCCTCTATCCACCAGTGAAGAAGACCTACAGATGAAGCATCCTTACTTTCCATAATCTATGGGAACGCCTAGTACGGACGATTTCTACTGTTCTGTTCATGAAACGTCTTAAAACACTAAAAGATCCAGATCACAGAAACCCAGATCCCCAAAGGTGTTTCAGATCATTTTCTCTCATTTGTAAATTTTATTTGGATTTCTTTCATTTCATCTAAGGAAACTGATTCCAGTGACCCCCCAAAGAAAACCAGCAATTTTAGATATTTGGAATATCTAAAGATCTGCATTCAGTTTTGGAGCATCTGTGGCAAAAATTAACCAAAACTGTTTAAAAAAAATTGTTTAGTTTGAAAAACTCAAGTCCTGCAAACTGAGGCATTCGAGATCATGCTCCTCACACTATTCTGGACCAAACTCTGAGGTCTTCTGACACCATTATGCTTCATTTCAGGGTCAAAGCTGCTCGTGGAACAGAGAGACCCCCCCCCCTTTCCTGAAACCCTCATAAGAAATTATTTTTTTAAATATTTGTGCCAAAAAAGTTTCAGAAAAGTTTTTTGGGGGATTTTATTTGACATGGGAATTCGTTAACGCTACAGATACAGTGTTGGAAGTTAATTCTCCTCTTATTTAGATGATATGTTTATGGTAACACTCCTCTTTAACCCTCTTATTTAAACCCTTGTTAAAAACTTATTGTAACTTAGTTGTGGTGGCATTTCTAAAGTAACTGTGGTCAAATATTAGCCTCCACTCATATGACTTGAAGTCAGATACTTGTACCTGCTGTAAAACTACTCATAAAAGTCATTCAAACTGTCTTTTAATGCTTTAAAATATTAAAGGGATATTACAGCGTAAATTTAGGCTATGGTCTAACATACCATAACATTGAGTTAGACACCCTCTCGAGAGATGAATGTTGCCGACTGCTTGCTTCTCTAGTTATACCAACTTAAGCAACGACCACAGATAGCAATACTCAGGGGTCTACACCTCCACGCAAAAACCTCAACCAAAAAGCCACTCTGTAGCCACAAGTAATGCTCAGAACAGCAACTAACTTCATCAACAGTACATAAAGGGTCCCAGCCGTAGTACTTGCCATCAAACATCTTTTTAGCTTTGCCTAATTTCTTTAGGAAAGAGACCAAACACAACTCACCCACTCTCCTCCAGCAGCCACTTTTTTGTGGGGGAGCCCTGATGACTTGATCAGAGTTTTGCAGCTCAAGGAAGAACATTTATGATCATTACTTCAGGGAAATGCGGGGAAATCAGACTGAGACGCTAAGGCCGAAGAACTACAGCTTCTGCACTGCAAAATGATTATTATTATGACAAATACTTCATAGAAAAGATCTGCCACACTCAGTGATCGACTCATCAGGGCTCCCCCACAAACAAGCAGCTTCTGGAGGAGAGTGGGTGAGTTGTGTTTAGTCTCTATGCTAAAGAAATCAGGCAAAGCTAAAAAGATGTTTGATGACTAGTACTATGGCTGGGACCCTACATGTACTGTTGATGAAGTTAGGTTCTGTTCTGAGCATTATTTGTGGCTATAGAGTGGCTTTTTGGTTGAGGTTCGTTTATGGCTCCTCAGACCGCTGTGTATTGCTATTGTGTGGTCGTTACTAAAGTTGGTATAAATAGAAAAGCAAGCAGCCGACAACATTCGTCTCTCAAGGGGGTGTCTTACTTGCTGTTATGGTGTACTGTGTTTGACCATACCTGAAATTTACGCTGGAATATCCCTTTAAATAAGGGGGTTAAAATGTTGAGTCAAACCGTTAGCATGCTCCTGCTCTTGTCTGAGCTACACTGAGTGCTGTTCTCTTATTGGTTCAACCTACATTTGGCTCTTTAGCAGGTTTGTTTTGGACCTCCATCTGTGCGTATATGATATAAAGTTTTAATCTTTCCCCTCTGTTCACTCCTCTCTTATTTTTGTAACAGCGTTTTGTATAGTTTCCTTTTTGTTGATATGTTTATACAGTGGACTCAAATCGCCTTTTTCTTTGTATATGATCTCTTCTTTGTTTCTGCTCAGTCCCTTGTTATTCTGTGGATACTGTATATAACCTAGTTAGCTGTCAGAAGCTCTTGTTTCCTGGTTTAAAAATTCAAATTTCATCTGAATTTGCTGAACATTTAATCCTTCGTGGCGCTCCAATCAGTATGGTGAGAGCAGGATTATTTTTGTTCTTAAGCCGTTTGCTGTTTGACAAATCTTTTCATTCCTTTATGGAAATGATGTTTTTCACTCAGGATTGGGGTTAAACTTCCTCACAACGTCCATCTTTTTCCCTTTTTTTAAAACGAGATACTTTGTCATGCATTTCATCTTTCACCCCCCCCAAACTCTTTAGCACATGTAGCTCCACCTACATCTGTTGGCGTGTAAACATCACTACAAGTGACATTACCGTTAGCATAAACAGCCATGTTGCCTGATTCACGTCATATGTGCCTAAAGGGACTCAGATCACACCAAATGTTAGGAAAAGGGTAAAAAGTTCCTGTTCCAGTTTGTTCTCATTCAGGATCCAGCCTCTTAAAAATCTGGAAAACTCTGTGTTTACTTTTTTTTTTTGCCCCAGAATATTTTTTTCACATTTTCAGATTTTTTTGTTATTCTGCTTCTAAATTCTAGAATTTAAGACCCCCTACAATTCCAGGATCTGCCGTTCTAGAAGCTGCTGTTCTGGAATACTGTTCCAGAATCTGTTGTTCTAGAATTTGCTGTGCTATGATCTGTTCTTTAATGTTCTATCGGAATATTTAACCCTTTCATGTCTTGATTTTAGAACACCTAGACTCTGGAATGAGTAAGCCTTTTCTGTGGAACCCATGAGATGATGTCATGGAACCTACACTTTCTCGACACTCATGAAATCTACCATTTGATTCTCTGAAAAGGGCAACATGATTAGATCCCTCCCATCTTGACTGACAAACATACTTGCGCAGTTTCTGACAAAACTCAATTAAGACTTTGAGAAGAACATTCGATCACGCATTTTCATCTCTGGTTCTAGACTGTGTTAACTGTTAAAGTCTACACAGAGGTCACAAATACTAACCCTGTGGTCTCAGCATCATAAGTCTGATTTCTCCATGTTGAAACAGTCTTTTTTTTTGTGGAGCTCGGTGTCAACCTCAACAAAACTGTGAGAATCTAGAATCCCTAAAATATAGCAAGGATTTCTCTTGACTTCTCCAGACTTCTGTTTGAGTCCAAACAGTCCCAGAGCAAAACTGGAAGGCTGAGTTTTTTGGTTTTAGGTTCAAAAATTGCTTTTAAAACCTGGTTCTGTGAGACTTTTTTTTAGCCCTCATTCCCTTATTTTTGAATTGTTTCTTTTAACTGTGTTACCCCTGTCACCAAGGCAACATGTTTAATAATCAGCTGATGGTGACTGATTAACCTCACACTAAACAGGTACAGGTGTTGAACTGTGGGGAGACTCCTGGGCGGCTGTGTGTGTGTGTGTGTGTGTGTGTGTGTGTGTGTGTGTGTGTGTATGTGTGTGTGTGTGGGGGGGTTCTGGATCTGTGTCTGGGTGGACCCTCAGCCTCCATGGTGTGGACACTGAGTAGCCGTGTTTTAAGGAGCCAACACACTGTTGGTATTTTACAGAAAAAAAAAACGGTGTGTGTGAAAGAGAGGGAAAGAGAGAGATTGTGTAAAAGTGTGTGTGTGAGTGTGTGCGTGCTGTCGATCAGCCCCTCTTCAGAGCTGTGTTGTTTTTGCATGCCTATATTCTAGCTCAGTGTAATTCGATGTGAGTTGCATGTCTGTAGTTTTCAGTTGTTTAGCTGACTTCTGTCTGTTGTGGCTTTGGGTGCCTTTTGTTTTCGTTCTATTTGTTTGTTTTCTTCTCTCCTTTTTTCTGTTTTTTTTTTTTTGTTTGTTTTTTTATGTTATTTTGTACCTTGTGTGTCCCAGAGGCTGATGTGTGTTTTTGGGGTTATTAAGCAAAAAGAAAAGAAAATGAAAACACAGATTATCCTCCCAAAAACAGATCTGACAGCAGTTATCAGGTTAAAAACCGCAGCGACGATGACCCTGTGAAGCCTGTTTTTGGGTGGATTGTCCCTTTAAAGAGTGCCAACTACAGATGCCAGTGTTGTACAGCAGTGAAAATCTCACACTATTTACTAAAATAAACCATTTCTCTGTTTTTTCACTCAAGAGTCTGTCACTTCTTTCTGGATTTCAGTTTTCAGTTTGTAACTGCATTTTGTTGGTCAGTGATTTTACTGAGAGAAAAATGGATATTAATGCAATTCAAGGTGTGAAAAAAGAGCTATAAGGATTTAAAATTCAGCAACTGTGATTTCAGACATTTGATCTGGACTTCAACATTAGAATGGACTTAAAATTTAATGAAGTCTGTTTAAAGTTTATTTTGTTTTTATTGAGCAGGCTGATGACAGCTGCACATAACACTGATTTCATAGATATAATTCATATTTAAAACCATTTAAACAGTTTAAATAAGTCATATTTACAGCAGAAATGTCAGAGGATATGAAAGTAGGGTTAGGGTGGCTATTTAAGAGTATACTAACCTTAAACATTGCAGTCATTCTACAGAACTGAATGAAGAATTGCCTGTGGTGCACATAGCTAAGTAACTAAATACATTTATTGTTTCTTTGCAGGGTTTTGCCAGTTTTTTTTTAATATAATAGTTTTTCGTCATCTACATCACAGGTGTACTGAGTCTGTTATCTTACACAACAACACTGAGCTTCTTTTTTCAACATATACTATTTTCAAAACAGTTCTAACATAACACATAACATTATAAACATGTTTGTCTACAAAGTCACTCTGTAGATTAATAATCCACAGGAAGTCGTTTGGTTTAAGCAGTTTAATAACAGTTAAATAAGATATGCAGAATTGTAACTCAAAGCTCTTTGAGATTCTTGATGTGAACTGGTGTCAAATAGTTTGGGTTGTTTTATTCTTGGAGTGGAGCTACTGTCAAACACGCAGGGAGGCGCTGTTGCTTAATGTTACTGCAGACAACTTCCCCATGATGCATCTCTCCAGTTAGTTATAGAATTTTGATTTTCTCCTAGTTAAGTCCAGACCAAAGGGTGAAATGAATAAAATGTCTTTTTATGTATCTATCTGGTTTTTGTTTATTCCGAAAAAATTATAGTTCGGGATTAAATGTCTGACACCAGATTCAAAAAGGGTGGAGAGACGCTACTGAAAGTTCTAGCGCCATCTTGACGGTATGATCTTTCCAGTTCATGAGCGTGATGAATGGTAGATCACAGATCATCTGTGACAGGTGCTGCCCTAACTTGTTACGCTATGCGCCTCAGCCTTTCTGATCCTGGACTGGAATTATCCCTCATTCATTGTAAAGAGTGCAGAAGGAAATAAGTAATTACTCTAAACTCAGAAACATGCCATTCAGTACAAATATGTTTTTACGCTACGGGCTGATAACGTGCATGGATGAGGTTGGTTCAGGTTTCAGACTTCACCACAAAATAATTCGCATTTGAATGGACAAACAAACATTCCTGACTTAAAAACATTATATCAATTACACCAGTTAACTTATTTTAACTGTTAGAGTTAAATTTGTGTCAAGACACACTGATTACACATGTAAAGGTAAAAATAAGCAAAAACTGATGTTCAAAGGTGCGCCAAAGTCTATATTATAGATAAATATTTATTGCCAATCAAGCAAACATTCAATTTTAAAAAAAGGATATATCTGAATAGAAATCAATGAAATGTTCGTGTATACGTCTGGTTTCTGTTTTTTTTAAAAGAGATTTTAATTCCAAATGATACAATTATGTCTAAACATCATTTAATGATTTAAAAGTGAATACATACCTTTTAATTTCAAACCTTAATCGAGGCCGACATATGTATATATATATATCTATATCTATATATATATATATATATATATATATATATATATATATATATACACTCACCGGCCACTTTATTAGGTACACCTGTCCAACTGCTCGTTAACACTTAATTTCTAATCAGCCAATCACATGGCGGCAACTTAGTGCATTTAGGCATGTAGACATGGTCAAGACAATCTCCTGCAGTTCAAACCGAGCATCAGTATGGGGAAGAAAGGTGATTTGAGGGACTTTGAACGTGGCATGGTTGTTGGTGCCAGAAGGGCTGGTCTGAGTATTTCAGAAACTGTTGATCTACTCGGATTTTCACGCACAACCATCTCTAGGGTTTACAGAGAATGGTCCGAAAAAGAAAAAATATCCAGTGAGCGGCAGTTCTGTGGGCGGAAATGCCTTGTTGATGCCAGAGGTCAGAGGAGAATGGCCAGACTGGTTCGAGCTGATAGAAAGGCAACAGTGACTCAAATAACCACCCGTTACAACCAAGGTAGGCAGAAGAGCATCTCTGAACGCACAGTACGTCGAACTTTGAGGCAGATGGGCTACAGCAGCAGAGGACCACGCCGGGTGCCACTCCTTTCAGCTAAGAACAGGAAACTGAGGCTACAATTTGCACAAGCTCATCGAAATTGGACAATAGAAGATTGGAAAAACGTTGCCTGGTCTGATGAGTCTCGATTTCTGCTGCGACATTCGGATGGTAGGGTCAGAATTTGGCGTCAACAACATGAAAGCATGGATCCATCCTGCCTTGTATCAACGGTTCAGGCTGGTGGTGGTGGTGTCATGGTGTGGGGAATATTTTCTTGGCACTCTTTGGGCCTCTTGGTACCAATTGAGCATCGTTGCAACGCCACAGCCTACCTGAGTATTGTTGCTGACCATGTCCATCCCTTTATGACCACAATGTACCCAACTTCTGATGGCTACTTTCAGCAGGATAATGCGCCATGTCATAAAGCTGGAATCATCTCAGACTGGTTTCTTGAACATGACAATGAGTTCACTGTACTCAAATGGCCTCCACAGTCACCAGATCTCAATCCAATAGAGCATCTTTGGGATGTGGTGGAACGGGAGATTCGCATCATGGATGTTCAGCCGACAAATCTGCGGCAACTGTGTGATGCCATCATGTCAATATGGACCAAGCTCTCTGAGGAATGCTTCCAGCACCTTGTTGAATCTATGCCACGAAGAATTGAGGCAGTTCTGAAGGCAAAAGGGGGTCCAACCCGTTACTAGCATGGTGTACCTAATAAAGTGGCCGGTAAGTGTATATACCTCAACTAATTATAAACTGAAACCGTTGTCTGAAGTATCGCGAGACTCCTCGCTGTTAACGCCAAGACGCTCGAGATCCCAGCCATGCAAACAAAGATGGTGGCTCCCTGACCGTCCATGTGGCTCAGCAGACAGAAAAAATAGTTGTTATTCACAGTATTTTCTTCAGCTGTCGTTAATAACAGACTGCAGACTCGTTGGTAAAGCTGTTAACATCTCCGTCAGGAAACAAACATGCAACACGACGACGTAAGTGTGGAAAGAATAAACGTAAAGCCGCTAATGTTCCGACAAGATGTAACGTTAACGTTAGCCTAGCGGTAACTGTCAAGAAATGTGAAATGTAGTTAAGTCTGAATACACTGATGGCAGGAAAACATCTTTAGTGAATAGTGGATTTCTACGATGATTATTTATGATCACAAGTAATTATTCTGGGCGGCTGGAGACTCGGACTGACTGATCCAGTTCTATATCATTTTGCATTGTCAATTTTTCTTAAGGCTCTCTTTTAAGAATATTAAGTGTTCTAAGGACTCTAATGTACATATGTTGCTTCTGTTTTATGGCGTATATAAATCAATGCCGATCAGCCTCAAAGATTCATCATTAACTTACAGTCGCTTCTTTTAAAATGAGTTTTAGATTGTGTATGATAAAAGTCGACGAATCTGACTGAGATTTTCAGTGTCTCGTCAGTTTCTGAATAACAACCTCATAATTCATCAATATGTTGCTCCACACCTCCTGTTGTTGCTATATGAAAGTCTTATCCAACCCATCCTTGTGTACTGTTCTACACGTTTCTTCACTACGCTTTCTGCCTTGAATAGTAGGCCCCAGTAAATACCCTGTCCTGTTGCCTCCTTGCTGCCGATTGCTGTTGTCGGGGTGTTTGTCATTAGTTGTCTGTTCCTTAAGGTCTGTCCTATGTGATGTGCATTTTTGACCTTTTATGTAATGTACAGTTGGTGAAGACAAATTTCCCCATGGGTATCTATCTATCTATCTATCTATCTATCTATCTATCTATCTATCTATGTGATTGCTATTTAATTTTAGTTTGTGTAGATTATGTTTATAATGTGTTTAATCTGTTTTCTGCAGGTGATCTGGGACATTATTGGGAACAAACAGTTCTGCTCCTTTAAAGTCAAGTAAGTCTGTTTTTTCCACCTTCGTAAGGATTCATTTGTTATTAAATCTATTCTGTTTTAATGTTGTATGGATCAGAGATCACAAATTCACATCAGATCATAGAAAAAAATACCCTCAGCCTGTCCACATATAACCCCAAACTACAGTAGATGAATAAACGTGTGTGACAAAACAAACATCGTATATCTGTCCATTTCTGGCTCATACTAAAGGAAAAGGAAAGGAGAAACATACAAATACACAAAACAAAGACTCCACATCTTATATGTCTAATGATTATTAGTTTGATTCATCTCTTGTTCACTTAACTGAGCAGTTTGTTTCCCGTGATGGGTGCAGTTTTATATTTCTCACGACCTGAGAAATAAGAAGATGTTTGTGAAAGATAGGAGTCTATTGATCTGGCTGAGGTTTATAAAGTGAATCCAAAAGCTCAGAAAAGGTCAGAGTAACGCTCTGGCTGAGAATCTTACAATTTACTTAAGTTTAGATATTTAACAGTGAAAAGTTTCTTTCTGTTTCCTGCAGAACTAAGAGTCAGAACTTCTGTCGAAATGAATACAACGTCACAGGGTTGTGTAACCGCTCGTCCTGCCCGCTGGCCAACAGTCAGTACGCCACCATCAGAGAGGAGAAAGGTAACGACATCACGGGAATACATCAAAGCTTGTCAGCTTGTTTAAAGCTCCAGTGAGGAGTTTTAGCTGGTTTTGAAACAGTCTGCGATTTCTGCTGCAGGTCAGTGTTTCCTCTACATGAAGGTGATCGAGAGAGCAGCATTTCCCGCCAGGATGTGGGAGAAGGTAAAAGAAAAGCTTTGTGTTGTTTCGTGACCTCATTTATTACACTGTGTCAAAAATCAAGTTGTATTAGTCTGCTTTAACAAACACGTGAATATTGAAGCGAGCTGAAGTTCCAGCAGGGAGCTTTGTTTGCATATGAAGAATTTCACCGACAGACCTTCTTATAAATGGCTTTGTTCAAGTGTTCCTCTGTTCCTCTGTGTGTGTTCAGGTGAAGCTCAGTAAGAACTACGAGAAAGCTCTGGAACAGATCGATGAGAATTTGATCTACTGGCCTCGATTCATCCGACACAAATGTAAACAGCGTTTCACCAAAATCACTCAGTACCTTATCCGCATGCGCAAACTGGTCCTCAAGAGACAGTAAGTACTACAACACGGTCCAAAATACGTCAGTATAGAAGAGAATAGATTTATTTGAATTTTGCAATGTGAGGAAACAACATTTAAGAGCGTAAACTGATCATGCAGTCAACAGGTTCAACTCTCCCAAAGAAAGAAAGAAAACTAAAGAAGTAACATTTCATGAATCGTTTCAATTTGCTTCTGTGTTTCAGGAGAAAGTTGGTTCCTCTCAGTCGGAAGGTGGAGCAGCGAGAGAAGAGGAAAGAGGTGAGTGTTTATCATACACTGTTATAATGTTAAAGGTGCGTCAGTCATTCAGGCCGTCTCATGTAACGCCCACCATCAGATTTTTGCCCTAGTGTCCCATTAAAACTATATTTCCAGTTTAAACTCTTGTATTAATGCCCAGAATGTTCAATGATCAGCTTACATTAAAAGGTTCAGTAGGACTTTGAGATCCTGATCAGGATTTACAGATTTTTCTCTGGTCTGGACTCAAACTAAAGGAGACTTTGTGTTTCTCTCAAACTTTACCTGTGAACTGTGGATGTTCTTTAGAAGTATTTAAAGAGCTGTTGATGATCTGTATATTTCTGCTTCTCTGTCATCGTTTAATCTTTTTTCCCCAAGTTTGCTCTTTGTGCCGTCTGTTGTTAAAGGTGCTGCATATATAGGATTTACTTCCTCATGTTAACCTGTATATTTCTCTGCATTTGTAGGAGAAGGCTCTGATCGCTGCTCAGCTGGATAACGCTATCGAGAAGGAGCTGCTGGAGAGACTCAAGCAGGGAACGGTACAACTGTCTGATCCTCGACATACGGATCTGTAACTTTATGATGCTTCATGACAGAACTCGAGTTCTCACTGAGACTTAGTCCTGTGTGAGCTGATATCAGACTTAAACCAGCCTGGTACAGAAAATGATTTACCAAACTCTGCTGAAGTGTCTGCATGGCCTGTTCAAAAACTGATCCGTGGTAACGGGTATCAGACCACCATGGATCACAGCAGAGGGAACTCCCTCACTGGACAGTCCCCTTTCCTGGTTCATTATTCAGACCATAGACTGTATAGAATAGACAGCTTCTGCCTCCTCGCTGGGTGAAGCCACTCCGAGAACAGCACCCTCTGTTGATGGACTGCAGTATAGGCCATAAATCCTGCCTCCGCCAGCAAAGCTTATAGAGCTGTGGACAAACTTTAGAAATTTATTACACAGAACATGAATTTTTCTCCCCCCTGCTTGTGATGTTGACATGTAGTTGCAGTAAGACTGGTTTGTGCTCATGTCCTCTTTTTTCTGTGAAGCTCCGTTTTTAAAAGTTATTAGGGGGTTCACGTTTTCTATGATCGACACCTGATACAGCCTATGGGCGTTCAGGGATTGCGTAGCTCTCCTGGGGGATACGCTGTTTGAGCTGAGCGTCATCACAGGGACTCTCAACGAATGCGCACAACGCTACTGCGCAGCGTTGGTTTCAAGAAATGAAGAAAAAGCACGGAAATACTGAGAGCTTTTTGGCTTCAAATCTGTGTACAGGCGGGGGGCGGAACCAAGTTGTCCATAGTATATACAGTCTTTGATTCAGACTCAATGAAACGTTTTCTTTTTGTTAAAGTGAAGCATTAATTATGTTGTTCCTTCAGTACGGAGATATCTACAACTTCCCGATCCACGCCTTCGACAAAGCTCTGGAGCAGCAGGATGAAGAGAGCGAGTCAGAGGAGGAAGAGGAGGAGGAGGAGGACGATGAGGTGATGAGAGCTTCTTCCTTGGGGTTCAGAACTTTCAACACTTTGTTTTATTTCTCAGAGTTAATAATCAATGATGAGTCAAGCTGCTGAGTTTGTCTCCTCTCTGTCTGCAGGACGTCGGGCAGAGAGAGTTTGTGGCAGAGGACGAAGTGGAGGAGAGTGACCTGAGTGATTTTGAGGTAAAGTGTCAGATTCGTGAACCTCAAACAGCTGAAAGGACAGAATGATGACTACTGAGGATGGAAACTCCAAAACGAGTTCAGATCCTCAGGAATAAAAAAAAGAAATTTGACTTCAGTGACATAAAAACTATTCTGCGTTTTTCTTCAACATCTCTCATGTGAATGTTTTTTTTTCCTCTCAGGACATGAACAAACTGAGAGCGAGCAGTGACGAAGAGGAGCAGGACGAGGAGGAGTCCAGTCAGGAAGAGGAGGAGGATGAAGAAGAGGAGGAGAAGGAAATGGAGGTGGAGATGACGAACAAGAAGAAGGGCTCCAGGTGGAAAGGAAAATCTCCAGCTAACGGCACGGTGGTGAGGAAGAAGCGAGCGTTTGTGGAGATCGAGTATGAGCAGGAGACAGAGCCCGCCTCCAAGAACAGAACCACGTAATGATGTCATGGTCTCTGTGGCCAATCAGACTGTGAGCTGTGTGTGAGGTCAGAGGATGCTCTGCTAAGGACACACCGCCTCTGTGAACAAACACACTCAGATTATCAGCGTGTGGACTGATCCTCCTGAAGATTTTCTCTTCAGGGTTCATCCTGTTCATTACCTCAGGTGACCTCTCTCACCTACTGTCTTCACTCTTCAGACCACTTCATGTAAGAGGAACAATTAAAGAACACATTATAATGATAGAAAGACAAATATGATCATTACCTTTCAGCCTTTTTTCCATCTTTTGAAATTTGTTCTTTCTTTGTTGATTATTAAAGAACAAAAATAATCTTCAGTTTGTTCCTTCCTGAAATGATCTTTGCCAAAGAAAATTAGTTTATACTTCTGCATCGGTGAGGAAAATCAGTGTTGCTTTTGCCTTATTTTAAACTAATTTTGAGTGTATTGTTCAGGTGGTGAGGCAGAGAGCACTCAAAACAGAAACATTAAAGCTTTACAACTAGCTAAAACAATTAAGTCCTATAATGTATAAAATAACTAACAAAAAAAACATTGACCAGTCTATTGTTTAGTTTTCATCAGTCTGTCCTCCATGACAGTCTGCTTAACTTGCAGAAGAATGTTCTGAGTTATCAAACTTAATTCTGCATTATTCAAGCTGGCTAAAACTTCAAACTAAAATGAAAAACAGCACACATCTATCAGAGTATATACAGTATATTTACTTTATTTACAAATATCTGAATTCTCACGGTAGTACAATGAAGGAACAGCTGATTTATTAGAGTATAAATAATCAAAGAATCACAAGAAGCAGGTTTGTTACTTCAGCAGACAGAAAATCAACAGACGACAAAGAAAATGAAATGTTCAGAGTGTTACAGTCAAAGCTGGAATCTGACAGAAAAGTCATATTCAGGTTCAGTCTCAACAGAGTTTCAATTAAAAAAAACATTTCAGACGTTTGTCTATCCGAGGACAATGATTTCACTCTGCTCCAGTAAATGGAGGAAATCTTTCAGGTCCTTTTAAAATCTGGGATGAATCGACATTGCCACTTTCAGTCCTGCAGCTGTGAGCCTGTCTTCTGTTTGTCTGGAAACTCAGGTCTGAAATTCTTTTGTTTTCCCTTGGTGAGGGAAGTTTAAGACGACTCCTCGGCTGACTCTTAAATTCTTTTAAATTCTGAAGAAGAAACAAAGAGCTTTCCACCTTTCCAAACAATATACAGTATTTTGACCCTCAGTGTTTGTGTTGTGTGGGTTTAAACTGATGAAAAGCAAAGAAAGAACCATAAACTCGTGAGTCTGATGAGTTTGTTTACAGTGAGAGAGGGGCTTCAGTTACACTATGAAATCAAGCATCTCAGATGTAGAAGGCAACTGTCCACCAATCAGAGGACAGCAAGAACAAATCACTGCACATTCAGACAGAAGTAGACCTGGTCACAGAGACAGATTCAAGGCGTCTCACAGACAGCACTTCGGTTTAGACTGGATATGTACAGGATTTTAACGAGACTGGACCGGTTCAGACCGGTCCAGACGGAGAGATGAAAGTCAGACAGCCAAGAAAATGACCTTTTTCCTGCATGTTACCAATGCTTTAATTTTAGCCTTTAAAGTTAAACTTTCACCTCGAATAGGCAGAGAAACAGTCAAAGAGTCCTGAAGGAACCAAAAGTTACCAGAACTTTTTCTGTTGATCCAAGAAAACTGAAACATTTAAAGATTTACTTTTTACACTTTTGCCACTTCCTCCCAAGTCAGGGAGTGCAAAAGTGCAAATTTAAACTTTTACAGAATAATAGACAAGGAATATTTAAGTCAAAATGAGAATGCAAATAATGCTTATAATAATGCAAAGACAATAAAATTTTCTGAGTCATAATTAAATTATAGGCAAAAAATTAATCAAAATTGGGGAAATCTTACATCTTTGGCTTAAAGAATAAAAATTAGTGGGGGGAATATCAAACTGATGTAATTTTAATATTTTAACTTTTATCAGCCACTTTTAAAATGTTTTGGTTATTCTAATTAGTATTTTTCCACTCCAAAAATCATTACACATCTTTATACCACAGCATTGATATACAGTAATTTTAGGCCAGACTTTACCTTTTTGGAGTAACTGAAAGAAAACACCAATAATAAAGTATTTGAAAGATTCTACCTTTACAGGAAACACTGGGGTTGATGTTTTCATCCCAAACTTTTCCAGTTTTTAAAAGACAGCTTCAGGTAAATTGACAAAATTATTTTTGCACAGAGGAAAAGTGAACATCAGACTGATCAGAAAAAGAAAAAAAAAAATCTGTTGGTGACATGTTCTCAATCTAAGACACCAAAAGATTAGGTCGTATTAAAAACCTTGAAAACCTGAGTTTCAGCTGTTAACTCAGACATTATTGCTCAATATCAGACAGAATGAGCTGAACCCCGACAGCTGTTTCATTGATGGTAAATTTTGATCTCGATCAATCAGAGAAAATATTCCAAATTGTTTAAATATTTAAAAGAGCAACTTTGTTGGTGTACTTATATAGTGAGTAAGGGCAGAGAAAAAGTCACTGTCTTATAAGTTATACTTGGAATGAATACAACACAAGAATTAACACTGATCACCATCTCTTAACTTCAGTAAAGCCCGATTGATGACTGGTGACAGCTGGGGGAATTTAAAGCAGATCGTGAATTCAAGGCTCAAGATGTTGGACTTCCTTAAGTTTGAAAGAGTTCAAAGAGTTTGTTGGAGGGCAAAATTTTCAAACTTCATAAAAAGTTACATTTTCCTCTAAGTTACAAATACAATATTTTTAGACAGCGTAAGACAAAGACAAATATTTGGTTCAGTTTTACAGGTACAACAAAAAGTCCTGTTGTCTTCAATCAGACTCAAGAATTTAGTGGTAAAACACAGAAAAGCACATTCAGTTAAGTGCAATCCTTGAAAAATAAGAATGAAAGAAATTAAAACACGCTTGAGCCATTATCCCCCTCAAGAAGAATTTTACAAGAGCTGTTAAAAACAGCCACAAGGGGGAGCTGTGATCAGAAGTTTTACAATGTTTATATTCAGAAAATAAAACAAGGCTTGGAAATTTGTTTCAAGATCAAAAACATATTTCTAAAATATTCAAATTACATTCAGGTAAGACAGTTTTGTGAAGTTTGTGAAATGCATTTTTTAGGGAGCGCAGTATTTAAAATTTTTAAAACTTGCACATTAGTTACATCTTTTAGCCTTTGGAAACCAACAACAAATATTTGGTTAAGTTTTACTTATACTACTACTAAGAAGTTCAACAAATTTGCAGCCGAAAAACAATTATCATCAATATTAAAAAACATTTTTTTGTCTGTTTAATTGATGCAAAACCATTTTTTTGATTATATATATTAAAATAAAAATAAAAAATTAAGCGAGCGTCATCCTGGCCCGAGCCTGGATAAAAATAGGTAAATATTACAGAAAACAGGCAACAATAAAGTATAAAATGTGCATGTCTTCAATTGGTGCCACTATTTCCTCATCAGTTAGCGCTTTATGAAACAGGATATTAAAAATGGCCACTAGAGGGACCTGCAACATTGAAAATACATGGTGTGTGTATTTGGGAACATCTGAGAAAAAAAATCCAGGTTTAGGAAGATTTGGGTGGCCTGAATCATTTTTAAAACAAAAGTGTAGAGTGTTAGTGTGGGTTGAATTTACAGATTTTGTTAAATTTCGATTTTCTCTACCACAGTAAGTACAGTATATTTTTTAATTTTTCCAACGTGTACATTTATTATTTCAGAAAGCTTTTTAAAAATCGAAACAAATATTTGGTTTGGGTTTTACATGCACTGAGGAAAGTACGACATGTCTTCACTGCAGTGCAACAATTTAGCAAGGATAAACAATGTCAGAGTAGCTCAGTCGAGTAAAGTGTAATTGTGGTCTAAAGCTAACAAAAGAAAACAACAGACGAAAAACAGACTAATAAATTAAAAGCATCTGTGTTGCTAACACTTGTGCAAGTTTGACTCCCTCCAAAGCGTAAACCAACAGGGATGATAAAAAAAATGGCCACGAGAGGGAGCTGCGACATCAGAAAACATACTGCGTTAACAGTTGGAAACACATTAGAAAACAAACAAACAAACAAACAAACAAAGAAGAAAAGCTGATAAAAATCCATCCAGAACGTCTGATCCACTGAGAGATAAGTAGTGACATTCTGGTTCAGGTAAGTCATCATATCTTCATTATCACCTTCATTGATTGGCGGCTTATTTTCTAACAAAACGATCTATAACCAAAGACACACAAAGCAAAGTTACTGAATTTAAATAAAATCAATTTTGAAAAGGCAAAGCGTGGAGATACAGAGACTATGGTTCTAGGTATAGGGAGGGTTTGGGATTTCTGTCCAAACGTGTGTCTGTTGGAGGTCTTCAAGGGCCAGCTTGGATCCTGGACTTTACTCAGGATGTATGTAAAGTGAGGTCCAAATAATATTCAGTCAAATTCTGCTTCAGCACAGTTGTAGTGTATCCTACTTGGTTGTGTTTCTGTTTTGGAGATTAAAATCTGCTGATGTTGGATGCAGGCGAAGTTAACACTGGTCAATTTAGATAAAAACTTTTGGTCCAGTAAAGACCTGCTATGTGGGATTTTAAGATTTACTGGTAAAATGTCTGTCTGCTTGTCTTAATGTGTACTGAGAATGAAGCTTTTCCCCATACCTATTCTCCTATTGCAATCTTGAACCCTCCTTCTGGCAGGAAGTAGAGGCACTCCAATGATTTTGTCAGTTGACAAGTCCTACAGTGTTGTTGGTATAAAGGATGTTAGGTTTTAAGTTTATCTTTCAATAAATTTGCAAATCTGGATTTGCCAAATCCAGAGCTCTGGTGATTGATATTTAGTTTACCTCATGAGACCTGGATCTGGATTATGTAAATCCAATCCAGTTTTTCTAAACCAGAACACAAGTTGGATGGATACTCTGACTCTGGCCATCAAAAATTTGGATTTCCAAATCTGAATCATCCAAACCAAAACGTTTGAACAACAAGGTTTTGGTGTTCAAAAGGTTCTGAATGGTGCATAACTGATAAACTGATTTTCATCCTCCACAACCAGTGATGTTCCTCTTCATCTTGTGTTGAAGATGACTCCATTTTAGGAGAATCACGAAGGTTTTTGACTAGAGCAAGTTACAAAAGTCTCCTTTCCAGGATAAATGCATCTTCTGCTCCACAATACCCAAAAGTAAGTGTTGTTGATGTAGAAACTCCTAGAGGTGTGTTTTGATGTCCAGGCCACTCTGTGCTATATTTACGACTCTGAAGTTTGGAGTTTTCAAACTTTTCAAACTGAACAGTGACTATGGGACATCAAACAAGTATAAGACACGAGCAAGGCTACAAATCCAAAAGGGTGAATTTCAGAACTGGTCCGTAGGACAACCACAAATGTTAAAATACAGATCAGGTAATGGCAAAATTTGGTCTACTTTCAAAGGTTTTAATCTGGGTTAGTCCTCCATTTGGACAGAGAGCAGTTTTGCTTGAGGAGAGGCCTTGAGTCGGTTCATAGGGCATCAGAAGGAACACTGGAACTTTGGGAATTGACATTCAAGGGAAGTGTAGTTCTGCTTTTGGGAACAGGATAATCCTAATATTCTCTTGGACATGGGTGTTCTGTGAGACTCCCAAAGGATTCCCCAGTGTCATACCAAGGGAGGTGCTGTTCAGTGTTTAAAAGGACCTACGTTTGTGCCAGCGATGTCCGGATCACGGCAGTCTTTATTTGAAATATAGCTAGTTTGGTATGACTACCTTTGTGTCCAGAATAATGTCACAGCAGAACTGGGATTATCCAAACTTAGCCTTGTATGTTATCTTGTAGGACCTGGGGTCTGTGTTTGGGAATGGCTAAACCAAATTTAGTGAACCACGACTGACAAGACTCTACACTTGGAAAGCGTCAGTGGTAGGATGAGAAATGTCTATCTTTTTTGGGGTAAAGGCTGAGGGTAGCCTTAAAATCAGGAATGGCTAATCCTAAAGCCGGGTGATGGATCAGTCCTTGGTAATGTCTACATTTAGCACTATTGCTCAGATATTGGTGAAATGTTGTCCAGTTGAGGGCTGAAGGTTGCTTCACGATTGTTCCTCAAATTTTCTTTGACATGGGTGCCAGTTCATTCTTGGTTACGGTGGTCCCGGATTTGGACAAACTACACTTGAATTGGTCAACAATAGACAGAGGCAAGCCCTGTCTAGTGACTTAGAGGGTTTCCCATTTCATTTTCCCCCATTCTAGTCCAGCTTTGTTACTTTGGTTCTACCTTTTTTGGATGTAAGCTTTGAGCAGTCTCAACTAGAATGGGGGAACTACAGCTCTCTTCTTGGCAATGCCCAAATCCAATATGTATAGTAACACAGAGTAAGTTTTGTAGAGAAGTTTTAGTAGTCCAGTAAAGAGCTGAAGTTTGCCTTAAGATTTGTGTCTTGAATTCTTCTTTGGGTGCTGGGTCATTCCAGATAAGAGGAGTCCTGAGTTCAGACAACTCTCTGAATTGTTCCAGGCCTAGAGGAGATTGGACATCAAGAGTAGTCCAATAATTAATAGAGGCTGTCTTGCATGGGATGGTACATGAGCATTTGTAGGCTCTCACTGGTCCAGACTGTACTGGGTTTGGCCCAGATGTGCCTAAATGTGGGCTAAAGGCAGGATTGGCATTACAAGTGAACTCAGGTGCTTACATCTTCTCTTGAAGCCTGATCCAAGGTCCAGGAGGTGGATTATGGTTGGTATAATGATTCTGATATGGAAGTTGTCCAACGCAGATCCAAATTAAGACAGATCCAGAGGTGTCACACAAGAAGGTTGATAGTTGCAGATGTTAGTAAACGTTCAGTCAGGTGGAGGATGGCTTTATCTTGCTTTGGACCTGAATTAAGGTCCAACATGTGGATTATGTTAGATGATATCTGTCTAAATCCTTAACGCTGTATTTTGGATAGATGATGCATGTTAGTGCCATATGTGGAGTAGATTTCTGTGTCCGTATAAGTTTAATTCTGTCCTCCCGTCTGTCCGTTTCAATGGTCTGTGGTTTCTGTCTGTGGTTAGCAGCTGCAGCCTTCTTTTGCTGGCTGGCTGTCTGAATTAAGGCGGCCTCCTGGTGGTGCAGATGGTTTGTGTTGGACTCCTGATTCGGCAGCATTTAAGTCCAGACTGCCATCTTGGATATTTTGGTAAATCCTCTTTGCCGCTTCCAGAAAAGCTTCTTCCACATTCTCTCCTCTGGAGACACAGACAAAAGACAAATCAACTGTAAAAGCAGAATAAGAAAACACTAATTGTTAATTAAATAATTAAATAAATAAATGTTGGACGCGTTAAAGGTTTTGTTCTTACGTCTTAGCACTGGCTTCCAAGAACAGCAAACCTGATAGGGGACAGGAAGAAGACACCACAGTCAACCTTCTTTAATCATTTTAATATAATGTCATCAAACAAACATGAAAACATTTCTTACCATTCTCTTCAGCAAACTGTTTGGCCTCCTCATATGTGACATCTCTCTGCGCCTCCAGGTCAGCCTTGTTACCAATCAGAATGATCACCTGAAAAAAGAGAAAAACGTCTGAGAAACTATACAGACAGCAGTTAAACAATGAAATGATTTCATTAAAGGATTTGATGACTCTTTTGTAAATGAAGGCCAGAACGAGCTGGATTTAAGTCTCAACTGTAACTGTTCTGAAACCTGCTCATCTATAAAGACCATTAAGGTTCAGAACCACAAGCTGTGACATTATAACACTAGCCAGTGCTCTTGAAGTCAGCAGATTTAAATATTTGACTATTTTAAACTGAAGCAAAGGAGTTCACCGAGTCACATTTCTAAGGATGTTCCTGGTTTCTTTTGCGTTAATATTTCAAAATCAGCTGTGTGTGTGTTTTTAAGTCTTTGACAAGCTCCAGATATTCAATGCAGTAGAAACACAAACAGAATGATACACAGCTCTTCAGCAGACAAACAGAGTGTGTTTGTGTGCGTTTACTCACTGTGTTTGGGTTGGTCAGGTTCCTGGCGTCTGTTAGCCAGCTGCTCAAATGATTATAGGTACTTCTCCTGATCACAAACAAAAGACAAATCCTGAATTTTTCATCTAAACATCAAACTTAACTAGTGCAAAACTTAGTTATGTTGGTATACTGGAATGTGTCTCCGTGTGACCTCCGCATCAGCTCTATTAGACATCCTTCCCATCAGTACCTGGTAATGTCGTACACCATCAGAGCCCCGGCGGCCCCTCTGTAGTAGGACCTGGTGACGGCCCTGAAGCGCTCCTGACCGGCTGTGTCCCAAATCTGTAGCTTCACCTTCTGACCGTGAACCTCCATGATCCTTGTGCCAAACTCCACCCCGATGGTGTGAGGACAGTCTGCCATGACTGCACGTGATTGATACATCATTACAGGACAGATCACATAGACACTGACATGCAGATACAAAAGGCTGACGTCACTGAGACTAGGTCCATGTTTTATACGGTCTAACATGTACACATTGCTTTTCAATCATCCCTCTTTTTCCTCTACCTGCTCGAAAATTATATTGTAAACCCACACACTGATTAACAGGGAGAAAACAAAAGTCAAATGGTAAGTGCTTAGGGAGAATATGCCAAAGAGGAAGAAGAGAAAGAGGTTTAAGAAAGAAAAATGAGTCTGACAATAAGGAAGTGAGACATGGATGACTGCAGAAACAGAAAGGACTCACATTTTTTCTCTGTGAACTGATGAAGCAGACAGGACTTCCCCACGCCCATATCGCCTGGAGAGAGAAGAGGACAGAGATCAAACTGTAGTCTGATTGTGTTTCAAACGGTTGAATTGGGGTCCAGATGTGTTTATTTAAAGCACTTAAGTCTCCAAAGATTTAAGAAAATGCTGCAGATTCAGAGGTTGTCTGGACGAACATTTGGCTGCTCTGTGAGGTCAAAAAGAAACTAAGAGGATCAGTCAGTCTGTAATGGATTGCCCATCCAGGGAAAGCCGAGAGATCAATTTTCATTGAAATAAAGTCGAGCCTCTCAGAGTCTGGAAGGTAGAAAATCAATTTAACAGCTATGAGTGTGACAATCCAGCTTCATGTTTCCCATTCCTTCATACTAACGGTACACAGAACACAGTACATACAAATAACACTATTTCTCTAACACTGTTTGAGTCTAAAACACGGAGGTTTAGTATGTGCTGTTGCATTCAGTTAAAATGGTGGTCACAGGTAGCGAGGAGCAGGAAAGAAACGTTGAAATTGTAAACTCTTCAGAGGCTTTAAATCCGACGCGTCGGTTGGTTTTAGTATGTCAAAAGATGAGAGAGGTGAACAGCTTTTTAACCTGCAGGGGAGGGACAGCAGAGACCCGCAAAAGGCTGGAAAATAAAATACACGTGTGTAGCTCTGTTTACAAGATACAGCTGCTATTATATTACTTAACTAAAGAGACTCTGATACCCTGTCTTCATGTCCATTTATTTTTCATATATTTTTCCAAGCATTCTTTAGCCTTTTTCTTAAACCCAAAACAAATAGCCATGATGTTCTCAGTTGGTGCATCTTTAAGTCTAAAATCATTAGTTATTATGATGAACTGTGACAGCTCCTGCTTCACTGCAACAGACCATTATGCTAAGGTTTACAATTAGAGGTGGACTGATTGGTCCAGCTAATTGATGAAATAAGTGGCATCAGCTGATATCTGGGCTGCTGCCAAGTAACATCAACATCCTGTTAATTCACAGCACTTTCCAGAAGATCTAATCTGACAGCTGCTGTCAGGTGTTTAAATACTCATTCTGTCATAACTTGCAAAGTAATGAGAATAATGGAGTTAAACATTGTATGTGATATGATTATGTCACATTTGAACATTTTCATCACGAATCACTTCAAAATCCACCTGGATCATGTTTCTGGCTGAGAAAACTGGGTTTATCAGAGTATTGGTCAATACCGTCTTGACCTCAGTATCATCGCTGACAACCACTTATTACAGCAACACTTGTTCCAAAACTCTGGACTTAATTGTGTGCGGGACTATTTTCATTGAGTTAAGACTTAAAGCTTCAGTGGGAGGTTTTTGAACTGCTCTGAAATGTGTCTTTATGGCCTCTAAAAGCAACCAAAGCCACAATATTAACATAGAGTATCTCTCAATTATTCTTACTGATGTCTAAAACCACTCAAAACAGCCGTATTCTCTATTTTTCATAGTGAAGTTGAAATAAAAGATACTGTCAAAAAAAGAGGATAATATTATAGTATCGGTCCAAAAATCTTCTTAAGATGTTAAAAAAAATAGGGTTTATCACTGAAAAAGTCAAACTTTGTCCACTGAGACACTAAATCAGACAGGATTGGAAAGTTGCTCACTGAGACTTTAAAGGCAGGATTACTACAAACATTTTAATCAGTTTACTTTCACACATCTCTCTAAACACAGTTCAGAGTCTAAAAACAGTTCAGAGGTGGATGATGTTGATTTTAAAGCTCAGGTGAGTTTGTTTACTGTTTGAAACTCAGAGAGTCACTCACCGATGATGATGTATTTAAAGATGTAGGAGTAGTTATAAGGAGCAGTTGTCATCTTGTTCTGTCAGAGGGAAAAACAGGAAGGTAAACCAGATTGAGATAACACTTTCAGCTCTAAAGGAGCAAAAAATCAGAGCCTAAACCCCGCCTGTGGGTGTATACTGGATCATTTCAGTTTAGACCTTCAAGCAGAGACGGATCACCTGACCCACTAACTAAAGCAGCCGGCTAAGCTAACAAACACCGAGCTCAGCTTTACCATGAGCTAATAAACACCAGGACAGTCACACAGAGCAGAAACAGTTATATTTGTCAGAATTATTTCACTCCATCAGCTGATTTCCCATCAGGAGACCTTTATTAGCATAGCTCTGCAGCTAACAGGCTAACGGCAGGAAACTCGTATAACCAAAGCCGTTAAACAATAAAACAAAGACATATTGTGTTTGAGAAGAACTGTTGTTTTACCGTCTGTTCCGGTGTCTAGCTAAACTGTGGACAAAATCAAACTGACGATTAGACTAATGGTCTTCTCTGTTAGCTGGTTAGCCCGGTGATCCGTCAGGAAATCTTTCCACTCTTCCGTGATTCTTCCTCGACAGCGAGACCTGGGGAAATACCGCGAGATTTAGCTCAATCTACCGCCATCTAGCGGAGGAGTGGTGGACCCTGCAGCTCAAACGAGTTAGTTTGTCTTTTATAAAAATTATGATTTCAAGTTTAACTTCTTGATCTTTCACTGATTCAGTAGTTTTTATATTTTGCACGATGAGAGCTTTTAAGCATATTTTCATGCTAGTTTTGTACTTTTAGTCAAGTATTCATTACACTACTCGTAACTCATGGGAGTATTTTTAGCCTGTGTCTCTACTGTTCATTTTTTATGGTACAACATCAATTTTTTTAGACTTAAACATGAAAAAATGAAAAACCCATTGATTTCAAATTCAATATTTTAATGTTTTACAGATCAGATTTTAGTCCAACACCAACAAAGAAAATTTCTCCTGAGATTATTACAAAATCCTGTGAATACAAAAAGATTAACAAGAGACGGCCTTCTATAATAATAAAAAAACCAAATCATAGATTTGTTGTCCCCTGTGTATAAATACAATGTGCTGATTAATACATCATATGTACAGTAGGTTTTAATGATACAGGGGGATTACGACGACAGTCGGGATTCGATCGGTGTCAGGACGCTGTGAAAAATGTTGATAACAACAGAATTTAATGGTTTGTGAGTGAGTCAAATGTAAAGATGACACTGTCCCAACTTGTTTAAAACATTCCTGGCATCAAATTTAAAATGAGCGAATGATGTTCAAAGATAGTAACTAAATGCAGTTTCAACACATGATGTGTTTTTTTTGCACTATCATCAATTAAAATAAGGCTTTAATTGACTTACAAAACCATTAACTTCTGTTTTTAAAACACTTTAAAGACGTCAAAAGAATTGAGATTATATTCAAATTTTAGGGAACTTCAGCCAGACAACAGATTGGGAGATGCAAGGCAGGACTTTCTGGTTGTCTTGGACTATTTTTCCTGAGTGGTGATGAAAACTTCAGCACGGTATTTGAGTTCTTCTTCTACCGCTCACTATTATAAGATAAATCATATCAAAGAAATCATATGAGATCAGCAGACTAAGTTAATGAGCTCCCTGACTGATTCACAACCCAATTGTACAAACTTCATGAAGTCCTGAAACACCATCAAACATGTTCAGAAAGAGCTGAAATGGTTCAATCATGTACACAGTCCTGCTACAAGAACAGAAACTAGGATTTACAGCACCAATACATTCCAGTGAAGGATGTTATTGAAAAACACACATTAAAGCCTTTAAGCCATGAGAAAATGCAGATCAGTTACAGAGATGTTTTGAAAAAAAAAGAGCTTTGACGAACAAAGTTATTACTCCTAAAGGTCCAGTGAGGAACTTTTTGTCTGAGTCAGTTTAGAAACCCCCTATGGACAAAGCAGTAAAAAGCATAGAAGTGACTGTTGACAGAAAATCTCATCCTGCTGATAGTCAAATGTATGATTTACACAATAATACCCCCCATACACACACACATCAATTCTGTGCTCCTAAAATTATGATGAAAATGGCGTCAATATTGTTGCTGATGCCTTTTTGCTGGCTTTTGGAAGGCCAACAAAAAGGCATCAGTATAGAGGAGCTTTAACTAAATCAGGTGTATGTTGATCGTACACTGCTAAAAGACTGAATCAACGCAGTGAATGTAGCTTCCTGGTGCTTGAACTCCTGGCTTCAATCTTTTGCTACATATCTATTCCCTGCAGGTCCTGTGACACTCATCAGCTGAGCCATAAAGATGAAAAATAGGTTATGAAAGAGGCAGTTTTACAGCACACAGCTCTGTTTTCTTGATTTTGGTGACAAAGTTAACGAGATTGTCTGAAAGTGATCCGACAAAATGTAACAGAAGTTTTCATGTTGTAAAAATCACTCACTTGTGATGCAAAGAAAAAAAAAATTCAGAGAAATTTATCTTAGTTTTTTCCACAGTAACTTTTTAAAATACAAAAACTTCAGGCACTCAATGATCACTGTTGTTTTATAAGCTCAGACTGCATGTATAAGTCCTCAACAGTCAGAAAGGCTGACAAAGACCTACATTTAAAACTAGAAAAGCACTCTGAGAGTGCAGACCTCCGCCAAGCAGCTCATGTCCCCCCTCATATTGTGATTCACACCAAAACTTTTAGTGTTACATGTCTTTTATTAACTTTTATTTGTGTTTAAAATGGTATGTTCACTGTTCATAATGTTCCTAAAACAAGAAATGCCCTGACCCAGATTCAAACCCAGGACCTTCTTACTGTGAGGTCACAGTGCTAACCACTACACCACTGTGCCATCTATCTACACAACTGTGCTGCCCATTGGTTATCTTTCAGCATTGAAAATTCCAACGACACCCTTATTTTTGTGTGTTCTGGATCACAGTATCCGGAATTCTGTCTGGATCAGGATCAACCTTTGACACCTCATGAAACTCATTGAGATCCTTTTGTGTAATTTTTTTATTAAAGACTCTGGCCATTTTTATAGAGTTAAATGCAAAAATTCCAAAATGTGCCCTATCTCACAATGATAAAGAATCCTTCAAAAAATTCCTGGATCCAGAAGGCGATCCAGATCACCACCAAAATGTAATGGGATCGTCCTGGGTCTGAGACGCACCTCTGGTGAAAATTTCAGGTCAATCCATCTGTAACCTTTCTGTAAAGTTGTTAACAGACAAACAAACAAACAAACCAACCAACAAATCAACGCTACCGAAAACATAACCTCCTTGGCGGAGGTAATAAAAAAACAAAGTTTATCTCTTTAAATTATATCCATGTTGTGCTTGAAGACTCCTCAGCTGATGTGACGATCAGACTGTCAAACAGCAGCTTTAGTTTCCCACTCCTGTGAAAGCACAGAAGAGACGATCAGACAAACAGAAAACATCAAATTAGCACTTAGTCTGTGTTATTTCAAAGAGTCAGAATGGAAACTTTCAAAAAAATGATGAGAAATCCCTCAGATACTGATAATTTCATTGATGGTTGATTAAGGGGGGTGACTTTGAGGGAACTGTCAGTAAAGAGAAACTGTATTTAGAGTCTGATAAAGCAGACTGTGAGACTCTGACCTTCCTCCTCTGGAAAACCTTCCCGTGTTCGATGAAGAGCGCTGAAGGAGCTCGTCTCAGGGAGTTTTTAGCTGAAGCCGTCCGTCGCAGCAGAGGGTTCAGAAAACTCGCCTGGACACAAACAGATCAACAGAGTTAAAGCAGAAAATAAAGAAATTAATCCTGCAATAAAAAGCCAAGATGAAATAAAGTACATGTGTATGTGTAACTGAAGCTGCTCACATGCAGAGTAAAACTTATGCCAATAAGTAAAGGAGGATTCATAGCAGAAAGCTCTTTTATTCCATTTTAAAATAGTTTGACTTCTATGCAAATTTTCCCTGATCTCTAATAAATACCTTATATGATTCTGTTTTAAAGAATAAACATATGACTACATAAGATATAAAAATAATATACAAGATGAGCTTTTAAAATTCAACTTCAGTAAATCTGCTGTTGGGGTCATCCTCTGCTAGCCTTTAAAAATCAGGTTTTCTTTTTTCTGACATCAACTTTCACTTCTTATCTACAGTCTTCGAACAGTTGTTGGTTTTGTAACCACAGTCTTTCACATACATGTTTATTGATATGCAGATAGAAAAATGGAGCATGTATTCTCTGAGGTTAAAAATGGTAATAAGTAAATGTGTTCTTCTTTAATTAACAATCTTGTAAGCCATTTGTCCCTGTTTCCCCACCTGGGCGCGCTCAGTGCAGACAGCCAGTGACTGTCTGAAAGATGTGCGTTTGTTCTGCTTCCCCACGGATGCCAGGTTGATCTCTGACCCCGCCCTCAGCTGCACTGGGTGTTTCCCTGTCAGCTCCAGCTTCTGAACGGCTCGCTCCACATCTGCCGACTTCCTGCCTGAAAAACAGTCACACAGACAGTCATTAAGTATTGGATTTTATGGTAAAGTACTACATTGACAACCTTTGGGTCAATGTTTAATTTTTTAAGTGCAACTTCATACTGCAACATTTGGCTATCTGTAGGGCCCACTGGATGTTGACTTTTCTCCTGTATAACTGATTTAATTTTTGGTCAGAAATGTCAGAAAGAAAAATTGCTGGACAAACAAAAAAAAAAACAACCTAACATTGAAGATCCATTATTCAATTATTCATCACTTTTCCAACATCTTCTAACTCTGACAGTTCACTGAAGTTTTTTTCAGCGCTGTCACAAAGACTGAAAATTAGTCTCTTGTTACTGAGAAGGATGTTTAATGAAGACCCTCTGAGGTTTGATGTTTCCTGTTAAAGGGTTTCTTAATTCGATGAGACTCACTCTGGGTGGTGAAGACGGTGTTGCTGTAGGTCACTGAGTCTCTGGAGGACACCGAGCTGCAGCGAACAGAGTCCTGAGAGCTGCTGAGCTGAAAGACGACACAAATTTACTGTTATTGTTTAGATTATGAATCTGTGTGGTCTGATCTTATGACCCATTATTCCCATTTTCATCAATTTTTAGTCTTAGACCCCAAATCTTTGTATTTCTCTGTAGCTGTAATAGACTTTTTAATTGCATCATTGGGCTGAAAAAATTTACAATAACTTTTGAGTTAATTGTTCTTATATAAGTGTCTTAAAGACGACTGTGCATCTCTATCCCCTTTGGGTTTTTTTTAGGCCTTTCACAAATCTGAGCTGTTTCAGGAGATTTTGGCCGATAATAGGCTGTTTTAGAGATGGGTGAACCTGACAGGGTCAATAAAAACCCTGAGACAAGCATTAAAAGGGATATTCCAGAGTAAGATTAGTTTAGGGTCATACGCAGTAACACCAAGTTAGACACCCCCTCGAGAGATGAATGTTGCCGACCGCTTGCTTCTCTAGTTATACCAACTTTAGTAACAACCACACGATAGCAATACACAGTGGTCTCATACACAAACCTCAACCAAAAAGCTACTCTATAGCCACAAATAATGCTCAGAACAGAACCTAACTTCATCAACAGTACATATAGGGTCCTAGCCATTGCACTAGCTACCAAACATCATTTTAGCTTTGCCTAATTTCTTTAGCAAAGAGACTAAACACAACTCACCTACTCTCTTCCAGCAGCTGCTTGTTTGTAGCGGGACCTTGGGCCAGTCCATTACAGACTGCTGTGGGGTGACGCAGCTCAAAGAAGAACATTTATGATCATTTCTTTATCATTTCCTTGAAGTAATAAATATCATATTAATAATTTAACACTGCAGATGCTGTAGTTCTTCTGCCTTAGTGTCTCAGTCTGATTGAATTTCCATAAAGAAATGATCATAAATGTTCTTCTTTGAGCTGCGTCACCCCACAGCAGTCCGTAATGGACTGGCCCAAGGTCCCGCTACAAACAAGCGGCTGCTGGAGGAGAGTGGGTAAGTTGTGTTTAGTCTCTTAGCTAAAGAAACCAGGCAAAGCTAAAAAGATGTTTGATGGCTAGTGCTATGGCTGGGACCCTGTATGTACTGTTGATGAAGTTAGGTGCTGTTCTGAACATTATTTGTGGCTATAGAGTGGCTTTTTGGTTGAGGTTTGTGTGTGGCTCCCCAGACCTCTGTGTATTGCTATCCTGCGGTCGTTACTAAAGTTGGTATACCTAGAGAAGCAAGCAGTTGACAACATTCATCTCTTGATGGAATGTCTAACTTGCTGTTATGGTGTGTGTTTGACCCTCATTTAATTTTACTCTGGAATATCCCTTGAAGTGCTCAACACTGTCTCTGCATATAGTCCATGAAAGTGTTACAGGGGAGGACTCAGCATCTAGTGCTGCAGGAATGTAATCTTTGGTAAATCACAAAATTTAACTTATTCATAGCAGTTCTTCCTAATGCTAATGTTATATCTTTAGAAAAGGATGATTTTGGACCCTTTTGCACTGTGAGTGTGTGTGTGCGTGCGTACGTGTGTGTACCATGTGCTCCAGTATGGAAGTGTTTGAGTAGATCGGTTGGCTTCTGCCTTCTCTGCTCAGACAGAAAGGGTCGTCCATGTAGGTGTTGGAGGTGGGGAACCTTCGAGTCTTCAAACCACTGAAGAGGAAACAAGACAATCAAAATAGGAGAACAAAGAGGAGTAGAGCAATCACATGTGGGGTACTTCAGGGTTCTATTCTTGGTCCACTGGTATTTTAAATTTTTTAGAATAATAATTTCTCTTGCACGATTCCATCTCAAACATAACTAAAGAACAAGCCTTTGTTTGTTTTATCTGTTAAAACACTTTGTGAATGTCTGTTTTGAAAGATGCTATATAAATAAAGTTATTATCATTATAAACTATGACCAGGAACATCTGAAAATAGAGATCACTGTGGATTATAATGCCAAAAAAGGAGAGGTGGGGTAAATAACGTGGACAAGCTGATGACCGCCTCCAGCTGCAGATGGAGGACCCTACATTAGCGATATTCTTGGACATATTGGATGTCTCAGCGTACAACGTCTATGTCATTTAAATGGCACTGAACCCAGAGTGGAACGGAGGGAAGCCCCGGAGGAGATGCCTTTTTCTTGAGGAACTGGGAAAGGAATTGAAGATCTCAAATCCAGAGAAGACAACATGTTCCCTAGGCATCATACAGTGTCTTACCGGAAAGCTCCACCCGTGTGCTCTTTTGTGTTGTTGTTGTCACAGTGACTGTGCTCGGCAGCTCCATCTTGCAGCAGTTTCAACCATCGCTCTTTTTCTTCTAAACTGCTGACCTGAAAAACCAAAGAGCACATTAAATGGTGAGTTTACGAACGATCACTAAAACGATTCATCTCTGTTTACCTGCTGTGTCTCCTCACCTCCAGTACAGCCACCTGGTCATCGAGCATGCTCAGTGTGATCCTGTAGGAGTAGTCGGTGTCAGGTCCCGATTGGACTTCACACCCTCTGAGCTGGACGGTGTACTGAGGCGACAGCTCCTTCTTCACCTCCTCTCCCTCCTTCTCCTCCTCCTCATCCTCCTCTTGTCCAAACATGTTAAGCAGACTGTCCTCCACCTGACAGCGTAAACTTTGCCACTGACAGTTCATCAGCACACTCAGGAAACCTGTCAGTCCCACACAGACAGAGGTCAGAGGTCACTGAGTGGGATACCTGTTCACTCTTGTACGGTTTCATTGAATGACAACATTATAAACCAACTTTGCAGCGACAGTCAGATCAGTCAGTCCTCTAGGTAACAGTTGAACAGTTTCAGTACCTTTGCGTTTTTTGAGGCTGCAGTCAGCTGAAGGTTTTTCCTCCTCAGACTCAGACAAGACTGTACTGGACTAGAGACAAACATAAAACAAAGTGGACTCAGATTTTATGAAGATTCATCGAGAAATACTGTGACAATATTCCTAGGCAATTACAAAACTTCTATCAGGATCCTCAATATTGAAAAATCAGATCAGTACTGGAGGACATAAAAGCGGAGGGCATCCCTGGTACAAATGTTGTGTTCTGTGAGTGACTCTCACCCTGCAGGACAGCAGCTGTTCTGATTTGGTCAGTGACGGGCAGCTCTGGGTCTCAGCTTCCCCTCCAACACTTACCTCCTCCATTACCTGCACAAACAAACACATACACACACATTAAAGGGATATTTCAGGACTTTTGGAGCTAGGTTTTATGATTTACATGTTACCAGTGAGTATTGCTTGACACATTTAATAAGAATCTGCTGGGGGAACCAGTACCAAAGTGCTCTACAAAAACAATTCTGGTGGCAAAGGAAAGTGCTAAAAAACACATAAGAGATGAGTGCTTAGGTCAGAGTCTCTCAAAATGAGCTAAATTACACAGCAGACTTAGCCCTGTCTGCAGAAAACTGTGGCTGAGCTTTCATACCAGGAAGCCTGACAGTTCCTTGATTAAGGGGCTGAGCTAAACATCAAGTGTATAAACACAAAGACACATCACTGAAGTCTGTTGACAGTACAGCATGGAGTATGTTAGCGGTCAGTGAAATGTGTGCCTGTTGTGCTGTGTGTTTGTTGTGTTGTTTGTTTGCTGTGTTTTGTTTGGCTGACCCTCCTCCACTCGTCGGCCTGCTGGAAGCTGCTGTATCCCAGAACCAGAGACTCAGAGCCCAGCAGAACCAGTTTGAGCTGGTGCTGGATCTTCCCATTGCTCTTTGACTTGTAGATGAGCTGACAGCCGCGCAGGTTTAATTCCAGCTGAGGCAGCAGGTCCTGAGCATACTTATAACACTGATAACCACACACACACACACACACACACACACACACACACACACACACACACACACACACAGAGTTACAGATTAGTCAAAATAAAAGTGGAATAAAAAAAAAAAAAAGCCAAATTTATCCACTCGCTCACCAGCAGCACGTCATTCCTGATGATGAACAGCTGTTTGGTCCACTGTCCGAGCCACTTCCTCCTCCACAGGTAACCACAGAGGCGGGACTCAGGGGCGGGTCTAAGACAGGGCTGGGAGGCACTCCAGTGGATGTAGTGAGCCCTGTCTTTTACTCTGTCATCTACATCGTCATCCTCCCCGTACGATTCGTAGTGACTGCTGTCTGACTCCACCTTCTCTGAAGCGGGACAAAATCATTTCATAAGATTCCTGTGTTTGTAAGACCTTTCTGCGATTGTGTGTGTGTTTGTGTGCAGATACCTGTGTTAGACATGCTTGTGTCAGCTACGTAGGGTTCTGCCTCCTCATATGTATCTTCATCATCATCACCCCCTAAGCCTCCTGGTGGGAGGGGCGGGACCACAGGGCCCTGGATCTGATATCACAGGAAACAAAAAGTTGTCTTTATTGTGCAAAACAGTAGAATACAGTAGAATACAGAATGATACAGTATGATATGATTGGAAACAGAACGATCAATATGGTGACCCAGAGTTTTGTCCCCCCTCAAGGGATCTTGGATCCCTATTCTAGTAACCACCGTGGGTTATGATATAAAAGAACTCAATTTTATATGAAATTATATGAACGGATGTAAAATGATACAACATGAAATTATGATGTAAAATGTGAAAATATAATATAAGTGACTATGGTACAAATGACCTGACACACTACATTATGATACAACTTTACGGCCCTAAGAGGAAGTTTGTAATATCTGACCAACTGCATACATTCCACTCTCTTCATGGTAAACGTTAAACCGAGACAAAAATAAACAATTCAAAACACACAACAATCCATGTGTGAACAGACAAACACACGAGTGACAAACAGACAATTCAACTAAGACATATTTTCAAACTGTCACTACGGTGAGGCTAAGGAAATAAAGAAATCCAACAACACTCAGAAGACACAGTTCTTCTTATACAACAGTTCATTACACAAACCCTTTCTCCACACTCTTACTCTTACACTCTTGAATTTAACCCACACTGAATGCTGCTTGTGAACACAACATGTCTTTGAATTCAATGCATATGAGCAAAATTTCCCAGGAGAGAAGGTTACTAAGTGTGTGTGTTTGTGTGTGTAAGTTTGCCCATCCATCACGTAGGCCAGATGCTAATCAGCCGCCATCAGTGACCACTTCCCCCCTCTGCAGAGCTCTCAGCCAATAGGAGGAAAGATAGAGAGGAGATGGCTTCATATGTAAACACTGAATATCCTGTCACTCCCTCCAGCACACACACACATGCACTGTAACCCTGCCGTCTCCTCCCAAACCTCAGGAGGACTGGAGTCTGTCATTACTGACCCACATCACAAACCTCCTCCTCCTCCCTCCCCTCCTCCTCCTCCTCCTGTTATCTTAAAAAAGACCTTTTTTCTTCCCCGACCACTTTTCTTTAACCTCGAGGGAAACCATCAAGAGGTCAAGAAGTGCAGGAGAGCAAAAAAACAACAAGTGCAAAGAGAATCTGATTCAGAGAAAGTCTGGTTTGAACTTCAGGAATGGCTAAATTTACCTTCCTTCATATGTTTTTCATTTCAGCTGTAAAAGATGCTTCTTTGCCGTGGTGGGGTGAGTATTCTGATCTGAAAGTGCCGTTCAAGCTCTGGTAGAGTGTGTTCAACAAAGCTGCAAATGAAACCAATAAGTGCAAAAAACTGCAGTTCCTAGAGTGGCCACTTGAGGCCAGCTCCAACAGTGAGCCAATCCCCATTAGGTCCCATATTTATATGCCTGATTGTCCTGCAGAAACAAACATGTTTACATCCTGGTCTTGGTAACTTCCTTATTTCTGAAGTCGTCTCTACAGGGGAGTATCTTGAACTAATTCTGCTCTTATTTTAAGATGTGAGGTCTGGAGGACTGGGAGCTTTGGGCAACATAGTACTCTGTAAACACAAAGAAGCAGAACCCAGGAGATGGTCATGAGGGTAGTTGAATTTGGCAGGTTCGTGTCAGTCATCCGCCACATTATCATCACAGGTACACCGGCTGTGAATTAGCCACAGTTGTTGAGTGTTTACCTTTGACAACTTGGCTTTAAGCAACCCTTTTGCTCCTCTCTAGATCCACTTTCTCATGTAAATATGGTCATTCCTCACTCCAGAGAATCAGCAGATGCCAAACTCAGGGCATTATGGTGTCTACAGTCAGTACATATGCTGACTGATATACACTGGATAGGAAATGTTACAAACATTAGTGTTGACTTACTGAGTTTCTCAGCCACACAGTTGAGTCCTGCTTTGAGACCAGCTCAGAGGACCCGACTCTTTCTGGAAAACAACAAACAATCAACAAATGACATGAATGGAAATATACAGTATAAAGACATTTAAGTGATGGCATATCTTCAGTGTAATATGATAGTGTGTATGACGTTACTATGATCATTGTTACCTGTTACAGATGAGTCTGTCAGCTCATTGCTAGGAGACGATGATGGACAGCTCATGATCATGTATTCAGCATCCTCCACTAGAATAACATCAAACACCCATGTGTGTCAGTGAACATCTGCAGTGTTATGACTGCCTCTAAGTGCTTGGAGGGACACTGACAGTTTTAGTGCTTTTAAAGTTTTATCAGCAGAATCATGTTATCATCATTTCGAGCAGAATGATCATTACCAGGAGTGTCGTTTGTTTGCAGTTTGGACAGCAGCTCTGAAATAGATTTCTTCTGAGCCTGAGCGATATAACTCAGGTTCTCTGAGTCAAGAACAGACAGGAAGGACTGCAGGTCCCAGATCAGCTTCGCCAGCACTGAAGACAGGAGAGCACACAGACAGATAGGTGAACAGCTGGACCCTTAGACCCCTCAGCTGCTGGTTGAGCTCATTAAGGAGGTAAAATCTGAACAGGAATCACCAGCTATCTGTTGACGAACCTTATCTCTGCCTGACTGAGTCATCGTTGCCCGACTGTTGACAGAGCAGCAGAACCATGAGTAATGTTTGATTACACGCTCACTATCAGTCCCTATGAAAGGCTCTCATTGTTTCTGTTCACACAGACACAAGGTGAGCTTCTGTAATGCCTGCTTTCCATTTGTGAGAAGTTGAAACACTGAAATATTTTAAATTTTAAGAAAATAATCGATATTGTCAAAGTAAATCAGAAAAATCGGAATAATGATGATAACAGCTATGAACTTTGGTCGAAGTTATCATTAAGTTTAGTGCCCTTACAAGGAAAGTAAAACCTTGGCTGGCAAACTCACATTAAGCAGCTGTACTGCATATACACGTTTGGATTTAAAAAAAAATAAAAAAATAAACCCTAATGCATCTGTTTTTTGGTGTTTAATTTCCTAGCATTGAATGTTTGCAAAGTGGCATGTGTGCTGATTTGCTTGCCAGCATGTTGAAAAGACAGGCCAAATTTTGAAAAATTAAGTTATAAAGCATTTACTTGGGAGCATGTGTTGAGATCATGAGTGAATAAGCCCAAAGTTATATATCTTTGTTTGTTCAACAGTTGAAAACTTTGGGTTACCTCTCAGTGTCAGACATTAAACTAAAATACAGAGTATAAAGTTTTACAGGTACTAAATGTATTGACATGGTTAAGCTTAATTTAAATTTGGCATGACATGTTTAGCCCATTAAGTTATTTACATGCTGGAATGCTAACCTGTTAAATGCTGTAATCTTTAAATGCTAAAATATTAACAGCATAAAACATGAATATTAATGGGCTGTAAAAATTTCAACCCGTCTATTAGTCAATCCTAAAATTTAGCATGTTAGACTTAGTGTGTTCGCGTTTTTACATGCTAGGATGCTAATATGCTAAATGTTGGGTGTTTGCAGTGCCAACATTAGTGAACACATAACAGGCAGCAAAAGCACTTATTAGCATCTTAACATGCCAGAAATGTTGATATTTTGTGAGAAAGTTTATGATGCTTATTTGCTAATACTCGAGTTTTAACATGCTAGATTTTTAACAGATAGACATTTATTTAAGGTATAAAAAATCAACATCAACAGTCTTATACGTAAACAGAAATAATAGAAAGCTAATATACACAAAGGATGCTTATATGCTAACACTATAGATACTAGAACTACATTTAATCATTCATGAAAAAACTACTGAGATTTTGTCTTTGAGGTAATCATCGCTGCATATTTAATTCTCATTTTTAGAATTAAGATTAACATCAAAAACACAAAATGATGTATGAATAAAATCAGAAGTATCAGCGTTTGCAACATTGGTTGGGAGAGTCAAAAACAGAGAGAAAGTCAGGAGTTCAGTTTGTCGACAGCAGGTTGATCAAACGTGGAGCCGTCATGAAGTCAGTGTTCGTGTCATGAATGAAGCTTTTGTGTCTCTGTGCTCTGAATGAACACTGACTCTGTGTTGTGGCAGCAGGAGAGTGAAGGACTGACATCATTAAAGGCAGTTATATGAGAGGCCGCTCTCTTCATGTCATTGACCATAAATATTAACCAAATATTTCCCCTTATTGTAACCTGTTATCGTCATTATACTGCCACGTCATGATGAATTCATACTGTTTGTGTCAATGCTGAGGTATGTTTAAATGCAGAACCTCAAGGATGTATTTGTCTTAAAATTTTAAACTCAGATTTCGATACAGAAGATCTGAAAAAGATCTGAATGTTTAAAGTGACTGAAGCTGTTCTGTTACCAGTTCTCCATCACAAATCCTGCATGTTCTGGCCTTCACTTGATAACTGATGTGACAGGATACACACTGATAAGCTGCTGGATACTGCTAATGTTTAACACAGAATAAAGACTTATGTGGAGTTACATAATCCAAAAAACTAAACTGATCAGCGTTCAAGGAAGAAAAACCAGGGAGGACTCTGAGAGGACTTTGAGAACCACTTAAAGGTCTGGGGACTTAAACAGCAATGTTAGAAATACCTTTGACACGAACCTTTGATATGCTTTTAACAACAACCTAAAGGATACCTTCAACCTCTTAATCAATACCATCAGAACATCCTGACTTGCTTGGTGGGTCTTGGAAACCCTGACGCAGCCAAAACCTCTTTTCAACCACCAAAACGATCTGAGACTTCAACAGTACTTTCTCAGCAACCAAAAGGACCACTACAAACTCCAAAATCCAGACCAGAACAACTCAAGCACAACAAGTTCTTCACTGACCTTTTGAACCTTGGTTCATTACTTTAAATAAGACCTAAATGACAACCACAAGTCTTTACATCAGAACTAGAACCACGGACATGCCCCAGAGGCTGAAGTTACGTCGACAAGAACCTTAGAACTCTGGGACCAAGCTGTTACTAAATCCAGACAAAAACAACCCAAGAGAGTGAGAGGCCTTTGAAAATTTTACTATACAACCTGTAAAAGTACCACAAGAAAGACCGAAAGGAGTACTGTAACCTCCCAAATACAGACTGTAACCCTCTGAGCACACACTGAAACTAGGAAAGTACTTTATTACAAACTACATGACTACTTGAACCTCCAAAACCTTCTAAACCCAGAGTAGACAACCTAAACCCAACAAATAGATTTTACACCACCACCAGAACTTTTAACACCATTTTTAAATGAAGAACTACTACAAACTGCTTGATCCAGACCAGTCACCAACGAGACCATGAGAACATCTTAAACGACTACTGAGGCCTCTTTCAGGGCTCATAGAACCATCCTGGATACCCCTAAGCCTTCAGACAGTGATGCTGGAACCACAGCCAAAGCTGCTAAAACTTCTTTAGAGTCCATTTCAGGGACCTCTTTCTCCTTGGTGGTGTGTTTTGGTCTCTAGGTCTGTATTGGGTTTCTATCTGTGTCAGATTTTCTACTCTGAGTCTTATTATGACTCAGTGCTGTTTTCTTTATTTTGTTAAAACTTGTTTTTGTCTGAAACTAAGTCAAGACCATTTGAATAATCATCAAAAAGAGAGAAAATGTGAAAAATGGAGAGACACAGATGCTGATTGTACTCCAGCTCCATTCATAGGGACAGAGCGAGTTCATTCACACTCAGAGCAGAGTGGGAGATGAAGGTTAAAAGTTTCTGATTAACTCCTCTCTGCTGATTCTGAGGATCCTACAGCTCCGTTTATCAGCCCGCTGCTGTTTTAAACACCAGGCTGCACATTCCTAACTCACCCACAACACTTTAACAACAACAACAACAACAATGACAGAAAGACTGTGTGTCTGCTGAAATACACCTTAGAGAGACTGTGATGTTTCCACTGCACAAAGTGCTGCCGCTGCTCTGAGATGTTAAGAGTTTGTGTTACCGAACACAGCTTATCTGAGCATCAACATCACTTCCTGTCTCTGGCTTTGATGCTGCTGAACACACACAGACCCAAATACACAGACCTACAAACCCTCATCCCACACACACACCCACACACACACAAAATGATAAGCATTTGAATGAAAGACAGATCATCTCAGTGTGAGAGAAAAATTATGCCTTTTGTAACATTGGTTGTTTGTGTTTTGTGCCCCTGTATTTACATTAAACCACGTATTGGGCCAAAATGACATTTGGATTGGTTAAGTGATTTCATGATATTTTCATTTTTTTTATAAGCATAGAGGTTTGATAGCCAGGTAAAAAATGAAATTGTTTTAGCATTTAAATCTATTTGGGGAAATTTGATCTGCTTACTAAATACTGTGTATACTTTGACACAATGTTATTTTAAGAAAATTCTACACAGTCCAACATAATAGGTGATATCATGTGATTTGCCTTTACACACAGAGCAGAAGAACAACATGGGCATCAACAACAAGCTGATCAGAAATGACATCTTCAGTGTAGATTTCCTTTAATGTCTCAGAGGAGGATAACACAAATGCAACATGCAGGACATGTGCTGCAAGAGACAAGAGACGTTTAAGTCTCCTGTGGGTCCTCAATTAGACCCTGATCTGTTGCTGTACATGTCAATAGAAACACACACACACACACACACACACACACACCTCTAGAGCTTCTTTACTAAAATCTCCTGTGTGACTTTTTAATCATCAATAACACTGCCAGAGGTTTTAAATGTCGACAAGAGCATTTCCCCAAACAGCCACAGAAAAACAAAACAGGGTAAGATCATAGACCATCATAAAAGGCTTTGAGGGGTTCCTCTCAAAACCTCTTTACAGACTTGCAGAACCATATTACAAACTCTTAAACCTCTTCATTGATCATCATCAAATCTGGCCTCTACAAACTCCTCAAACACACAGTAAACTCCTCAGCACATTTTATGGTTCTGTCCTCCCTGATGGCTGACAGTGACTAAGACCTATCAGACCTCAGAGGAACCTTGTCCATGTCCCACATCTGACAAAACAATCCATTTACTACACATGATCCTACCTTTTACAGGCTTATTATCCAGGCTGATAATTGTAGAAATAAAACAATTTACATCAAGTACTGACAAAGTTATCTTATTTAATAATGATTATATTCTTCTTGCTGAAAGTAGTCCGTTAGGCTCAGAGTTTGAGCTCTGTTTACGATGCAATATCTTACTTTAAACTGAACTTTTTCTGGTTGTGGTGACGACAAACCTTGTGAACAGCTCCATGAATCAACCCAACACCTGACTGAGTTTTTCTGTCTCAGTATATTCTGTAACTTCTCCTGCTTCACTCCTGCTGTCTCCATCTCTTTTCTTCTTTCCACTGAATAGACAGGCCGGATGAATACAGCTGCATCCATAGCAATGGATTTTGTCACAAAGTGACTGACTGTTGCTTGGGGAATCGACCAATCAAAAACAAGTAACTGACACAGTGCAAATTTTAGTTAATATCTTAAAATATGAAAACAAATACAATGAATAAATATTGATAACACCTCGAGACCAACTGATGACAAGAGTAACCCCACTGTATATTAACAATCTGATCATCCAGGGAGGTCCAGTTTAAAGAAAAGAGCAATCCACTTACATATTCTTTGAAAAGTCTAAATTGGATTCCTCTCAGAAAAATGCACTAAAACTTTTCTTAGCTTTATCTTTTTCTTTCTGAGAGAGTTGGCCTAGAGAGTTCGGACACAGTTAACAGATGAAGTCATACTCCTAAATCCAGCTTCTGCAGTTGGTCAGAGGGTATGTAATGGTAGAAAAAATGCTAAATTGCTAGTGTGAATCCAAACAGTCTATTAGCCCTGTCTCCGGAGGGCAGCAGGAGGAGGAAGTGAGGATGATGATGATGAGGAGTGGGAGGAAGAAGGATGGAGGAGGACAGGCGGGTGTTTCCGAATGTTTTGCTGCTTTAGTTTACATACCATCAGTGAGATAAAGAAGAAAAAAATGACGTCAACAGGTTAGGGAGATCATTTATCATATTCTTGACACGCCACTTTGACTCATTTATTCCTGGGAAAATGTTTTTTTTTTCTCTTTTGTTATATGATGACCAATTTCAGGCATTTTCTTAAATATTTAACAAAAGTTGACCCTCAGTGTTTTATCAGTACAAATTAAAATTGACTAAGTCATTGATCACTTGTTTAAACAACAATTGTACAATACAAAATGTTTTTACCTGCTTATGTAACAGACTCAAATTCATAGTGATGTCTCTACATGACCTGTATGATCACTAACCACAAGACCAAGAATTTCTAAATAGTAATTTGTGCTGTTCAAAACTACAGGCAAGGGGTAAGTGTTTGTCAAGATGAAGCGTTTTTAGCTTTTCCATGCAAGGGATCCATGAAGAGTTTAAAACCTGAGAGTTTATTTGTCAGAAAAACTTGACCTTTGTGTAAAGGATAGAAGAACCAAAGAGATGAGAGCTACAGTTTAGTCAACATGGGGTGCAAAATCAACACAGCTCCTTCACAGGACCTTTATACATGCCTCATAAATTCAAAGCATTGCCCTTATTTTAGAAAATGGAGCATTATATTAAAGCTCCTACGAGGATTTTTTGACATGTATGAGCTGCACTGAAATTCATACTGATACAATTCATCAGTATGAATTTGATGTCCAAAAGCAAACAAAACCATCAGTGACAAGATAAACCATTTTTATATCCTGAAAATAATGCAGTGGAGTAGGTGTCAGCTGAGCAGCTGTAGAAACAGACTTAATTTGTTCATTATCAATTATTTGGCTGTTAAATGTCAACAGGATAAATTTTAGGTTCAAAGACGCCACTTAAGCTCATAGAGGATAGTAAAAGTCTACAGGGGGGCCAACATTGACACAAACTGAAATTTTCTCACAAGAGCTTTAACCGGGTATAAAAACATTGAACACTGCCAAAAAAAAAGATTTTATCAAATGTTCAGAATTGTTTCAGGTTGTATTTCATATGTTATGTCACAATATTTGAAGGTTATCAGTCAATCACACAAAACCTTTATCTAATGCACACAAAATGCATTTAATCTTCATACGAAAAAAAACAATTTCTAAACAACTGTATTGAGAGATGTTTTTTCTACATCTCTAAAACACTACACAAAATTATTTCCACACTCATACTAAGGCTATTACAGTACTTTCACATTGCCTTAAATTTCAAATTTTAAAATTTATGTCAAATTTCACATTAAATAAAGTTTTAAAATTTCCCTTATTTTATGTCTTTGGCGATAATTGCTGTGACTGCAAAACATCTCAGGAGAATTATCCAAAACTTCCTACGATTTAAGGTTTCATTGAATTTCACTGGAAACTTGTGATTCTTATATTTAATCCCCAGTGATTCAATTCAATTCAATTCAATTCAATTCAGCTTTATTTATATGGCACTTTTCGTACATAAGGAAATGATGTGAGTATGCTTTCATAATTACTCTTTAGTTTTATTGTCACATGGTTAAAACGTATATAACAGATAAACAGAGTGAGCACCGTACCTTTCTGTTTGTCCATGTCTGTCTGTTTCAGCAGGTTCTTCTCTGCAGTCTCATGTCTCTGCTAAAGAGTCCAAAACATTAAACAGAGAACGAAAGTTTTTCTCCTCGGTGGATTATTTTTTCTCAGTTCTGTGTGAAGAAGTTTCAGCTCTGACTGTGGAGTCCTGAAATCCTGCCTCCAAGTGACATCAACATAGGAGGGAGGAGAGAGAGGACGGACCAATGCACTGAATGAAGAGAGAGGGAGTCACGGACAAAAACATCTTCACTTAGACTCATGTCAACCACTTTAATGTTAACAAATACTAGAAGTCTAATTGTATTTAAGAAGATCATCTTCTTGGATTTTTAATAGATTTGTAAGAAGATCTCATCTTGAATTCTCTTTTTTTAATGATCAGAATCATTCATCAACCTTATGTGTGAAGTGCAGAAATGTTAAGTGTCCATGAGGGGCTGGTTGCAAAAATCAATGAATCTCTGTATCATCCCATAAAAAGGTCATTTTTTAATTGCAGGATTAACATGCTTACCATCTGGTTTAAAAAGCAGTTTTTGATATGTAGCTTATTAATCTGCTTACACACTGCACCAAGAGTGAAACTTCATATTTAAAGGGATATTCCGGCATAATATTAACTTAGGGTCAAACAAACCGTAACACCAAGTTAGACACCCTCTCAAGAGATGAATGTTGCTGACTGCTTGCTTCTCTAGTTATACCAACTTTAGTACTGACCGCATGATAGCACTACACAGCGGTCTATGTCTCCACATGCAAATCTCAACCAAAAAGCCACTCTATAGCCACAAGTAATGCTCAGAACAGCACCTAACTTCATCAACAATACAAATAGGGTCCCAGCCATAGCACTAGCCACTAAACATCTTTTTAGCTTTGCCTAATTTCTTTAGCAAAGAGACCAAACACATCTCACCCACTCTCCTCCAGCAGCCACTCGTTTGTGGGGGGACCCCTGATGAGTCAATTACCGAGTGCAGAGGATCATTTCCTTGAAGTCATAATCATGATTATTTTGCACTGCAGACGCGGTAGTTCTTCTACCTTGAAGAAATTATCTTAAATGTTCTTCCTTGAGCTGCAAAATTCTGCTGCAGTCGTTGATGGACTCGTCAGGTCACAAACAAGTGGCTGCTGGAAGAGAGTGGGTGAGTTGTGTTTAGTCTCTTAGCTAAAGAAACCAGGCAAAGCTAAAAAGATGTTTGATGGCTAGTACTATGCCTGGTACCTTATATGTACAGTTGATGAAGTTAGGTGCTTTTCTGAGTATTATTTGTGGCTACGAGTGGCTTTTTGGTTGAGGTTTGCACGTTGACATGTAGACTGCTGTGTATTGCTATTGTGCGGTCGTTGCTAAAGTTGGTATAACTAGAAAAGCAAGCGGTCGGCAACATTCATCTCTTGGGGGGTGTCTAACTTGGTGTAACAGTGTGTTTTAGGGGCGGCAGTAGCTCAGGAAGGTTGGCGGTTTGATTCCCCCCTATCCTGAGTCTGTCAGCTGTGTCCTTGGGCAAGAAACTTAACCCACCTTGCATAATGGCAGCCACGTTTCTGTCAGTCTCCTCCAGGGCAGCTGTGACTACTAAGGTAGTTCACCACCACCAAAAGTGTGACTGTGTGAGTGAATGAATGATTGTATCCAATGTAAAGCGCTTTGAGGGTCTCTGATAAAGCGCTATATGAAATCTGATGCATTATTATTATTATAATTGTGTTTGGGGCGGCACAGTGGTGTAGTGGTTTGCACTGTCGCCTCACAGCAAGAAGGTCCTGGGTTCGAATCCGGGTCAGGGCGTTTCTGTGTGGAGTTTGCATGTTCTCCCTGTGTCTGCGTGGGTTTACTCCGGGTACTCCGGTTTCCTCCCACATCCAAAAACATGCCTAAGTGGGGTTAGGTTAATTTGCCACTTCCAAATTGCCTGTAGGTGTGAATGTGAGCGTGAATGGTTGTTCGTCTCTATATCTCAGCCCTGCGATGAACTGGTGACTTGTCCAGGGTGTCCCTTGCCTTCTCCCATAGATGCTGGGATAGGCTCCAGCCACCCCGCGACCCCGGGAATGGGAATAAGCGGTAGAAAATAGATGGATGGATAATTGTGTTTGACCATAACTTAAATTTTACGCCGAAAATATCCCTTTTAAGTCATCCATTAAGATGTAAGACAAAATGATGTAAACATAGATTTTCATACAAACCTTTTCAGACACCAACGGATACTGTTACTAAAACTGTTCATGTTTAATATAGTCTGTGGTTCAGTGTCAAATAGCCTCAAGCTTGTATTGTGAATTAAAAAAGCCACTATGTAAAAACAAGTGACTTTTTGTTATGTATCTATTAAATACAGAGGAACAGAGTCTTCTCAAAGCAAATAGAAATGCTCTTTATTGTAACTCATGGTTAATCATTCACATCACCATTCATTTTACTTCACCTGCATCCAGATATGAAAACAAAAACAACAATAAGTTTTTAGTCATTCAGTGATTGGTTATGTACAGCAGCAGGGCGGCTTTGGACAGGTAAGCCACAATCAACAAGCCTGACATGAGTCTAACCCCAATCTTATCTCAGTGTTATCTGTGTCAGTCTGAAGCTATCACAACCTCAGTCTGACCTCAGACTGACCAAAATGTCTCCAGTCTAACTTTGGTCTGACCTCATTTTGTCCTCTGTTTGACCTCAATATGACCTGATATTAACTTATGTCTGACTTTAGTTTGACCTCAGTCTGACACAAGTTTCGCCTCATTCTGATCCAAGTCTGGCCTTTTAATTAAGCCTGACTGGGGTCTCATCTTTAACTTTAGTCTGACTACCATGGATCGCTAAATTTAAAATTTTCTGACCTAAATCTAACCTTGTCTGACCGCAATCTGGCTTGAGTCTGACCTTACCTTTGGACTCAGTCTGACCTCAGTTTTACCCCAGCTTGATCTCTGTTTTGACCTTAGTCAGGAGAAGGACCTCCTCAACTCTTCCTCGTTTTGACCTTTGTCTTGCTTCAATCAGTCATCAGTTTGACCTCAGTTTAATCCAAGTCTGACCTTCAACTTCAGCCTAAATGTAGTGTTACCTCAGTTTGACCCAGTCTGACCTCTATCAGACATCAGTTAGACCTCAGTGTGATCGAGGCCTGACCTTAGATCTCAGTATGACCCCAGTCTTACTTTTGACCTCAGTCTAGGTCTAAGTTGACATTCATTTGATATTACTCTGACCTTTGACCTCAGTTTGATCTAAGTTAGACCTCAGTGTTATTAAAGCCTTACTTTAGATCTCAGACTGACCCCTGTCTTACCTTTAACCTCAGTCTAGGTCTAAATTGACATTCATTTGATATTACTCAGACTTTTGTCCTCAGTTTGACCTCAAAGTGAAAATGAAACAAGAACATCACCCTTAATGCACCTGAGCCAAACCCTGTCTTCATATCTGTGTAGTTTTATGAAGGTTAAAATATGACATCATTATAAAGACATCTGACATGCAGCGGTGTAAATGTCAGGGCTGTTGCATGACCTGCCTTCACAAAGTCACCCTGCGTGTTTAAGTAATTCAATAAAAAAGAAAAAAACACTTTGAAATGTTCAAAAGAAAGAATTAAACATGAAACAATCTTTGTGTCATCATGGTGTTAGTCACAGCAACCCACTTCCTGTCTCTAACTACACACAACCAATCAGAACAAAGCATAAGATCCTCTCAGTATCATCAAACAGCGTCAGAATCATTCCTTAAAAAATCAAAAGAAAAAAAAAGAAGGAAATCATCAACGTAAAGTGACAACGCTCGCTTACTCCTACAAACAAACCTCACATCTTCATAATCCATTGTTTTCTTTTTTTTTCCAGACTTTTTTTAAACTCACAGATACAGGAAGCGTGTGGTGGCGAGGCAGGCATGGTGGTGTGTGATGCAGGATGTGGCGTTGGCAATTTAGTCAGTGAATTTAGTCTAAAAAGTCAAACCAAACACAGGTTTGTAATCTGGTTTTAAAGGTGCTGTGAGTTTGATTTAAGCTTCAATATACGATCTTCATATGAAAATAACAGAATACCAATGACTGTAAATACTGAGACTCAGGACAACAGTGGAGAGGGTGAGACATCAGCGGACATGATGATGGTTGATCACCAGATTTTAAATGCATGTGTCTTTAAAGAATTTATCAAAGAAATTAAGCTCTGTGACAAATACTGAGTGGACTGCTGTTTTTTTTACTTTAGGGATAAAAAAAATGAAGGAGTGAACAACAACATGTGGTAAAGAAAAGGGAAATGATGTAAAGACTGAATGTGTCACAGCGGCGTGTCAAAGGCTGTCCAGTTTTGTAAGCATCCCCAAACACAGCCAACAAACATGTCCTCCTTTCCCCGTGAAGGCTGTAACTAGTGTATTCTTAGTGGCTCAACATATCCCATGAGTCTTTGCTCACTAATACAAACCACAGACTGTATATACTATGGACAACTTGGTTGTGCCTTCCACCAGTATAGGGATTTAAAGCCGAAAAACTTTCAGTAATTCCACGTTGGTTTCTCCATAACCTGAAACCAACATTGCGCAGTAGCATTGTACGCATTTGGGAGAGTCGCCAAGAGTCACTGTGATGATGCTCGGATCAAACAGCGCATACCCTGGGTGGGAAGCAGGGGGGAAAAAAATTTATGTTCTGTGTAATAAATTTCTCAAGTCTTTCCACAGCCCCAGGAGGATGGCTGGCGGAGGCAGGTTTATGACCTATACTGCAGCCCGTCAGCAGAGTGTGCTGTTCTAGGGGTGGCTTCACCCAGTAAGGAGGTGGACGCTGTCCATTCTATATACAGTCTACGATACAAACTGGCAAGTAATATACTGTTGAATAAGAGTATTTCATTTTAACTCGGTGGTGAACTCTACATATATTATTCAAGACAGAAGCATTGAAATTTAAATTCATCTTTGAAATGTTAGTAATAGTGTTGAGCCAACTCTGCTAGCCAGTTAGCCACCTGTTGCTAGCACTAATCACTCTCTATGTGACATCATCATTAGGGTAGTGATTTAAGCTTGCAGTTCTCTGAGGGTTAGACCATCTAAATTTGGTTCAGTCTCACCGGTCGCCTAAGGCTATGAAGGCTCAGTCCTTCAAAGGCTTCTGCCCCTGGACTGGAAACTTTAACCCACTCAGATGTTGTCTTTTCTTAAGGCAAAACAAAGATGATTACTGCCTGTGTTTGAAAAAAGGATCTGGAGAAATCAGCTGAGGTTGGTCAAATAAAAAAATGCTCATTTCTGTCATATTTTAATAGGCTAAACAAATACTGACATAGTAGCCCCCTTTTTGACACTTTTGGGGGAGCTGAGGATGGACAGGAGGTCTCATCTGTCATTAAACCAAGTTAGCCCAATGAACTGAATTCAATGAAATCTAAAATCTGTTTCACTGCACCTTCAAACCTCTCAGTCATGATGAAAGTTTGGTTTTTAAATTGATGCCAGTGGTGCTTAAGATCACCTGCTGTCCTGCAGAGTACAGAGCACAGTGAACTCCTCCATGTTTGTACAGATGATGCTGATGGATGTTTCAACCTTAGACTATGTCAGTGCGTGTATGTGTGTGTGTCCAGAAATGTCCTGATGATGCTCATCACTTCAGTCCACTTTGTTTTGTTGATCTTGGGTGTTGCAGTGTAAAATCTCAAGTTTTCCCATCATGCCTCTGTCCTCTTTTGGTGAGGAAACCTCAGAGAAGTCCAGTCCATGTTTTTTGGTTTTCCTCTTCTTCCTTTTATCATCTTCTTAGATGGTGAAAATGTTTTACTTTCTGTTCCTGACATTCATGTGTTGATATTTTTCAAAAAGTGAGTTTAAATTTTTATTCAGGTTTTTATTAACAAACATGCCACTTGTCTAAGAAGACTAAAAAATAGCTGCACATCATTTGGTCACTAAGCAACACTGAACGTTTACGACCTGCTTATTGGACAAACCAGAGCTGTGCAGAGACCGAGTTCAGACGAGTTTCTGCTCTGTGCTTCTGGTTTCATTGTTAATGTAGTTCTTCTGAACTGCAGACATCTCTCACAGGTATGTGTTTGTTTGTGTGTGTGTGTGTGTTGTTTGTGTGTGTGTTCAGGAAAAACAGGGCAGTGGCTTTTGCTGAAGAAGGAGGAGACGGTTTGATCTCAGTCAGTCAGAACTCAGCCTGGACCAGGGATGCAAAAAAGACATCTGAAAGTTTTACCTGCTCAAGGACATTAAGTCTGAAATGAAGCCGATCCAGTATTTTAACCAAGACTTCCTAAAAGGGTCACTTTTTTATTTCATAAATTTGACTTAATACCTCAAATTATTTTTTCATTAAGGTCAAGTCTCCTGCCTTTTTTAAATAGTTAAACTGGTATAAATTGGCTTCCATAGATAGCACATGGGCACCATCAGGGCAGAAATTATGGGAACAAACACAGGAGAGGATGTGAAGATGGGGAAATACAAACCGAAAGAAATCAAGCTTCAAAATAGAAATCACATGGATGATTAGAAAAGGGAAAACTTTGATTATAAGGTTCTTTCTTTGGGCTGTCAAGGGAAATATGCAAACCTGTTGTAACTGCTGTTTGTTCTGTAATGCAAACCTTGTCTAAGTTTCTCTTTGAGTCTTATAAAGTCTTTGATTGACTTTTAAAGCGTGCAGAGCAGACACCCTGACTGTGATCAAACCGGCTCCTTGTTTTTCCTCGGAGTGCTGGGTAAGAAATGCTGTCTTTGTAACATCACAGCTGGCTACGCCAATAGGAGCAATTCCTCAGAAGGACTGCTCTTAGCTTTACTCTTACAGTCAGCATCTTATTTGTGTTAGAGTCTGACTCAGAGTCAGCAGGAATGTTGTTTTAAAGCCTGACAGCAACTGGATGCTGGATTAAAAAACATTGACTTCAGTGTGACTGAGTCTGGTCTGGTGGGATAAATCTCTGTCAGCAGAAATACAATAATGTTCATGTGAAACTGACTCAGTCTGATCCTACAGACAGCGGCTGCTGTGTTTTTAATCTCATATGGAAGCCTTAAAAGTGTGGCACTGACATTCAACCTCCTTCAAGATTAACAGCTGGACTTCATTTCCCAGAATTCCACCAAATATATAAGAATGTTAGCAGGATTAATCCCTACTTCATAAGTATATATATATATATATATATATATATATATTTTTTTTTTTTTTTGTGTGTGTCATTGTGTGACTTCTGTGTTTTAGTTGGCTGGTTTAGATCGAACATAAAAACAGCAGCTCCTGTGTTCATCTTTGTTAGGTTACTGTTTTTATTGGTGGAGTCTGGGGACTATGAGTGACTGTATCTGGTCAAAAAGGACCTCAGTCTGTCTCTGTGGGGGTCCTTTCTGTAAAGTAAGTAGCACACTAATGGTGCATTTCCACCAAGCGGTCTAGTTTGATATCAACACAAGTCTGCAGGAATTAAAACCACATTTATCTTCTAAATCACAATTTAAGGACGAGTCATAGATTTTTTTACCTCTCAGTCATTAAGATCCCAAAATATGAAACAAAAGGCCAGATTCACTGATAGGAGGCTGCCTTTTCAATCACCTAAATCCAAACTTTTCTGGTGTTACTGGGCTTCAGACAGATAGACAGACAGCTCTTCACTTAGCATACTCAGTTCTGTCTGCCCTCATTTCCAGTTTGTGTGTAAGTCAAACAAGAGTCCCGAACTAGACCCTAAAGAAACCCTGATGCTCTTATTCCTCCCTCTTTGTGTCTCTGTGCTCCCTTGCCTCTATTTGCAGCTTCATTTGTTGTGCTCGCTCAGTAGTTTGGCTATAAATAAATTTCCACAGACATTTAGAAACTGAAGCTTATCACAGAAACGCTGCGCAGCTCTGCTCTGAAGGGGGTGGAGTTTGTGTGCAGCAGAAATCTAAACTCACTCTGTGTTTGCTCTTCAAACCTTCACGGTGAATCACATCAAACCTGAAGCCCGAGGCACCTCCTAAGCGTCTCTCTGTGACGATGATGGCGGCGGTGCTGATAGTGGTGTTTTATGTTCAGAGTCTGTGTGGTTTCAGGATCCTGCACGAATCCAAGAGGAGTGGGGGATTGTGGGAGATTCAGTCCCAGTGGGGTCAGTCAGAAGAGACAGACTTTCCTCTTTAGGTCGTTTCTCTTCCAGTTGGAGAGGTGGTCGAACTCCTCAATGGACATCCCGAAAACACTTAAGAACTCCTCCTGAGACAGGTGTCTCTGCAGGTGTAGAGGAAACAGGGAGAGAGAGAAACGTCAACCTTTATTTACTGAGTTTTAAATCAGTACGTTAACATGCACGGTCAAGTCCAGCTACAGTTAAAGCACTATTAGGGGATTTAATTGGACGGCTTTGTCCCAGATTAGAAACACTGTGTAAGAATCAACTCATGACCAAACTATCTCAGCTGATTATGGTTAGACCTCCTCCCTGGTTCATTTAATCTGTCACAGACCAAAACAACAAACAAGTTAACAAGAGGCTAACTGGTTGTACGTTAAACTGGAAACCCCTGAACCTTTTCTACACTTGTGTTGTGACTGTTTTCAAGCTTGCCTCAGTCCACCTTAAATGGACTCAGGTCTAGAGAAGTCTCTGGTGTTGCTGGATCCTGTCTCTATCTGGTTTCCTCTTTTCATGGTTCAGTTTGAACCTCATTTGTGGATGCAGTGATGAACTGTGTTCACAGTCAATGGTTTTTGAAGTGATCTTGAGCCCATGCAGTGATTTCACTCCAGAGTCCAGTCTGCTTTTAATGTAGTGATGTCCAAGGGCCTGAAGACCAGAACCATCCAGTCTTGGTTTTGGTCCTTGTCCCTTTAGTACAGAGATTCCTCTAGATTCTCTGAATCTTTGAATGATACTATGTTCTGATGAAATCACTATAAACATAAAATAAAATCAACACAGAGACCTCAAGACATCAGAATCATGGAGAAGACAAAAAGCTCAAAAACAACAAACCCAACCTGCTGAACTGTTCTCTCACACAGTCTCTCACATCATGAAATTTTTTTTCCATCTTCCCCACAAAGCAATACAATTTTTCAGTTTAACTCTGATTTGTCATCTCTGCACTCTTTTTAATTAAATGAAGTCTTTAATTTAATTTGCAAACCATCAAATTCTGCTTCTATAAACATTTATCAACAGGCCCTGACTCTTATTAAGGGTCTTAGTTCGGGTTTTATTTAAAAGTCCTGTTTTAGTTCAAAGTGAGTGGAAGATCTTACCTCCAGTCTGGTTCTGTCCACACCTGGAGGCAGTTTACTCCGCCCTCTGTGGGTCACCACCAGCGTCTCATAGGGGTAGATCTACAGAGAACAACTGATTGATCAATCAGGATGAACGCATTCTCACTGATGATTTACCCAGTGTTTGATTCAGTGCTTCTAAGCAGAATAAAAGCTGATGTCAGTTATTTCTTGCAAAAATTAAAAGTGCAGTTCACATGTAATATAGAAGAAAATAAGCTAAGATGTTCAAATTCATCAAAACTTCAAATATTGTAGTGATTTTAACAATAAAAACAAACACACTGTTGTTACTTTTTGTTCCAACATGCTGGGGAGAGAGTTTCCTCTGTCCATCCTGGAGTCTCCATTCTGTGGGGAAAAAACATAATCACCCTTTTAAAGTTACTCAATTATAGCTACACACAAAAATACTGATTCACAATGTTAGAGCATGAGTCGATCTGACTTTACCTGAAGATCTGCAAAGAGAGAAAGAAAGAAAAAGTTATTAACCAAGTGATGAGAAAAGGTTCAAAGTACTTTCAAATTCAAGTTCCAGTCATTAAAATAGCAGATGGACTTAAAAGGTGTTAACAGGTCCAAATGTACCTGCAGGAGGTTTTTCTGACGGGCTGAACTCTGCCGACTGAAGCTGCAAACAAACACAAACATGTTTGTCTCCTGATTTGTTCGTCTCTGCTGCGATTGGACGATTCAGTTAGGAGTACTCACCCTGGACAGGCCGCTCTTAGAGGATGCTGGGAAATACACAGACTTGGAGGCATTGGACCCTGCAGAGGAGGAAAAAAAAGTTTAATCCAAGGGGTCAAAACCTGAAAGTTTATAAGAGGACAGAAAAGAGCCGCAGGTGATAACTGTGAATCCGACAGCTTGTGAAATATTCAACCTTAAAGTTACAGGAAAAATTACTCATTCACCGTTTAATCTCTTAAAGAAACAGTTTTTAGGTTATTTCTAGAAATGCAGACAAAAAAAATTCAGTATAAGGTAACTTTCATTACTGTGAAAAGATGCATTTAATACGTCTCTGTTTCTGTATGCAGTGATCATCCTGACCACTAGGTGTCGCCAGAGCTCTGCATTTGTGTTTTTTTTCCCTCTTCTGTCTTGAAATGGCAGTTTTTTTTTTGGGGGGGGGGGGCTTTCAAACTAAAACAGTGCTGGACTGGACTGAAGCTTCAGTGAAAAAACCCTGAAGTATGCAGGGATCTGGGTTGACTTATATAACAGTACAGGTGAGGGTTTAAGTGTACCTGTGTTCTGGCTGCGATCCGGCAGTGACCGAGTTTTCCTCCTCAGAGGAGCTGAAGATTTCTCCAGCTCCTCTTTCAGGATGATTTTTCCCAGGTTGGACTGAATCTGTTAAGAGAATGAAAACATTTGAGTCACTATGAAATAAGAACAGAGTTCATACCTGGTGAGACACCTGGGGCTAAAAGTTTGATGAAACACCTGGTGGAACATCTCGCTCTAAAATAACTGGTGTAAAATCTTTTTAGAAGCATCTGTAGGAACAGCTGTCTCTGATTACGACCTCCATCACACCCGTCCACCTGCTGCAGGTGAACCCGTCCTCCTCCTCACCTTGTTAAGTTCTTGTTTCTGCAGAGCCCTGAGTCCCCACAACTCATCATCCAGTTCTCCATCCTCCTCCTCCTCATCCTCTTCCCTCTGCTCCTTCTTCCTCCACTCTTTCTCTACAGGGAGGAAAGGACACAAGGAGAGAGGACAGGAGGTGAGAGAAAAAGCAAAAAAAGCAAAGGAAACAAAGAAGTAAAGAAAGCACAACAATCCTATCCTTGTTCACACATTTAAATACAGCATTGTGATCTGTGTGTGCGTGCGTGCATTTGTGTGAGATGGTCGGACCATACCAATCACAGCCAGTGAGGGGGGGCAGGGCCAGTAGTCTGTCTCTATCTTGGAGGGCAGGTTCGGGTCTGGAGGCTGAGCTGCTGGAAATTTGGAGGATTCAATGATCAGATCCTCAATGTGTTTCCCCTGAGGGACCTGTGGGGATGATACATCTGCGCGCACACACACACACACACACACACACACACACACACACACACACACACACACACACACACACACACACACACACACACACACACACACACACACACACAGTATGTTTAAGCTGATTAAAGGCAGTGAAGTCATGTCTGTAGTTTAGATGGATGGGGGTTCCAGCTGACCGACATCCAGATTTATTCAGATCCACTGCAAAGAAACAGGAGCTGTTTCTGAAAGCCCAGTGACTTGATAAGTCTTTGTGTAAAAAAATAAGGACTTCATTGGTTGTACTAAGTAAAAAATATTAGCCAGTTAAAGAAGAAAGAAAGATAGATGCAGTATTCCTCTCAGTGTGTTTATGTGGACATCAACACTAACATCAGTATCTAAATGCACTCCTGGTAGTTATTGTTTAAATGTGGTGTTAATGTGCTGAGTTGGCGTGCTGTCGGCATACATCTGCTTGGTTTAATTGCATGTTTACAGAGAAAATCAGCTCTTCTTTGTTGTTGAATCCTGTTGAGGGCGTATAAATATATATCACCTACTAAAGTCTTTAATACTCCACTCAGCATAATACAGTGGCTGACTAGTGCATCATTGCTAGACTTATAAATGGTCCACTTTGCCACAGTAGCTGCCCTTTACTGAGACAATCAGGGAGTTGGTTTCTGGATACCTTTAGGACCTGTTACTACAGAAACCTCAAATCTTACCCTGTTTCATGTAGAATCGTCTGATTGGGTGTTATTGAAGACAAATTCAGCCAACAAGCTCAGAACAAGGACTTATTTCAAAATATTACATGTCAAAATAAGGACTGCATTGAGACTACATGATACAAATCTACCTGTCAGGTTTTGAAATAAAAGCTCTATTTTAATCCATTGGCACATTTTTTGAAATTCATTACAAAATAATAATTCAGGCCTTACTTATGGCAACAGTATCTCAACAGATGAAACTGACTGATGCTGCCTTACCCCTAATTTCCACTGCATCCGGAACGACTATGAAAAGGCCGTATCTGCCGATTGTATCTGATAGTAACCATTCAAGTTAATGTGTAATTTCTACCGGCTTCTTTCCGTTCCGCTGCGGATCGCCGGACTCCGCAGCTGATCGCAAGATTTCTTTTTTTTCCAGATGCTGGAACAAATCAGGTAAATTCAGCACAGATTAACCTGTGCTGGAAAGGAAGTCGGGGCACAGACACAAAATAAAACATCCGGCTTCTTTTCAAAATAAAACACTTTGTGTTTCAGGCGGATCGTATTTCATACCATGCAAACGGGCGGAGACAAACAAGTGAGAGGTTTTCAGACAGCATTTCACCCCGATGACACCATGGATGAGGAGATGCTGATTTTATAAGTCTACAAGTAGCTTTCCTCCTCTGGAAGGACACAATCTTCTGCTTTTGTGGTTAGCCTCTGTGGCTAAAAGACAACTCAATTGCACATGTATCCGTGGGTTCTTGTGAGTTCTGGTGATTCCTGCTGTCCGTAATCTGCCCCGAAATTCGCCTCAAAAACGGATCCAGTAGGAATTGGCGGTGAAAATCATTGTCGATCCAGATCAGAGCTGTTCCAGATCTGCGTTATTCAATTGGGGGTTACCCCCAATTTTCATTGCATCTGGAACAGCTCCAATTCGGAACAGCGGCAATTTTTGCTGTCTGCCAATTCCTACCGGATCTGTTGTGAGGAAAATTTTGTGGCAGATTTCAGACAGCCGGATTCGCATGGTGTGAAATACGATCCGCCTGAAACACAGAGTGTTTTATTTTGAAAAGAAGCTAGACGTTTTATTTGTGTCTCTGCCTGACTTCCTTTCCAGCACGGGTTAAGGTGTGCTGAGTTTATCCGGCATGCTCCAGCATCTGGAGCATCCAACTCTTGTGATCAGGGGCCTGTTCTATGAAGCAGGATTACTGCTTCGCGAGGTAACTTTGATGGTAAGTTTGGGGTTTCCTGTTCTATGACGCAGGTTCACTTCTTAGCGAGGCGGGTCTCCATGGCAACAAATGGTGAACGGCTAACCTGCTCCAGGGCAGGTTAGGTTCCAGATTGAACTCACGGAGTATAAAAACCCCGCCCACTCTCTCGAAAAATGGCTTGTCCATTCTTGGAGGATCCTATAGACCTCAGTGCTCGCATTGTCTGAGGAGCACGCGAGAGTTTTCAGGGACCGCACGGACCCACTTCCTTTTCCAGATGACCACCTTTATGAAAGGCTCATATGGCCTACATATCACACAAAACATGTAAACACGATAGGAATGAACAAATGAATGAATTCATCTTGGAAATGAATGGGCATGAGCTGCAGGGGCTGTGTGATCACAGACAACGTCTAAGTACTATTTAGTAGCAGCGCACGCCCCTTATAATAACCCCCGTAAATACTGTTGTTCAGGACTGCTTACTTCTGCTTCCTACCCACTGTAACAACCGTTGTTCTTGCCTACATGCAACATTTTTGTTCTCATTCATTAAACACTTAAATTGGGGACATTTTCGGGGACAGCTTTAGCCGGGGACAGGTCATCCAATTCGGGGACTGTCACCTTAGTTAAAAGTGCATGTTGAACAGTGCTATTTCAGGGTGATAATGGCATCAAAGATTATATTTCTGCCAGCATTCCTTTCGTGCTTTTGCAGCGGCGACGGTGTTGCTTTTGAGGTTTATGATAGATTTGAATTCTTCATACTTTCTCATGATCGTCTCCTGCTCCTTGTTTGTAAAGTATGAGGTCATTCGCTCTCCGGCCGACTCTGACGCTCCAGGCCGGTCCATGTACGCTAGGTCAGATGCGGTGGGCTCCACCTTACATGTGTGCACGCTCTCATAGCAAAGCTGGATCAACTTACGAGGTTGATAACCAGCGTCGTAAGACCGTTTAGCGAGACTGCTGGCTACCGTGCTAAGTTGAGCGAGGTAGCTCCAAGGCTAGGTTGAACTTTCTTCGTAGAACAGGCCCCAGCTGTGAAGTCCGGCGATCCGCAGCGGAACGGAAAGAAGGCGGGGGAAATTGACACTTCCACTTAAATGGTTATGATCAGCTACGATCAGCGGATACGGCCTTTTCGTAGCCGTAGTGGATGCGGTGGAAATTGGGGGTAAAGTGAATCTGAGTTATAGTGTGTCTGATAACAACGTTTGAGTAGAAGTCTGACAAATAAAATTGCTAGGATTCTTTTTTTTTTAGTGTTTACCAAGATACTTGGACACATTAGACCTTAATCACCTGATTTAAACCCATTTTGTTTTTATGTCAGAGTAACAAACCTTGTTTGTAGATCGGCGGCTTCTTATAAATGTTGCTGCCATTTTCTGAAAAGATGGAAAACAGCAGTGTTAGTGGGCGAGTTTAATGCGAGATTTTTCATACTTTAAAAACAACACTATCTGAGTTATATGATGGTAAAATTCCCAAAATAACACACTGAATTTCTGTATGATCAGATTTAATCATTTCTATTGATTCATAATTCAATGTAAGTACGTTTAATAGAGGAAAAGTCATAAATTAAAGAGGAAGAGTTGTTACCAGGCCTGTGGAAGTGCTGCACGGTGCCCTTGCTACCAGAGGACTGTGTTTGTGGTATGTTTGGTGTGTTGGGTGTGTGAGGTGTGGACGGTGTGTGTGAGCTGTGTGTTCTGCTGGTCTGGATGGTGGAACAAGGGGAGGAACCTCCAGGAGATCGGTTCTCTAGCCACTCCCGGGACTCCTTCTGGAAACACATGCAGTAAACTTAAAATACTTTTTAAAACGAGAAAAAGGTCACCAACACATTTCTCTCTAAGCTGCAGAGAGAGAAGAAGAGAGAGAGAAAAAGGAGGGGGTGAGGCAGAGAGTCTTACCTCCGGGGAGGGAGGAGGAGAGATGGAGCGAGGAGACAAGGACCTCTGACAAGGAGAGGAGAGAAAAAGAGAAAGTCAGTTATTTTTGATCAAACTTCTGAAATGTAAGAAGTAGGTGCTTCTTTGTCAAAACATTGAGAATGAACTGAATGTAAACAACACTCATCACACTTTCTCTCTCTCTCTCTCTCTCTCTCACACACACACACACACACACACACACACACACACACACACACACACACACACACACACACACACACACACACACACACACACACTGTGGGTCTTAATTGTGGTACGAGCTGTCTGGTCTCATGTGTCGTGCTGCAGCCCAGCGCCAAGCTAACCAACCAGAAAACTAACCGACTGTCGACCAGCAGCCTGCTGACACACTGACTGCTCCTCTGGTTCCACCAATCACATGCTAAGCCACGCCTACATGTTCTGGACCGATAGACGGAGGGGAAAATGAATTTATTTTGACCTCTGTCTGCTCAGCTCTTTTAGATAATCGTTATTTTGATGTTTTGAGGCCTGTGTTGGACACCAGCTCACTGCACTCAGACCGCTTTCTCAGCCTTGACACAGCTGGAGGAGGTTTCACCTAAACGCCACACGTCACAACAGCAGGAGCTGAGGGCTGTCCGGCGGTCAAGTTTGCTCAACAAAAGCAGCAGGAAAAAACTTCAATCTCAGTTAAAAAAAAAAAAAAAACGAGAGGAAAGACTGTGAAAAAAACTGTGCATTTCAGTGATGTAGCTCAGACCTAAACAAGCTTTAAGGGTGATCGGTAAAATCTGACGGTCAACTCTCAAACTAAGGAAATGAGGGAAACCTCTGATGTTATATTGGGAATAAATGAAGGTTTGAATTGAAGTGACTGTGACCTGAAAATTTCAGGAGTTTTACGCGTTTAGATTTCATGACCAAGTTCAGAAAGGGAAGTTTCTCAAGTCTAAATGCATGTGGTGGAGAATGAAAGAATGAAAGGAACTTGGCAGGAAGAATGAATAAATGAATGAATGAATGAGTTACACAGTAACAAAGATCACCTCCAGAGGGCTGTAGCTGTAGTGCGGCTGGTAGATCATCAGGTCCGGTCTCTCTATGTCCAGGATGGCTTTGTCTCTCGGTAATGCAGCCAAGTCCTTGTAGCCAATAACCCCGTCCTCCACTCTGGCCTGGACAGAGAAGGGGGAGGGGACAGACAGGCGGAGATTACAGATTACAGCCTCAAGATTAATCTGAAGGATAATATAACTCGATCTGTGTGTGGGACTCACCACGATGGCGGCGGCAGGGGATCCTGGGACGCTGGTCCCTCTTAGGGACAACACACTCCCTGGAGACGTTTGAGCCAGCTGCTGCTCACACACACACACACACACACACACACACACACACACACACACACACACACACACACACACACACACACACACACACACACACACACACACACACACACACACAGGCAAAGATCAGAGGTCAAGCACCAGTCATTATTATCAAACCATGTGGAGGACAGTTTTAGGTAATGAAGTCATCAGACCATTAAAGACGCGCTCAATGAAATCACCACTGAGGTTTCCTATTACACAAACAATGAACCAAAACCAAGAACCAAAACCAGAAACCCAGATTGATATTATTTTAGCACCACAGGGGCTATAAACAGATCTTACCTTAGGCATCATCCTGACTGCTGATTGGTCAGTTCCTGAGAGAAAGAAACAGACAGAGCAGAGTCCTAAATGACAAACATAAGGGATGATTTATGCAGTTTTACAGCAACCACACAACAAAAAACAATGATCAAAGACAAACTGCTGACAGAGTCAAGGGTTTTTCAAAACGTATTCATGTAACCCAAATATTTTTTTGTTTTCAAAATGTTTTAATGTGCTTTGGAATTTATTTCTTAAATGTATCTTATGTTCATTTGAAACACTTTTAAAAAAAATGTGTCAGCGGTTTTTGAAATAATGCCTGTTTCCTTCCTTAAATATTTGTGTCACTGACATTCAGAGCCACCGTACTTTAGCCCAAAACTTGTAAAAGTCAGAAATATGGTTTGTAACACAATAAAAATTTCTTGAAATCGATTAAATCAATTATAAAAAGGATTTTAATAGAGAGATGTTCAACTTCTGAGAAGTCTGTTCATTTAGACCTCAAGACTTGTCTGGAGCTCCTTTACCGTGGATTACTGCGTCAGTGTGGCACAGCGTGGTCTTTTTTTTTTTTAGTCCACAATTCAATATTTTATAAAATGAATCTTCACAACATTCTGACTAATTGTAGGACATCCTCCATCAGATCATGGTTTTGTTGTCCAATCACAGATTGGTGTAATGGAACCAAGTGTATTATGCTGAAGCAGAACTTCCACTCAACTCTCTCAACATTGGACAACAAAAATCTGAAATTTGACGGCAGATTTTTTTCTCTTAGAGAAGTTTGAAAAAGTTTATCATAAAATCCTGATCTCATCTCTGCTGCTGCCTCATTTCCACCTCTACTCTATCTTTTTTGTCCTTTGCAGCAGCTGCAGGGGCGTTGGTTCTGTATTGTCTGATGTGACTGACGGACACAAAGAGATTATTCCAGAGTCCACAGCTTTGTCAAACACACACACACACACACACACACACACACACACACACACACACACACACACACACACACACACACACACACACACACACACACACACAGGGAAGTCAAGGTAACATGCGGTCAATGACAGGTGAAAAGCTCTGCACACTCTCACAATAAAACGTGTGTGTGAATGTGTGAATGTGTGCTTGTGTGTGTGCGTGTGTGTGTGTGAATGTGTGCTTGTGTGTGGGTGCGTGTGTGTGTGTGTGTGTGTTCATACCTTAGGGAGGGTAAGGGATCATGTCTGTTCCTGTTTGTCTTTGGGGCTCTGCAGCCCTCTCTGAAACACAAAGGTCTACACTTAGGTTGTTTCGATGCTTAAAATATTTTACAGTGTTAGAATGTTACAGTGTCATTTAGCAGACGCTTTTATCCAGAGCGATGTACATGTGAGAACAACACAAGCAAAGATTGAGACAAGAGGAAACAAGATCAGTAAGAGCAAGTCTAATTGGACACAGGTACTGCCATGCAGTTTGAAAGTCAACGCACAACACTGAGTAAGAATTTTTTTTCTCATCAACAAGAAGCAATCATTACTTATTGTCATCACCATCAAATAACTTGTCATCACTACAAAATTACCAAGGTACCAAGTACTGGGTCACTGAAGGGCTGAACATAGAGACCCCTAGAGTAGAGCAGGACAGAGAGAGCCAACTGTAGCTGGAAGACTCATTCAACCACTGGAGACAACAGTGGAGAATGGTCTAGCTAAGTGCATAGTGTTCTCTGAAGAGCAGTGTCTTTAGCTTTCTTTTGAAAGTAGAGAGCAGCTCTGTGGATCACACAGAGTTAGGTAATTCATTCCACCATTTTGGGACAACAGAAGAGAAAAGTCAGGCTAGTGATTTTGGGGCCTGTGCTGGGAGCACCAGACACCTTTCTGAGGCTGAGTGTGGTAGGCGAGACGGGGTGTAGACCTGGATGAGGTAAATAGGAGTAGTATGGGTTACTGCTGTGTAAGCAATGATTAGAGTTTTGTATTTGATACGAGCAGCGCCAGTGAAGGGAGATGAACGGAGGAGTGACATAAGCTGTCTTGGGCTGGTTGAATACCGGACGTGCTGCTGCATTCTGGATCATTTGCAGAGGTTTAACTTTGTAAGCGAGGAGGTCTGCCAGTAAGGAGATGCAGTTGTCAATGCTGATATTACAAGAGCCTGGACCAGGAACTGTATTGTTTTGTCAGGTAGGGTCTGATCCTCCTGATGTTATAGAGGGCGAATCTGCAGGACAGGGCAATCAAGGCAACATAAACCCTGAAGGTTAGCTGGTCATTAATCATCACACCCAGATTTTAGGCAGAATTAGTAGGAAAGAGGTTATGATCCAGATCCAAACTGGATATTGATCTGCAGGTCCACAGTGGGACTAACTAAAATAATAAGCTCAGTTTTGGACAGGCTGGGCTGAAGGTGACGTTCCCTCATTCATTTAGAGATATTAGCAAGGCAGGAGGAGATCCAGGCTGAGACAGTTGTGTTATAATGTGGAAAAGACCAGAAGAGTTGAGTATCATCTGCATAGCACTGTTAGGAGAAGCCATGGGAGGGGATAATTTCAGGGCTTGAACCACTGGAGGGCAGACCCTGAGATACCAAGTGAGGAGAGTGTGGAGAGGAGGATTTGGTGGTTTACTGTGTCAAAGGCAGCAGACAGATCCAGCAGCATGGGAACTGAGAACTGACCAGCTGCTTTAGCAAAGCACAACGATTTCATTACCAACAAGAGTGCAGTTTCAGTAGAATGGCCCGACCTAGAGCCAGACTGATCCAGATCAAGTTCATCATGGTTCTGTAGGTATTCTGAGAGTTGGGTGAAGACTGTGTGCTCTACAATTTTTGATAGGAATGATAGGAGTGAGTCCAGCCTCCAATTTTCAACCTGGACTGTGTTGAGTGTGGGTTTTTTGAGCAACAGTCTGACCCTTGCTTGCTTGAATGTAGTAATTAAGTATTGAAAGCATACTGAATCATCTGAGTAAATCTCGTGAAACTCCACCGTCCCATTATTGCCATAAACATGTTTAATCACAATATTCAGAAGTCTACATCCCTGCCAGTGGTGATTCTGATTTTCTGCAGATCCATCAGATTTTAGCCCGTCTGTCTGTGACCCTCCCTCTTGTATTGACCCTGCTGGTGTCATGTGACTCTGAATAATTAAAACCTTGTATGGCTGTCTGTTTGACCCTGACTGTGAGCTGTGGTTACTCTCTCCCGCAGGAAACAGCCAGAACCTCAGGGCATCTACAATTAGACTGAAGGTGCAAAATCTCAGGTTTACAGACTCCCAGGTTCTGATATTTCTGCAGAAAATAGTTTTTCCGGTTGCATTTCACAACAACAACAGCATCAGCAATTTCGTGACGTCTGATTCTTTATCATGATTTATTTTAGATGCATTAAGATGAATTTACATGTCCACAGGGTTTAAAGTTTCTATCTGCAGGATTTCTGCCTAAATTTTCACAAAATGCTGAACTTAAACTCTCTGGTGTCTTAGAAAACAAAGTGACGTCTTCTTTTGTTGTTTTTGTTTTTTTTAGATGAAATGATAGAAGGAGGTGTGTGTGTCTCTTGGGGGAGATCATTTTCAATCTGATGACGCCGTCTGATCAATAAACTGATCGATGAGGCTGAGGGGATCAGGTATCAGGTCTCCTCTCTGCAGCAGTTTGTCTTCAGTGCTGGACAGTCACTCAGCACATTAAATGGAGTATTATACACCCCCACTATGAAGTATTTTTACTCTATCTGCGTATTTATATTTGATTCTGCTTTAGCCTCTACTCAGAAGTTGGAAGAGAAGTACTCAGATATTTTACAGCTGAATTAGTGATACCAAAGTGGGGAAAGATAAGTCTATGCAGTAATAAAGAGACAATAAGGACAAGCAGGACTCAAACCTATTGAGCTAAAACTAGGGCTGCCAAGGTTCAAACTTCAGTTTTATTTTTCTCAATGTCGTTCTTTTATGTCCCTTTTGGCACACTGTAGCTAAACTGCTGCAGCATCCTCCTGCTTCCTGCTGCTGCTGTGATGGAAAATAACAACCTCACTGTGCTTTTGAATGGCACGCTTTACTTAAAAACTGCCAGACGGCTCGGTTTACAAGTCAAGAGTGATCTGCACTTTGTGTTAAACTGAACCAAATATCACTGAATATTTCCAGTTTGGGTTAGCAGCTATGAGCTAAGCATACAGATGCAGCTAATCAGGCTGGTGTCAGAGGTCAAACACATCACAAAGACCCGACAGAGTGATTTTACCTGCAAAAACCATGCAGTATGCTAACACCCAATAATCAAGGATTCTTGGGGTGGCCAGTCAGATTTGCCCCTGCCCCACTCCAGACATGCTCTTGCACTGCGACTCCAATAACTGATTCACATCCATCATTGGATTTTAGACTAAATGTTTAAGTCTAACTGAGACTCTTACAGATATGGTGAATAAACGAAGGGGACAGAAAATCACAGTTTCAGGACCAGGACTGTCAAGATTAATGCATCAAACAACAAGAAGAGAAGCACTGAGTCTAGGTGTCAAAGCTCATGAAAGTGAAGTTAATCTGGGTCTAAGGTAGAGAATTATCAAACGGAATACAAACTGTCAGAGAAAAGGGTTGACTCACATCTTGATGCTGGATTTTGGTCTTCAGGTTCAGACTCCTCTGGTTTGCAGACTTCTGAGAGGAAAAACAAACAAACCGAGCTTTAAAACTTTAAAAATAAACAGTCTCAGTTTTAAAGTTATTATTTATTTTAATGTTAACAGCATCCCTCTGTTAGAATCAGTGGACGTCAACGGAGGCTTTTTTTTTCTCTTCTCATGTTTAAATCTATTTTCAGATTCACATTTTATTTCCAGGAAGTCGATGCTGTTGCTAAGCGACAGAGCTGGCAGGAGTTTGATCTGCAGATGAAATCTGCTCCATCTGACAAAAATATAGATATTAATCCATCTTTGGCTGGCAGGAGTTTCTGTATTTCATGGGCTCTATGTGACAGAAGACTTTATTTGGTAAACTAGATTAACTCAACCAAACTAACAGCTCAGCGTCCCTGTAATGTTCAGAAAATAAACAGAATTATTTGTGAGATTCGCTCCTGAAGCAGCTTTAAACTTGTCTCTGTAGATTGAGCCAGAAACTGTCCTGCCAAAAGTGTTCCTCTGGGGACGACGACAAGCTGAAATGTGCAGAGCTTTGTTTGGATTGACTCATAGAGAGCTGAAAATCATGTGGATAGAAAATAATACGAGGATGTTTGCCAGTGAGCAACATTTCTGTCAATGCAAAAATGACAGAGATGTATGAAAGTGATCTGTAGCGAAGCGTTACTGGGATTACTGGACACAAAACAAGGAAAAAAAAGGAATGATGATTCTTTTTAAGTCAGATAAAACTGTAAAAAGCAGAGCCAGCTGAGCCCTGAAATAAAACACTTGTACTGTGGACACCCAGCAGATCCTGGGAGGAAAAATAAGTCCAGTTGTGTTTATTTTTTATTTTTTTGGGCGATTTTTGTCTTTATTGATAGGATAGAGTGAATTGTGGGGAAATAGAGGGGGGAGGACATGTCCCGCGGTGGGGACTGTGGTTCTCAAACATGGGGCGTCCTAACCTGCTTGGCCATCTGCGCGCCCCGTCCAGCTGTGTTTATAACCCACAACATCAATCATATGGTATGATCATATTATATTGTATGGTATGAGGGAAACAAAGTTTGACCAACTTGCTCGTGTGCATCCCTCACTGCAGCAATGCTTTTTTCAATCTTAAATACTTGCATGCCAATCTGCAGTATGAGTTGGAGACATGTAAGTTAATAAAGGGTAACACTTAATGCTGACAACAATGTCTTCCCACACAATGTCAACATAACACCAAATGTGTCATAACTGACCAAATGACAGTTAATGACAACCTTCATGAGCCTTATTCATGTTAATGACAAGTGTCATGTCATGATTATGACAGCGTAATTTCAGTCTTAAATAAAGTGTTACCTAGTATAGTATGAATTCAGGGCATTGTACATGCTTATAAGACTCTGACACTCATATGACAAGAGACCGAGCAGCAATGTAGAGAAAGAAGCTGATGCAGAAGTGTGAAAAACTGCAGTGCCACGACTGTCCACTTGAGGCTGTCTGCAGAAGCATTCGAAACTATGTACACACTGAGTCCAAAAAAGCCTGAATTTAGAGCAAAAATACTGACAGAAGGGCATACTGTAGCTGTTTGCAAGAAGGCCAAAGGCGCGTTTCTGGTAGGTTGAGTCAGCATTTCTAATATGGTCACTTCCACTGATTCCAAACTCCGCTCCAGAAACAGATGGGTGATGTAGCTGAGGCTGCACCAGGACTCATGATCAAAAAGAGTTTTTTAAAGATAGGTTTGATCAGACTATGTTACTGTACTTAAAAAAAAAAAATCCTTTAAGTCAGACCTGCAGACCCATGGTCAACATGATCTTTGTATTCGCAGCTCTTATTTCAGGTCAGCTGATGTCTTGCTAATGCCATGATTTCTCACCTGATGCTGCTGCAATAACACATATCAAAGCATGGATAATCAGACTACTTCAGGTATGTTCTCATTAATAAAATACTAAAATTAAAGTCAGAGAATAATTAAATCAACTCTGACACTCCCAACTTGCCCAGAGTCAGTAAATCTTGTATTAAATCAGCACTTATTCATGAATTGAAAAAGCTCAAAGTTCAGCTGATTATACAGAGAAACTTTTTATTTTGCCCTAATGTTAAACTCGTCTAATTTAACTCTTGAGGGGCTCCTACAAACTAAATCTGTGTATTTGTCTATTTGTCACTCACAAACATTATCCAACAAATGTCTGTTGATCTGCTGATCGGCAGATTCCTGAAACGCTGTTTGTTGGTGCTCTCGTTCAGCAGATCCGTGAGTCTGCTGGGACAGGAGATAACTCAGAGGAATGCTGGGAGATATCTGGAGGTTGCTAGGTTACCACACCCCACTGGCCAATCAGCTGGCAGGAATGTGGGAGAGAGAAAGAGAGAGATGTTGCACTAAAATAGACCTCCCAGTATCAGACCACCTGACACTTAGGAAGTGTGTGTCCATCACATTATTCCCACCACACACACGAACACACACTGAGGGGGGCGGGCACGGTCTCAGGTGAACCCCACCCACCTGCCACGCCTGCATATGAAAATCAAACTACTGCTGTAAACTTTCTCCTGCACAGATATACACTGTTAAGAGTTTCCTTTTTCTTTTTTGTTAGTTTAAAATTTTTCCTCTGCCCATCAGTTTGTTCTCCTACATTTCCCAGGGTTCCTTGCAGCAGCAGCAGCTTTCAGTGAAAGTGCTTTTGCTTTTGCTTTCAGCTGCTGGTTGTGTGGGAGGCTGAAGTGAAAGTGTGACTCTCACTCCTGACTGATAACGCAAACCCTTTTCTATCATTTTTTCTGCAGAGGGAAACAAAAAGAACAAAATGGAGGCTGGAGGAAAGAGAACCTGCAGGATCTATCTATGAAATTGTAATGTTTTTTTTCCTGTGAGGAGTGGGCACAAACTTATCTGAACCAGGATTATATTATTCACACATAAAACTTCTTATTTCACAAGGACCAAAAATTAACTACTGACAGAAAGGGTTAAAATGAGCTCAAGTTTGTGCATCACTTCAGTATCTGAGTTACTCTCCAGCAGAGTGATGTTAACTGAACGCAGGATCTCAGTGGGCGTCTGTTTTCTTCTTCTTCTCTTTGTGTTGGAGACGTAAATTACCAGGTTAATATCTCTGAGGAGGTCTTTAGTATCGGTCACTGCTCCCACACTGAAAACACACACTGAGGTCCTGAGAACGTGCAGACCTTACAATCAGATTTATAACTGACTGACACACACACACACACACGCACACACACACACACACACACACACACACACACACACACACACACACACACACACACACACACACACACACACACACACACACACACACACACACATACATACATAGACAACATGTTCATCTTTCTCAGCAACAAAATTCATGAACACAAACTGTGATTCATTCAGAAAATTCCACAGAATGCTCTTGATCGTGCAACATCTGTTGCTGAGTGCCTGCTCTAACTTTAACACTGCCTTCATTACATAAAGACAGAATAATGCTTTCAGTAGCTGAAATGTTCTGCTGTTCATTTGTTTTATAAATATAACCCTCCGCTTGTATGTCAAGGACTGAAGCTGTTTATAGGAAGAGGAACAATTCACTAGGGCTGGGTGATAAGGGTTAAAAACAACACCTTTGGGAATAAACTTGATAATCGATTTGTCTCATAGCCCTACAATCAACTATTAAGGTATTTAGGGATCAGTTGGCAGCTTTAAGCCTTCAATCTTGATTGACCCAGCTGTGTCAGATACTTGATTCTGATTTGTCAACACTTGATAACTCCAATGGTGAATTCTTAACAGCTAAAGAAACACCAGACTGTCTGATAACATGCCATGTACCTGAAATCTGCACAAAGAAGTCAGGCCCATTTCGCCTCTGCCTTGAGCGATTAACCGCATTTTAATTCCAATTATGATTTTGGCCCCATGAGCACCTTTGTTACGTCTTATGGGTTACATGAAGCTCCCTCTCTTTCTTAACAGCAGAGCGTACCAAGCAGCTCTCACTTTCACTTCATCAGCAGCAGCTCAGATTAAGGAACATCTGCAAGTTGTGGCTCTTCACAGTGACAGGTGGAGAAAGCAGAAAGCGGAGCAGGAGGATGAGAGAGGAGAGCAGGGAGAGGAGGAGGAAGAGAGAGAAGAGCAGGAAGAGGAGGAGGAGAGAGGAGAGAAGGAGGAAGAGAGAGGAGAGCAGGTAGAGGAGGGGGAGAAGGAGGAGAGCAGGGAGAGGAGCAGGTGTGTGTCTGAAAAACCAAAGGACAGAATGTGCACAACAAGAGAGAGAGGCTGAAGCAATTGTAAGCTGATGACAGCTGGATCAAAAAGTGATGGTGTTCAGGCATTGAACGAAGACAACACAGAGATGAGGAAACCAGAACCAGGTCTCAGTTAATGCTTACTGCTGCCTGTATCAGAAGCATCAAGAAGCCAACTCCTAGGTGCTGTCTGAGAAAATGTCTCTACCATCACATTATCCTATTCTCACAAGCTTAAAGGTTGTATAATATGCTAATCACGCCGACTCCTTTCACTCATTTTGCATCTTTAATTCACAAATGACCCCGATCTGCTCACCTTGTTCCCTTTCAGAGATATAATTCTCACACAACTGGTCCTCTCCTCCTTAAATCCGCAGAGCAGCATGTCTCACCAAGCCTCCTTCTGTTTCTCTGTGCTCGTGTGTTTCTGCTCTTTTGACTTATTTAACCTTCACTGTGTTTTGTAGAGTCCGCAAAGTAACACAACCCTTTCTGAAAATCACACACTTCCTGTATTTGAAAGTGTTACTCAGGATTTTGTTTCCAAAGTGGATGATTTGTGGCTACTGTGTATGAAGTTAAAGTACCAAGATAGTGTTTGCTACTGGATGACAGTCAGAGGTAAGACGCTTTGACATGTTTTCATAAGTTTAGTCATGCTGCAGAGGCCCATATTTATTTGGCTTCTACACTCTTTTTTATTGCAGATAGCTCAGCTGGTGTGTTTTAACTATTACATGACAGAGACATGATCAAAAGTAGTTTGTGTTTGAAAGTCTAGGATTGCCACAGTTTGGTGAAAAACATCTTGTACCCAGCTCAAACTCCAAGTATAATTGTCCTTATCCTCCCTTCAGCTGGGATCGCTGCTAAACTCATGAAAACATCACTCATAAACATGAGTCAGCATTGTTTTGGGGAGAAAGTCCAAAATAGGAAAGGCTTTACGCCGTTGTTCTTTGTTTTTGTCATTTTGGTGTACTTGTTTTCACATAAACAGCTGCTTGTCTGTCCTTTGAGTGACACAGGTGACCAGAATATCTATAGCGTATTCAGCGAACATTTCACGAATCATATTTTAATTTCACTGGTTTATCTGCTGTGTTGATGTGATGAAACTTTCTTTCTTTCTCCACCTAAAAAGGCTTCGGGTCTGCAGAAAATCTCTGGCTCTGAATTCTTGATGCTGTTTTTGTCTCATCAGAGGTTTTTGTCGAGTCGTGATGTGGTAAAATGTAAAACGTGTTGATGCCTGAAGCTGTAAGTGGGTCAGAAACTGAAAAGTGCTGAGTCACAGCTTCACACTCATAGCTCTGACTCTCATTTCTAACCTCTGTGCGAAAATCTACTGAGCTTATGATGTTATTACGTGTAAAAACTTTGTAATGCTGCATTTCTAGATTATCTGCAAACCGCTTAATATTCAGGTATTTCATATGCAGGCTGTATAAACAGGACGACACATAAGTCTCAGCAAAGCAATTCAACACTATAATCACATATTGTAGACACTCTCTGTTATGAGACATCAGATAAATGTTGCGCAGTAAAATGTGAAATATATCACCCTGACATACTGTATGCTAAACAAGCCTCACAGCATGGGAATAGAGGTCAAGTGTCTTTGAATGATCGTATTGAGTGTCTCTCAGAACAAGCAGGTATTGAAATTGGTTTTCATCGACTGTAGCAGAAACTCATACGAGCTAAGATTCATCTGTGAATGACTTCAGTGATATATGCATGTGACCCCATCTTCACAGGAAATATTAGACTTTCAGTGTTTCTGCACACACGTCACCAGGTCTTTAAAAGCCACACATCTCTCATTGATGAGTCTCTCTTTTTAAAGCCATTATAAATAAACTTCTTGTTTGTTCATTCCTTCAATTCTCCTTCGCAGCATCAGTAGCTCACAAAGACAAATTCTGCCAATATGTAAACATTGACAACACGCCTCTATCCCGTTACGAAAAAAAGTGAAGCCCCCAGCAAAGAGATAATGATACACCAACCTTTAAGGGCAGATTTATGCCATACAGTTCTAGTTACAAACAACACTTATACACACATGATAATGTATCAGATTTTATAGAGCTTTTTATCAGAGACTTTCAAAGCGTTTTACATTGGATACATCATTCGTTTGCTTACACAGTCACAGCCTGGTGCTGGTAAACTACCTTAGTAGTCACAGCTGCCCTGGGGCAGACTGACAGAAACATGGCCGCCAGTTTGCACTTACAACCTCTCTGACCACCACCACACAACAGTCACAATCATACACCAGTGGAAGACACACACTGGGAGTAAGGTGGGATAAGTGTCTTGCCCAGGGATACAAAGGCAGACTAGAGATAGAGGGGAATTGAACCACCAACCTTTGAATCATTGGACAACCGCTCTACCTCCTGAGCTACTGCCACCGGTGTATAATCAACACCCAGCAACTATAGAATGACCACCAACCTGGATGTAGTTATATTACTCTATATGGTGCATTAGTTTGGTCTCAGGAGTTGTAGGCAATGTTGCAGTCAGATCACAAAAAACCTTGAGTTTGAGTTGAGCCTCTACCTGAGTCCACCTCCCACTCAAGCCCGGTTATAGATGTTATTAATTATGAGTATGGGTGTTTTTTTTTGAATTGGCCTACTGCATACTCCTGCCAACCTACTCAGACCTACTCGGTATCTACTGCATACTCAGTATGCTGTACATACTGCAAACTGAGTGCTGTGTTCAATAGTAGTATGCAGTATGACCGCAAGTCAGCCGTTATTATGTAGTATGCTTGGCCCGGTTTAGCTGGTTTCCGGTATGGAAAAGTACATCATACCCTGGTAAATTGCAACGACACTACAGTGTTGCCCATTCATTTATGCACTGAAAAAAATCTTTTATGTTTTAATTTGATTGTTTTCAGGATTTTTTTTAGCCCAATACCAGTCATCAAAACGTGTTCTCTCTATGCAATGACTCTTGATTCTCATCAAGGCACTGTAAATACAGCAAAGTTATGTCAGTTATGTTGTCCTCGTTTTGCTTAAATGAAAGAAGTTGCAATCCTAGCTAAACGTGTTAACTGATGGCGTCTGCGTGGTGTAGTGTTATTTCCCTTGTCCTGATAGTTTGACAACTACAATGAAAACCCTCTCATACAAACTCCTGTCTCCTGCCAATTTATTTCAAATACCATATTGGCTGCTGATTGAATCAGACTGCTTTAACGTTTACTCACCTTTCTGCATTAAAGCTTTAGACCCCCTCCAATGCCAGCTGCTAGTCCAGCTGTGTGATGTAAACATTGGTGATGGCACACGCTATGTACGGTAAACATCACATGAACCGTACAGTATCAAGGATGAGGAGAAGCAGTAAAAAAGGCAGTGGAAATAGAGGATAAAAGCTGTACAGTATGGTAACAAAACATGACATTCTTGTCAGTGGTTTGCACAAATAATGCTGAATGAAGGAGGAGAAGACAGGCTGTTAGAAAGAGAAATCTTTTGGCTGTCCTCTTAGAAAATGAATGCGCTGGTGAAAAGTTTTACCGCTCTCTGCTATTCCGCCGTCTGCCCAGGTGCTTTGCATTGTGGGTAACATAAGGCAAAACAGACTGGTTCGATGCATACTGTGAAATGATCCCAAATCAGTACGTCATCCGGGTTTTTTTTTTCTTTTTTGGCATACTGCAAATTTTGCATTTGTTCACCCACTGCATACTGCATACTAAATTTTGGGCAAATCAGTATGTACTGCTAGTATAGTAGGCAAATTCAAAAATGGCCTCTGTCTCAGAGTTTGAGTTTGTCTCAGGGCTTGAGTTTTTCTCTGGCCTCTTCCTGGGTTATCTTTTACATATCAGACATGTTGCTCTTCTCTTGTTTGCATTCATTTTAAAATCTATGATGAAAAAAAATGTGATGCCTCTTTAGCCATCCTGGCAGGAACTGAAGGTAATTATGAGGCCTGAGCTTTAACCAAAATGACAAGAGCCTCATACGAGAAAACCAAACCGAAACCATAAAACAGTCTTATCTCCATGCAAAAAGGTCAGTTCTAAGTCTGACAGCCTAATTTTGACTATCTTAGACCTGATCTCTCCTGCTTCACTCTTAAAAGACTCCTGATTCTGGATCTTCACTCATGACTAATTTGTGCTGCAGACAATTTCCTGTAGCCTGTAGAAATTTGTTTATCTAGTTGGTTGAGTTTGTTTCTATTCTGAAGGAAATTTGTCATGGCTATTCAGCTTTTTTTCTATTGTAGAAAATAAAAAAATTCAATACATATAAAATAAAAAAGAAGTCTTCCGAATAAATAAATTCAAGTTCTTCTTTCCATTTTTGAAGTCCAGAAGCCCTCAATGCTTGAGTCAAAGTCCAGTCATGAGTCATGGAAATCAGGGCTCGAGTACTAAAACAGTTGTGGCAAGCTTTTTTGATTTACTTGTTTCCCCACATTCAGCTCAATGTTCAAATAGTTTTACTTCATTTTTTCAAGTCATTTCACAAATTACTGAAGTTCCTGGCTCAAAACTGTTTAAACTGAAAAAAACAAAAACAACAAAATAAAAGTTAATATAACAGGTGTGAAACTGGCCAAACAGAATATTAACACTTTGATTATCAGCTATTATTCTGGACATTATGTTTGAATTTGGATTATCAATTTGGTTTAGGAAATTAAAAAACCCACCTTTCCTTTGAGATCTTGGCAGCTTAAGTTTCGTTCTCGCTTTGACTCAATTACTAGAAATCTTGAGTGTGTGTGTGTGTACGTGTGTGGTATGTGTGTGCACGTGTATCTGTGTTTATCTCAGCTCGCAGACGTGACCACACCCTTCATGTTACAACAACAGCTGCCATCTTTGGCTGGTGATGATGACATCGCAGCGGCTGCAAGATGACTTGAACAAGTTTCCTCTCAGTGACCTTTATTTCCTTATCTCCTTGTCTCCTCGCTTTGTTCTCGCCTTCCCTACACCCTTATTTCTTCCTCTTACTACTTTGCCTCCCTTCCACCCTTTCTGTCTTGTCTTCCTGATTTTTCTGCTGTTTTTAAAAAATCTGTACTCCTCTTTAAACTAACTCTTTATTGTCTTATCACAAATGCTCAACAGTTTTTTCTGACGAACAATCTCAGAGTCTCTCTATAACCCAGAGAAGCTCCAGGTAAGACACCCTCAGGAAGCCGGTGAACCTCTACGGGTCTGACCTGATGGAGGAGCACCCAGCTGAACAATTACAGTGCCCACAGACATCTCTAGAATCTGTCTAACAAATCTGTGTCCACTGAATTGTTGACAATAGGCCCTTGCTGATGCTTTTTTAGAGCAGAAATGCAAAAGAGCCAGTGGCAGTAGATGCATCTGCACTGCTGCCATGACGGAGCAGAGATGGACCGAATGAGGATCTGGAGGAAAGCCTTTCTCACCGTCGTGGAGACCTTTCCTTCAGAACTGTCCCTTCTTGCCTCATTCCTCCTTCCTTACTCCAAAGCTGCCCTCCTATTCCCCTGCTCCTGCACTCTGGACCCCCTGCCAAAATGAGTCTGTTTCCAGGCTGGTTTGAGTCCTCTATGCTGTTAAAACGTGTGTAAATGCTCCTTTATAACCACTGTGGAACCACTCAGATACAGTGTGTTCCTGCAGCAGCAGACGGAGGCCTCTGCTCTTATCTCTCAGAGCAGCAGGGGGCCAAAGGGGGGGGGGGGGGGTGAAGCTGCAGGAATGAGGCCATGGGCACAGCCAGCGGTGGAGCTGCTGGTGTGTGTTGTCAGGCGGGTGGAGGAGGCGGGGGAGGCGGGGTTAAACTGTTGTTCAGTGTTGTTTTGGCTGCAGGCGCTCAGGCTGTCAGTTGATTCTTCTCTGCAGGAATTTTAAGTTGAGTGTGTTTGCTGATACGACAGATGGACGAGCTTTATACAGAACAACACCTTCATCTGTGCGCCAGTATCAGAGCAGGACCTGCTTAATACACATTTAAATATGGAGCTCTGTTTGGTCATTTTAACCACGCAGCTGCTCACAAGCCTCCTCCATTATAAGATAATACCCCCCACAATCCAGCCAACCAGACTGGATGAGACAAGGAAAAAGAAAAGGAGACATGAAGGAGATAAGGAGGAGAAAGAAACAGTGGGAATTATGACAGAAGTCAGAGAGGGGAATGAAGTAATGACGAGTTTTCACCCACAGGCTGCAGCTGACAGTGAACGCTGACTTTTGTTTGTTCATGGAAATCTTGATGTTGGTTTAAGGACAGAAACGTGGCTGTAAAGCTGACCTGACTTACTGTTGAGTGTGCTGTCACACAGTGTTTTTGACCCTTAGTTTGACAAACATACTGTCAGTCTCTAAACCCATCGGCTATTGTCGAACAGCAATATCTTCCTTTGTTGAATGATGGTAAAATTTTTAGGCTTTTCAGTGTAGCTATGACTTCTCTGTCAGCTAAATTAGCAATGCAGCTTGTTTAGTGGCTGAGTGTTTGCAGGAAATGAGGGCAAATGCACCCCTTCAGATACATCTGCAACTGTATTAGGACCATCTTCTGAATAGTTACATCCCCCAGTGTCAGGCCTCTTTATCTGTTTCTTGTGAGTCTCAGTTTCCCTGTTAAAAGACGGTCAAATAGAGGCTTCACTTTGGTTTTCTGCAGCAGAATGAAATTAAAAATGTAAACGATTTTCCTCATAATTACTTTCGGTTGTGGGAGTTAAATCTGCAGACACAGCTGTGTCTGCAAGTTCAGCACTGTCATTTCTTGATTCATATCTTCCCAAGTGTAGTGCCTGGTTATCTCTTTCTAGGGAATTCCAGTTTCACAGTTAATGCTGAGTTATAAACATGATTCATTTTGCAGCAGTATGAATCTAAACATGAAACATATTATCTTATGGTTCACTTACAACAAAAGAGGATGAAGTCGACAAAAATGACCTCCATATGCAGATCAGTAAAAGTCAAACTTTGCCAGGTCTGTCTTTTACAGAAAGGAAAAAAAAACAACTTTTAAATGTTTGTTGGATTGAGGTTAATTCAAGGGTTTTTAGGGTTTAGATGTTCAAAAAGATAAATAATTTATCATGAGGTTACCACTGATAGGACCTCAGATACCGTTACAGCAGACTGTGCTCTGCCTGTTTTTGCTCTCCATACTGACTATTTTTTCATCATACAGCACAGAGACTGTGAGCTCAGATCACAAAGTGAAGCAAAATATCCAGACAGGTCTTAAAAATAAATGTCCTTTCTTTGTACATCAAATCCAATGGAGCTACCACTTCTGATAAGTCCCAGTTTCACTGTATATAGTAAATTAAATTAGCATTTCACTTTTGGTGCATCCTGGGAAGTCAGGAAATCTTCACACAAGCTGTTTTCATAATACAACAGCGGTGAGATCCAGCTCCACTCTCCCCATGTCTGTACTTTCATACTGATGCTGCAACAGGCTTACACTAGTTTCCCAGGGTGTGATTTCACATTGCATGATAGTAAAGCTAAAGCAGAGGAGCACACTCAGTGTTAAACTTGACAATTTTGTGACATGAACGGGCACACACACACACACACACACACACACACACACACACACACACACACACACACACACACACACACACACACACACACACACACACACACACACACACATTCTTTCTCATGATTTCAAGTAATTGAGTCAAAGTGACACACACACTTTTCCCTCTGGATTGCTCACAGTGATCCTGTCTTGCCCCTGTAGACCCTCTGTTACAAAGTCTACACAGCAGCAGCTTGGTCCCACCATCACGCTTTGGAGACATTCATATTGTAAGCGAGAAGTTACAGGGTGTGGATTTCTGAGGAGGACTACAGAGTGACTTTGGGGATGCAGCATCAAGCAGATTTGTGGCTCAGGTGTAAATGTTCGATGTCGAACAGATTGCATGCAGATATCTGGTTATACAAAGAGATAAATCTGCGGAGGGAAGTTGTTACAGTGGGTTGTCGTCTGCTTGATTTTGCTCTCCATACTGTGTTTCCTTCATGCACTAAAGCCTGCTAAAACATGATTAGAACTACTCGACTGTTGAACAGACTCTGGACAGAAAGCAGAACACTCGCTCTATAAAAGAAATAGACTTTTTTTATACTTGTCAATACTAAAATTAAATGTTGAGCTGAATACCAGATCAAAAGTACATGAAAAGCCTTTAAATACTTGGTCTGATGTTTTAAATGTTCTTTTTTTTATGTGTGTGTTTTATATTCCTTCTTTACTGTTGTATATGGAGCTGCTGTGCCAAAACACGTGTCGAACTCTGACAAAATGTCTTTCATTATCATAAAACCTGGCTCACCCTCTTCATTAGCTTCCTGTCTTGTGGTTGTGCTAAAATAGTTTTAAGAGCTGTTTGGACAATGTTTTGTCATCTTGTGCTTTAATTAAAATCCACAAACTGATATCTGAATGCATGTTCAGCCCAAAATCTGCTCTTACACCATGACCCCATTCTCGTTTCTTGAGTTGCAAGTCAGACTGTAAACCATGTCAACATACAGAGGAGGGAGTCTTGACCAGGAATGGTTTTCTCAGGCTCATGACCAGTAAGAAGCCCTGAAGAGTCAACCCTTGCTCCCTGAGGCGACATTATCAGATATCAACCACTGGGTTATGAGATCTGCCACCTCCTAATAGAATGAATCATAGTATCATCCTACTGACATACAACCTACTGTTCTACTCCTGCTTTCTATTTCTTCAGCAGCGGGGTCTCAGATGAGCAAAGTTTCTATTGTATAACATAAGTAAAGATGACTCATGTGTCCAGAAATAGAGGAGAGAGCCCACGCAGAGCTGGGACGTTTGGGGAAATGTTTGAGTACACAATGCACCTGCCACAACAAAACACAGCCCTAAATGCTCCACACACCTAATACAAGACCATGAATATAGAAAAAGTGCAAAATGTGGAAAATGTGCAATCTGTGCAGGAAATTAAACAATACCTGTAAAGATAAAGGCCCATCTTTTTTCCACACAGTATAAAAGAAATGAGTAGTAAAATAAAAATGCATAAAGGAAGAGTAAAAGCACCCCAAATTTGTGTGCAAATCTGGTACATATGCATCAAATATATTTGATTCCAACTGTAAAGTAATAAACACCTCATAATGTTATGTGTGGTTGTCTGGATGAAAATGAAATCCTCAGTGTGAAAGGAATTAAATGAGCAGTCTGTCTGACACACACACACACACACACACACACACACACACACACACACACACACACACACACACACACACACACACACACACACACACACACACACACACACACACACACACACACAAACTGCAGGCTCTTTCTAGCTCCCACAGGACTGTAAACCCATTATTCACAGCTACAGCAGGTTTAATAGAACAGAGTCATCACTTAGTTTGCCTGTTTCACATCGCATTATGGGCTGTTTGTGTCACAGTCTCACCTCGCAGAGTGCTATGACCTTTGACCTTTTGTTAAGATTGAGGATGATACATGAGACTATTAAAATATCATTTCAAAAACAGAACAGATGACTCCGGGAGGCACCATTAGCAGAGACTCTGTTGTTCAGTGTTTCCATAACAACGTCTTTCTCCCACGTCTACCCCGAGTTTGTGAAAATTGCTCATCAGAAAATAGACACGACTATCTTCACATGATCAGAGACATCATCAACACACAGCTACAACTTCATTTCAGACTAAAGGTATCTTAGTTTCTGATGTTCAACAGGAATCAGATCTTTTAGAGCTCAAGTGAAACCATCAGGATCAACGTTAAAGCCACAACATACTGTAAGCCAGATACGTCATTCATTGATTATGGCTGTGTTAGTATTTGATTCTGATAATAGTTTGTAAATCACAACAGCAAAAAGCACCCCAGGAACACCCCAGGAACAACCTGATCCTGCATATAAATCAATATGTCTATCTGTTGACACTGTGGCAAAACATTGGCTTCCAAACTGGTTAGGACATACAGTATTTGATAGTACTTAACTGAAGACCACAAAACTTAATATTGTTAGTTAATGGCTGACCAGATGCCAGAAAAGTACAAGACAAGAGAAAAACAGCCCAAAAACAGTAAGAGCGGTCAAGAGACTTGAACGGATGAATGAAGAAGACATCAACTCAACCGAAGAAAACAAACTCTAAGCAACTACAAAACAAAATCTAATAAGGCTTAAGCCTTTTTTTCCCTGCAGAGAAACTGGAGGATTTATAACTGTGTTTAATTTACTTTATAGTATTTTGAGGTGGGCCAATGACAAGGCTGTTGATTGAGTTAGGTTTTAAAAAGCAACACTTTAGTCCATTCTGTCCACTACCTCTGTGACATTTGACAATGTAATGGTCCCTGTTATGGTTGTTCAGTAAATGCACTCAAATAGGTTTTAGATAACAATATTCTCTTACAGGCCAGCGTATATACCATGTCAAACCACTGATATGTGTCATGAAAACAGGCCCATCTCCACAATATATGTGTTTTTAACTGTGAATAAAACTGTAAAGTTCATATGTGATTAATGATAGATAAAATGGCAGATATTTAGACTAAACTGTAAATGTTAACTTAACTCACATTTAGGCTGAATGAAAAAATGCTATAGAAGTGCCATTTGTCTTGGAATCTGGGGCACTATTTTTGTCTGAATAAACATCTTTTGAAACAATTAAATTAAGTTCAGTTTAACGCTTGGGTCAACTTGTTTGTCTTTTGTTGGTAACTGGGTCAAAACAAGGATAATATACAGCCTTCTGACTGACTGGAAGGTTATAGAGTAGGCACCCCTTCAGGGTAGGACGAGACCCTCTGCTTAGTGTTGAGATTTAGCTCCCTCTGTCAGAGTTTCCACTTGGCTGTATCAAACGTCAAGTATAAGGAATAACATTTCATCATCATACAGCAAGCTTGGTCAGCACCGTCCATCCCAATCAACTTTGACATCGATGAAGAGGCTAAATAACTGTAGATGAACACATGACCCCTAAGAGGTCTTTGATGGAGAGCTGAAGAAATGCTCTCAGGTTGTCACTGTGAGGGTAGAAATGCCAGTAATCATACCCTGCTTCTAATTTACTGTAAATTAGACCATAAATTACAACTGTACATCAGTGAAGACTTACTCATAACTCAACCCTGATGCTTTTAGTAAATAAATCCAGTGAAAAGTAGGTTTAGCTAATTTTATCATGGATATGAAACCAGACCTCTGAAGCGGCGAAAGTCTCCCCCCTCTGTCCAATAGAAAAAGTGCAGATTTATGGCACTTCATTTAGTTAGGCTATTTAGCTCACCAGAGTTAGCTATACCCAAATTTGAAGCAATCTATAGCTTTAAGTCATGCTAGTGGAAGGCTGTATATAGTCTTAGCTGTGCAATCGCACACATGCTAACATTTGCCAACTTTGACAGTGTTAATAAGTTAGTACATAGGGGTGACCAGACGTCCACGATTTCTGGGGACAGTCCCCATTTTGGATGAAATTAATGAGAAAAAAATGTTGCGCTCTCCAGAAATAGAGGTCCCAAAATCACATTTGTCCCAGATCTCATTTCAGAAATCTGGTCACCTTAACTTCGCAGGTGTCATTTTCACCCACACCATCTTTGTTTGTAGTTTTAGTTTACTGACATTATTTAAAAGTACACACTGTTCACATTTGAATAATGTTCTGCTATTAGTTTTGTTGATTTTGGTCACAACAATTTGTGCCATTACAGTGTTGACTTATACTTAGCTAGCTAACCCTTGATAAAAAGTCAGGACATAACAAGTTTGTTATAAATCCCCTTTACAAATATAAATATCTTGATAAAAGACATTTGGTGCTGTATCTATCGCGTAAGCCCACTACAGTATACCAGAGCTTCATAACGTAAAAGGAATTCTGAAATACAACTTTGATGAATAACAAAAACAACATTAGCCCAAATTATTGCATAGATAGATAGATAGATAGATAGATAGATAGATAGATAGATAGATAGATAGATAGATAGATAGATAGATAGATAGATACCTCGGGACAGCCTACAGGAACGTTTTACAGATATTATGGAAGTATGATGGGGAGGATTTCAGAGTGGTGGCCGGCCGGCAGATGTTGGGGGGTGGGGGGTGGTGTTACATAAAACCGTCCTCTCCTTCTTAATCCATCCTCCATCCTCCATCCCTCCTCTCCTCCGCGGCGTGCTCCCTTTAGTTACCAGCAGCCTCTTACATAACTTCAAGCACAGCACCTGAATCATACCTGATTATTTCCCCATAACTAAACACTGTAGAACGTTATTGAAAGGTGACACTTAAAGAGAGAGGCGCCTGCAGGAAGAAGGATAGGAGGAGGGGGGCGTGGGAGTCTTTCTGTCCCGCAGCGGCGCACCGCAGCCCGGCGTGTCGAAGCGCCGGCTTCCCCGGCCAAGGTCGAGCACACTCAGGAAGAGAGGGGGCCGAAATCAAGCTGAAACACCGACCTTTTATCTCCAGGACATCTTCAATTTTTTTCCTTTCCATCTGTGCTGATTTAAATCTGTTTTAGAGCATCATTCACTTTGCAGTTTTCTTTCTGGATGCTTCAACACTGACTTTGGATCTCCTCAGTGTTTGTGTTATTCTAATACAAGCATGTTTTATACAATATTTAACACACATGTAGCCTATGAAACAGCTGACAGTCCAGGATATCTACGCTGTTTGGTCCTATAATATAACACACAGACGTTGCCAAATACTTGGCAGGTCATTTTAGTGATATTTGCATTAAAATATTATGAATGTGATGAATTTAGTCAAGAACAGGAGACGAGGAGGCGGATCTTACCTGTTTGTTGTCACCGGGGTTAGAAACATCCAGCAGCTCCGTCATCAACTGTTCCTCACTGCGCTCCCTCCCAAATATAGTCCCACTGTGTGTGTGCGTATGTGTGTGTGTGTGTGTGTGGGTGGGTGATACGGCAGTGTGCCTCACACACTCTCTTTCGTTCTGCTGTTGCTGTTTCTGCCTTGTAACCTCTCTCTCTCTCTCTCTCTCTCTCTGTCTCTCTCTCCTCTCTGGACCAGTCCATTTGCAGCAGCGGGGGGGTTAAACATGACAGTGCAACATGTCAGTGACAGTGACAGTGAGTGTTTTTGTGTTGATCTGTCCTAATCACACGTAATAAATAATCATGGTTATATTCATGCATTTTCATAACCATGATAATGACTTTAATCTCTAAATGTCAATCCAGCTACATTAATTTTTTGATCTTTTTTTTCATCAATACGTTAAAATTTCACTGACAGCAGGTGTGTAAGGATTTGCTCTGCTGAGCAGGTCTGACAGGCTCACCTTGTCTTAGTGACATTTCGTCTATGTTATGGCAAGAATTTATTTAAATTTCCACATAAAATGCAGCACCTTTGAACTTACGGTTTGGTGTGTATATACTGTGTTTTAAACGTGTCTGTGCTACATTGAAGACTAATGTAGACTAAAGAGCATAAATTTGCATGTGTCAGTCAGGGACTAAGTCTGCATCATGTACGCATACTGTATATGGGACGGTGATTATTTCAGTCTTTATTGTTGAAATGACTCTTCAGTTTAAACTGAGTGCTTATATATATACGTAAATAATAATAATAAAAATGTTATTATTGTTACAATAATAATAATAATAATAATAATAATAATAATAATAATAATAATAATAATAAAATACTCTATTCATGTCCTGCAGCTACAGATGGAGTTATCTCCTAATGTGAGCTCTGAAGTATCCAGGAGTCGTAGTCTGGTGTTGGTCTTAAATAAAAGGAGGTTCATTCAGGTCCCTGGGCTGCTGACCTTAATTTGACTGAAGCGCAGCAGCATTCAGAGCAGCAGGTCAAAGAGGAAACTCCATTCCGCCGCACTCCACTTCATTCAGGACAAACACACTGCTGGAGGGGGTTCTGATTCAGTCCACTTTACACTGCAGAGACATTCCTAAAAGACCAAGAACCTATGAAGGCAGTCTGAGAGTGTTTACACACCAGGGACCAGGTATGAATCCCAGTGACCCAAAAAAATCTGCTACTGGACGGGAGGGATCTTTTTAGGAGGATGAGGTTCTTCAGGATGGGACTGGTTGATTCAGGAGTCAACATATTTTATTCAAGTCACCACTTCTTAAGTTTCTAAGCCTTGTTCTGGTACTTTTCTCTTTCAGTGTTGACACCAGCATCACGACCCATGTCAGAGAGCAATGTCTTTTGTCCTCTCCAAATATGGCTTCTGCTTTTTCATTCTTCAACTTAAATTGGTAAATATTTGCAAGGATTCAGAGATGCAAACAACCTCTAGCTAAAAGAGTATGGTAGGATATTGGTGTTAGAAGAGGAAGGACTATTTCATGATGCACTCTGAATACAAAGTAGAAATATGGAATTGAGACAACCCTGCTTGGCAAATGTTGACTTCCTTTTTTTCCAAAGTAAATCCTTCTCCTCATTTTGCCCTACCCCTGGCCCTAACACTTCTCTGTGGAAACAACCTTTTCAGTCTTTCAAAAGTCAATTTTGGGATCAACAGTTACAGGTACTTTGGTCTCAGTTTAGGAGGGATGTCAAAATGTGGTCTGGGGCTATGTTTGGAGTCCCTGAAAGGCCTCCTGAATCCTCAGGCATATATGGACAAAATAAGCATCAAAATCACAAGTATTTGTACTTGGATCTTTATGTGATTCACCTTGTAAAAGTCAGCGCTGTACTTGATATTAAAAAAAACTTGAACCAAAGCAAAATCCTGATTGTTCTGGTTATAAGATATTCACTATTAAAACTTAAAGGAACAATCAAATATTTCAAATTAAGGCTTAGTTTTTTTTGTTTATCTATTTATCTTTTGGAGATCCAGCTTCTGGGGTCCTCAGAGTCTCAGGGAGTCCATGTGATGACCCTGACGGCAGTCTGTGCAGCTTGTCTGATGTCCTGGTCCTCCTCTGCAGCCTCGCTCCTCCTCACCAGCAGGGGGAGCTGCTCGAGCAAGAGTTTACGACCATCAGGAGCTTCAGCTAGAGAAGTCAGAGCTCTCAGGCAGTAGACGATGAGGGCCTTCCTCCTCCTCCTCCTCTCCTTATCCTTCTCCTCCAGCACTTCCCTCTTGGACACGAGGTCGAGGAGGACAGGGATGACACCCAGATCAAGACACTGCTGCTTCCCTGCAGGAGAAGATTCAGTCATTCTCTGTAGTCAAAGTTTGAGCTCCACACATGTTGGTATCAGGGGTGTGTTTGTACCAGTGGTGATGATCACTATGAACATGATAACTCCTGCAGCATTTGCCTGCACCTCCACATTTCTGTCTTGCAGCAGCTCCACAAGGATTGGGAGTATTAACCCCTCACACACCTGCTGCTTCCCATCTGAACTGACGCTGAAATAAGGAAAGAGACGTCAGAACAACGAACAAACTAACTAACAAAATAAAAACAGAAAAAAGCAGAGAGCAATCAGAAAAAATGATTAAATACCACGAAAATTATTTGTGTTAATATCTCAAATAATTATCAAAACCTCATCGAGCAGAAGAAACTGTTAAAGCCATACCTTACTAGTAAATTTTGATTCAGAAATGCTGTAAAATCTCTGGTGTAATGAATGAAATGTGATATAAAGATGAAGATGGCTCACATTTCTGCTGAAGTCTGAGCTTATAAAAGACATTAGCAGAATGTGGTTTGTCATTGTCCTCCTGAAATATGAAGGAAAAAGTCATTGTCTGCATGGCAGCAGATGTTGCTCCAAAAACAGATCGACTGTGTGCTCAGAAAACCTGTAGATTTAGCATTAATGGAGCCTTCACAGATTTGGAAGATGCCCATGACATGGACCCTGACATTTTGATCAACTTAAATAGACCTGGGCTGAGAGAAGGCATTGATGTTTCTAGATCCTGTTTGTATCTGGTGTTATCTTTGCACAATCCAGCTTTGACCTGTGTTTGTGGATGCGGTAATGAACTGTATTGAGGTTTCACACTCATCAAGTTCTGATCAGTACATTCAATTTGTTGAACTGCATAAGTTTTAGCACTAAGAGTATCTGAATTTGTCCTGTTGCTGTATATATTTAACCCTTAACCCCTCCACTGAGTCTTGCTGTAATAAATAGACCAACCTGAGCGCCATCATGGCCGCCGCTGCCTCCCTGCGGATGTTGGGAGATTGGTGGGAGAGTTTGTGCCGCAGTAGAGAGACACCGTCAGAGGCCAGAGTCGGCAGAGGGTCCAGTCTAGAGCAAGAGGCGAGGGTGGAGAGGAGCAGCACCTGCACCTCCTCTTCCTCCTCCCTGCCCTCCTCCACCTGCAGGTGGAGCTTTAGCATCAGTTTAGGAACCAGAGACAGGAGGGTGTGAGCACCTGCAAAAAAAACAAACAAACAAACCAACCGAATAAACAAAATTTACAGGAAAGAAAACATCAATACCAGTGTGAGTCTTCTACTGCCTGCCAACAGACCTTAGATCAATGTTTTTATGTGAATCAATCAGCAGGCAGACTGCTGCTCCATTTCAATTCTGCTCCGTTTCAGCAGTTTTTGTTACTTTTTTCTAAATTAAAAAGCTCTTAAAATAGGTCCAAACTGAAACACACCAGTCATTAGACTGACGTTATGCCGAGTGATACTATCAAACTGTCACATTAAACTAAAATGAGAGTATTAAAGGGGAGTTACACTATTTTAAACCTTTGTGCTGTTGAATACTTCCTAAATAGCAGACCTGCAGGCAGCAGAGTGAGCTGATTCAGCACTCGGTGGACATTCTTCCTGCAGGTGGGCGAGAAGTCATCCAGCAGCTGAGAGAGAGGAGCGAGGAGGGAGGAGGAGAGAAGAGCCTGTCTACAGAATGAGACCAAACACACAGACAAGAAAATAAAAATAAACATATTAAATAATGATCATTGTGTCACTTGTTACTACTGACAGAAATTCACTGCTTCATCTGTCTGATGCTGCATCTCCAGGTTCACCTGCTGTGTAACACCACCCCCTGCTGGTGAGTACAGCATGGATTGAAAGCTTTTTTATAGTCCAGCAATGTTTTAAGTTTTCCTCCGTTTCTCTCCAATCAGTCCCATCTTTGAATCTTTGATTCTTCTGTGTGTCTAGTAAGATGAAGCTCTTTTTTATTTGAAAAGAGTTATAAAATAGAGATGTTCTGTTAATCTGGTTGAGTACTAGTTTGTGTCATTGCTTTTTGCATTATATTTACCAGCTTCCCATAGAGTTTTCTTTCTGATTAAATTTCCATAATGAATTTTCACCTTTGATTCTTTTTCTTATTTTAGTTTAAAAAGATTTAATCCGACGTGGCTCGTGTTTGTCTAATATGCTGTCTGGGTTTTGGGTTTCTGCATCTTTTTCCTTTGACCACTACAGTAAGCAGCTTCTCTTTCTATCAGTTTTTCTGTTTACCTGCCAATGTTGTGTCTAGTCAGCACATGAAGCAGTTCGCAGGTTTTTGTCCTGACAAACGGATCTTCATCCTCCAACAAAACCTTCAACTGTCCCAAAAAACCTGCAGAGGAAGAAACCACCATCGTGAAGGCTACAGCATGATTTGGGGAATTCTTCCAGTTTCAAGAATCCTATATGTTAATCAGCTTTTCACAATCCTGACTAAATTAGTCAACTGTTTTGCTGGAAATTAAGATCTCTCACCCTCGTTAAGGCAAATTTGCTTAACTGTAATTTAGGAAAATCTCATCCTGTTGTCTTGTTACAATGGCATTTATCACTCAGTGTTATTAGCCTATTTAATGTGTTAAACGACAAAGAGGCTGTTTCATCAGCCTCACAAAGTTACAAAGTACAAATCGGCTGTTGTTTGACTCACCCCCGTTGACAGTTTGGTAAATCCGCTCCGGGTCATGCATCAAGTCGCAGAGTGATCCCAGAGCCCGCAGTTTGCTTCCCGCCTCCGGCCGCTGCAGCTCCTCGAACAGCTGCGGAACCGCTTTCTGTCCGAAGGCCACCGGGGCCCGGGTCTTGTCTATTAACAAGGCGGCCATCCCGGGATGTTAAACAAGAGTGAAGCTTGGTTAGTTCGAGCTCGGCTGAACTAAAGGAAACCCGTTGCCTAGTAACCGCAAACAGCTGACGTAATGACGTACAATTCAAGTAGTTGTAGTTCCGTGTCAACTTCTAAACTAAAAATAGATGCTAAAAAAGGTCAATATCAAAAAGATCAGTAATTTTTGTCCTAAATATATTTAAATCAAATAGTCTGACACCTTCTCAGCAGCAGTCACTGAAGGTCTTGTTTTCTTATGGAGCCAAAAAAGCATGTATATACGTTTTATCCTTATACTTACACTTTTGGTTTATACATGTTATTAATTTGCGCTTGGTATGAGGTTGGCTGCTGTGTTGAATAGACCAATGAATAGCTTGGGTGTTATAGGTCGCAGTGAATAGGAATTTAGGTAAGCAGAGGTGAAGGGAGTATAAGATTCTAATTGTACCATAACTGTAACCACCCAAAGGTTTTTCATTTGGTTAATATGTTTCTTGGATATGCATTAAGACCAATCCACACCTACACTACAGGCTAAAATTAAACATATGTTGGTCACTACTTATTCCTTGTTGTATTTGCAAACTTTGCCTGTACAATAAATTGACTGTAGGCCAAAGGCATCACTTCTAGATCTTTTTAAATAATAAATGGTGTGTCCCAGAGGTCTGTCCTGGGACCACTGTTATTTATAAAAGTCATCCATGAGTTGAAATTGAAATTAAAATAAAACAAACAAACAAACAAACAAAAAAACATATTTACAAGCTCAATGACAAAGCTGCTAAGCTTTCCATCTCAGCATAATGAAATTGGATCTGTGTCTGTCTATTACAAAGACCAAGGATTATTCATGGATGAGTCTGTCAAACTTCTTATTCAGCAGCTCATACACGAAGCATCAGGTTGCAACTTGAAGCCACCACTTTCTGCTCAATTCAACAGCTCCTGTTTTTTTTTTTTGCACCTCAGCTTCGGCCTCCAGTTCAGTCAAGTACAACAGAAATTTTGAACAGAACTGAACCGCCAAACGGATATTCATAAAACATGAAATAAACTTTTATTTACTGACACTTCCTTCAACATGCAGCTGACAACAAGTTTGCTTGATTGCTCATTCAGGGACGGTTAATTTGCTCAAATAAAACAAAAAGAAAGATGAGAAAGTGAACTATTTATTCATCTTGTCCTGCTACAGACACAGAGAAGTAAACGCTAAATAAGAATTCTATGTAATAACAGAAATCAGTTCATTTCTCTGCTTGTGCTGGAGGTTTTGGAAACTAAATTATGAGCAGGTGTCACAGATCTCAGGTCAACCCATGAGGATGAAAAAAAAAGAGTTAAAGGAGAACAAAAAAGATGATTAGCTTCTGAGAGGCTGCAGCTGAATCTGTGTCTGAGGTCACGGTGGCATCAAACCCTTTAAAACTGCTCCTGTGTGAGCTTAGGGTCTGACTCGTCTTGATACATGATGACCTAAATAAAAATGATTTAAAAAAGAAAAACAGGTAGTTTCTGTGGTTCTACTTCTTCTTCTTCTTGCTCTTCTTTCCTCCCTCTCCCTGCTGAGAGCTGGTGTCTCCTCCTCCGCTCTTTTGGGTCCGAGTTTTTAGTTTGGGAATCATCTCTGCTACGTAAAACATCACATCTTTACCTGAGGGGGACACCAGGAGAGGATAAAAAAGGACATAGAACATCACAAAATTATTTGAGGGAATCAAGAGAAGGAAAATAAAGACAGTAAAAATCTTTTTTTATTTTCTTTTCATTACTTTCAATTCTTTAGAGTAAAAAAAAAAAAAAATCTATACCTATATCCATATTTGTATTTATGTATAGCTTTTAGACGGACTCACGGGAGGTGAACTTGTCCTGACACAAACTGCCGTCTGCCTGCTTCAACTGGATTCTGACTCGACCTCTGAACTGGACGTCCCGGTTCCACTCCCTGGGGTGCATCTTGTTCTGTAATACACACACAAATACACACACTTATGCCATCATATGATGTGTTTTAGAGCCCTGGTAGAATGTGTGATGTCTGTTGTGTTGACCTCTACGTAGACATTAAGCCCAGCGGCTGTCAGGACATCTCTGATCTCAGCGCAGGATGGATTCTCCACAGCCTGCAGACACAAACACAGCACTCTCATAGTTTCCATATTTACTAAGATACACTCATTTACACTCTACTTTCATGTAGGGAAATGTAACGTGTTTTTTTTCCTGCTCCCTGCACACGAAAATCTTATTGGTCAGTCAGGGATGCTTTTATCTCTTATCTCAGACAAAACCTGCTCTGAAGCAGGTTAGACGTGAAGCCAAAGTTACCATGCCGATGTGCAACCTATAAGAAGTAAACCATCTTTGTAGTCTTGAAGCCCAGAGCTCATCCTAAAGTTATCTTGCTAACCACATATCTACAGAGCACGTAGTAAAGGACTCAGTACAGATACAGGTGTAGTAAAAAGTCATTCAAAGTTTGGTTGACATACAGCACAACATACCTACACAATACCTACACAATGTTTAAACAAACATAAAAGCAGACTCTTTGATGTTTGTTTAAAAAGAAAGGATGATGTATCAGAGGGTGTTCAAAACCACTGTAGGAAAGGTTCTTTGAAACCACCCATCTTCTCAGTTTAAAACAAATACAGACTACTCCAGATCAGAATAATTACTTAAGAGAGGGACATGCTGAATGGTGCATTGTCAGAGAAACCAGTATTTTGATTTAGCACACCTCCTTGATGTCTGTTGACACACAAAGACTGTTTTATGGTTTATTTCAGTGAATCTCTTAACCATCACTTCTTTAAAGTTTAGACCTCTGCTGCTGAACAACCAAGCAAACAAAATAAATAGTGTCACCTTCTCACTGGGGATCCTTCGTCCTTCAGCCAGAGTCTTCTTACTGTTGATGTAAACTGGATACAAACAGATGAACCTGCAAAACATCCAAAACACGTCTGTCACACTGCAGAGCTCACACCTGAGACTACAAAGCTGACTTGAGTAATGGTAAATAGAAATTATGAAATGTTTGTCCCAGTCTCTTCTGTCGTTTATGTTCCTTAATTCCTGTGTGCTTTGATTGACTTCATTTACACGTTCCTTACGAAGACTGGGGTTTTAACACAGCTGACAGACATCAGCAAAAATAAAGTTTATTGTTAATAGTTTGACTGTATAAACACCTGTTACCTGAATGGGAGACAAACACTGACCTGCATAAATAGCTGTCTAACTCTGTTGAATGGCCAACCCTCCTGATTGAGAACTTAACCCCAAATAAACCTAATTTTCACTTAATGGTGTACTGTATCGGTAATCACTAATGTTTCTCAGCTGTAATGGGTGCAGTTTTAGGTTTGTAAAATCAATATTACTTGCAAAGACTGAAGGAAATAGGTCTTTTATACACGTCATGCTAAAGAGGGTTAGCGTTACTACGCCACTGTCGTAGCGATACAACTGATAGACCAATCTTCATTCACTAACACTAACTATAGCCTGTCCCACTGAGATTAAGGAGAACGCGAGGTTTCATTTATCTTGTGGCTAATGAGACGTACAGTATCTGAACAATAGGTCAAAGAAAGTGTAAAGAGACTAATTCAACTCAGATTCGAAACGAATAAAGACTTGAAAATTGCCCTCCTTTCCACGAAAGTTAACATTACTCTGTCGAGGTATGTCGTGAACCATCTACACTAAAAAGGCTAATAACTGTTAATTATACATGATAAAGGGGTTTAACACATTTGCCGAATTGTAGAATAAACTTCCATTGTCAACAATTTTACCACCATTACAATATTTTACCGAAATCCTATAATAATATCGGTGTTTTCCTAAATTTAGCAAAGTGTCTATGTGATTTTACCGCTACACGAGCTTCGAACTTAGCTGTTAGCTTGCGTAGCTAGGCGAACAGGAGGCTAGCTCAAACAACTACTCACCTCTCCTTATCAGCGGGGTTTTCAGTTAGATGGGCCATCATTAGGAAAATACTTCGTTCTCCTACTCGAGACAGCCGAGCCTTGGCCGGGTATAGGCACAAACAACACGGTTTGATTTGTGCCGTAAATCAGGGAACCATACGGCCGATCCACATTGAACTGCGACTGTTGCCAGCTGTAAAGTGTGCCGAGTTTTTTTTGTCCAAAAAACTTTATTGATAGAAAACACAATATTTACTCTAAATTATATCACCAACCTGCTGCACACCAGCTGTATTAGTCTTAAGATTTTTCTTCGGGAGGTGTCTTGACATTGAATTTTTTTTGTTGTTTTGTTGTTCTTGTCCTAACTTTTTGGAAACATGTTGCTGGCAACGAATTCAAAATAAACGTGTGTGTTCGTTACATTTTTTGTTCCACTTTTGCCTCCTTCTTTGATCAGTTAAGTAATATTCCCTTTAAAGATATTTTTGAGTAGTTTCAAATAATTGTGTTGTTGTTGAAGTAGATTTATGTGTTCTTCTTCTAGTACATTCTTCATCCATGTGGTGTCGCTAGTGTGCTAAACCTGCGCGCTGCTGAAATGCCCGGATGTTATTGTAGCTAGCTCTTTTAGCGAGTCGGCTAGTCGCTGCGACGCCGCTGCCTTCTGCCGCTTCGGTCTGTCGCATCGGGGACATTCGACCCTTCTGACTCCCCCGGCCTATAATACCTGTTTTTTAACCTCGGTATCTTAACATCAGTAATTTATCATGATAGAAGTTGAGTGAACGGCTCTTAAATTGTAGGTCTTATCGTTGGTTTTTCTAACCGATTTGGCGGGTCTGGATCGGGCTAACAAAGCAGCTAGCAGAGACACAGGCCACAGCTAGCTTAGCGAGCTACCGCTGCTGCCATGGAAGACAAATCTTTCACTAAAGAATTAGACCAATGGATCGAACAGCTAAACGAGTGTAAGCAGCTAACGGAAAACCAAGTCAGGACACTCTGTGAGAAGGTAAGTTTTGTTTTCCTCATATCTCTTTCTACATAATTGTGCCTCACTGTAATGTGGCCTAAATTGCGAAAGCGGCTCAGACTAATTCCTGGACTGACGCTACGACAAGGCGGCTTTTTTCGCCCCTTTACGACTCATTAATTCGGGGTTACGGGCTTTTGGAGATACCCCAGTAGCCTAACTTTTGACTGCTTTGTTATTGTGGCCTCATCTTAATCACCACCAGTTTAAATTGAAATACCATGGGAAGTTTTTTCTTTCGACAAACGGTGTCAGAGGACAGATAGGCCGAAGAACTGTAGCGTACCCATCAGTACCAGTAAGAAGACGGGGCCCGTTTTACTAATTAAGGCACAGTCATTCTGGGATGCAAAGATCTGTCCCTTTTGATCATCTATTATTCATTCACCGCTGTTTACAATGAATCACTTAGTTTGATTAAAAAAAAACGTGTTGGGCCAGTGATTTTCACCGCGCCCTGTCATAATCGATTATCTGTTATATTGCATAAACCTGACTACCTCCGTTTGTAGACGTCACTTCAGGTTTGTTGAATTATAAATATCACTCGGTCCCCGGCTTTCCTTCATCATCGACCCACTTACAGCTTGAACATCTAATTTTTGAGTTCTTTAGCCTAGACCGCTTTGCCCTTTTAGTGGTAAAGAAATCGTTTTTGCACCTTTGCTGTAAATGAATGAATGACTTAATTCAGACCTCATGTGTTTAGGCAAATGGTGTTTTAGTGAATAAGAGGGACAAGCATTAGTTGGTACCAGCTCATGTGAGCCTCATCCTGCCTCAGACCTGCAGAGTACAATAATTTTTCTCAGACTAACGTGAAGTTTTGGTATATTGAATGAGAAATTAAAGTCATATGTATTAAAACTGATTTTATTTTCTTAAAGATATGCAAACTGTGATATCCTGGACAGAAACTGTGATCAGTTTTGTATTTAATTTTAAAGGTTTCAGTAGTGTGCATGATCCGTGATTCAGTTTTTTAAAAGCTGATGCCAATACTGACAAGACAGCGTGTTGGCCGATGGCTGATATGAAATACGATAACTATTTTTTTCTTACAGCACTTTAATAATACCAACAAACAGGGAGCAAGTGCTAAACTCGATTCTACGCAAATATAGATACCTGTGTGTGTATGTGAAACGGCCCTATGACCTCTCAAAGATCATCTCTTTATTAATTGTAGCTCACATTTGTCCATTTCCACCTTTTTCCTTAAATCTAGAGAGGATGAACTTTTTTATTGTCTGAGGTGATAGCCGTGACAACCCCAACTCCTGTCATTGCAGGGTCATATTTTGAAAGATGTAATAATTTCATCTGGTCTCCAAACAGGCATATAGCTTGGGCACTCTCCTATGTGTAGTAGTGTTTTTCACCAAAATGGGTGAAACAGTTCACAGTCCCAAATTGCATGTAGAAATGTGCCTGTTCCTGTTTGACATTTCCAACTTGGATAATTGGACATCAAGCCTGTTCTAGCAGGAGTAAAATAAAATCAGCGTATTACATTACCTTGTACTGAATGGCTATCAAAATCTCCACAGTTCTCAAGGGCAAGTTCACAGTATGATAGTTATTCCAATATTTTATGAAAGACAAAGAATGACGGGGAAAAAGATACATGTATGTATTTTTTGGCTTCAGAAACTCAGGAAAAATCACAGGAGAACACTAACATCCTACACATTTCAGGATCAAATACTCTACTTGCCCCCTTAAAAGCAATACGGAGGCCTGTTAGGTCATACAGTTTTCTCACACCAGAGTAGCCTAACTTTAAAGTTACACATTGATTTGTTTGACCTGATTTATTGTTTGTTTGTCTGGCAAATTGAACCTTTTCTGTGTTGTTTAAAAATGATTAAAATCTGCTTCTTTCCTCTTTAGGCCAAGGAGATCCTGACCAAGGAGTCCAATGTTCAGGAGGTGAGATTTCCCATGATCCTTTTGTAAAGACTGAACTTGTACTAATTGATTTTAAGTAGTAAACAGCTGTTAGATACATTGTCACACAACAGCCTTCATCTCATTAGTCTTATCACAGAGCAGGAAGAGTTTTATACTAGAGAACTGAAACTCTGGTTAGTGATGATGAAAACAAGGGTATTTTTTGCTTGACAGTTTAGGAAAATAAAATGTTGAAATGATTGAAGATGAGTTTGATATAAAAACTGTAAATGTAGCTGGACTACATTTCATTTTTTCCATGGTTGAGTTAGAAGTTTTGTTGTTTTGGCAGTAAGTAATAATTTATTATTGTAGTGCAATACATTACATTTTTACATTGCTGGAGAAAATTGTTCATTCCATCTCTGAAGTTTGTGCTGATGAAGTTGGATGATTGAAAACCTAATCTACACAATTGAGGTCTACAAAAATGGTTCTCTTTTGTAGATTTGAAAAGCGCATGACACACATACCTTTACCAGTGACTGGGTATAGAAGATCCAGATTGATCTGGACTGTTTCAAACCCACATTTTATGGGATTCTGATTGTAATCAGGAACATGTCATGTTCTGTATTGAATGGAAATGGTCTCTTGAAAAATGGACAGCTTTGTTAGCTTTTGAAATTCAGCTATTCATCATCAATCAACCGTCACAATCGTCTTAGGAAAATGGTTTCAGCTTAAGAGAGTCTAAACAAAATCAAATTCCCCTTAACAGTCTGCTGGATTTTAAGTAAACACAGAACCAGAACTATTCTAATGATTCCTAAAAAATGTATCCTCTTGGCACACTCTAAGTAGGCTGTTGGGTAACAGCAATGCCAGCAGGACAGTAGTATAGCCTAGCAGTCAAACTTTGTGCCCCACATACAGTCCTTGATGCAGCTGCTGCTGGTTGAACTCTTGGCCTCAGACCCTTGCTGCATGTCTTCCCCCACTTTCTTCACCCCACAGTTCTAGTTGCTCTTCAGCTTCCCATTTAGTAAAAGCGCAAATGGCCTAAAAAATAACATTACAAAACGGCAATGTCAACATCTTCCCTGACTGTTAATAGGACACCTGCAAGCACAGTATATGGGCTTGACTGATTAATACAAGCTTTATAGATAACTTAAGTCCCCTGGTTTGTGATGGTCTTTTGAGGACTGTTTACACTGAATAGCATTCATTAGGAAAAAAAGAACTGTTGTTGCATTTTGCTGTTCCTTCACACTGTAACAGCATTTTTGGTAGCTGAAAACACAAACTTGTGAATCTTTTTGAACCGCCTTTTTCAGCTGAAACTGTCATAACATAAAACCTCTGAAAACATTATCACTATTCAGCCCCATTCACATGCATATATTTTTTTCCTAGACTAATAGCCTGATCTAAGTAGGAACAATAACGGTCGACTACCAAGCTGAGTTTGTAAAGGGTTTGTTTATGCCACTCTTACTTAATGAAAATAATTCAGTGAGTTATCAACGGTGAATACTTTATAATAATAACTGAATTTTTATAGCGCTTTTAAAAACAGAGGTTTACAAAGTGGTTTGACAAATAGTCATAAAGCACATGAAGGAAATAAAAACAAATAAAAACAGAAGTTCAGTTATTACAAGGCCTCAGAATTGAAGGCCATTTTCATATGCCATAAGGAACCCAGACAGTATAAGAACCACACAACATAAAATGAGACCATGAGGACCAAAATAAAAAAAAAAAACATAAAATTGGTAAGAAAAAGAGAATGCAATAAAAAGGGGAGTTGAAAGCGGAAAACAGGATAGTAAATCTAAAAAGACACTTTTACTAATGACAGTAACTAGGGCTGGGTTTAAAAAATCGATTAAATCAATTTTAATTTATTTCCCTTTAAAAACTTCATGTAATTCATAAAATCCAACGAGCTTTTAACTCGAGTAGTTTTTTTCTCCATTGGACGTGCGGAAAAGCTGCCTCAAGTATCAACCCTGCTAGTCTTGCACAATCAGCGTTTAGTGCTGCTTTCCACCATTTTCCACGGAACAAGATCTCCAACAGGCAAGCAAACATGGTGTAAGCAAGTCCACCTCTCAAGGCACCACCGACGAGTTTAAAAGCTGATGTTTGGATTTATTTCGAAATTTAACAAGTTGGAAGAAAACGATAAGAAAAAAATAGTATGCTAAATTTGCAATGGGAAGGTAAAATACAGTGGCAACACGATGATTCTCAGCAATCATTTGACAAGACATCACCCAGAAACAAAGTCAGCACGACTCAAACAAACCAGCCTGGAGCAGGTATTGGTTTGTACCAGGTACCAGTGTCCCATTCAAGTGGGTTTTTTCCACTACTGGTGATATTGCCACAGCAAAAAGGAGCTGCCTAACTCCTCAACATGATGATCAGCGTTTTTCAGTATTACATTGTATGTTAAAATACAATTTACAAGACCACACCTCTAAAAAACCTGACTTATTGAACAATTTCATTTCCCTTACATTTATCCATCAGTCAAAAGAGAGTTGTTTTTGTTCTGATACAGTTGTGTGTCTCACAACCACTGTGGTATTATTGCACAAAACTGGAAGACTTGTTTATATTATGGTTGTAGCTGTAGTTGGAAAGTGACTCTAAAACTCAGAGGTTCGAATGAGTAGCTAAAATCAAATCTGAGTAAAATGCTGCCCTTGCATCTTTTAACTGCCTTTCAGTAATTTCTTATGGAGTCTCTCCACATTTCAAGGAAAACTACCAATCCAGTTTCTTCCATTTACGTCAATTTCTTCTACATATTTTCTTTAGTTCATGTGTTGACTTCGTGAAACCGGGACTGGGGCTGTTTGTTTGAGCTTTTCTCTTGCAGAGGAGCAACAGAGTCCAGGATGGTTCCACAAGTATTGTTAAAAAGAGAGACAAGCTCTTCATTGTTAAAAACTGGATTAAATGTGGGTTGAAGGGGCAGTTAAAGATGCAGAGATGAAAAGCTCTGAAAACATGCTGGCAGACGTTGCATTAAAAACCCTTCTATAAACAGGAGGATGATCAATAAAAGGAGGCTGGGATAAAACCATGGAGAATAAAACCAGTTTGTGATCTGACACACAGATATCCTTTGTTAAAAACTCCCCAGGACTTAGTCCAGTCAATAAAACCAAATCTAGAGAGGTTGGTTCCTGTATTGCCTGAATTAGATCAAAGGAGTCCAGAGTTTCAATACATATAACATGGGATAGAAACTCTGAAAACTCTGGAGTCGGCTAAGTTTCAGTTCAAATAAAAAGTCCAGGCTCTTTTGTGAGATACTTCTATGTGTCCTATGTGCTGGAGATGATTGTTAAGCAGTACATCGGCTAGAGGGTCCTGCACAGACTGAACAGTTACCCTGAAAACCAAAGAGTCAAAGTTTTATGACAACAAACACTTAAGATAAAGGGGCTTTTGGTGACACGAGAAAATGGTCAAACCAGAGGCCCCATCACAGACTAGAGGTCTGTAAAGCTGCTAACCACTTCATGCCAGGTGGATGTAGGATTTAGTTTTTTACTATGATGTTATGTGTTGTGTTTTTTTTACAGTCTATGGTCTCTACTGTTTGCTTCATTACCCCTGTGAAACGTGTTACTGTAGCATTTGGTGTGTATCCCTAAGCTTGCAGTAGAAGCACAGAAATATGAAATAATGGTGAAGGCTGTATCCAATGTGGAGCATAAATGAGTCTCAACACAAAGTCTACATTTTGTACATTACATTCCTCTGTGTCCCTTTGTATGTTTGTTTGTTTGTTTCGGTTGAACTATGTCTTTTTGCACAGGCTCAGTTTAGATTCATTTTGAAGTTACACCAACCACAGCTGGTCTTGCATGCATCACGAGGCAGGAATGCCATTCACATGAAAGCAGATTTGTTTTTGAAGTGCAAAGGAAAGACCTCTTCTTCTATTTTGAATTTGCCAGACCACCCGAAACAAGACCTCTGAGACTGCTGGTTTCCTTAAGATGATGCAGTCTGCAGAATCTCAGCTCTTAGCTGTCAATTTACTAACTCGTGAAGAAACATAGGACTAGATGATTTGGCAAAAGAAATGATCACGATATATTTTCTCATATCGTCCAATCTCGATTATTATCACAATTTTTTTGTTTTTAAACTTCCAGTTTTAAAGCATCTGTACAAAAAACTAAAGAAACAAGAGATTACTTCAACATTTGATTAACATACAAAGTAAATAACAAAGCAAATTGAATAAGATACACTTAGAAAAATATAAAAAACATTTTATGTAGATAAATGCTTAAGAATACAGCGAACTAGTTTACAGTCCTGACTGTTTTTGCAGGTATGCAAGACTCAAAATAAACAAATGCCCCCCTCAGGGATGACAAAGACGCCTTAAAATGTAAACATCAGATAATGTAAATGTAGATGAGACGATTGATTGCTGCTTTGGTCTGGTGGCTGCATCGCTGGTTGTGGCTAAACTGTTAATGCTAATTGTGCCGTAGGCAGTGACAGGCTGTGCAGACTCTGCTCACGTTTTCACCCTCTGCATAATCACTCGGGAAGTACTTCTTCAAATGATGAAACAGATTTGTTGTTTTGCCAGTTTTTGAGGGCACTGACCGCTAATATACCTTGCACATCGGCTTAATTGCTTGATGCCACTTTGTAGATACCTGAACCACTACCACACAACAAACATTGAATAACTTTTCTTCTAAGCAATAAAATCTTCAGAGGATGACTCGGAGTCATGACTGACATCTATCTCGCTGCCCTCAGCTCTGCGTCTGCTCCACAGTCGGTCATTCTGTCTACTTCTCCTGTTTACTTCTCTGGTAACTTACAGAAGTAAGCAGGAAAAGTTCGACTCTGATTGGCTGTTGTAGGCCTGGACGATATAGAAAAAAAGCATATCGATAAAAAATAAATCATATTGATCGATATCGATAATTATCGATATAATTATTATAATTATTTAACATATATTTTAATGGCAGCCCTGGATGTTTTATGCTATTGCTTAATGACCTACTTTTAATAAAGAACACACAAGCACTGAATTCAAATTCAAACCTTTATTCAACCACCTTTTTTATTTTACCACAACTGAAAGTTTTTCAAAAAAGAACTAAAAAAAAAAAGAAATCAACTTAAGTGGCCTGAGTGACGTCAGTAAATACTGACAAACATAAAGACTAAAGTGACCAGAAAATCTGATAAATAAATATTTAAATAGTCTTTTGATGAAAATAAACAAAACAAACAAATATATAAATAAACAGAATAGCTTTAGGTGGGAATAGCATACTACCAGTTTTAACTGTGGGAAACTGCCCACAGCCTGGTGTCTGAACACTGAAATATTTCTCCCGGGGTCGGGAGATTTTTTTTTTTTAATTATCATGTGATTGACTTAATACACAAACTAAGCACGAGAAGCAGGACTTATCCACGCCGGTGTTGTGTCGTAGAATGCACCCCTGCCGAATGCACCCCCTGCTGTAGCCATGATCCAAATACTCGCGTCTTGGTAAAATATGAGCTAATTTTCTTCCACTTTAAGAAGCTAATGAGTGGATGGGATGCAGGGGTGCATTCTACGGTACAACACCGGAACGTATTTCCTCCGCACCCTTCTCACCTTTTCAACCCCTGACCCATTTTCATGCCTGAAGCGCTGTGTTTGAGAAATACTTGCGGCCGGGCACTTCATATCGCGGGTCGAGAGTGGCTAGAAGCTGGTCGAAGCCAGGCTTTTCAACGGTAGTTATTGGCAGTATGTCCCTTGCTATGGAGCATGTTACTGCATGGGTGATGTCCTTATGCCGCTCGGACGCTTTGTCGTATTTTGGCAAGAAACGAAGTCCAGTTTGGTCTGCTTCACATGCTTTGTGCTGGCAGCGGTTCCAGAGGATTCCTCCGACGATGACGTGGAGCCGCGGCGCGGCCGACACAGCTCGTGCTCCTGCGGGTGCGATCGGTTTAGATGGTAAAACAAGTTGGTTGTGTTACCAGACTTGGTTTTTACTAATTCTCTGCAAATTTTGCAAACGACCGCTGTTCGCTTTTTTCAGACTTCTAAAAACCAAAACATTGCCATGCTGGTGAACTACTGAAACCTTTTTTCGGGACAATGTCCTCCGCTTCTCCTTGCTGTATCATTTTTTCTAATACACGTGCTGTCTGTTGTGGTTTGATAGGGGCTGGGCTTGGTGCCGTAGCGTACCTGGGTCTGCGTTTGTGATTGGTTGGGAGGAAGTAATGACTGTAGTAAAAGCTACATGATAGGCTATGATGAAAAAGAAAGGGAAACTGTGTTTTTCTATCGAACTTTTTATCGACCCGTTTTTTTTCTATCGCACCACACGTCTATCGATCGATATATATTGTTATCGAATTATCGTCCAGCACTAGGCTGTTGTGGCGCACATTTCCGCCATGTTTGATCACGTGAATATGCTCACAGCTGATCATCGCGATCGAATCATGAGAGATTTTAGGGGGGTACATGAACCCCCATTGAAGGAATGTGCTGCTCCTTCTCTGCACTTTCTCTTATTCACATGTGAGAAAAAACTCTGTGGAAGCGACTACCTCAGATGGACACTTAATGACAAACCTCTTTGAAGAGGATGGCTTAAGTGTTACACTGTAGAATATTAAAACAGGAAGACCCAACAACCAAGTGCACCTCTCCAGAGGGTCTCCAGCCTACAACTGACAATGTGCTCACTTTACTCTCTTTACATCCACTATGTCAGAGCAGATCAGTCTCGAGTTAAAACAGCGCCTCTTTGTATCCGAATTTAATATATGTCTGTTACTAGTTTAACCAAATGCTTCATTCTTCTGGTGTGTTAGAGTAATGTAAAATAGAAAGTTGGAAGCAGGTATTCAGCTGAAAGGGACTGAACAGGCTGCTCATGTAGAGCGTTGGACAGTGTCCAAACAGCATCCGAGAGGGAACTGGATTCAAAGTGTTGAAGCTTTTTATCTGTGAACACCCACAGGTAAAGGTGAAAGTTGTTCCCTTTTCCGATAAGAACATTTGGTACTTCACTATTTGACACGTTAAGTATTGAATAAAGTTATTTTTGCCCACGGTTCATCTTTTATAGCGGATGTTTTAGGGAAATAACTTTATCTGGATCAGGCTGACTCTCAGTGTTGTTCCCCCCCGGCTGAAGCAGGCTAAACTTCAGCAGCTTGAACAAAATAACACTTTGTTTACACTGCAAACTCTGTGTCTGCTGAGTTGCATGCTCTCTCTCTGTGACTGTTTTAAAAAACATATTGAATTAACTAAGTCCTGAGTTTATCTTACAATTCTTAAAATGGTACTAACTAGTGCTGGGCGATATGGAAAAAAATGTATATCACGATATGGATCATTTTATATCACGATAACGATATATATCACGATATAGCTATGGTATGCTTTCAGTTCTATGAAAAATTAAAGTGTATACAGCTGCCCTAGTACAGTACCAGTACAAGACCAGCACTTAAAACTAGAAAAATGAATAAATAAATACGTGGCTGAAGTGCGTTCATGTCTGTGCTCACCCAAAGTTATGCAACACTCACAGAAAACGCAGATAGTGTGAGCCAAAGCCCTCCATAATAATAATAATAATAATAAATTTAATTTGTAATGCACTTTACATTTACAAAAAATCTCAAAGTGCTACAGTACACAGTAAAAAAAGAGCAGCAACAATAAAAAAAGCAATAGAATGACAGTCACAGATTGGCATAAAAAAAGAATTAAAAAAAATAAGAAGTATAGAGTTGCAATGTAAGAGGCAAGGTAGTAAAAGCATAAAGCATAGAGGAAAACTAACCAAAGGCTTTATTAAAAAGGTAGGTCTTTAGGGCTCTTTTGAAGAGGTTGTTCACACTGCTAGATGTTTCTCCTCCAAAGCTGCTCTCTGCCTCCATCATTGTTTACTTTACTCTTGAAGCACGTAGCAAGACCCGAGCATGAATCCGAGCGCTTTATTCACCTATCAGGGGCAGACAGGTCAGGTGATTTGATTCGCCACGACTCCAGAAATGATTGAAAAACTACAGAATGTCACAAAATTACGTTTCCTCGCTCCTGGCTTGAAGGGTAGAAATGCGCAGCCGCGCTCCCAGCTGACAGGAAGTCAAACCACTGTTGTAGTTCTTTTGTGTTGCTAGCGCGGTCAAGAGTGTTGGCTGTCACTGAGAGATGACTACAAAAATGGACGCACCTGTTCATCTGGTTGTTAAACACGGCTGAAAATGATCATCTTTTAATGTTGTCCCCGCTCCTGCCCACTCCCGTTGCTTTTTTTCCCGTCCCGTCCCGATCAAAGGATTAACTAAAAAATGACTCCCATCCCGTGGGAATCATGTGACCCACGGGAATTCCCGAAAAATGTCATCCTCTACAGGGAAGGTCCCGGATCGCGCTCCGACTTGCTCCTGCACAAATTAAGCACTGCTTACAATGATCCCCTCACGTGTGTTACCCAGGTAACCCACAACGGCGGGAGACGCTGGACACGAAGAGGGCACGTAAAGCGGCGTCATGTCGCAAAATCGAAAGAGAAATGCGAGCCTACATGTCAACGCATCCTTTTCTTTGTAAGAAAACGTTGTTTTCTTTCCCGTTCGACACCAAATACACTTACTGAATGTGCAGTTATTGTTGTTGTTACTATGAATCATCTGATGGCACAAGCCCTATGGATAAAATACAGCCTATCGCCCGAAACGATAAAAATAAAAATGGCACGATAGACATTTTCTATCGTGCCCACGATATCTATCGTCCTATCGCCCAGCACTAGTACTAACTCATAAAGCACGAGTAACAAACCTACTTCAAAAACCACAGCTCGACCAAAAAGCCCTAGTTTCTCTTTGGAAACAAGTCAAAAGGAGCTCTGAGGGATCAGCTAGTAAAACACAGACAAACCTTGTGTTTCTGACTTCAGTTACATCATAACCTAAACAACTGTGTCTATGTTGTTGTGAGCTGAGAGTTATGATGGTCTACCAATGCTCTAGTGACGCCACCAGCAGCTAATATACACACTTGAAGAGGCTCTTGAAAAGCCCAGGAACTTTGTCTTTGATCACATCCATCAGGCAGTGGTGGAAAAACTGGACTCCATCAGTTTCAGAGGAAATCTGGCCTTTGAATGATGTTTTAATCAAGAAAACTAATGCCTATTGTTGGAGGTCTTTCAGTGATGGTGTTTTCTTCATATTCAGGTGCGATGCCCGGTGACGGTGTGTGGCGATGTCCACGGTCAGTTCCATGACCTGATGGAGCTGTTTAAGATCGGAGGAAAGTCTCCTGACACCAACTACCTGTTCATGGGAGACTATGTCGACAGAGGCTATTACTCCGTGGAGACGGTCACGCTGCTCGTCACACTAAAGGTAAATGGTGTGTGTGTGTGTGTGTGTGTGTGGCTAGTAAATCTCAAACGGTGTTTAATTAAATTCCTGATGAAGCGTTTAAAAAACTATCAGCCACAAAGGTCTAGAGTATTTCTGCTGAGGAATTGAATTGAAACTGACCTTGATACTGTTCATTATATGTCCTCGAATCTGGTGTTTTATAATTTGTGCTAAATTTAGACATGGGCTTTTTACTTTTCTTATAAATTTTTATCATTAAGCAGAACTTGTGACTGATGTTTGACATGTGTCTCAGGGCTTATTGAGATACAGAAATTAGGAGTGCAAACAGATGCTGTGCTCTGAGCTAATAACTGCCTTTATTTACCTACGTCATTGTGCGCAGAGCAGGAGAAACAGCCTGACACTCTACTTAAAAAAAAAAAAAAAAAGGACCGCAAACTCCATTTAGAATCTCCCTCTGTAAAGCAACACGAACTGTTACCTCTTAGAAACTGCAGTTCTGCCAATGTACTGACTCCATACCTCTGTACTGACACATTGAGCACCACAATGGAATAATGTTAGCGCCCATTAGTGTGTTTATAGATCTTACTCCAGCTCTGACGCTACACCACCATCCTGCTGCCCCTGTTTAGCTTCTGCTTTTACCTCCTGTAAGAATTAGAGACTACGTCCCACCATGTAATTCTCCTTGTGTTACACATCCCACCTTAAAACGTCCATGTATATAAGACTGTGGTGCTAAGATCAACAGGATGAAAAGCTTCAACGAGGATCTTTTTAGCTGCAGTTGTTTTGTTTTATTAATTTAAAGATCCTTGTTACTGTTTCTAGGCTGTTGGTGTAATCTTGAATAAATACACCAAACTTCAAGCTAAATTTTTTTTGAACTGTGTAAGGTGAGCCTTCACTTTCTAATGTTTTCCCTGTAGACCACTATGGTGATGCATGTTGCAAGTTGGTACTAAGTTTTAATGATCTTCTTCACCATTATATCCTCATAAGATCAGATTTGAGGTGTTCGGGTCTGGTGAAGGTCTTTTGTGGTTTTGATTCATATCAGTCTGAGGAGCTTGATCACCAATTGAAGTGAGTGAAAATCCCTCAGGGTCAAAGTGCTGTCTCTGTGACAGTTTATGACTCTGATAAGCAGGAAGATGGCGCCTGTACCTGAAGATCTGAGTGACCTGATGTGGCCTTAGGGAAACTGAACTCGAGCAAACAAAGCAGATCTTCATTTGTTTTTATGCGTCACAAGGTTCATTCCTGTAAGCAGAAAACAGGAAGTTAGTGTGTTCATTGTGTGCTCATGGTTTTATTACGTCATAAACATATTTATAGAGGTGTGACACCGTTGGTTAAGAGAGGACATCGGCCAACAGAGAGCACCTTCCTAAATCTCACAGACAAAACTTTTCAGATTTAACTTCAAGGACTTCAGGAGCCATAAGTTTTCAATGTTTACCACAAAATGATCTTCTCTGGAGGCCAAGAAAATAAAAAAAGAATTCAACTCGGATAACGGAGGTCCTTTTATAGTTGACTGTTTTTTTTTATTTGTAAATATTCATTGAAAACTGAAATCACTTTCACCAGAGTCCTGAAGTGAAATACCTGACCATGATTAATGCTGCAGCTGCTCATAGTGCCTGAACAAAAACAAACCTTTTATCCCAGAGCTGCAGGCGTGTAAATTGTCAACCTAAAACACCAGAATTGTGGTAATTTAGCAGGTATGTAACTAAAAACCTTTTTACTTCTAAACAAATCCGTTAAGAAGTAATCGACAGGTGAATCATGTTTAGAAAAGGCTCTTTGTTTTTGCATGAATAATGAATCTATTACCCTTCACAGCTGCATTCATTGAGCTACATTATTTCATTGAATGGGTATTCTGCTGATAATTCTCAGAGTAATCTCATAAAAGAGCAATTTTTCTATTAAATGTATTTTGCTTTAACTACTGTACTGAAAATATCCATGTGGAGATGTTAATAAATGTTTTTCACACCCTGTTTTGTTACTAGGCCTAAATGAATACACTTATAGTTTATTAGACGAAGACACATTTATTTATGACACGTTAATGTACTTGCAAATGTAAAATCTGAATAACAGTGTAATGATAGTTGTGAAGGTATTATGTGAAGTCAGAGAAGGTAATGCTCCCCTGGCCATCCCTACCCAGATCAGTGCTACAGCTGAAAGGTCTGGACACGCACAAACATTTTACATCAATGCTTTTTTATTATCATGTCAGCCTTTATTACATATTAAAGTGAGTAAGCACTGATTGTAGAAAGATGTCTTCATTCAACATCATTATTATCTCAGAGGCAGGTTGGTGTGTGGTTAGCATGCCATAATCACAGCATTAGGGAAACCTAATATGTTAAAAAAAGTGTATAAACAAAATCTCCAATAGAAAAAGACTGATGAAAGAAGCTGGTTAACCTTTTATTAAACCCTGACATCTGTAGATTGAGATAATTGGAATCCACATCAATCAGGTCAGGTTCCCTCTATGGAAATCTTTCACCGCAGGTCCACATCACGTGGACTTCATGTACCAGCTGATTGTGGAATTTAATGACCACAACAGAAACTCAGCCTTCCCCTCAAAGGTTTATCTTTTTCTGCTGTGTTCTGTGTGACTCGGCTTACTTTAAGAAGTCAGCGTTTTTAAAGATTATGTGATATGATGTAACAGGTTTATCCTGCACACATAAACATGTTTCTCATGAATATGTAACCTGACTGAACTAACACTGGAAGGACTCTCAGATCCCAGCCTGAACCAAGGTTTTCAAAACATCAGAGCTGAGTCAGGTGAAAACTAGTCGACTAGAATGTTAGTTTCGATTATGTAAAATGACAAACTTTATAAAAACTGCCCCAGTGTCTCACTTCCTCATTTTGTGGGAAAGATTTTACGATACAATATACTTTATTGTCCCTTTTGGGAAATATTTCTCAGGCTGAAGTGCTGCATAAGCTTGACTGTGTCTACAAAAGTACCATTGACTCAAACTAATGAGTAAAACAAGGTAACAATTGACCCCATGCAAACTGAGAGCTCATACCAAGGTGACCAGAAACAACAGGCGTGGCTCAGGACATTGGCATAAATATGAAAAAGATCAAAAATATCATGATTGTTTGGCTTCTCCTTTTTAAACACTGCAAGGTTATATTTAAATTTCAGCTAAAAAGATCAAATAGGAACATTTAGAGATGGATTTATTGAAATCATCTATATTTGAATAGAAATAAGAGACATGGCTGCAACACAACGGTTTCCATTGCTAAGTTCATCAAAGTCATTCAACCATCTGTTGAGAAAATGACAAAACAAAGTGTTGTCAGACTCAGAGTTTCCTGAATTCCAGAGAAACATCTTCAGACTTTATTAGACAGCTCTCAGAGCTTGAGCTGATCTTGACATGAGAGGAAAACTCATGTCAAGATCAAATCTTTGCATTGCAGAGGCTGATACCACAGAATCTGTGCTTTTCCTGCTATGTGATTTCGTCTTTTGTTTTTTAACCTTTTAATAAGAATAATGAGTTTATGTATAGTTTTGACCCGGTAATGGACAGTTCATTTTTCTGGTTTGTCCTCCAGGTCCGTTTCCAGGAGCGAATCACCATCCTGCGAGGGAACCACGAGTCAAGGCAGATCACACAGGTCTACGGCTTCTACGACGAGTGCCTGAGGAAGTACGGCAACGCCAACGTCTGGAAGTACTTCACAGACCTGTTTGACTACCTGCCTCTCACCGCACTGGTGGACGGACAGGTAGGACACAGAGTCCGATACAGCAAAGAGAATGGGAAATTGTGTTTAAGTTCTATGTTCCTATGATGCTGGATCATGTAACGGCAGGTTGTTACAGAGAGAAAGAGCTTTTTTGAAACACCTTTATGTTGTTTATGGCTGAGAAGATCTTTAGAAATGACTTTGTTCTGCTTTTCGTTCAGATCTTCTGTCTCCATGGAGGTTTGTCTCCTTCCATAGACACTCTGGATCACATACGAGCCTTGGACCGCCTGCAAGAAGTCCCACATGAGGTACACAGATACTTTAACCACCACAGTTAAAAAACACATTAGTCTGATTCTTCTCTCTTCTAGTTAGAACTCATGTAAGGGGTCATTCAGGTGTAAGATTTCAGTTTATCAACAGTTAGTGTTGATTTATATCAAATATCTCTTAAGAAGATCACAAATATGTGGTTTACTGCTTAAATATTACCCAATATTTTTATTTGTTCATCAGCCTTGCACAAAGCTTGATACTGTGAACCTGAAATGGCTCTCATTTTTGTCCATCAGGGCCCTATGTGTGATCTGCTGTGGTCGGATCCTGACGACCGTGGTGGGTGGGGCATCTCCCCCCGAGGTGCCGGCTACACCTTCGGACAGGACATCTCTGAAACCTTCAACCACGCCAATGGCCTCACTCTGGTGTCCCGCGCCCATCAGCTGGTCATGGAGGTGAGAGACCATGGTTTTGATAAAACTACCCATTATGTCTTATTTTTAAACAAACACTGCAGGCTTTGTGAAGGACATGGACACTGACCTGTTGACTAACACAGGGAGGCTGTCTGTCAAACTGTGAAATGAATGCCAACATTGAAGCTGAAGTTATCTGGTCCATCTGTAAGTGCAGACAGCAGCTTGGATCTGTGACTGATTGGTGTAAATCTGTATGTATTATGCTGCATGTTGCCATAGTTTTTTCAGACTTTGTCAGCTTTTTTACACATGAGCAATCAGGGAAAGAAAGCCCTGAAGTAGAGGAATTGGCTTGTGTCTTTGCCATCACCGTTGGCTGACCAAAATTTCTAATGTGCCGGAATTTGTCAGATCATCAGAAGCAGTCTGTTTCTGTACTTTGCACTTCTGACAGTGTGACCAAGCCAAAGTTTGGTCCCACTTCAAAAAAATTGTTGTTTGTGATTCAAAAATGGTGTCAGAACAAGCTCCAGTTTGCCCAGTACATACACCCAGTGTTAGATGGTGCTTTGGCATTACATCTGGTGAAACTGTCAGTGAAGTCACATGCACACAGGGCCGTCTAGTGATATTATTCCTGAATGTAGAGGACACAGGATAATCTCCAGTTTCCTGAGAGAAAAAGGAAGTTGTCCAAACTAGAGTGTCAGCAGGTCGCTGAATATTTTTGAATTTGTTTTTTTTATTTGAAAATTGGGGCATCAGGTGTGAAAATAGATCAAATAACCTTTGCATTTACTGGTGCCAAAAGAGATTTCTGATTTTGACCAAGAATCAAAAACATATAACTACATAGTATTTAATCATGAAACCAAACGGCTAAACCTTCTCCCCAAGTATTTAGATCTATTTTCTTTCTCTTACTGGTTGTTGCAGTCCTTTTTTTTCATGTGAACAAGGTTCAATCATCTTTTCTCTCCAGGATGAAATCTGTCATTTCATATTAAAAATATCTGCCTGGTGGAAAAGCTCTAACAAGCACATTGAAGACTGAGGCTCTGTCTTTTCAGTGTTGTTTTAGTCACATGTGCTTACAAACACGTGGACTGAAGAACCCTAAAAAAAAATCCTTGTCTCCGTGGCAACAAAATTTAATGAAACTGTAAGAGTTTCTGCACCAGTTTCACTCCCACTGTTCTTCTCAGTGAGAGTCTCTTCACCTCACAGATCACGCTCTGTGTGAAAATGAAATCCTCTCTGCAGCTGCAGCAAAGACGCCTATTGTCTCTGATTATTGGCATAAAATGAGGTTCAATCTTTTTTTCCTGATGAGATAGAAAAGTTTCTGATCTGTTACACTTTGAGTCTAACTTTCACATGTTTTTAAATCTTCAGGGCTACAACTGGGGCCATGATAAGAATGTGGTGACCATCTTTAGTGCTCCAAACTACTGCTACCGCTGTGGAAACCAGGCAGCCATTATGGAACTGGATGACACTCTGAAATACTCTTTGTAAGTACTCGAGGCTGTGACAAAGCAAGACTTGAATTATGAGTCTGATTCAGAGAAGATTTCAGATATGGACTTCAATATTATTTAAATCATTACATATACCAGAGACACAGTATCTGTATTTGTTTTACATGCAAGCTAATCAGATACGAATAGCTTTACATATAAAAGGAAATGGATAAAAACATCAATGAAGTATCAGCAAATCCGTAATTCATATGTCTCTTTGGCCTTAAACTCACCACACGTACCAAATAGAACATTGCTGAATGTTTCTCAAGTTTTTAAACTGTAAAAACTTTTTAACACAACTCTCTTCAACACAAACGTACAACCAGGGGTTGGACTTTGGGTTATGCAGCTGCTGCACTCTCATGCGAAACATAGAAAAATCCCATTCTGGGGTACCTTGGGTGTCTTTTTTTTTAAGGAGGTTTCGGTACTGTCTAATTCTTACTTGAATAATCAGCATTTAAAATTCAAAATCATCAGATTCGGACTTGTCAGAGTCTAAAATTCAGGTGTTGTGGTTCTGGTTTGAAAACCTTGAAAACCACTCAAACTTAAAGGTGAATGCTACACGTAGGAAAACGGGTTAAAGTCATTTCTTCAGATTGGAAACATTTCATGGATGAATATCTATGAAAATAACATTTTCCTTCTCTGCAGCCTTCAGTTTGACCCTGCCCCACGCCGTGGCGAGCCCCATGTGACCAGACGCACTCCTGACTACTTCCTGTGAATGTCCAAAGCCACACCTGTCAATCATCCACGAAGCTTCACCCTCTTACTCCCCCGCCCCCCCACCCCCTCATCTTGGATGGAAAGAAGATATTAATAATAATAATACTGTACCAGGGAGAATAGAAACAAACGATTGGCTTTAAACAAAAAGAGAGAAACCTAAAGAGTGGCCCCCTCTACAGTCTTGTTTTCAATATGCTGTCTTTAATGCTGTGCTTCTGGGGAAAACCAACACGTTCAACTATGATCTGTTTTCTTTACTTTCTATTTTTGTTTATTACATGTTTGAAAACGAGATAATAAAACTACCAACGTGGACCAAATGTGCCATATTCTGATCCTTTTACAACATGTACAACGCATTGCAATGTTTTTTTTTTTCTTTTTTTTTCTGTTCTTGTTTTGTTTTTTTAGACCAGCACTATAACCCTACCTACCTGACGTCACCACCACACCACACATCTCATGGCATATGTGCTTTTTTCTGTTGCAAGATAATTTTAAAAAAGGAGAAAAAAAAGAGAAAAAAGTTTGCTTCAAGTAGAACAGCTGTCAGTTTTAGCTGTCCAGGCTGCAGCCAGTGGTCATCTCAGCAAGTATATTACTGTAATTTGAATAAAGACAACAGACGTATGAATAAAAATGTCCTATTGACAAACTACTGGGCTGCGTCAGTGTCATTTCTTCAGCTGGTAGATACCGGTGAGGAATTGTGCATTTAAATACCTCCTTCAAATGAGGCTTGACTTGATGGCTTTTAAACTGTGCAGATGAATAGCCAGGTGGTCCTTCCTTTTAAGAGTAAAGACCATAGAATCTATGATTTCCAGCAAGAGTTTAAGATTTTGATTTACTAGCTCACAGGACTGTTCAAAACTTAACCTTAGTCCATCTTTGACAGACCAGAGGAGTCGGCAGTAATTCTGTTTGTGTATGGTTTCCTCTTTGCATGTTATTGATATATCTATATAGATGCAGCAAAAATCTGCTTGCATTTTTAAGGGGATTTCTAATTCAGAAAAACTGGCAGAAACATCTTATGTAGACAGAATTATCTTGTAATTCTGAAATAATTATCTCATTTTTTTCAGTGAAACTGTCCCAGTGTCTCACTTCCTCATTTTGTGGGAAAGATTTTACGATACAATATACTTTATTGTCCCTTTAGGGAGATATTTCTCAGGCTGAAGTGCTGCATATGCTTGACTATGTCCACAAAAGTACCATTGACTCAAACTAATGATTGATGAACTAATTAAATTTCAGCTAAAAAGATCAAATATTAACATTCGGAGATGGATTTATAGAAATCATCTGTATTTGAATAGAAATAAGAGACATGGCTGCAACACAACGGTGTCCATTGCTAAGTTCATCAAAGTCATTCAACCATCTGTTGAGAAAATGACAAAACAAAGTGTTGTCAGACTCAGAGTTTCCTGAATTCCAGACAAACATCTTCAGACTTTATTTGACAGCTCTCAGAGCTTGAGCTGATCTTGACATGAGAGGAAAACTCATGTCAAGATCAAATCTTTGCGTTGCAGAGGCTGATACCACAGAATCTGCGCGTTTTTTCTCTTAAATTGATGCGATATGCCATCGTAGGTGTTTACGGCAAGTTGATTAAAATTGTGTCTTAATATTCCCGACAGAGTGGAGGAATCAGATGAAATGTACCTGTGTACCTGTCCCCGGCTGTCATTTACAGAAACTATCGCGAGACTTTTCGGGAAGCGCATAGGTTTATGGTCGCCATGTTACCCTGGCAGATAACACTTAACTCCTTCCTTGCTGTTGGCGATGAAGACCACAGTCAGCCGACCTATCGGTACGTTTTCTCGTGTTCTGGACCTTTACGGTCATGTATTCATTGTTGTAGCTGTTATTTCCTTCCATCTAGTTCCTCAGTGGTTGGCATATGAGAGCTTTCCCTTGCTTGGTAGCTTACTATGCTAAAAACATTAGCCACCACCGGTTTAAATAGCGACCCTGCTAACTTGTGACTTACAGCCAAATAAGTCTGTAGTTGTTTGTAGATCGCAAACACGTTGTAACACAGCAAGTGTCCTTGTTTGGATTTCCATTATATCGTCAACAAATACAGGTACCTGGTTTTAAATGTATTTTATTTAGAGAGTTTCCAGTAGCTGTTGAAACCGCGACATCTGCAGACACATTCCGCTGAGAGTCAGCGGATAACACGGTAACTCCTCAGACCGAAACACTGGTAAGATGACAGCTGAAATCACTGTCCAAACAGTCCCCCACTGGCTAAAATTATCCTCAAGTCCATCACGAGACGATAACCAAACACGTATAAAAAGTGAACAAAATACTAAATGCCGACTTTCATGGCGTTTATATAAAAATACTAGCATGGATGAAACATTACTGTTGATCGTATTTAAATTAACGTTACTAGAAGTGATTTCAGTTGGCTCCCCTAAAAACACTCATTAATGGTTGTTCTTTTACACTCGGGTCTTTGACTTTACTCAAACCTAACATTTCTATTCAACAATTAAAGTTTGTCGTGCTAATTTCTTATATCTTTACAAACTGAATGACAATCACAATCACTAATAGCTAATTTATAAGTCTTAACAACAGGTAACCTAAGTAAGATTTTTGAGAACTGAATTGTCCGTCATGCTGTGAAAGGTCGTCTATTTTTGTTGCTCAGGAATAGGTGACCCTGTTCATTTCAATCTATTCAATAACTTGTCAAAAACTGCTGACAGGAGCTCTAATGTAAGTAACTACTGTTTTGCTTGGATTCCCTCAGGCTCTTCTTGTGTATTTCTCTGGTCACAGCTGAATCACCATGAGGAAGAGGAGGATGAGGAAGAGGAGGGTAGTGAAGGTTCTCGTCTGATGGAGGATGTGGTTCTGCACTACTGGCCTGGATCAGCTGCTGGGGTCAGCTCTCTGTTACAAACCACAGAGAAGCTTCTGGGGTCTTTCCCCTGTCGGACTCCCCCTGTCTTCGCCCCCTGGTTCCCCACCACTGCAGACAGCCACCTGCCCATCAGACCAGCCAAACCAGCTCCCATTATCACCTGCTCAGGTGATTTACTGGTCTCTGACAGCAGGCCTCATGCTCACTCAGCACAAAGGAAACAGACAGAAGCTGAAGCTGAGCGTTCTGTTTCTGAACAGTTTCATAAGAGAATGACTATCAGAGCATCAGCTGATCCACAGAAACCTGAAGATGGTGTCTGTGTCCCAGAAACCCAAAACCATCTCCTCCCACCCTCACTCTTTAACATACCAGAGACAGAGATCAGCAGATTGTCTCCTGACAGACTCAAACACGGCCCCTCCTTCTCGAACTCGCCTCAGAAACGCACCTGGAGTGTTTTCACACAGAAAGAAGTTCTGCTGCAGAGCCCACAGTCCCTGTCTAAACACTTCCAACACACAGTGTCCAAACACCAGCTCCACCTCCGTCAGAGGGCCAAATGGGTGATCAGCCTGCACAACTGTGGGGGGAGCAGGGACATTGAGCAGGTGAGGGAATAATCGACCTGAGAGTCTGCAGACATGATTACAGCTCAAAGTGGGGTTTCATCTTTTTAACTATGTATGAGGTTCAGACAAACCTTTTCATGATCATCAGGACAGGAACCGCAGAGTGACATGACTACCTGTCTCAGACTTTGTTCCTCACTCAGCAGTTTATTCAAGTGCCAGTGTGTATGTGAATCTTTATACCCACATCCCTCCCTGAGTTTCCCTAAACTCAGCCTTTCCCACCAACACAGCACATCTGCAGATTTTATCTTTTCATAACAAAAAAGTATGTTGTTATTATTATTATTATTATTGTTGTTGTTGTTGTTGTTGTTGTTAGTAGTAGTAGTAGTAGTAGTAGTAGTAGTAGTAGTAGTAGTATTATTATTTTCTGTCTATCACATAAATATCAAAAACTCCACAAGTGCTTGAAATGTATTATTCCTTGTTGATGTATTTTCCTGTCCATTGTTGTGAAATGTGACAAACAGAAAAATAAAAATACATTTCTGAATAATCTCTTCATCCTTTCTCTCTCTCTCTCTCTCTCTCTCTCCTCTCACCCCTCACCCTGTGAACTTCACTCCTCTCTGCAGGTTTGGCGTTCTTTGAGCAGGTGCGTCAGGAGTTCCTCCCGGCTCCCGAGCTGTAATGCCAATATCCAGAGGGAGCAGGCAGAGATCTGGGTGTTCTGTGACGTCGTTCAGGCTGAACAGGTGGGACGTTTCCTGAAGGATGAGCTGCAGCTGTCCGGGAGGATCAGTCTGTCTGTTCACAGACTAGGACACATTTTCAGCATGTAGATGAAGAAAGACATCTGTGTGAACCAAAAGCAGTACAGACTCAGGGATTTGGGACGTGTGTTTACAGTGACAGATGTTAAGACCACACTGAGGTGTTTCTATGAAAAAACAAACAAACACATATTTGGATTTTATGTCAACAAACATGGAGTTTTAACTTTTTCAACTAAGGCCTCTTTTTATATTTCTGTGTTTTGGGCTCTGATCAGCAGACAGCTGAAAAAGATTTTGAGACTTTCCCAGAGACTGAGACTAAATGGCTGAAATTAAGATTTTCAAGTCTGAAAGCATCACAGAATAATCTCTACAGAAACAGTTTTTACATATCAGGAGGTTTTTGAGATTAACACAGCCCACTTCAAAGCAACCAAACCATCAGTGAATAACAGCCATTTTTCTTGACAGCATGTAGGAGTCCTTCTAAATCAGTGGGTTAGATTATTAAAATGATTGTGTGAATTTTGTGTTGTGAATGGTTTGTCTCATTCAATGCGGTTATCATAGAATACACTATTGTACATTCACTGAGTGAAGCAGCTGGTAGACAAGCAGCTCATGTGTTCTGGACAATAAAATACTGTAAAATGTAAACACCGGAAACTCTTCTAATACCTCTTCTTTGTCATTTAAAAAGTGAACTGTGTCCTTAACACTGCTGCAATCAATCCAGTTTAAGAATAACATACATTTTGTTTTTTTTTATCATGTTATCATATTTTACACAGAAGGTGGCGAAGACATAAGCATGCTGGATTCATGCAAAGTCCACGGTGAAGTGTATACATCTTGTGAACTGTTGGTTTGGTCACCTAATGAACAGATGGCACTAGAAAGATCTACACACCCGTATACAAACTGCATATTGGTGAGCATAGTAAGTCTTCACCAAGGGGAGCAGTTGAGGTCAATGTAATACTTGGATCTCCCACTCAGATCAGGCCAGGTCTTCTAGACTGATGTGTTTTATAATTCAAATTTTACTGTCATTTTTTTTTTTTTTTTTATATCGGTGTAGTTTGGTGGCATCAAAGAAACGCATTTGTAGGATCTGTTTCAGTTCCTTACATCTATTAAATGTAAAATAACAGAAAAAGCCCTTTAATTGTGTACTAATGACATGATATTTCACCTAAACTTAAAGCAACTGCTGGTCTATCTTCTGTTATAATTACTGCATTGAAGAATGCACAGATGTATCCGTTTGACATACGTAGGTGCTAAAATCTGCTCTGTTGACTGACATCAGCACACCCGTGAATAAAGTGTAATGTGCCAATTTTTATCTGTATAATATAGCATCTCAGTCACTAATGCTGTGGTACTAAAGTGCTGATGCAGAGATTTGTTGTGATAGTCAAAGATGACAGAAATAAGGGCAACTTGGGAGTACTTTACAGACGCATTGCAGACACGGACATGCGATTTTAAAGACATACTTCAGTGACATTTTAAGAGGAAGGACAACCAGCAAGAAATTGAATACATCAAATCTTACAAATCACTTCATAATAAACCACAAAGAAGAAACATTAGTGTCCGAATTGGATATCAGTGAAATTAACTATTAGTCTTGACAAAAATATGGCAGCCAATATGTTCAAATCAGTGGATCTCTGCTGTGTATGTTTCAGTTCTCCTCTTGTACTGGGTTTATAATTGGAACTAGGTCAAAAGACTGAAAGTGGTTTCTCAAAGCAAAACCTGTGCATTATACGAGCAGAAACTAGACGTATAAGTGTGTGAATGTTTGGTTTTGCCATGATGAAACATATTTGGCACTATCATTACTTCTTCAAATGCACACTGGGTTTAATTATAAGAGAAAAGATACACAATGAGATACCTGAATTTCTTATATTATTTATTTACATAAACTTTTGTTTCTCATCTGCTAAACTTCACAGGAATCTACTTTATTGCTAAAATAATCAATGGGGGGGATTTCAACATTGTGCACATTATGTGCCTCACTAAAGCCTGTGTTATATATTGATGAATTTGATAAGAAGTAGAGATGACTGAATGTATTTCTTTGTTTTTCTCTCTTGTAGATCTGTGTTGTAAATTAAGTTTTTTTTAATCTATATTTTTCATTGAAGTGTCTGTGGTGAGGGCTGATGGGTGGATGGTGGATGTACAGTCCTGCATGTGATGTGCTGTTTGTTCTGGAAAAGCCTACAGTAGCAGTCACATGATACGGGAGTCACCCTGCTTTTAACTGACACACAAAATAAATCAGACACAGAAAACACACGTACACAGACACACACACACACGGACAGACACACACACACACGGACAGACACACTATTTCCAGAGACAGTGATGCTTATGTGAGACCTGAATAAGCGGGGACAGAGTGAATACTGTACAACCCCCATCACACACACACACACACACACACACACACACACACACACACACACACACACACACACACACACACACACACACACACACACACACTCTCTTTTGTTGCTATGGTCCCCTGTCTTGACAGCCCTGCACACTGCATGAGAATCTAGGTTACCGGATGTGACGACAGCGCCTTGCCTCCCTGCCCAGCTGTAATCGGCAGTAATCTTTCGAAAACCGTCTTTACTGCCCAAGAACAGTCAAAAAAATAAAAATATCCCAACTAGTAACAGTGATCCAGTAATAGAAGCTCTGACCAAAGCTGCCGCACGATTGTTCTAGTTTTTGGTCGCCGTAGCTGGCGAGCATGCATTAATATTGCATCACATGTGAGATAGAGGTATCTTATTTTGAAGGCCAGTCGGAACCTGTTACATCTGTCATTTGGAGTTCTTATATTACGCGTTAAAAAAAAAAAAAGGCGCATTTTCTTGAGGAATATCGAAAGCTCGCTATGATGTATATTTTATGTTTGTGAAATTTTATCAGGCATAAAATATACCTGAACGCTTTCTCGCATTTTGTCTACGATATCTGTTTTAATTTGTAGTGATGTTCCGGAAGCTCTATTAGCAGTCGTAAGCTTGACGTTAGTCCCATACCAAATATTCAGAAGGCTGATCCACGAGTGTCTCTACATCGGAGATAATCGATAAAAATAGGATTTTTTGAGTTTAGAGAACACCTGAACGTCGAGGTAACCTGTCGATCAATGATGGCGTCCACTGTTTGCTCCGCTGGAGGTTTTTATTGGTGAAAATCTGAAAGGTAAGACGTTTAAGCGACTGACAAGCTAACAGGCTAAAGCTAGCCCTGGCATGCATTGTCGTTTCTCATTTCCTGGAGGGTTTCAGTGCGTTTGTGCCTTCTATTTGAGCTTTTATCTTATAATTTAACACTATTTTTTAATTATTAAAGCACAAAATTATTTTAAGAGTCTGCCTGTATGAAACATTAACTTTTCAATTCATATTTTAACGCCAATGGTTTGAAATCACCTAATTTCTTAGTCTGATCCGATTCTCTGCTGTTTGTATTAGAAGAACTGTACATGAAGATGTCCTTTTTGTCTGAAATTGAAGCATAATTATGAACATATGCTTGTCTTTTTATATGTATCCTGTGTTTCCAATGATAGACTTTATAATTATTCGGTCACGGTAATCTAGGTATTGATTTATAGATCGCTTATCGGATTTTATGTTACTGACACATAACTCTATTTTATGTGGTTTTAAATGTGAATATAAGTAGGCGAAAGAGCACTCGGATATATTACGACACTAAAACAAGATATCTATCTATCTATCTATCTATCTATCTATCTATCTATCTATCTATCCATCCATCCATCCATTCATCCATCCATCCATCCATCCATCCATCCATCCATCCGTCTGTCTGTTTTATTAGAAAACAGTATTCACCACATTGGCTCTCTTTCTCTCTCTCTTTCCGTAATCATTGTTGTCAGCTTTTATTAAGGATTTTTTTATTTGTATTTTTGTAGCGTCTGCCTTTGACTGATAGTTTTTATTTTTATTTTAATGTTTGAGTTAGTGCCACCATTGTCTATCTTCTCATGCCAACCTGATTATGTTTACATTGGGATTAATGTCAAACTGGAGTTAGATTATGTGTAAGGGCCTACAAGCTCTGCAAATGAAACTGGCTCTGAGTCTGGTATTAAATGACCTTAAACTGCGTATCATTTTGCACATAGGGCTGGGCGATGAAATGATAACGATATAAATTGAAAATGAATTTCCCTCAATATCAATGTAGATCATGGTCAATATCTTTTTTGTTAGACAGCATTCTGCCATGTTTAGGTAGACTATACGAAGAGCCAATGAAAAAGGGAGTTGCTCGGGGTCAAATTCGCACTGAACCAATCGTGCTGAATTAGAACCTAGTAGCAAACGACTGCATCGTAGCAGGCTGCAGCTACACACAACCATAGCACTGTAACACGTGAAGCCGACAGCACTATCCATGAGAAAAAAGAAAATGAGTGCTACCCCCAGCAGAAATGCAGATGAAGGCTCAACAGATGATGACATTGTAGACAACAGTGGCACGAAAACATCGGTGGTGTGGAGATATTTTGTTTTTTTGAGGTCGGACATGAAGCAGCGTAATGTGCACTACGCATTTTGTTAAGCACATGTTCTCACAAAGTCGGGATATAACTCAAATCTTTTTCACCACCTGAAGCAGTGCCACGCAGCAGAGTGCGCACATTGCAAAAGGTTACAAACCCTGAACAGAGCAAGGTGCCCATGGCGCCTGTGCAGCCAAAACAGCCGACCATTTCGCTTTCTCTAGTGCAACGCCTCACGACAAATTGTCAAAGAGACCAAAAGACCTCACAGATGCAGTAGCTTATTGTATTGCAAAAGACATGCTGCCAATAAGCACTGTGAAATTTCATTGAAGAGAAACAGGGAACATGTAAGATTGACAAGTGATTTTTTTATATTGTGATATATATTGATATCGACTGATATGAAAAAAATATACTATGATAAATATTTTCCCATATCCCCCAGCACAGATTTTAAAGTCTAGTTTGGATGAGTCTAGATTAAGAGATGGATGACTACACTCACCAGTAAACACTTAAAATTTCATGAGAGCAGGTTCCTGTCAGTGTTTAAGAAAAGGGAAGACAAAGACCAACAAAACTGTAAATCAGAATATTTCTCTCCTATCTAGAGACAGTTTTTATTGCCATGTAGAGTCTGTTCTATCTGATCTAATATATCAGAGTTATTGGTTTTATATTTTTACAGTGTGCAGGTGTATGGGAGCATACACACATTTCTAATCACCAACAATAAAGCAATTGTCTAAAGGACTGACCCTGTTCAGTCAGTCTATCGCTGGTAGACTCACCAAGTTATATTGTGTTTGTCTTTGAAACTATATTGTGGTTTAAATTGTGTGTATTTGAGAGACTCCTTTATTCCCTGGTATTGTCATGCTTGCTTCATTATTGGTTTGTGTGCGTAGTTGCTCCTCTAGTCTTGTTTATTGCTTTTGTTTTAACCCCTGGGTTGTATTTAATCTGATCTGCTGCTGATATTTGTCATAATAGTCTTGCTCAAATCATTCATAGATTAACCCTATTGTTGTTTTTGCAACAGGCTAGTGTCTTTCATGTTAACTTGTTGTAGTTTTGTGTCAGTGTCAGTCTGTCAGAACTAGGGGGTGCACGATATTATTGGCATAATGTTCGTATCAACAGATGTGAGCATTTCAGCAGATATAATTTTCAGCCAAAAACAAGGTGCATTATTTGCACTTGTTTTTATTTATTTATATATATGTATTTTCACAGAAAAGTAAGCACATCTCTCATATCTTCAGCTTCTTCCTTTTATTATAATCCAGATTAGTGGTTAACTTTTTCTATGGTCGACGCCAACAGGAAGAGAGCAGGCTGGCTGATGGCTGATATGTAATACTGATATCAATTTGATGTTGTTTTCAACAATTGAGAAAAGACAACTATTTAATAATTTCAACAAATGAAAAACAAAACAGCTGAGCCTGAGTAGAAACATTTGTTTAAATAATCATGGAGACTAAGATACTGGGCTTAGTAAAACACTGCAGTGAGGGACTGTTGGATTTCTGTCTCAATAAATAACATTTTTCAGCGTGTAATTGTGTTTAAATCCATTTTTTCTGCACATGTAGATGATGAGTTGATGGAAAAGATAAGTGATGTCACATTTTTTTTAACCTTAAATTGCATAATTTTGTAAATTATAACAAAACTTATATGAAACATTTGCAGGGGAGGGTTTTTGATTTGATGTGCCGCCATCAAAGATTCAAAAGTATGCTTTCATTTAAAGATAATAGCGAAATTGGCCAGATTATTGGCCAACCAATTAACTGTCCTGTCTCTAGTCTTGAAAGAATTGTAGTAAAACTCACATATGAGTCCGAAGAGCAGTGCAATGTCGACACATCAGTCATACTGTGGAGTTTGTAGTGTATGAATGTTTGGATTTAGCATCAAATTGAAAGTATTGGCTGAAACTTCCCAGCTCCCGCCTCACAAAATGATCATCTTCATATGTCTGTTTTTTAAAAGTTCTTCACTGCTGACATTTTGGCTCCAGAGTTACTCATGCTAACCCACTTTTGCTCAGTTTACATCAGCTTAAGAAAATGAGCGGGGTGAGACGGTCAGCCCGATCAGCTAAAAACACTCAGACTGGCTCCAGGTTATAGTTCAGATTGGGATCGTAACATCTTGAATAGCAAAGCTCTTTGACTCGTCCAGATTTTAGGGCCAAAAATCGCTTTAGGACACTTGAGGAAATTGTGTAATGTAGAAGGAATATCAAGGAAGTTTCATCCCTCTTGCATCCTCTTGTTCTTTATTAAATTTTCTCCCCTCTTCTTATCTCATAGATTGACTTGTCGCCTCCCCAGATGTGGCCGCTACCTCTGCTGAGACTCCTGTTCATGAACGGCGAGGATGCTCTGATTGGACGTCTGTGGCTGGGTCTGGAGGGATGACAGGACTTTAGCAGACATGGAGACAGGGGAGACACACAAACAGCTGGAAATGCCATATTCACATACTCTAGACTCTCTACGTTAAATCTACTCAGGACAAGAGAAAAGCTTATTTTTATATTTGTATTCAGAGCTGTTTTTGTTAGTTATTATAAAGCCATACAGCTTAAAGGGGCAGACGTCACAATGAGCTCCGAGGGCTTTCAGTACCGAGCGCTGTACGACTACAAGAAGGAGCGGGAGGAGGACATTGACCTGCATGTGGGGGACATGCTGCTGGTCAGCAAAGGGGCGCTGCTAGCGCTCGGCTGCAGCAACGGAGCTGAAGAGCGTCCATCAGAGATTGGTTGGCTGCCGGGCTTCAATGAGACCACACAGGTATGAGTCTGGGGAGGTTGGAATAGGTTTGGTTTGTCCAGGGGATGCTGAGTAGACACTCCTCTGTTCATTGCTTCTTCATATCCTGTAATGCTATTTTTAACCTAACTGAAAACCTGCTGAGCGCTCAGGCTGTGCTGCATGTGTCAAAGCGAAGAGCAAAATCGCAAAGATTTTTTTCCTGCCAGCACTCTTGTACAATTTCCACATGAGGGTGGGATTAGTTTATGTGAGAACAAAGTATCAAAGTAACAAAGTGTGTTCCAGAAAATTCATCTCGTGAAAGCGAGCAAGCAGAAGTGATCACAGTCGTCTCATCTTTTGCAAACCTCAAGAGGATCAATGAAAACAGATCAGTGATGACTAACACCTGTCTGTAGATTCGTAGCATTGATGTAGACCATATTTTTAACTCTTCTCTACCAATAGGAGAAAGGCGATTTCCCTGGGACATATGTGGAGTTTGTTGGCAGAAAGAGGATGTCCCCGCCCACCCCAAAGCCCCGCCCACCAAGGCCGCCTTCAGCAGCATCAGTGAGGACTGACTCCGAATCAGAGGGTGAGTGAGAGGGAAACATTCATCCGACCTGCAGTTTTTTCTGATTCCCCTGATGTTTGATTCAGACCAGAAACAGTGACTTGATTACAACTGAACATAAAACAGTTTCAGACAGTCTCTCAGTTTAACATGAGAGGTCAAAATAATTTAATTTAAACCAGATCATAACCTGGCTTATCTCTGAACACCTGGCTGTGTTAAATATTTTATTCTGATTGGCCGAAACCTCAGGACAACAAGATCCTACCCATCAAATTCATCATAGAGGAGTCTGGCACATTTATAAAGTTAATGATTCCTCCTTTTCCTATGGACACTGTGAAAAAAACAGAAGCAGGATACACAGTGTCACTTAAATGTTGATAAACTTTTATTAATTGAGGATAAAAAGTGACTTACAGATGTAAACCTTTTTGGCGTCAGGTTTTCAGTTTCAGCCTAGTTCTGCTCTTGAAATCCTTGGTATGAACAGTTTACCCCCGAAAAACAGTCTCAGTGTGACTCACATCAGTTTCCTTCTTCAGCTGCTTCCTCAGCACCAGCTTGATACACAATTATACACATGAAGTACACACACACACACAATGATTAATGTGAACTGTGGGGTATTTCTATTTCTTATTCAAGTCTAACCACGCAATGGAAAGGACAAACACACACACACACACACACACACACACACACACACACACACACACACACACACACACACACACACACACACACACACACACACACACACACACACACAAAGAGCTGGTGTTTGGTCAGGGTTGTGGTTGCTGACTGAACAGATCTCAGCTCTGCTCTGCTGCCACCAGCTTTACCAGAGAACACAGGAAGTGTGTGCATCTGATTTACTGTTCTGTGTGTGTGTGTGTGTGTGTGTGTTGAGGGTGCTGGTTGTGTTGTTACCTGTCTGTTCCACATAAATACTGTTTAGCACTAACAGTGCTTTAAAGGGGACCTGCCATAATTTTTGCATGTTTGTGTGTCAGATAAGGCCCAAATTATGTTCGTCTTATGTTGTAAATCCGTAATCACCTTAGTTTAGCAAACATTAGCAAAATGAATAAACCGAAATTAGAACCTCCACTGCTTAGCCAATCAGAGCACAGCAGGCTTCACAGCAGCGATCCAATCAGAGCAAAGCTCATTACCATAAATGTTAATGAGCCAAAATCAGTTGTTTTTCCTGTAAGGTTTTTTTAGGCATATTAAAACAAACCGTCAAATAATTTTTTAGCTAAAATTATGTTGCAAACATGATCAGAGGACATCAAGGATTATGAAAAAATGATTGAAATGGGTATGAAATTTTGATGGCAGGTCCCCATTAAAGCCCTCATATAAAGAGCTGAGGTCAGTGGAGCTGTGAGATGTTTTCACTGTTGGCTCTCTCTTGTTCTCTTTCTTTCTCAATTTCAATTTTCAATTTCAGTAAGCTTTATTGGCAAAGTTGTTATAACAGTATTGCCAAAGCATTACAATACAACAATAACAACAACAATAATGGGAATAATAATACTAATAACAATAATAATAATAATAGGGAATATAAAATGAACAGATAGTGTGATCACCATTTTGCAGTTAAACAATCTGGAGCAGCTGTTCAGGTTATTTTGAGCAGCTTTCTCTCTCTCTCTCTCTTTTTTTCTGATCTTATGTTCCTCATAATTGGCTCTTCTCAAACCCTTTCCTTCAAACTGATTATCTGACAGCAGCCTTACAGGCTGGTCTTCCTCAGTGAATTTATACCTGAGTCACCTCCATCCAAAAGTCACGTGTCTGTGAGTCTGCAGGTAGAAACAGGAACTTTTCATGGACTATTTAAATCAAAGTCTGAGCTGTAAGTTCTAGGGGGTGAAGATTGACCGGTTCTGGATCTGATTGCACAGGCTTGACCAATAATCGGCCGATATTCAGCATTTTTGCAATAACTGGCATCAGCGGTTTTGTCCACCGATAGCCAATAAAACCAGTTGAAGTCACCACTCTTGGCTGTGAAACGATGTCCTGCCTACTGTGCCCACTGATTGGCTACATAGACAGCCAACCAATACTAAGCTTCTAGGTGCAGCTCCACAGTGAGGGAGAGAGAGAGGAGAGTGCTCAGTGAAGCAGCGGTATGCTGCCGCTGATTGGATGTGAGACTGCTGCTCCTTTCACTGATGTTTATTAACACCATAGAACTAAAAGCTCAAGTAAACAAAATAAAAGTCAACATCAGCTATTGTAATCATGACAGAAATAGCACTGCTGCACACTGCAGCTAATATTGATAAAGAAATAGGCAAAGTAATACAGACCTCTTTAGCCTGCTTCTCAACAAACTGCAGTCATAACCCAGAGTCAATCTTCACTGTCAAAAATAAGATCCTTCAACTTACACCTCTCATTAAACCACATGCCCACAGTTAAAACAAACACCATGAAGCATGGAGAACTAAAACAAAAGAAACAAACTAGAAGGAAACAACACTGCTTGAGGTGCTCCACAGTCTCTGTGAAGCTTATGGATCTAGCATGCGCCACTTCTGGTTCTTTTCTCATTTCAAAATAAGAGCATGGGTTTCAAAAGAAGGTCAAAATATACATCTTTACTGCAAATGAATATCAGTTCTGAATATTGGTTATCGGTTTTCTTGACTAATAATAATCTGTATTGGTATCGGCCCTAAAAAAAACATATTGGTCAATCCTTACTTCTAAACACCCTGGATTGATATAAAAAATTCTTATGTTCTGGGTTTTGAAGCGGTGATTTGGCTGACTGTTACTTTTGTTACTGTTACTCAGCATCTTCAATCTTGTAAGATTGAAAGATTGACACTGTTCATTTCAGTCTGTTTCAAGGATCTAATCTAACCAAGTTGTGTAGTTAGTCAGAGGCTCACACCCTAACACTATGTTAAGAAGGAGATGGTTAGTAAAGGATGCTTATTAAAACAGTTAATGGCTGTAACCCCTCTGCCCAAATCTCCAGACTCCATCAACTGAAGCAGTTTTTACCTCCCTGAACACCAGAGTTTGCTTGATTTTGGTGTTTGTGGTTAGTTCAGATTGAGCCTAGTACATATGAAACACAATAACGCAAATGCTGTATCTGATGGAAGCAGAGGTAGACCTGCAGCTCTGCACAGTAAGATGACTGTTGAGGCCAGTGAAATCTGGTAGTTTTGCAGAGAGAGTGATGTAATGGCTGTTTTTGCTCCTGCAAATATCTTTCTCTATATCCAAAAGTTCGATCACTGAGCAGAGATTTTCTGTAATGTTGTCAGGCTCTTAAAATAACAGTCTGAGTCTGTCAGTGGAAAAAAAACAAGATCTCTGTCACTGGGCTCATCAGTCTGGGGATTTCATAACAGCCATTACAGTCTGAGTCAGGGCTTCTTAAACAAAGAGAGTGATAGAAACCTTTAGTCGATGAGAGCCTTAAATATATATAAAATACAACCTATACTTAGGTATTCTTCAAATAACTTGTTAAAATGACTTTGACTTTGACTCAAAGAGACAGATATTTCCAAACATCTCTGGTCGTTGTTAAAAAAAAAAAAAAACTGTTGTTATTTTTCTTCTTTTTAGGCTTTGTGTTACCCGACCTCCCTGAGCAGTTCGGACCCCCAGACACAGCCCCTCCCCTTCTCAGCAGACTGATGGAGGCCGTAGAAAACAAAGGTACCAAACACACCCATCAACTGTACTGTCTGCCAACAGATGGTGGAGAGAGATACCAGAGTTTCAGGGAGTGTCGCCCATCTCCTGCAGCATCAAATTCAAAATTCAAAATGTGTGAATATCAAAAAAAAAACAAAACAGTCAGTTCTGTTGATCAGCTGATTGATTGATCTGCCAAATCAATCAGAATGTTAAATAACAGAAATTATAACAGCGAAAATCAACATGTTGACAGAGTTTCCAGTCAGTGTGTTTGTGTGTTGTTGCAGGTCAGGAGAGTCCAGGTGTGTACCGCTGTCTGAGCGGAGGAACTCTGGACACCCGACAGCTGGCTGACACAGGTGAGGAGTCCGTCTTCTTCTTCTTCTTGTTCTTCCTCTTCTTCGTCTTTTCCTTCGTTGTCATCTCCTTCTTAATCGTCATCGTCTTCTTTGTCGTCATCTTCTTTCTTCTAGGGGACGGAATCATCAGTAGCCCCAAATTACAATATTATCACGATACTTGGGCCACGATATGATATTATTGTGATTTTTAACATTTTGCAATACACAGAGTATTGTGATACAATATATTGCGATTTGTAAAAAAATTTTCAACAGCTTAGCTAATTTAGCATTTGTCTTTCCTTTATGTTTGTCTTATTTACTCAGTACTTTACTTTCATGTAGCACATCTTGCAAACCTTATATATATTTGCTGTACTAACTTTCTGCTGCTCTATGATGTCACCTCTGGACAAACGGCTGATTTTATTTTTCCAATAATTATTGATTTGACCTCATATTAACAATCAATTTTTAAAAATCAATAATAATGGAAAAATAAAATCAACTGTTGAGGTTGGCAGAGGTGATACTTGGTAAATGAAATGATACGATATATCACTGGAAAAAATGTTGCAGTCCTACGCTGTATCGATATTTTTCTCCCACCCCTCCTTTCTTCGTCGTCATCATCTTCTTTTTACTTTCTCATCTTCTTCTGCGTTATCGCCATTGTCTTTTTCAATGTTGTCTTTTTCTTTTTCTCCTTCTACTTCTTTGTCATCGTCTCCTTTCTTCTGTCTTTTTTTTCTTGTTTCTTCTCCTACTCCTCGTCTGACACGTTCAGCTGAAACACACATTTAGTCTTGACAGTGACCTGATTTTTGTAACCATTTCTGTGTAGATACTTTTTGAAGTCTTGATCCAGCTCATTATGTTCTGTGGTGTGTGTTTTTTAATTCAGACCTGGAGCAGCTGGAGGTCTCGTCCCTGTGCGATGGAGTGGTCCGGTTTCTGCAGGATCTTCCTGGTCCCGTCCTCCCTTCCTCACTGCAGGCTGATATGATTCAGGCAGTGCAAGGTCAGATCAGAGTGGACCCCTCCCCTCTGTCTGGACACACTAACCCTTCCCAAAGTGCTGCTCTCAGGCTGAATGTCTAACAGGTCTCTAACCTCTCTGCCTGTCTGTCTGCAGAGGTCCGGGATCTGGAGGATTGTGCTCAGGTCCTGAGGGGGGTGGCCAGCTCTCCATCTTGCCAGGCTCAGTACGGCCTGACCCTCCTCAGTGTGGTCCGGCACCTGGCACGGCTTTGTCTACACAGCTCCAGGAACCAGCTGAGCACCCGCAACCTGGCTGAGAGTTTCAGCCCGCTGCTATTCAGACAGACTGCAGGGTCAGTAACACACACACACATACAGATATGCACATGTTTCAGTCAGCTAAACGTATCCACCGTTTCTTTGAGTAATGTTGTGTTTGGGATGTTATGTACTCACAAAATAAAACAGCACCCTCTACAGTATCGGTCTCTGACTGTGAATGAATCAGTGTTTCTTCTTAATAAGGCTTTTAAACCTTACAGTGACTCTTTTCCTGTTCAGGGCTGAGTCCAGTCTGGGTCCTCTGGTTCAGGTCTTGGAGGTTCTGATAACGAGCGAGCTCAACATGAACCAGGCTGCACCAGGTATGTGTGTGTCTCTGAGTTTATAAGGGTGTTGTATAGTTGCAGAGCACAAGTACAAAACAGCGAAACAGGATATCTGTCCTGATCTGTGCAGATTAGAGGAAAAGGAGTCAGGTGTATCAGGATGATTCAGGACTGGTTTCTTCTGCTTCAGGTCCTCAAAGTTCACTTTCAGTTCCTCTGAGGCTGTGAAGCAGCGTCACACTGCAGCTCTGTCACTCTTTGTCACAGCTGTTGCTCAATCTAAAGGGTTAAATGTCAGATGTTTCCAGATGAGATCATGACCGCACAAAAGGACACGTGGAAATTCTGACTTAAACCGACACAAAACTGGAATTTTGAATCTGACTGAATCCATATGCCTCATGCCTGTCTTATTACTACAGCAACAGAAATGAGCTCCTGGGCACTTAGAATGTGTTGTTTTTTTCTATACTTTGACTTTACCCCACATTGTTTACAGAGCTGTTGCAGAAGAAATCACTGAACCCGTAACAACACTTTGACTTATTTATAATCAAGAAAAAATAAAGAAGTTTCCTAAAAAAATCACTTTAAAAACAAGGACAGTGAGTCAACAGAAAAACACGTCAGGTTCTCACTTTGTGCCCAGGACACATCGCTGTGTTTTATTCTCCATACAAGGTTGGTTAACTGTCTGAGAGTCACGTGCGGCTCGCAGCGGACTGAAACTCTGACCACCTAACACGCTAACTGAAACAAAAATGTAGAAATAAGCAGCACCGAGCAGCTAAACTCATGAATCTGGATGCTGCTAAAGTTAAACAAACTCTTATATTACAGATTTTCCATAAATTCAATATTTTGTGCATCACTTCAGATTAATAGAAGAGAAACTGCTTGAATAAACATTTCAGTTTTTTGGATATTCTCTTCTTTTCTCTTTTTTTTTTCTTACTATTTGAACTATTTTCGGTCTCCAAACATTGTTCAAGCAGCCTCATTTCAGAGCCTCAATTACTGAGCAGAGGTATAACACTCCCTGTAAGACCTCAGGTTGGGTTTGATAGAGAACTTGGAGATTAAACAACATTATATACATTTTAAATGGAATGAGGCTTAAGTCATTAGATTAGTTTGTTTCTTTGCACCTCTTTATCAAGAAACTGTATTTTTGTTCAAGGAAACATCTCCTGTTGAAATCATAAACTAAGTATTTTCCGTTGTTTGGCTGTTGTAATCACAGTTTTAAACCAAACTTTTGTCTTTTTTTTATCTTGAAAAATTATATTTAATTATCAATATTTCTTCACTCAGCTCTGATGTAAGTAACCATAAGGTGAATCCATCATTCATGCGCTTCATCCAATCTCAGCGAATTACAATAGTTTCCTCATTTGAACTGGTTCTTCATACTCAAGCCTGGTGCTGTCCATAAAAACCTTCCTCAGGGTCTAATGAGAGCAGGAGCAGTAAGATTTTCCTGTTCTGATTTTCATCCAACCAGAAGAGTGGAAATATGTTTATGTATCTGTTTGTGTAAGTGCAATACATCAGGGATCTGTAAGTCACGGGTACAGCAGCTTTGTTGTTTTGCGCCTTCATTCACTGTGGGGAAAAAGGTCGGCTTCACCTTAGCTGACACTGTAATTTAAAGGGAAAACATTATCATAATGCTAAGTGACTTTGGGGCTACAGGCCACAAACCAGCTGTTGAAATCACTGCAGCTTTCTTTTCACAGTCTATGTATTAGACCTCATGAACATGTTAGCGTAGCGGGTGTAAACACGTTTGTTTGGTTTGTGACTGTTTGGGCTCTTTAAGCTCGAGTTTGACCTGAAACTGACGCAGGGTTTGATACCTTCTAGATTCATAGGTGCATTCTTCATGAATCAGCCAATCAGCAGCTACTTTTTCAGCCACAGAGCAGCTGTCAGTCATTCATTCATTCATCCATTCACTCATCCAGGCTGTGAGTCAGTCTGTTCATCAGTCACTCGGTCAGACTGAACGATGACATCATCCGTCCACACACTGAAAGATGCAGCAGAGAAGATGAGGGAGGGGAGGGGTGGGGGTGTTGCCTCGGTGATATCACTGCCATCGCACGATTGGCTGGGGGCACCAGTGATGTCACACATCTCCAAGCTGCTCTCCTGAGCTTTGAACCGAGGCAGAGAGAGAGACAGAGGGAGAAAGTTGCGTCGTTTTAAATCTTGTTCGCTGGAGACGGCTGCAGATTTGGATAAATGAGGGAGAAACGCTCTTGCAGGCTGGTGGTTTCTCTGTGGATGAGTCTCAGCTCAGATGAAAGTGTGAGAGATCTGTCTGCAGGTGCTGAGAGAGAACAGATACAGATGATATCCTGCTGATTCAGTTATCGCTGCATCTTTAAACTAAAGTGACAGTCGAAAAAAGACAGAAAAATCCAGATCAGTTCGGAGGATGTAGGCCGGACCTGCTCCCTTCCAGATGACGTCAATTTTTTCGAGGAATGATCTGAGCGCTCCGCTTTAGGCAGGACATCATGAGATCCAAAAACCAAGAGGAACCGGTTTTGGTTTCACCTCTGAAGTGTTACTGAGGTGGGTGAAGGTTCAGAGGCAGACATGGAGCGAGAGGAGGGAGGCAGGGCCGAGGCCGAGCCAGTGAGAGGACGAGACAAGATCCTGTGCTACATTAACATGCAGAGCCCAGGTAGGAGATCAAACCTGAGCCTGGTGGTTTAGAGAGGACTCACACCTGGTGGGGGCCTATTGTTAGTTTGCAGCTGAGCATCGTAAAGCAATGAGCAAAATCACGTTTGTCATTTTCAGTCCTTGTTTTTGCCTGTAAAGGGTAATTCTGGTGTTTTAGGCTCCCTATTTGAAGCCTGCCCTTGGTTATTACGTAAAACCAGCAAAAAGTTCAGAATTAACTCCGTTAGATCATTTCAACCGGCAGGTTTGAAACAGGCTGCAGCCTCCTCTTCATCTGGAGCAGTCGAGGTCTGATAGGCTCTGATTGATATTAGGACCACTTTCTCATCTTGATCAAAAAGTTGCTCCAAAACAGCGGACATTTCCCTCTGTTCGAACGTGTGTGAGCACAGCAAAGGTGAGGTAAAACAAACAGACAAAGATTGCACAGACAGGGGTGGTCTTAGCTCAGTTTCACTCAAACCCTGGAGCGATTTGTTTGCAGTCAGAAAACGCACCAACCGGAAGATGAGGTAGTCAGTGTGATCACAGCGATAGGCGCAAGCTACTCAGAGTAAACGTCCAAAAGGAGCAGCAGAGCTGGTGCTAAAGTAGCAACATCTCAGGGACTCGATATCAGCTGGATAACTGTATTAGTGTAAAAAAATTAGTCCAGCTAGTCAAATGAAGAGAATTTGTCCTCTCTGTTAAGATGGAAAATATATCTGGTTTCATTTTCAATTAGGATTGTGGCTTCCCACAACCCTAAACCTAACCCTAGCAAGGAGAGGAGCAGGAGCAGGAGGAGAGAGGAGAGCTGGGAGAGGAGAAGGACAGAGGAGAGCAGGGAGAGAAGCAGGAGGAGGAGGAGGAGAGCAGGGAAAGGAGGAGAAGAGAGGAGAGCAGGGAGAGGTGGCAAAGAAAGGAGAGCAGGGAGAAAAGCAAGAGAAAGGGGAGGAGAGCAGGGAGAGGAGGAGAAGAGAATAGCAGGTAAAGGAGCAGGAGGAGAGAGGATGGAGCAGGATGAGGAGAGAGGAGAGCAGGGAGAGGAACGTGGGAGAGTGTGTATGGATGTGTGTCTGAAAAGCAGAGGGACAGAATGAGCCTCAAGCTGCTCTGAAGGATGTTTTCTGAAAGCTTGAAAAGACTAAATGTTCTGTTGTTTCTGTAGCCTGTTATGAAACATCAGTGAAGGAAGAGCTCAGATTCTTCATAGTTTACTAACAGAGTGAAAATCTCTGTATAAGTGTAATCTGGTGTTTTATTTGAAGAGTGTAATCATGAGAATCAAGTGAAATCTTTTTTAATAGTCATGATCTTGCTGTCAATCAAAATCATCAGGGTTGTTTTCTTCTATAATCCTGCAGCCCTAGTTTAGGTTTAATAACTGATCAGCAGTTCCTGTTTTCTGTTAGGTAACATTCATGCTTTTGTCCACAAAACTCGCCATGATATTTATGGTGTATGTCAGGGATATGAAGCAGGTACCAGAGTCACAGTTAGGCTCCATTTTGGTGCAGCAAACATCCATGTGTAGGGCTGCAGTCCTCATCACACTAGCTGTGGCATCAGTTCCTGCTCTCAGCATGATTTGGTGCATGTCATCCTTCTCTCTGTCTCTCTCTCTCTCTCCCTCCCTCCCTTCCTCTTTTTTTGCTAAATGTATCTTGTATCTCTCAAGTTCCACAAAATAATGCAAGCCAAACAGAAGATAATCAATCTGAAAAAGTTGGTTGTGACTTGGACAAAGGTTTATGCCACTAAAGAACCCCTGCAAATGTGATGTTTTCGGGGACAGGCTTTTAGGATTTAAGTTCCCCTCAGAGTTTAAGAGATGTTACATTTTTGCTCTTTCCATAATCCCATTACAAACTTACTCTCCTCTCATTTGGCTGTTTACATCTCTACCTCCATACTCTACCTCTGGTCTATATTTGAGGGGATTTCTTAATCTGTGGATTTGTGCTGAAAACAGAAATGACACAGAAACACCCAAACTTCTTATGTTTGTACTTTTTATTAATGTTTTTCTAATTCTTTATCAGGTTTGACTTGCAGGCAGTCTCCTCTCACTCCTCCTCTTGGTTTTCTTTGGTTTGGTGTTCTTGTCAGTAAAGGAGTGCTCATGAGTCCCTGCTGTGTTGAGAATAAAGATATGTGTCTGTACAAACTATGGCACACTTGACTTAACAGGGTGATGTATTTCCTTAAAGATCTTCATTGAACAAAAATGTCTCCTTCCTAGCAGCAGGAAACAAATGTCAGCTCTAATTTGAGTGCTTGGCACAGATCTACAGCAGTGAGGCACTAAATTTAGTCTTCATGATTCTCTCTCTTTGTTGCAGCGTTACCTCCGAAACCCGCCAAACCACCCACTCCAGCACCTTCATGCAGCTTCAACAACAGTATCTCCCTGCAGGACGCTGAGTGGTACTGGGGAGACATATCCAGGTATTAAACACACACCCACACGCATGCACACACATGGGGTTTGAGGACCTGTACTGCAGTCAGTCACTAGAGGGAGCTTGAAATGTTTTGGCTTCACTTCGACCGCCCCAGTATCAATTCAAGATTTGCGCTCTGAAAACTAAGAGAGTGATGTAAGTGGACTGAAATATTAAACATGATTTTGATTATTTGAGGTCTGAAATGTTGCTCATAGGGCGGCATAGTGGTGTATTGGTTAGCAACCCCCCCCCCCTTTTCCCTCAGGATCAGTTACATACTACATATCTATCTGTCTGAACTGGCACTTGACTCAAGCAGTGATTAACCTGCACATGCATGAGGATTGAGGACTAAAGGCTGGTGGTGCTAACTCTGCTAATGTTAGCAGAGTTAGCAAGAAGACAATTTGTGATCCAGTGTTACGTTTTGACAGATTTCTGAGTGTTTTCTCACAGTCAGTCAGTCAGTCAGTCAGTCAGAGTTTAAATTTCTGTTCAAATGACCAAGAACAATAAAGACTCTTGATGTAAAACAGTTTCATTTGTTTGTGTTCATTTACCTGTAAACTAAAACAAATAACAGTGGGAACGAATAACCAGGTTACATGTGCAGTTGTGGTAGGAGCTCAAAGAGGGTCTATCTGCAGTGAAAATTCTGCTCTTACAAACTCAGGGATCAGCTCTCAGGTCGACTCTAATCCATTTATTAAAACCTGTCTGAAGGTCAGTTCAGGATGACGTGTATTTTAAAATGGCTGCGGATTATTTCTTGATATAGAGTCTGTCATATCATATAGTTCCTGTTGTTTTATGTGATTTAATGTGGGATAATGTGTGTGTGTGTGTTTGCAGAGAGGAGGTTAATGAGAAGTTGAGAGACACAGCTGATGGGACCTTTCTGGTTCGGGACGCTTCGACTAAGATGCACGGAGACTACACTCTGACTCTGAGGTGAACCACCGTTATCAAACCTACTGTGAGACTCTGTAGATACTAAGCCGGGTTTGTTCCTTCTGGACTTGCTCTCTTAGACTTAAACTGAGAGTAATGATCCACTCGTGCTAACTCCAGGACTTCTGCAGATCACAGCTGCACATCTGCCTGTTTTACCTGAAAAGAAAAGTGCTTGGACTCCTCTCCTCATAGTGGTTTCTGGGTGATATGTAACATGTTTGGGTGTTTTTCTGTTCCCTGGTTTGCTATAATCATTTTCTGACCCCCTGCAGGAAAGGAGGAAACAACAAACTGATAAAGATTTTCCACCGGGAGGGGAAGTACGGCTTCTCCGACCCCCTGACTTTCAGCTCAGTGGTCGAGCTCATCAATCATTACCGCCACGAGTCGCTCGCACAGTACAACCCCAAACTAGACGTTAAACTGCTGTACCCAGTCTCCAAACACCAGCAGGTCTGTAGACAGGATGGCAGACCAGAATCAAAGCTCTAATTAACAGTCTGATGACGTGAATTATGACGTGTTGTTGTTGTTGTTGTTCAGGACCAGGTGGTGAAGGAAGACAGTATTGAAGCTGTAGGGAAGAAGCTCCACGAGTATCATCTGCAGTACCAGGAGAAGAACCGCGAGTACGACAGACTGTATGAGGAGTACACCAGGACCTCACAGGTACGCTGTTGCACTCAAATATCCTCCTATCATACACAACGACTGTCATGCCCCATTCTCAAACATATTTTACCCTCTTACCACGGTATTCTTTAGTGGTACAGTCCAGTTTAGTCGCCCAAAAAAACACTAAAAGAGCAAAATGTTTCTCCTGCAATTCCAGGCCAGTTTTGTGTTTGTGTGTTTGATTTTAAAACAACCCCGAACTAAAAGCAGATTAATACAGTTATTTAGCAGCTTGAAAATCGATAACAACAGCAGCACATGAAGCCTCAACCAACACAGTAACTATGTTTAGAACATGATCAGCTGTCAGCAGAGAAAAACAAAGCAAACAAAGAAAAGTGCAAAAACTTCACGGACAAGTTTGGCGACAAAGACGACAAAACGTATACCAGCAAAGACAGAAAAAATAACTGAATTTAAACTCTGATCTCTTCCTCCTCTTCATCCCCCAGGAGATCCAGATGAAGAGGACGGCCATCGAGGCCTTTAACGAGACCATAAAGATCTTCGAGGAGCAGTGTCAGACTCAGGAGCGGTTCAGCAAAGAGTACATCGAGAAGTTTCGTCGAGAGGGCAACGACAAGGAGATCCAGAGGTAGGCTGTTACCACGGCAACTGTGATGAGGAGACACACACACACACATATGGAGAGGCCTGAGTTGCCATGGCACCAGAAGCTGCAGGAAGAATGCACCTGCTGGTAAATTTAGGATTGCTGTCCAGTCGTGTCGTTGGAGGAGGGGGGAGGTGATGTCATCCTGTGTAGCTGTGAATATTGGACTAGTTTTATTCAAACTTTTGCCAACAATCAGCTTTAAATAACATTTTCTCTTGCGTGTTTGCTGTGAGGGTTTGGAAACAGCAAAACTGGACTGTGCATATGTTTTTAATTTCATGGGAGGCGTGAGCAAGTCCCACCTGTGCTTCTCTACCTTCACACATGAACACCAAACCAGACTTAAATGTGCTTCAGTTTATGAGCTCATCTCACCTTTGTTTTGGTAAAGGGTTTATTTAGGACAGGCTTTGATTTATTCATTTCTGATCGAGACTCGTGCACAACAAAGAGGAGAAAAGACTGTGTGAACCTGAAATTGAAAATCTCTCATTTGTGTGTTTAGGGTAAGACATAACAAAAGAGTGATGCTGGAATCACTTTCTCTTTAATAGAGATGATAATTTAACCCTTTTTTCCCTTAATCGGCCAATTTTAGCCCGTTTGAGACGGTAATCGTCCAAAACTCGTCAATTTTCATCAATATTTTCAGAAATAAAATGTGGAGAATAAGATTCGGTTTCACTTCGAAAATGTTCTGCCATTTGAAAAGTTCCCTGATTTATCCTACAGATGGTGCAGCAACCCCATGACAATCTTCATCCTCTAACTACCTCACAGCACAGCAGAGTAAGGATCTGTAGTTGAAATCGCTTCTCTGGTCCAAGTTTGATCAGTCAGTCTTCCTGTCGGCGTGAAGAGCAGTAGCCTACAGTATATCTACAGTATAAACCACATATTTTTTTATAACTTAGTAAAAGAATTTAAAAAATCGTCCGATTAATTGGTCATCGGAATTTTTTTCGCCCCTAATAATCGTATCAGCCCCAAAAAATCCATATTGGTCGGGCCCTAACACACACAGTTGTGCACACTTCTGCAGCCCCAATACAATAATAACAACTGTAACAGGATTCAAACGTTTCTCTCTGCACATTAACACAGCAGAGGATCTTTCATATCTGTGCAGCATTTTCAACAATTAAAGCTCCTGTGAGGAAATTGCACTGATTTTGATATTGGTGCCCCCCTGTGGACAAAGTAAGGCTTCTCATATCTTAACTGAGTTTGATTATTGATTTTTAGTCTCATTGTGCTCAATTTGAAAGGAGATCTTTCCTGTTAAAAAATCAAAACTACAAAGGCTCCCAGCAGCGTGCTGTCCACCTGCCAGTATCTTAAGACAAAAAAAATACAATATCAAGGAAGTAATCTTTCTGCTGATGCTCTGGTTTGATTGTGGAGCTCATATTGAGGCATCAGTATTACATTCTTTTTGTTTTATAACCAGCTAAAAACTCCATACAGGAGCTTTAATGAAATAATGACACTCTGCTGCTGATCCACAGCTGGGTTATGTCCGATACTTGCCGCCTTACCTGGCTAATGACAGGAACTGAGATCGGCTTGTATTTAGAGTTTTACAGTTCTCAGGAAAAGAGAGGATAAAATAAAGCAGATGGTGTAACTTTTATGCTGCTGAACTGATTTTTGTATTTTTTCTGGGCTTTAAAGAACCGAACCAAACCGACCCCACTCATCAATCAACAAAGATTAACAAAGACTTCAACACCTTGCAATCTCTGAGTTTGGAGAAAGACTTACTGATGTTGCTTTATTTTGAAAGGATCATGGAGAACTACGACAAGCTGAAGTCTCGGATCAGTGAGATCGTTGACAGTAAGAGACACCTGGAGGTGGACCTGAAGAAACAAGCGGCTGACTACAGAGAGATCGACAAGAAGATGAACAGCATCAAACCAGACTTGATCCAACTCAGAAAGACCAGGGACCAGTACCTCATGTAAGGAACACATGCACAAGAACACACACACATACACACACACACGCTAACACACTCAGACCACTACAAAAAGCTGTATCACACACTCCTGACTGATGTGTGTGTGTTTTTTTTAGGTGGTTGACCCAGAAAGGTGTCCGTCAGAGGAAACTAAACGAGTGGCTGGGCCTGAAGAATGAAACCACAGAGGAGTAAGTTTACCTTTGCACGCCCCTGTGAAGTGTCCTGTATCAAAGGCCCTCTAGTGGTAGCAACAAGAACTATAACCTCACTCTTTGTTACATAAAGAAACACTTCAATCTTCCTCTGCAGCTCTCTGGGATAAAGGAGAAGTGTTTTTGAGCTGCATCCTGATCTGTTCCTGCAACAATTAATGATTTATCTAAGCAAGAGACAATTCAGAGAGTATTCAGCCAAAATACACCAAAAAGTCAAATAATGAGCCTAAATTTGTTGTTTTTTGAAGGTGAAAATGTGTTAGCTTTTTATGTTTCACTTTTTTTGTGACATTTAAAGAACTGATAAATGAACAATCAAGAAAAAACTCAACCTAATATTCAGTCAGAGGAAGAATCAGACAGAACGAAAACAGAGACACGGAGCTGCACACTTCCACAAAGAGAAAGAAGAAACGGTAAAATCAGCGCTCTGGTCTTAACCAGAGCGTGTATGTTTTGTGGCCACCAGGGGGCTTCGTCAGTCTGAATTGGTCATCTCTAATGTCCCGATCAGAGATTTGGTCTTCACTTTTGACACGCTCTGTGTCTGCCTCTTTCTCAGTGAGTACAGCATGGTGGAGGATGAGGAGGACCTTCCTCACCATGACGAGCGTCTTTGGCGTCTAGGGAACATAAACAGGAACCAGGCGGAGTCTCTGCTCCGGGGGAAGAGGGACGGGACGTTTCTGGTTCGAGACAGCAGCAAGCCGGGCTGCTACGCCTGCTCAGTGGTGTAAGAGTCATCCTTTTCTCTCTCCCTTTACTCGACAGGTCTATAGTTTGTTTGTCTCTGACTCTGTGTGTGTGTGTGTGTGTGGGGTTTCTTTTTTCTTACAGTGTGGACGGGGAGGTGAAACACTGTGTCATCAACAAGACCAGCACTGGTTTTGGTTTTGCTGAGCCCTACAACCTGTACGGCTCTCTGAAGGAGCTGGTGCTGCACTACCAGCACACCTCGCTGGTCCAACACAACGACTCTCTCAACGTCACGCTGGCCTTCCCCGTCTACAGCCAGCAGAGACGGTGACTCCCCCACCTCATCCTTCTGTCTCAGTCGGTCATCATGGACCAGCAGACAGCCTCGTTTACACACTCGACCCCCCTTGGAAACACCACAACCATCACTCCTCTCCCGCAGACGGACTCCTGATCGCGTGTTTCTTTTTGTCCTGGTGCTGCAAACGTGCTCGAATCAGCACGCTGAAGAAGAAGCTGTGTGTTGAGTTTCGTACTTTGACATCATTTAGGGATCAACTTCAACATCTTATTCTACTGTGGAGCATCGCTTGAAGCTTTAACGTCCTGTGAGGAGAAACAAGCCGCAGAGAAAGAAACCAAACAGACTTAGAGATGCTTAATAATTTAAAAAATAAACTGTGCAGGTTATCCAGAGATCATCTTCTACAGTTTACTCACATCAGAGGAGAAAAGAGAACACTGGGGTCAGGATCACATGGGAACTTCTCTGTTCTTCTCTCTGCAGCTACAGATTCAAGCACATGAGTCACATCTTCTTAATTTGCTGTTTATGGCACCTTTAGTACTTGCAATAACCAGAGTGAAAATGAAAGGGAAGTGAAGTAACAGAGACGAAAGGAGAAAACGTATAAATGTTAGTGTCGATGAGTTTGAATTAGCAAAAGCTGAACAAAAAAAGTTAAAGCAGGCATCTTGCTGCTCTGGAAAATGACATCAGACTTTTAATGAAGTCTCTTCTAATGAAGACCAGACTAAGAAGAGGTTCAGAGGAAAGATAATCTACCTTTTCATTTGTGGTTTGATCACATTTAAATAATTTAGAAAATGATTAAAAAACAATAAGAACAGAAAAAAATCTATCAATATTTCACGAATCAGCTTCATACTCTTCCTCATCATGCTCCATCGAGGCATTCAGTTCATTTTTTGTCCTGTCAGGGTGCTGTGAAAATCATGGCTGCTTCACATAATCACAACAGCTGACAGAAAGAGGCCTCCTGAACCTGACACAAGAGATCTCCATTTCATATTAACCAAATTATCACAGTTTTTCCATCTTTATATTAATACCTGTCATTTTTTCACTCATTATGAAAACAGAGTTCAAATGCAGCTAAAGCGGATCATCACATCACTTTCAGAGTTCTCTATGGACTCCAGGACCTGGTTTTCCAAAAGCTTTTATATGAATGAAGAAATGGGCTCATTTTCAAATAAGAAGGACCAGGTAGTCCCGTTAACTTTAGTCCTGCTCTTTTAAAATTCAAAAACCTGGACTGGATTGATCTGATTCAGGTTCATACTTTAGAAATGGGGCTGCATATACGTTGGTTATTAAAACAGAAACTTAAATTCTGAGGGACTGACAGAACCAAACACGGGCGCTGCAGAGCCTGCAGATGTTAGCAGAGCACCAGCAGCCTTCAGTCCTCCTTACAGGGGGAGCGTACACATGTCTGCTTGTTTCTTGAGGCCCCAGTTTATCCAGAGACAGTTTTAATAAAAGTTTATTAAATCATTTGGTTGACTTTTCACCAACGTCCCCCGCGTGCCCCGTTTTTTTTTTTTTTTTTTTACTGGGTCAACATTAGGCACCAAAATCTACAAACTAACAGATCACTAAAAACCAAACTTGATCCCTTTTGAACAGCTGGGTCCTGGATCTCATTTCTGATTTCTGTTGTCATAAAAGATATTTACTAAAATGACAACTTTGAGGTGAAACGCAGCCAAAAGAGGGGGTCTGTGTACTCTTCAGAGTCAGTGAATCTTAATTTATTTGGTATTTTTGGTCAGATTTCTTTTATTTTGAGCTGGAGAGATTCAGAAAGTCCCATCAGGCTCCTTCAGGAAAGTTTCCATGTGATCACGACTTGAGTATTACACAATGAAAAAAGACTGAGCTGTTTGCTTTGTTTGGTGGAGGTCAGAGGTCACTAAAGAGAGGTGTGTTCTGGTTTAAAATGATGGATCATTCCTTTAACAGGCTCCAAGAGGACTAAGACTCAGCCCTGGACTCATGATAATGGTTGAGGTGTGGGAAAATCCAGAGGGACTAATTTGAGAACACTGTGAGCGATTCAGAACGAGGTTTACAGATGAGGGCGACTTGACTGACCCGCGTTTCCACATCAGGAGAGGAAAAAAAACCCTCATCGTCCAAAGACTTGTTACCCGACCATCCTCCTCCCAAAGCACCCCTTTAGCAGTGTTTTCAGGTCCTGTATCTTCAGGTTTGTTTGCTTTGCTGCCTCAGAGGGTTGAGCTGATGGACTCTTCTGCTGTTTTTCATTTCCACAAATATCTGACAGCACAAAGATTTCCATGTGCTGCACCGAAACCGAAACAAATCTTCAGGAATCATGAAAAAAACACCCTCTGGAGTTTTCTGGTTTCACTCCGAGGACTCTCAGCTGGTTTTTATGGACAAACGCAGCCTGGAAACATTTGCTCAGCTGATGTAAAGAGATGAAACCCAGAATTCCAATTTTACATCCTTATGCTATATTTTCTATCTTTAGTTTTTGTGCATCGAGATGAACGACTTCTTTAAGAGAAACCAGGTACAGGAGAACAAAGTTGTACTTGTCGTGATACCTGGGAGCTCCCTCAGTTTTACAGTCGAGCTTTTTCCAGTTTGAATCTGTTTGTCCTGAATTTTTAAGCTCCTTATTTTGTGTGAAATGGCTGCTGGACTCAGTGAGGGAGGAAAGACTCTGAACTTTGACATGATTCCACAGAAATCTGAGTAAAACAGGTGAACACAAGCGCAAACCTGTCATTTCAAACCAGAGGTGATGTTGAATGAATTGTTCAGTAACTCTGAGAAATAAAACACCCACAGAAACGAGTGTTTCGTCTGCGATTACTGCTGTTCACCCAGTCAACTGCTGCACCTTAGTCATGATATGAAGCCAAACTTACGTTGGCCTTCAAACACATAGACTCACGATCCAGTTCATTTATGCCCTCAGGTCTTGGGTGGGCTCCTTTCGCTACGTCAGTGTATCCTGTCAAAAGAGATGATCAGTCTGCGTCTCTGCTGGGGTGTTGTTGAAGTCCAGGGCTCTCTTTAAGTCAATGTCAATGTCAAGTTTATTTGCATAGCACATTTAAACAGCCAGTGGCCTACCAAAGTGCTTTACAATAATGAAGCAGCAGCAATAAAAGCAAGTCATACACAGCAAACAGCAAAAACAAAAGACATGTAACATATAAATGTAAACAAAAACAAATATATAACCAATACAAGTATCATACTCCATCAAAAGCTAAGGTGAACAAGTGCGTTTTCAGTTGGGTTTTAAAAGTAGAGAGACTATTTGCAGTACACACACTTAGGGGTAGTGCATTCCACAAAGTAGGAGCTGCAACCGCAAACGCTCACTCCCCTCTGGATTCTAAAAAACGAAAGAGGCACGTCTAAGACGACTCGGTCAGCAGACCTAAGGGCTCTGGAGGGCTGGTGTAGATTAACAAGGTCAGCCAAGTACTCTGGGGCCAGCCCATTCAGAGATTAAAAACAAAAGAATCTTAAAAACGATCCTGTACCTAACTGGAAGCCAGTGTAGAGAAGAGAGCACTGGAGTTATGTGCTCACGCTTCTTGGTGCCAGAAAGGAGGCAAGCTGCCGCGTTCTGCACGAGCTGCAGGCGGTTACGCTCAGCCTGATCAATTCTGAAGTAAAGGGAATCGCAGTAATCCAGGCGAGAAGTAATAAAAGAATGGATTACTGTCCATAAGCTCATCTGTACTGTTGCTCTGATGTCTCATCTTTCTCTTGATCCTCTTCGGGGTTCAGTTCAGTCAGGTCCAGTAATGCCATGACCAGCAAATCAGTTTCTGGTGGTTTTGGCACTGTAGTCAGGGTCCAGGTCCTGCTGGAAAAGGAAATCTGTTTTTCCATAAAGCTTCTCAGCAGATGAAGCACATCTCTGGTTCAGGAGGGTCTTGACAGCAGGAACACTTGTAGTCCTTTTCCTGGACTCATCTGTGTGTAGAGGCTCTAGATCATAGACTGCATATAGAGTGGACGCAGTCTGCCTCCTCGCTGGGTGAAGGCACCATGAGAACAGCACCCTCTGGTGATGGGCTGCAGTATAGGTCATAAATCCCGCCTCCTCCAGCTATCCCTATGAAGCTGTGGACAAACTTTAGAAATTTATTACACAGAACATAAATTTTTCTCCCCCCTGCTTGTGATGTTGACATGTAGTTATTGTAAGACTGGTTTGTGCTCAAGTCCTCTTTTTTTCTGTACAGCTCCATTTTTAAAAGTTATAAGGGGGTTCATATTTTCTATGATTGACACCTGATACAGCCTATGGGCGTACGAAGATTGCGTAGCTCACCTGGGGGATACGCTGTTTGAGCCAAGCGTCATCACAGCGACTCTCCCGCTGAATGCGTACAACGCTGCTGCGCAAGTAGTGGTTCCAGGAAGTGGAGAAAATCATGGAAATTTGTATAATGATGGAAGGTGGAATCAAGTTGTCCATACTATATACAGTCTATGCTCTTGATATTCTGACTCTAGCCTCAGTCCAGTCCTTATGGAGCACCTCTAAGTTCTTGAATCTTCCTTGTTTGTCAGTCCTCTCCAGGCTGCTTTCATCCCTGTTTCTTGGTCTCCTTTTCCTCCCTCACTTTTCCCTTTGTTCAACTTCCTGCTTCATCCAGACTTTCCAGCAGTGACCTCCTGACCTCACCCATTGAGGACCATCTCATGACTGTGGTTATGTGTGTTGAACCACAGTAAGATATTAAAGGCTCAGGAAACCCTTACAGGTGTTTAGAGTGAATCAGCTGATCAGAGCTGGACCAATCAGGACTGAAAGAACTGACAAGAAACAGGACTTTTACACAATATCCTATTGTGGATCTGTTTTCATGAGCTGTACTCTGTAACCATCAGGATTTAATAGCAAAAGTCTTGAAATGTTTCACTTTGTGATGAATCTCGACTCTTTTATTTTTTAAATTAAATCATTTTAATTAAATCATGGGGAAAATTTTATCTTTTTTAGGACATTCAAACTTCTGAGGTGACAAAATGAACTCTGATCAGACTGAAATCAAATGAAAGGGCAAAGGTGTGTTGTTGGGTGTGCAGTAATTCAGTGTCCAAAGTCCATCGATTTATTCATCGAACATTTATTCAAGCTTCATTTTTCTACTGACATGGTAAGAGTGTTTATTGGATCAGGAGTGACTGAAAACAAAATTATGAGCTATTAAGGAACACAACGCATGATGTAAATTTTAACAGTGCATAGATCATTTAACAGTCTTAAGCCAGAAGCATACTAATAACCCTATAGATCAATAAAGTTTAAAGACAGGGGCTCAAAATTTAACTATTCCAGTTCCTCAAGAGTAAGCATAGCCTCATTTTTACTCTCCTGTAATGTAGAAAAGTGGAAGTTGTTTCATTTTAGATCAATTTCAACCAGGCAGCTTAGATAAAAATTGACTCGATTAACAATATGCTCAGACCTCTCTCATTAAAACTGGATTTTATGGTTTAAAGAGTTAAAGACATGAGTTTATAGAGCTATACAAACAATAGAAAAGTTTCTTTACAATTTTTTGTTTTTATATAAATTGCTGTATATATAAATGAACTGACAGAAAGCTTTTTTTATTTAAGTGTTTTGTACCAGTTATCTTTGTAAAGCCTCAGAATCAAACAGTGGCAGATATGGTTTAGCTCTGGTTATCCAGCAAAGATCAGTAGAAACCCCATCAGAGGGTATACAGGTATGAAAGGTGTGTCACTGCTCAATTACAGTACTAGGAAAGATAACAGATACTTAACATAGACTTTATCTTTGGGTGGATTTATGAACAAGCAAAGTAAACAACACACAAGAAGAATATGCAAACTGCAAGGTTTCTGTAGCGGTGCAGTCCCCCCGTTTGAAGATGACTCCTTGGGATTAAGGGCTCCAAAGACTAATTTTTGGATAAGCATGTTGATAACTGCTGGTTTTAGCACTACTAGAAACTGGAACACATCAAAACAGATTCAGTTTCAATTGGGTGTTCAGTTGAGTATCACAGCGGTTCATGTAAATGTGATCAGATATTCTGGGTATGCGAGTATGTCATTAAACACAACAAATATGGTTGGAGGGACATTATGGTCAGTCACGCTGTCATACAGGTCTGAGGAACTCCCAGAAGGCTTGCTTGGTGGGGCAAGCAGACCATTTCTACCCGGGGCGTAGTCTCCAACCAAGACTCTGGCCTGGTACATGCGCTTGTGCCCTTTAGAGTCAGGTCTGGCGTAGCCTTGTGCTGAGTAGCATGGATCCACAGCAAAGTAAGCGCCATTACCGTACATTGCACCTGCAAACAAAAAGACACTGAGAATCAGGTCTCATTCATAACGTAGTCTGCATGTAGGCCTGGACCACATATCAGCTCCTCAAAAGTGAAGCCAAACACTTGGAGCATTACCTACTGGCTGGCTGCAGTATAGGTTAAAAAACTGGATTCCTCCATGTTAAGAGATAGTACCCAACTTAAACTTGAAAATACCATCAAATGATTTTTTTAGCAGCCAGTCACCAGGGGGAGCTCTCTGGTTTCACTCTGGGAGAGCTGTTCATTTTGTTACTCAGACGACGGGTCAGATGTCAGGTTTTTTTTTTACCGTGTTTTCCTGCATAGCTGCGGTTGAAGCCATGAGTGTTGATTTTATCGATGGAGTCTGCAGGGGTGCCGTGGTAAAGGCATTTCTCATTGTTTTTGTGACCGTTCTTCTTCTCCAGTTGTGCTTTTTTTATTTGGTAGCTTTGCCACAGTGTTGGATTTTGGACTCGGTCAATCTGTAAACAATTAGATAAAAACAGATGTGTCAAATTTTGACAAAGCTTTGGACAGAACTCTCACTTTTAGTCAGACAGTCAACGTACTGAGAGGATGTTGGGAGTGAGGCCAGTCTTGGTCAGTTCTGTCTCCACCTCATTGTACTCTTGGCTCCCTGCAGTCAGAGGGATCAGCTTCAGGAGGTCACCTTTCATGTCGTCCCAGTGTTGTGGCAGCGGAGCGCCAGCTGCAAAGAAAACACAAGTATTTGAGGTTGACCAAAGATCTTTTTCAAATACGGGACTTATAAGGCCGATGGACTTGGCTGAAGGTCCTGAAGATGTTTCACCTCAGACACCCTCTCGGCTCTTCTTGTTGATGGTATTACACAAACTATGTTTCTCTGTTTTTCGCCTGTTGGTGGACGAACTTCTGTTGGTTTGACAGTTTGAAGGTTATTCATTTCTTTAAAGTCGTCCTGAGTTTCTGCAATACCTCAGACAAGTTTAAAATGTCAAACTGGTTTGTTTCTCCTCTTCCATTTGTCTTAAAGGGGCCTCTGTCTGGATTTAGGCCACTGTCCCTTTAAGCATTCTGGAAGCCTCCTTCACTGTTGCCATGACAAATTTGCCCTTTTAAGGAAATTTACTGTCTGCTAATGTCACTATTTGAGCAAATCTCTGAATTCTCGTGTGACTTTATGAACAAAACATTCAGAGCCCCCTGTAGTCCCATTTGGGGATCACATCAACACACATGAACCTTTAACCTGAAACCTTGCTCAGGTAAACAGATGTCAAACACTTGATCTTCATGTTTGTTTTCAAAATACAGAAAAGCAGAATACAGCCTCAGATTAAACATCTTGGACTCTGACAGAACACATTTCATCACAAATGTAACATTGGTCTCTTTTTTGACATTGTGGAAATATCCTGGAAACCCTGGACCTCACCTTTCAGGTCTTTTCTGAGAAGCTCCACCATTTTCCCAGTTGAAGAAACTGCTTTTTTAAACTTGGGCTCAGCACTGTAGGTTTGGTTGTTGATCTTGATCTTCACATTTTCCTTTTTCTCCAGAGCCTCCTCCAGTTTGAGATTGGTCAAAATGTCAAAGGTCACCATCGACCCATTGGGATGCTGAAACTGCCACTCTACCAGTGAGCTCACCAGCAGGGCTCTGCTCTTCAAGGCCTCTTCTCTCTCCACTCGACGTATGATATCCCTGAAGACACAATCAGAGACATGTAAAGAAACAAAATATAAACGTCAAAATATTAATTCTCTTTAAGGCGTGGAGAAGAATCTGCTGACCTGACTGAAGACTCGGCTGCATAGACGTCTCTGGTGAGACCCTCCAGGTGAATTTTGGACTCCTCGTCCTCCTGTCCTCTCTCAAGGCGGATACTGACTGTCAGGTTCCGCTGCAGCTCCCTCAGCTGGTTTAAATCCTCCTGAGACAGCTTACAGATATAGAAGTCTGAGATGGTTTTCTTTGCCTGCTCTGCCACGATCAGCTCCTCAATCCTCTTCTTGGCCAGGTTCAGACTCTGCAGAGGCGTAGCATCGCGGACTTTGGTTATCACTTGTAATATTTATATTAATTCCTCCTGAGTGTTCACTGAGTGTTATCTTCACTTTCAAGAGTTTAACCAGGAGCTTAGTTATTTCATGATACCAATAACAAAACATTTCTCTGTGATCTTTGGTTTTGGATATTTTTTTTAAAAAAAGTATGAGTAGGGAAAAAGAAAATCTAAAACAGAAGTCAAGAGTTTCCTGTTCACCATTTCGTTGTCAGCGCAGAGCTGGAACTCTGTCAGCCCAAAGTCCTCTGTCTCCAGGACCAAGTTATTACGACTGGACCCCTCGGAATGTCCCGAGAATAATGAGCTGAAGGTGCCTGAAACAGCATCTGAACACACACAGGGTTGTTTTTCAGTAGTTAGTGAATTTCATCCAACCTTTATTCTGGAGTCAGTAATTTATCATGATGTTTAGTACGAGGCACATAAATAATCACAAACATGAAAACTACATCAAAATTAAGTAATTATTCAAGTCAGAAATGAAAGGAATCGTTTGCAGAGAAAGGAAGGCATGATTAAAAACAGCTACCTCCTGATAAGACCAGTTTTTTTCACAAAGTACATCTGACTGTTAAAGATGAAGCGCTAACTTCATCACCTGAAGTGCAATAATGAGTTTTAGCAAATCTTGTTTCATCAGGCTGTTAAAATGACCTTTGAGCTTGGTGAAGATGCTCTTCTCCTCCAGCTCCTCGCCCTCTCTCTTCTTCATGCTCTTGTGAAACTCCATCACCATGGACGTCTGAAAGATCAGGATCTTAACGCTGCGGACAGACTTGGGGTGCTTCTTCCTCACAAAGTCCACCACTGCCTCCACCATGGCGTCAGCCACCAAGGAAGGGCTGGCCCCTCCCACACCTAACAGGCAGACAAAGTGCCAGTTTGGATGATGATGGTGAAGATGATGATGATGATGGTGCAAGGATATAAAAGAATCTGAACAGTCTGTGACACTATGAGGTGAGAGGTGAAATTTGACTAAATACAGTCTGTGGCTGTAACACACTAAGGTGTCTGAATAGAAAACTCCGAATCAAAATCTGACCATCAGTTCAAACAACATGGCTGCATGGGAAACGAATAAAACGTCAGGAATGACTAATTTTAAAAAAGAAAATCCAAAAGATGAGGATGGGAATGTCAGAGAGAAGCAGTTCAGTATCTTCTGGAGAAAAAGTGCCACAGAGTGCTAATGGATGATGGAAACACCTCTGTGTTTGTACAGACCTGTTCCAAGAGCCGGGAAGGCGACAGACCGGAACCTGTTCTCCTCACACACCTTCAGCACCGAGTACACTATTTCCTTGATCTTCATGGGGTCGTTTTGTCCCACAACATGGATAATGTTCCTGCTGGGCAGATGCCCGGCCGAGGTCAGGATCCATGGACGAGACTGGTATCCAGGAGATTGTACTGCAAGCAGGAACCAAAGAACTCACATACTGTAGTGATGTAGATTTGAACTGTGTGAAGGTGAGGCAAAGATCATAGTGAGTGTTGATAAATGGTGGTTTAACTCTAGCTACGTACCAATCTGTGTGCACTCCATCTGAACTCCCATTCCAGCACTGTCTAAGATGGCCTTGGACACTCCTGAGATTTCATATAAGAAAACAACAGTTCAAAAAATAAAGTTGAAATAGGCCTGAGATAAAAATGTTGCTGTAGCTTCACCCTCTAAAGTGGTACTGGTGTCAGTTTATATCTGTTCATCCTCTATTCAGATCAGCCTTAAAGTCCCACTCTGATCGTATTTTTTTATTATTTAAAGTGTTATCGGTGGTCTTTAAATTGTGATTATGAAGTTTTTAGCAAGGCCTTTTCTTCTGCAGAGCTCCAGTAGCTCATTAGCAATTCACCTCTGAGTCGTGGGTGGAGACAGCGCTGCTCCGCCCACTCCTCTTCACACTCGTCTTCACGTTAGTTTGTAGCCTAACATTGTCGGTGTAGTAGAAGTGGCAGGTAACATAGGAGCTATTCAGCTCTCAGACACTAATGTCTTTGGGGACACGATGATAGTTAAGATCATAGTTAGCTTTCTTACGAGCATTGCAATCCGCTAACACACTTATTCTGCGATCGTCCTCTCTACTTCTTAAAATTGTGATGTAGGAGGAAATCTCACTGTGTCTGAACCTGCCGTTTGGGTCTGCTAGAAGTTTACAGTGATTTGAATGAAGAAATACTCAGAAATGCAATTTTGATCTTATTTTTCTCATGATATGTCTTGTCGCATCAGAAAAATGCCATATGAACATGTAGACAACAAGAAAAACATGATTTTCATCGGAGTGGGTCTTGAAAGCCTTAGGGTTTCCCCCACATGCAATTGATCATGGTGCACATGGTATAGCAAAATAAAGTCTGCCACACCTTAAAATGAGGGTTTTTTTTATGTGGCACTACCTCAGACTCAGTATGTATTAGGATATATGGTGCACACAGGCGCTGTTCCACAGGGCCCATGTGCCAAATATTAGCATTAGCAAGCTGCGATCACACAGCTGATCAATTAACAACCCCCCCCCCCTCCCCCCAAATCACACATCACCACCACCACAGATAGATTCCCATCCTGTGAGAAACGCTGAGCCCCATCATAAGATTTATCCACAGAATAGAGGTGTAAACATTTCAGTATAGCAGTAAAGTAAGTATATGTGATGTTAACTAATCGATTTACTGAGACTTATTTACACCTGGACAGAGAAAAGGTGACAAGGACCAGAGTAGTCACCTGACTGAAGGTTAAAGTTGTGATTGGAGGAGTTGATGATGGCATCACATCTTTCCTTGGTGATGTCTCCAGACGACACCTCCAGAGTGATCGTCCCCATCTGCATCTGATACACACCAAGGGATGTGGATGACACCTGGCCAAAGAAGGCTAAGACACACAAGGACACCAAATCTAAGGATTTCATCATCCATATAATACAGCTAAAAGATTCAGAAGATCTGGAGACATCTCTGTACAAACTATTACTAGAAGCAGCAGTGCATTAAAAACAGACTGGACTCTGTAGTGGAAAGCACTACATGGGCTCAAAATCACTGCTGGGTTAGTAAAGTCCACTAGGATTTAAAAGTTAAAAACCAACACTCTCGAGTCCTCTTACCTGACCTCTGCTGTGGCTGGGGGGGTGATTGCACAGATGCCGAATCCACAAATTCCCAGGATTCAGGCTGGAAGCTCCTCTGAGAAGTCTGACCTTTGAAATCCCGGGTGAAACGCTGCCAGACAGAAGAGTGGCAGAATAACCAGAATCAGGTCAACTGACCTTAGAATCAGCAGACAGCAGTTTTTAAGCAGTTACGCTGACACAAGGAAGGAAGTCACAAATCTGCATTGAACGACTTTCTAGACGATGTTGAGGAAATTTGCCACTAAAGTCAAAAGCCTCAATCTAGAACAGGTTGGTAGCTGCACTCACATACAGATATCTGTCAGATGGGAGCCAATTCTGTCATTAAGGTGGACTGTGTTATGCCTGCTTTGCTCTTTGTACTGGTAGTTAATTCTGCTGTAACCTGACTGGTGACTCAGACCACAAACAACTACTATAACTAATGGAAGAGATTATATAGCCATTATTTTTGGTAAATGGTCAATGAACCTGAGGAAACAGCACAGGTGTCACCTCCACATCATGATAAGACATGCCCTGCTAATCTGACCCACATGAAAACTCACATCCACAGTTTGGCTGTCACTTGGATGAACGACAATAGTCACTTCTTTGAGATAGTGAGGAGTTTTTCTGCCACTGAAGCTGTGGATTTCGCTCAGCAGGACTCTGGACACCACGTCTCTGGGGAAGCCCAGGTTTCCTGTACCGATGGCTGGGAAGGAGAGTGACGCCATCTTGAGATTCTCTGCGTTTACCAGACATTGTCTAATGATGGTGATCAACATCTAGGACAAAAAAATAGGATGCACATGTAAGACTGCATAGACAAGGACTGAAGGATTCACAGGATTCAAAGCAGTTTTGTTTGTCATTCCAGTCTACAAGAGAGAAGAACAAAACTAGTAATGAGGTCCCAGTATCAGCCATAAGAAATGTAAGACATAAGACATATAAAAGAGAATGTTAAAAAAATGTAAATAAAAACCTAAAAGAATCATAATAAAATCAACAAGAGCAGACATGTTAGGGACTAGGGCTGTTTCACCTCTCCATCATAGAAAACTAGTATTCTGATAACTATGGTAAAAACAGCACAATACTGCTCCACAGCTGAGCTGACTCGATGAGTTCAGATCTAATGATGTTCAAAGTTAGGTTTCAGTTAGCTGTCTTTTATACTTCAGGTCTTAGATTAAACTCCCTCACCTCTTCTGCCTGTCCACCTCCATTGTCCCAGACAGGGCAAACTACATGAAAGACCTTCCGACACATGAGATTGAAGCCGTCAGTGATGACCACATCGCCGAACTGCAGCGTGGCCACGCCTGCTTCTGACTTAACAGCTCCCTGCAGACCAGGTCCAGCCACCTTCAGAATAGCATTGGAAACAACTCCCTGTTGCAGGTTCATGCTGTCTGCGATGGTGTTGACAATGACGTTTGTCTGCAGATGAAAAGTCACATCATCATTCACAAAAATGATGAAAAAGAGAAAAAGTCTGTGCAAATCTAATCAAAGTGAATGACCTCAGAGGATTGTGATATTTACTGACTGTCTCATAAGACAGGCGGGCGGTGTACTATCAATAGCTCTCGTCTTTATATGAAGTCCTGACAATTTCCAGAAGTTTTCTAGACTTTAAGGTCCCAGGGGATGCTAAACCACTGGTCTGAAGCCCATTGTCACCTGTTAAGCAAGTGCTGTAGTAAACTTTTGTTCAGTTTCCTTCCACTTTAGTGGTGGCTCACACACTGCTGGCTTTTGTGACACTGCTGCCTTGCAACAGCACCTTAATTAGTTGCACTTGAATGCTTGAGGAAATGGCAACAAGGTTATCCACAACAATTTTTCCAGAAACCAGACTACTATGGCCTAAGGTTGATCTTCTGCCATGGAGTAAATATTTTCATCTGAACTACCCAACCCATACCAGATCAGGGTCTTAAATCCACGTCTTTAAACTCATCACTGAGTCAGTACTCACAGTCTGGTCCTGAATGTTTCCCTTCCAAAGAACAATCTTCAGACCCTCAGCCGTGGTCTGCTCCAGCTTCCCTGACCTGCAGATATTCAAAGTAAGAATCATCACCGTGGGATTGGTCACTTTTAAGACTTGAAGTGTTTGTTTCTGTTGTTGTGAGATTGTAGAGGGATCTCAGAAAAGCCAAGAAAACTGCTGAGAGAAAAGAAAGAACGAAGAAAGAACAAAAAAACAAAGATGAAGAAGGATGTTACCCTTCATGCCCTCCATGTCTCATGTGTCCTCTGAGGCTCTGAGCTCCTCTGTCAGCTCCTCGTCCTCCCCTGGAGTGTCCTCCAGCTCCTCGTCCTCCTCCATATTGTCCTCCTCTTCCTCTTTCACTTGAGTGTCGCCCCCTTGGTGAATTTCCTTTGTTTCCACCTCTACCTCGACCCCGCTGATATCTGCTGGAAAGTCAACAACAACTCTCAAACACATAAGAATCCAACTCCTCAAAACAGTGAGAGTAATAAAAGAGTTTTTTTATCTTTACCCTGAAGCTTGAGGTCTCGAGGGTCCTGTCTGCGATGGCATTGTCATTGTGGGATTGAGGTCACTGAACTCTCTATCGACGGCTCTGGCCAGGACTCTCACAGTGTTATCATTGTTGTCCACAAGGTGAATCTCAGTCAGGGATCCAGAACCTCCTGGATTGTCACAGTATTCCCGCAGTGCCTGAGCTATGGTCTCAGCACAGAGGTCAACAGGAAAGCCAAACACACCTGAGCTAATGGCCGGCAGAGCAATGGTGGAGCAGTTGACTTTCACTGCCTCCTTCAGACTCTTTTGAACCGCACGCTTCAGACGTAACACTGCCGTCTGCCTGTCAAATTCAGAGAACCGGGGACCAACTGCATGCACAATATACTTGCACGGTAGGTTACATCCTCCTGTTACAATGGCTTCACCGGGGCGGAGCTTTCCGAATTTAGAAACATAGTCATCACTAATTTTCTGCAGCTCTGGTCCTGCAGCATTTAGCAACGCCAGAGCCAAACCGCCAATGTGCTGCAAGTCCTCATTGGCTGCGTTGACCACTGCATCAACGCCAAAACTACAGATGTTTGCCTTGCTCACAGACACCAGGACTCCACTGGCTGTCTTTACCTTGCAATAACTGACGCCACCTTCTTCCTCATAGTTCTCCTCCTCCTCCTCCTCCTCCTCTTCCTCATCATTCTCTGGGCGAAGAATCACCACACAGCAAAACTCTGCCATTATGTTGGACAGAAACAAGCTCCCCTGGGACTGGAAGTACTTCTTTGCTCCAGGTTTGTTCACACTGAAGTTGTCAATGAAGAGAGACTCGGCTATTTCTCTGAAACAGGATTTGGCGTTTTGGACATGAAGACGGGCTCCAGTGATGCGGATTCGTTTCCTCAGCAAATCAAAATTCACGTCTACCTCATGGTCTTTGACAATACTGATACATTCTTGAGATTTCCTCTTTTCAATGAACTGAACAACAGCACAGGACTTCAAAGGGACGCTGTCTTGGATTTGCGAGTAGTTTGAAATGAATTGCATCAGACTACAGCTGACCTCTTTCACTGGAGTTGTGAAGCCAGCGACCACCACTTTGTCTCTTCTGCCTGGGTGGATCTGGATTGACACTGTGTTCCCTTTTGAGGAGTTGAAGCTCTCCAAAAGCTGTTGTTTCAAGGGAGTCAAGCCGGGAAGTTTTAGAACTTCTTGATCTTCCACATCTAGAGTTTCGGTAGATAAAACCTCCTTTATCTTATTTTCTGCCCTAGCAAGGGCACTGTCAGAGATCCCCTGCAGGAAAACCTCCTTGTTGTCAACACGGAAGATAGCACTGATGCCTTGAGATGTGAACAGATGCTGAGACATGGTCATAGGATCTACGGTCTTGAGAAACTCTACAAGACTTGGGAGGATGTCAATCTGTTTTTTACTCATACTCATATTCCTCTCCAAGATCCATGACTTCATCTTGTTAACCTCTGCAACCAGCCCTTCAATGCTTAGCTTCTGGGTATTTTTATTGTAGGAGAGCTTCATATCAGGGGAGATGTCCCCAGCAGCCTTCTGCAGTCCATCCTGTTGCAGGATGTTGTACAATGCAGGGGGCAGATTGAGTGACTCTGAAATACCATTTGTTTGTCGTTCAATTTGGTCCATGGCTTCAAGTATGATGTTCTCCACAGGAGCCCTGATTCTTTTCATATTGTCAGCGTGAGCAGCCACAGTCAAAACCCCCCTGGATTCATCCAGAATCAGGACAGCATCTTCCCTGACAACAGACCGGACTTCTTTCTCTGCAGCTTTCCAGGCAGGTCTGCTTGCAGGACACTCAAACGCTACGTACTGAGACAGTAATCGACGGAAGGCGTCTCGGGCCGTGCTCTGCCACGTATCTACTTGTTGGGCAGTGAGACCTTTCTGCCTCAGATAATTTGGAACAGGACTTAGCTTTGCTTCGGGTCTGTCCATGTTTACACTGCAGTGGTACAGACGCATCTGCTTGTTTATGGTGTCAAACAGTTTCTTCATCTCCAGGAATTTCCAGACAACACTCAGAACACTCTCTGTGAAGGCCTCAGGCATCTTCCACGCAGGTCGTTCTTTTCCATACAAGGCGGTGCCCAAGGACTTGAAGTACGGATACACCTTGACAGGAGTTGAGCCGATTGAATGGTCATGTTTGATGCAAATGCTTTCTACAACTATGTTGGGGAAAAAAACAGAGAGCCAGGGTTAGTAGTTGTTTCAAACAATGAGACAATGAAGTAGTCGTGAATTTCTATTGGGGACTGGTATTCTGGGTCAAAGGTTGGGCTATCTCATGGTTGTATAGTTGCATGTCTGTCCTTGCAGTTATTTTTTAGTTTGGTGTCACTGCACTTGTTTAACATTTGTTTAAAGCATGAACTCAAACATGGCACAGTAAGAAAGCAGTAGGGTTGAGCTGAGAACCTTTGGGGTCCCTGAAAGTGACGATGGCGGCCTCTTCTTCTGGGATCACATCAATGCTTTCAGGCTGGACCCAGTTTTTCTCAAAGTACATGTCCAGCATGCCTGAAAAAATTTCAGAAATAAAGATCCCAACAGCGTGAAGCACAAGTAATCTTTCTAAAAAAAAGGTGTCAAGACTGCAATCCTCAAACACAGTAGCTTGAGCTGAACAGCAATGGGACAGTTTTTACCTTCAACCACACGAGGAGAAAGATTCTCCACTCGGATACTCTTCGCTGCCTCCAGCTGCCAGGCGGTCAGTTTGTATTTCTGCAGCTTCTGGTTGGACTGACTCACAGTAAGGAACTTCTCCGCATCTGAAAAACACTCTGTGTTACTCTTTGGGGCTCAGCAGATGACAGAACCACCAATTTAATGAATAAAGAGGCCAATGTACAGGTAACTGTTTCAGGATCTGTTCAATCTACTATTTTATCTTTGCTTTTTGGCTTTACTCTTGGTAGTAATCAGGCCTTTTTGTGCCACAGTTCTTACACACTGAGCTCCTTTCCCTCCTTCTCCATCCTCTTTCTTTCTATGTCCTTAACTTTGAATCATCATCAGAGTCACTAATACAATCTTTTCACATGATATGTAACACAGCAGCCAGTACAGTATCACCAATCACCATTGTTAAAGTCCAATGTAAACATCAGTAAAATCACAGTCTTTAAAAACTTGTGTTATACTGATGTAACATTTGCTCTCACATTGTCGGTTTTTACTTCAGTCCTGTAGTCCACTTTATTAACATCATGTTTGATTCTACCTGCAGGGCGCTTGAAGGTGACCACGGCTTTGCTGCTCTCCAGGATGATCTCCAGGTCAAAAAAACTGTCGTCCACTCCAGAGACGTTCTCCACCAGCATCTGCAGCAGATCTCTGGGTGTGGCGTCCACAACGTTGTCCAAAACCACAGACAGGCTCTGAATGGGATCTGAGAGGGGACAAATCAAACTGTCTTCACCTTCAATCATCCTTCATTTCTTGATCTGTTTTAAACTTTCACAGATCTGATCCTTCCTGTCTAATTTCCAAAAGCTTCAAGTGTGGATCTTTAAAAACAACAAAACAGACAACTTTTGTAGAATTAGAAAACTAGAATAGGAACCATAAAAACTGCACATTTGCACAGAACTTTTGTCATTTCTATACATTCTAACAGGAAGCTTATACCGTCTGTCTCCTTTGCAGAGGCTCCAGCTTCAGGCTCCACTTCTGACTTTGGAGTCTCTTGATCAGTTGATGGAGTCTTTGAATCGATGGATGAATCTGTGGATGGAAACAAACAGGTTTGATACGTTAAAATTAATAGATTCTTTAAAAAGAAGAAAGTATTAAACAAATTAAAACCTTTAATTAAGTAGGTATTGTTTGTGTAAGTGGCTGATGGGAATAATATACTTGAAACTTGTTATAAAGTCTGGTGTAAGTCCGTCTTTCCTCTGTCAGGGATCAAATTGGCACAGAATTAACCTACCAACAGTTCATCTTTCTAGATCACAGACTGATATGTCTCCATTTTCTGTACCACAGAGCTTCATCATCCACACTGTGTTGAATTACAAAGTTGAATAGTTTCGTAGTTTAGCTTCACTTGACTAACTTATTTCATCCTGCTGCACGGGAAACAAAATACAGCACCAAAAAGGTTTCACATAAATGTTCATAAGCAGTCATTTCAAGTCTTGTCAACAAGAATAAAAATTCATTTGAATCACCAAAATCATTGATTACATTAGTACAACTAAAATAATCAACATGTTTTACCCGAGAGTAGACTAAAAATACAAAAGCAGTGATTTCTGTGAACACGCTCTCACCTGAAACATCAGCACTGTTGGTCGAACGCTAAAAAGAAGAAAAAAAGTTAATTCACTCATGATGAAATGTTTACAGAAGATCTAAAAGTGTCTAAGATCTGTTTCATGTTAAAACCACTAACGGCTTTTCTGTTTTACAGAAAGATAAGCAAGGATTTGGGTGGCTCCACCTCTTCAGTCTATGCGACACACATGGCCCCTGCACTGCGGAGCATGCACATGCCGAGTAGGGATGGGCGATATAGGCTAAAAAAAATTATCAGAATAAGATTTGCCATTCTGGCGACAACGATAAAAGTCCTGATAAAAAACATTACAATTCCAATCTCTATTTTTGACTCATTTTGAGAACACCAGTTGGCGTAGTCAAATAAGATACTTAACCACAAGTTTAAGTGGTAGGTTATGGAAAAAACTAATGACATCAAACAAGTCTCAAATGTGAAAACATTTTCAACATTTATTGAAAACTCTTCCTGATTGCACTCATCTAAACCAAAATCTTGAAGGAAATCCCGTCACATGGAGCCTCGTTCAGCTACAAGCTGCTCAGAAAGTCTTCTTCATTACCTTCGGCCATGTTTGTTTGTTATTCTGCTCTGTGTGGGCTATGGCTGCGAGTCCGGCGCTCGTGCTTCCGTCATCAACTTGTATTAATCATATTTATCATGATATGGCAAATATTTCTTGTGGAGAATTTTTCTGATGATATACCGTAAACGATAATTTATCGCACATCCCTAATGCCGAGTATTAGCATCGGCGAGTGGTCTTTTGCCTGTCTGTCCTTCTGTCTGTCTGCTTAAAGGCAGATTTTATTTTCACCCTAATCCAGAAATATTAAAACTCATTTTAATGCTTTTATTATGAAATTTAATTCATAAAGTCAGATTTTCTTTCTTAATTTGGTTTCAGTGATTCTCTCTTGATCAGGTCAGTCAAACTTCTGTGAAGAGTTTCTGGGACAGACTAAGATAATACTGATGGCTCTGTGGAATAAAGAGTATTGATAAGGGACACTGTACACTGTAAACCTAACCTGCTCACAGGACTGTTTGGTTAAATATTAGTATTTGTTTTACTGTTGTCATGTTTATATAATTTGTTCAACATGTTTCTGTATCTGAACAAAAGCTAACCCTGAATCTCACATGTATTTCAGAGTTGTCATCTCTGAAACAGTATTTATGGCCGTTTTAAAGCTACTCTCTGTGTAAATGTTTAACCTCTTTTTATAGACTTTTAAAATTATGACACCTCCCTCTCCTGACTTTTTCTGCCCCACCCTGATCATTTTCACAGCAGCCTGAAAAGCTCCTCTGGGTCTCAATTTACAGTTAATGTCTGACACATTGATTTAAAAGCAGAAGGTGGTGATGAAAAACTCAGTTTGACTTACAGGCTCAGAGCTTAGGCGTAACTTCACGGTTTTACCATCCAGGATGATTTCGTGGTTTTGACGGGCGCAGACTCTCTCTTTCACTGAAATCACATAAACACCAATCAGTTCAATTATAATCGACAGTTCCCTTATTCTGTTTGAATAAACCAAGATTTTAGGTCATTTTCTGACAAGAATAAAGTCCTCAAGTTCAAAGAATAAAGAGGTGTAAAGTTCTAGTTTTGTTTCATGGTCTGGACAAAAATAAGGACAGTGGAGCATCTGGTTAAAGTGTCTCTAATGTTTTGTCTCAGCTCCACATTGTAATTAGTTGCAGGGCTCTGAAAAGACTGAGCAAAAAGCTGAGACCTGTGTCTCCACCTTTCCTCAGTCGAAACATCTTGCAGGATCTCTGAAAGCAGCACTACCAGCTGCCCAGTGATAAATAAATCACATTGGGTTTCTGCAAGTTGGTCCGTTCTCAGCTATCATAGAAAAACATGGCTGTGCAACATGGCAGCCTCCACAGTGAGGACCCACTGCCTCTATATTGTAAAAGCTTTTCCCTAAGTCATCAGAAATGAAACGACTATGATATTCTTGTCAATATAAACTAATTTAAACAAACTTTTGCGAAACACATTAAATGTCTTTAAAGAAACACTGTAAAATTTTGCATAATGCATCTTTAAGTGGACTCTGTATTATTGTTGCATTAAAGGAGGTTTTAAAAGCAGCTGTTAGGATTATAAACTCCTCAGAAAAAAAATATTCACTGAGGTGATAATTTGACTGAGAGATACATGCTCTTTTTCAGTGGCAAGTTTTTCCTTGCCACTGTTACTCATGTTGGATGAGATGGGTCAAATCTGTCCCATCTTAAGGTTGGGTCTTGATAATTCATCAAACAATGAGCGTGGTCTGGACCTGCTCTTTTTCTTTGGAAAGTGTCTCGGGATAACAACTTTTGTGAACTGGAAATATATAAATGAAATTTGATTGCCTGATTGATTGATTTTCACTGATTTTCGAGTAGATTTTCTTTGGGAACCAGTGGGGCGCCCCTGCTGGTCAATGGAAACAATGCAGGTCCATGGATTTGCTTTCAAAGCACAATGAGGTTCACTTCTCAGTCTCCTGATTTCTTGCAAGGGTGAAGGAGTGGTGCAGTGCATGCTGGGAAGTCAGGTTAGTGTTGTGCCGTTCACAAACGAATTGTTTAAAAAGAACAAATCTTTGAAGTAAAAGTACTTAACTGAATCACTTCAAGTGATTCGTTCGTTTCTCAGTTCAGTTGAGCTGTCAACAGTTCAGCTCACGCAGCATTGCCGGGCAGGCAGCCAGCAAGCCGCTGCAAGAAGGGAGGGACCGTGCGCTGCATCGCCGACGCATTTATCACTCCTGAATTATTTTCCTCTGAGGGATACACTTTCATGGGGACTGTTGTTTCCCATTGTTTTAACAGATTTAGTTACCAGATAAACAAACTTAAAATGTTAGGCTGGCAGTGATGAGAAGAGAGTGAGACTCACCACCTGTAGCAGGCACTAGGCAGGAGGACAGAGGGAGAAAGGGGTGTGTTGTGTTGAAGTGTACCTTGGAGAAAACTAACTTTTTTTTTTTTACTCAGCTTAATTGCCACTGCAACAACACACTTACAGTAGGACACAGCATGTAATAAATAGTGTATAAACCCCGCAGTTTGAGAAAATGCGTGACTGTCTGATCCTCTCATTGCAGAAATTTGCCAGGGAACAGTCAGGTGCATGTTCAGTGTGAATCCTTCACTGAATGTACTGTGGGGTATACGTTCAGTGAACGACTCACTCACTAAGCCCAATTTGGCAATTAGACCAGCTTAATAGCAAACCACAGGACAGTACACTTAAAACATCATGACTTATAAAAAAGTTAATTTTTTACAAACGTGTTTGACAAAGCAACACTATTGTCTCTTGGTCCCGAAAACTGTGAACTGAACTGAAACCATAACTGTTCAGCTGTGTATCAGTTCAGTAAGTTGGAGTTGCAGGCTCCTCTGACCAAGCACCGAATGATTTGGTGTTTTGGTGAACGAATCTTTTGAACGAATCTTTTTAGTGAACTGATTCCTGTGATTCGGTACATCTTGAAGAACTGCCGTGCCCGTCACAAAGTCAGGTGATGAGATCTGTTTATTAACCTTGTATTTAGGCCGATCAGAGTTGGGTAAAAATGGATTACTAAACAGCCAAAAGTTTCAATACCAGACTTTAAATAAGTCAGTTAGGACGACATATTTGAGCCTTTTTTAAAGATTTGGATCTGAGAGATTTCAGTGTTTCAGCAAGTGGAGTGGCTCGTTAGTTTTATTCTATAAGTGTATTTAAACTCTGTTTAAAAGTTTGGAACTTGAATAAGGTCATATTTTCTTCCCGTACTCAGGATTAAGTCCGTGTTTCGTGTTTTAACAGTCAACGCAAACTTACCCTCCTTCGCTCGGAAATACACGGCTGCTCTCGGGGCTTCGTCCTCCACCTCAACCCGACAGTCTCCTCCGCTGGACTTCTTCTTGCTGTTAAAATACAGTTCCAGTTTGTTCTTGGCGGTTTTAGTCTGAGCCGGACTCCAATCCCCCTCCACGGTCACCGGTAGACACTCGTCGTTCTCCTCCATGTTGCCGTCCTCTTCGAACTCTTCGACAACGACAAACTGACTGACACAGACAGGCAACAGGGCGTCAGTGCTCGGACTGCTTTCACTTTCGATTCTTCACCGACAGAGAGAGAAATGGAAACGGTTCAGATATTACAGCTGAGTCACCGCAACCCGAGGAGGGGGCCCTGAATGATCATTTTCATTTAAATTGGCATCTCTGACCAAATACTGACTTTTAGTCAACTAATCGAGTAACTGATTATTAATTCAAATTCCCGTGCTTGAGACTCACCAGAATATTCATTTTCTGATTTTTTACTTTTGGCGTCACTTTTTCCTTTTAACTAAGTGGTAAATCATAAAAAATATATATATTTTTGGCGCTCTTACTCTTATATCTTCAGTCTGTTAAGTATATATATATATATATATATATATATATATATATATATATACTTAACATGTCTGTACTAAACCAACCAATAATGTTTTTCCAGATAATTCTTTTAAATGTTTTTTTTTTGTGGCTCAGTTTTATATATACATACACACACACACACACACACACACACACATATATATATATATATATATATATATATATATATATATATATATATATATATATATATATATATATATTTAAATAAGTTCAAAACAGTATTTTTAATTACAAATTTAATTCAATTTTTAACTACAATCAATTATTCTTCAATTACAATTCATGAACAAACTCCCCCAGGATTAAACTGACTGTGAAATAAAGGTGTAATTATGATAAAATGTAAATATGATGATCAATGTAAATGTAAAAACTATAAATGTATAGGTGTTAAGAAGATTTTCGGTGAGATAGGGTGAACAAAAAGTATAAAAGGCTCTTAAATCTCACTATAATTTGCATTTAAGTGTTAGTAATGGTTGTATTTTAGCATCAATATAACTGAAAAGATTAATTTTAATATACTGTGTTTATATTTTTTTTAGTCTATCTCATCAGAGACAGTAAAGGATGTTGTTTTTCTGGATTTTAAGGAAAGCTGGTAAATTTAAATGATCACCACGTGCTTTAGCTGCCTTATTGAGGTTTACCTACAACCTGTTTTCAATAGTGGGACAATTTTTTAACCATGTCAGATGGAACATCAGCACCCCCAGTGGAGAAGTGTCACTGTGGTAACAATGAGGGTAAAAGTGGAAAACAGTAATGTAGGAGCCACAGTGTATATTGTTATATCAGTTTTATTACTTTAATGGATTCAGTGTTGAGTGATTTCCTCTTTTTCGCCTTATTCAGATCTGCTGAATTGTGCTGCAAGAGTTTGATGAAGAGTGGATTTGTGATTGTTAGTAAAGCTCTGGTTTCTGGTGATATTGGCCCTGACAATGTGGATATTGCCATTATTTCCTAAATGATAACACGTCTTTCCCAGCACCCACTGCAGCATATCAGATCCAGAACAGTCATTGACTAGTGTTTTAATATTATATTGTAAAGTAATGGAAAAATGAATCTTTACTTTTTCTTAATCATAACCCCAATTTGTTTAATGACTTGACAAGAGATAAAAAGCTAAATCAAGGTAGATATGTGTGCTGTACAAGGACAAAAAAAGAGATAATATTCATTTACATACATCATGCCTATAAGAGCCCAGTTTGGCCTCCTCAGTCAAAAGTCTGGCCCCTCCCCCTTCAAAGGACCAGTCAGCTACAACCTCTCCTTCCAGTTTTTTATAGTTTCACTAAAGGGCCAGTCTGGATCAGAAGGAAAAAGCAGTCATGTTTCAGTGCCATCAGGTTTAAACTACTCTTAAACTTGTGCTGTGTTAACAGTAATCTGCACTGGTGTGACTGCATACCTGTGTGAACACCCTTGGCTTTGATGACTCACCTGGAAAATCACTGCTGCCTGCTCTCCTTTCTGTGCCACAGGTGGGGCGTTGATATGCAGACTGAATGAAAAAAAATCAAAATGTTGAATAAACTGTTAGAGTAACTAAATTCAAGGTCAGAAACATTATTCTGGAAGTTTGAAAGTATTTACTCAGTTATAGTTATGGACATTTTCCATCACAGGAGGAGAGTTTTATTGTCACTGTTTGATCTTTTCTAACTTAAAATAAGTATAGATTTTTCAACAACATTTTCACTATATTGGAAAGGTTGACTTTGCCGGCTAGTAAAGTTTGGAAAAATCAAATAAACCTGTGAGATTAAATATTTTATATTTTGTATTTTGAGCAGAAGGCGAAAACATTGGTTTAAAGATAACACTCATACAAGAATACGGCTTTAACACATTTTATTAGCATGACAACAAACAATGTTCTGATAGACATGGAGTGAAAATATCTTCAGATGAGCAGCTGTAGAAATAAACAGAAAACTTTTGATTCCACAAAAAGTACAAAGATAAAATACTTAAAGTCCCTCTTAGGTATATATATGATTGTATACACATATTTTTTTTCATTCAGTAAATGAATTTAAACACTTTTGATTCTTCATTAAACTGGATGAAAGTCTAACTTGAAGATTTAAAAGGATTATTTCTTCTTGTGAACGATAAAAATCCAATAGGTGGGACTTAAAAAGTTACATTTAACAAAGACTCTAAACAGAAATGATGAGAGTGTTTTGTCTGTTCTGCTTCAAACAATGACATTTTAAAACCTTCAGGCTTCAGCGGCAGATTTATCTTCACCTGAGGAGAAAAACAAAATCAGAGATGAGTCATAGCACTAGACACAAAAATCAGGGAATAACCCTTTTTTTTTTTTTTTTTTTTTTTACTGAGAATGAGACGCTCCAACCCAATCCTGTACTTGTACTTTTACTTTTACACAAGTCCTTTCATTATTATTGTTATCTTACATCCCTCAGGAGCTTTTTTGAGGTTCATACTGGATGAAATATGAGTAAGAGTGTGTACGTACAGTCAGGTTTGGTTGGAGGTGGAGGTGGTGGAGGGGGAGGGGGTGGTGTGGCACAGGTGTAGGACACCTCCAGGTACCTGGTCTCCTCTTTGCAGGGATATTCACCAAACACCCACTCTGTGACGGGGACCTTACAGGAGCGTCTGTTCCCACAGCTGAGATGACAAAAGAGGAAGACAGTGAGGTCAGAGCAGGGAGGATCTGCATTCTCTCAAATGACCAGCAGGTGGCGACTCCAAACCTGATTGTATGAATTCAGATAAGAGTGAACCCACTGCTCTTCTGACTCTTTTTTTTTTTTTTTTTTTTACCTTCGTGAACATTATTTCTCAGCTGATCTCAAATTTCCTTCTTCAACTTAAGTTAGTTAAATTTCTTTCTTTTTTGTTGTTGTTACAAATTCCTCAACCTCTCAGTGCTTACCAGAGATATTAATGTATAAACATTTTCTGGTATTTCTACCTGCTGTCTGCCCTAGAGGGAAGAGAAAACTCAAACAGGCCTTACATCATTTAATGTACAAAGAAAAGGAAAAGTGTCCTCACAGGTCCTCCACCACCATCTCCGCCCAGGGGAAGGTGCAGTAGGTGTCGGGTCCATCCTCTGGATGGCGTTTTCCCTCCCCACACCTTGTCCCCACCCCGACTTTGTAGAGGATATGTTCCAACTTTATTTTGCTGCCAACGTCTGAAGGACAGAATGAACCGAGTCTTAGCTACAGCCTGATTTCTTCTGATTTCGTCTTTGGACACTTCTCAGAGATTTTGAAACATTTCCACTTAAAGAAACAGTTTGAACTGTTTTCTTTGTGCTATTTGCTTTATCTTTGTCATTTTTATGGTTCAGTGTCTATAGATTTGCTCATGCATGCAGGGATAACCGTTCTCTTGTGGACAACAGGAACTGATTCTGCAGCCAGCCTCTAGTGGACGCTCAGAGAACTGCAGTTTCCCCCAGGGGGGGTTTCTGCTTGAGTACAACACCATGAAAGATTCTTACCACATGACATCTCAGCGGTTTCATTATGACAGGCATAGATGATCTCTCCCTCTGAAAAACACAAAGTTCGAAGAGTGTCTTCATCATTCTCATCATCCTCACAGTCTTGCTGCTGTTCTAAGTCAAGGTTTCACCCTTATGTGTTGTTTATCTGTTTTGGATGTGCATTAATATAATATTAAAGCACTCTCACACTTTGTTTCAAATCATGCTCAATTAAAAAAAAATACTTTTGTTATTTTGAACTTCTTTATGTATTTTATTCATGTTATATATTCACAGTGTGTCTTCAATACAATTCACAGAAATGTTCATAATGTCCAATTTTAGTTTAATAAAAGTGAATTACACTGTATTTTTTGATAGAAAAATTGATAGGTTTCTTAATAAAAACTGTATATTGATAACAAGTCAAAAGCTGTTGTAAACTATCTAAACTTTGAAGTTTTGGCTTAAATTGGATCTGTCATGTTTCATTGCACTTACCAGCAGCACCCGTGAGATACCAAGCTGCAGCCAGCACTGAAAAAACACGAGTCCATCAGTCACAGCTTTAAACTCAGTAATTGTTCAGATGTGTTCAGAGGCACGAAAAGAAAAACAATCTGAACTGTAAACAATAAAAACTGCTTTCTAACCCCTGAGCAGTCAACAATAGAGGGTCTTTAAAGGAGTTCAGTTAAACATGTTCATGTAACTTGAGGATCTGCACTGAATCGGAAAACTTTCTCTACATCTACTTCTACTCGAACAAAATACCCTTATTGTTACATTTTCTCAGACTGATACTTTAAACAGTGTTTTCCAATACGCTGAGCATTTCCACTCATTTTCTGCTACGGAAAATATCATGTCTGTAGTTTGTCTCCATTACTGTCCACATTTGGCTGTCATTTACAGTGTTCATGTATAAAAGAAAAGAACAACTATCTTAACTACTTAAACTACCATTACTTCTACTTGTACGGTTACAGTACTTGGTCTGCACAGCTGTTACTTTTTCTTAGTTCTGATATAACTTGTGAAAATACCAAATTTTCTCAAGTTTATGCATTTCTGCTGATTTTCTGCTGAGGAAATGCAACTTTGCCACTTGGCTCAGGTTCCATTACTTTCCATAAGTAGCTTTGTCTTAAGGAGTTTGGGGTAATGAGGGGGTAAGACGAACATACGGTAAAACATGAACCCTACGTCCTTGAAGATAAGACACAAAGAGCTCATAAAAAAGGAAAGGAAACAATTTGATGCAATAAAATACATCCATGTTGAATAGTAGTAATATGAAGGTGGGAATTCTCAATAACAGAGTTAATAAATAAGAAACAGCAATGGCTAATAAACAGAAAATTTCACACTGACACTACAAACATTTTTAAACACATTTCAAGTTGAGAACATAAAACAGACTGACTATAATCTCTGCTTTGGAAACAGTGTCTAAAAATATAACCCAAATATTGTGTAACTTCTGTATAATTGTATAAAATATCCTGAAGGTTTGACTGACAAGTTAAGTGTCCAGTTATGGAAGCTGACACAATTTTAACCCTTAAAGACAGGATTAAACCACTCAACTATTCATCTTCTCCAATAATTGGAGTATGAAGAATAAACTCTTTGTCACTTCTTATGCTAAAAATGTTACAAGAATTAACATATATATAACTATGATCTGATTTACATGCATTATTTTACACTAATGAATGACAGAACTACAGCTATCAAAAATATAGAGTTGGTAAACTTAATATGCTGAAGTTTTCGCTGTGGTGGAAAGTCTCCAGTCTTGGCAGAGATTAGAGCTAAAAATGAAACAACCAGAGAATCAGAGCAGAAACAGAGCGAACACTCACATCCAAAGATGACCAGCCTCAGTGGGACCATGTTGGCGTCTCTCAGCTTCCTCTTCTGTCCTCCACCTGCAGACACTCTGACAGTGTGCACAGCATCTGGACCTGCAGGTATTTATGCGACCGTGCTGACAGCAGACATGCAGACGCCTGTCCTGCCGCTGCAGGCATGCAGGGCCTCCTGACACAGATGTGGTGGACCTGTAAAACCCGCAGGTTGCAGGAGGGAGATCTATAAATCCACAGGTTTCAGGAGCTTTCACATGTTAAATCCCAGCTGCACCCCGTCCTTCTCTGTAGTCCTCATTAAGGAGCTCAGAGCTGAAAGGAGGAAAAACATCTGGGTCTGTTTTCAAGGGGTGAAAATGTTTGCTAACGAGCACATATTTACCAAATAAGAGTGTTTTCAGGGACTTAAGGCACATACATTGGGCACAAGGAACTTGGAAACAGACTCATTGTATATCAGGGCACAAACACGGACATTTCTGATAACCTGAATTCACTGTAGATAATATTAAACTTTCTGGTTAATCTTCCTCTGTGTCGCAACAGAAGTTTTCTCAGAAATAACAAAAAAAATCTGCCCATGATCTTTTTAATGACTGATTCAACAACAAGCAGGCCAATCAGAGCTTTGTAGGCGGGATTAAAAATAAAACCTTTTTTTACAGAAGGCAGAAAAATACTGAGAATGGTGAAAAAATGTATCTGCAAATGTATGAAGTTCATAGAAAAATTAAATGAAGCACTTACGTTTTCACATTTTCAAACATTCCTTGTATAAAACTTAAATAAACAGCTAAACTTTCTGTGTTATCTCAAAATGACATCTAATGTGAAAACAAGTCAATGAATAAAAGGTTTTAATAGCAATTTAAATAACTTTGCAAATATTTTTAGGGGTGTTACTTGTGTACAACCCAGAATCAGAATGAAATTATGATCAGAATAAATATGATCTACACGGTACCCTCTGGTCTTTGGAAATGAAGGTCTGCCCTTTACAGCAAGAATAAACGTGTTTACAGTCTGGTGGAAAAACTGTTTTGATCTAAAAAGCTCATTACTCTCTTCACACACACTGCACAGTGATATCTTCAAAATTCATCTGTAACTGTAAAAACCTCCTGAAGCTCAGCCACACTGCTTAATTACCAACTAGCTAAACCTGACCCTGATGAACTAGTCCCACACTCCATATTCTAATCCTGTTTGATGATTTTTCAGCCTCCAGTCATCTGAACCATACTTGGTTTGTTTTTTAAAACATGCGTATTTAAGAGCCATGCTTATTTTTCTGACACTGTCTTTCATTTGTACTTGTATGACTTTGCATCTAAAAATGCATGTGGTACAATCTCTTAACGGTGAACACCTTATTTACATAAGTCAGAGATAATGTGTTATGAATGGGTGGTTATGAAAATTAGAATCTGAGGGGGTGAGCAGACATGATTTTGCCACAGTGTCAACAGGCGGAGGTGACACGTGCTGGATTCTGTTACATGGGTTGGTTTGATACTAGGTGATCTGGTTGTTCCTGGTGTCACTTTTGAAGTTATGAATGGTGTCACATGGTTTAATCCACTGACACCTTTTGCAAAAGTCAAACTGATCACAGGAATTACAGGGTTTAATTTTAGAGGGTGAATGATGAGATTTGTGGTGAAACACGACCGTTTGGGACAAAATAACCAAAGAAATGCTTTTGTGTTTTTTTTTTTTTGTATTTGGTCAAAACCAAAAATGAATGTCCACCGCTCATTTATGCTCAGGACCCACTGGGACCCCAAAAACTCCAAAAATGTCTTAACATGCATCAGCAGCTTTATGAAGAAGTCCAGGTGGCCTCTCCGGCTCATAAATACCAGAGTTCTCTGGTGCAAAGAGGTCGTGGACTTTCATAACAACCAGACGGTTTCGCTTTAACATTTTCAGCTTTAAAGAAACAGCCAAGAGTATGAGGGTCTTCAGTTTTGTGGTTTTGACCTAATCAGCTGTGACAGAGTTGCTCTCGCCTTTCCAAAATTAAAGACTGTAAGACCTTTTCAAACGGCACTGAAGTGTCAGATATTTAAACATAAATCCCAGGTATATGACTAAATATGACTGGTGTGATACATGGATAATGTCATGCCTGAGTAAAGTCATATTGCTGTATTACAGGAATTAAATCATTATGGTACAAGGATTGAGCCTAAAAAAATCCCAAGTACATTTATTTTTGAAAACTACCCTTAAGTAGAGCTTTAGATTAACTGTCCTCCGGTTTCATTAGTTTTATTTTTTGAAAGAGTACATTGGAAAAACACCTCATATGAAGCAAAAATAGAAAAAAATAAAGGTTAGGGACCTGTTATAATAATGAAATTGATTGGCTTTAACTGAAAGGTTGCTGCAAGTCTGGTCACTCTGTGTTGTATGCATTTTTTAAAAGATTTTTTTTTCAAGAGAAGAGCTCCTTTCATTGAGACAGAGCAAATCTCTACAACAACATCCAATCCCAGAGAACATCAGGAGGCGTTATCGTGGTTGCAGTGAAGGCAAAGTTGAATGCTTGGAGGTGGAGATATAAACCCCTATTTTCCATCAGTTGTCATGGGAAATGTCAACTCTCTGCCCAACAAAAGTGACGAGCTGGAGAAAGCTGAAAAATCACCACAAAGAGACTCAATATTTGCTGCAAATGATGTGCTGTTAAGTGTTTGACAGAAACATGGTTATTAAGCCGTGAAAAGAAGTGTCCCTACAAAGTCATTATCTAAGTTATGAGATAAAAAACTCTTTAATCTTCTTTCACAGAAAAGGGGTTTGCTTAATCATTTCCAGGTGAGTGGAGCTGGGGCAAACACAAACCAGTAAAAATATACATCAAATGAGGAGCTGCTAGGAGGTATGCATTTCTGTAGAAAAGTCCTGAAATAATTTTCTCTCCGTTTAGTTAAAATATAACACAAATCTTGCTCTCCATGGTGGATTATAAACTCAGAAATATGAGTTGTTCATTGCAGCTCTGTGCTGTTTGTTTGTATTTGAGAGGCACTGAAGCGTTTTGTCTTTAAGACATCTTGGGCTCTATTTTCGTGCCTCACCGGAGATGTGCCGCAGGCGCGGCGTAAGTCAGGTCCGCCGTGCCGACAAGGCATTCCAAAGCACAATTTGGTATTTTGGTGAGCAGCGCAGCCCGGCGTAAGTATCCCCCCTCCCTAACTCAGCTCCTCCCAGCGGCGTAAGTCGTAGCGAGGGAGGAGATAGGGCGTGGAGTGGCTTTGACACAGCCGAGACCTGTTTTCACCAATCACATCAGCTCCTCTCCTTGCCTAAATCCGCCACAGGCGAGGCGTATTACCATTTTCGTGAAGTAGTCAAAGAGATCAAGAGATGTCTGAAGACAGTAATGCCACACGATGGCGACAGAATGCAGCTCCTCAACAAGTGTCACTGTAAGCGCTGCATTGGGCGTCCTCCACACTCTCTCATATGAGCACAGATGGATTTGGTGTGTGTAATGTTGGACCCACTGGTAAGACAAACATCCTTTTCCACAAATAAAGACACTCACATAAAGTTGCAGATATTCAAACCTCACGTGACAAAGGTGGGTTGTGCGCACAGATCACAACATAAACTCAGAAAATGGCATTAAAATCGGAACCATCTGTGCGTAAAGGACGCATCGCGCTCCGTGGCCTGGCTCTTTCTTTCATCGATGTTGGCATATAAAATAAATTTGGCTCACAAAACTGAATATTATAATATCCGTATGTCGGCTTAAAGCAGATAACGCATCTGAGCACTGAAACAAATCATCTGTTCAGCCACCGCTGCAGCAGGACGGAGAGAAGACACGAAGACATGTCCAGGTCGAGCTGAGCGAGAAATAAGAGGAAGAGGAAGAAAGAAAAGGACGGAGACGAATTACATATCTAGTTAACTTCATCATGTGTGTCTATTTACTATATATTTAATTTAATTTAATTTAATGCGATTTCAGCTGTGTTGATTCGGTCAGGTTGTGTGTCCAAACGTGTGCCAAACGCGCTCATCAGATCAGATATAGATCAGAATATATCTATATAGATCTAAATGTATGTGCTGACTCAGATTATTAGTTGTTGTTGATTATTTATTGCACTGAAATCTGCCTGACACTGTGGAAACCGAGAAGGGTGTCTCTGCAGAGCCGGAGAGCCCTGCAGCTGCAGTTCTACGCGTGTAAAACTGCAGGAGGCGGAGTCTCGAAATCATGTAACCGCCCCCTTTTTTTACTCCTCTTCGTTTTCGTGTTCTTTGGAGAAGAGTTGTCAATAGTATGCAATGGTCTGTAGCGGAGTTTGTTGATCGAACCGTGAGTATTAAATGTGAATCCACAATTTATTTAGCGTCTCCAAAATCGTTCACTTGATTTGAATGAGAAATGAATGTGTGGTTGTGCGGACGTTAATGATATTTACCATGATAGTCTGGAAGACACGTCGAATATTTATCTTGGTTAAGCCAGCTAAAGCTATTGTTAGCTTGTCGGAATTGTATAACCCGTAGACGACAAGCCGCCATTATATTTACTGAGACTGAAGTACGCTGACAAATAATTTTAGCATGTGTATCAGATTGAACATAAAAAATGTATAAACAGTTTAGGCTTTCTGAACCGAGATGTCCCATACATGTTGGAAATGTACGTATGCATTTTTTCGTATATTATATCAGGTATTTCTTAGTATATCATTTATCATTTAATTAATTATTTTCAATTGTATGCATATCATATGTAATTGACATTTAGTCCACATTGCTGTTTATCGCGCTGCAGAAGAGAAACTACTTGTTGATGTCATTCTGCAGTCCACAGGAGCTGAGCAGCATTTGGTGGTACTTTGTTCACACACCATACAAAATAACTCACAGCAGAGCTTCGGTTTGGTGATTTGCCTTTTCTAATTACCACATGATTGTTCTCTGTTTTGTCTTTGTTTGTCCACAGGATGTACTTCAAGGGAAGCCCTCACACTGGATAAGACTGGAGTCGTCAGTCAAGGTGCCTGTGTACCTTGACAGCAGTGACAACCAGGACCGTCTTTTTAATTTTTTGTTTTCAGTGCTGCAGAGAACAAACACACAACTGTCCTTCAGTAATCCCATCAAGTTCATCATGGATGTTCTTTTTCCAGAGGTATTTCGAGCCCAGTTCTTTTTGTTTTCCATCACAGTTTTTTCTTTCAGGTTTTTCAGTTTCAAATATTAATTTACCCAGCAGTGATTATTTTCATTTCCTATTGTAGTGAAGTGGAAGAATTCTGTCGGTCAATTGAAAAGAAAATGAAGAGGGAAGGAAACCTCTGAATGGTATGTAGAGCTGTTACATACTTCACAATCTGGGCTTTAAATATCTAAGTCAAATGTCAAACATTTTATTTCTATCATGTATCTTTCTTTCAGGACTCATCCATCCTGATAATTCACATGAGGCTGCACAAGTCCTGCAACAAAATCCTCAATTTGTTAATAAAAAAATATGTTTACTACAAGATGTGTTGTTTGTTTCTGAAGTGATTATGGTATGTTTTAGACCAATTTTACAAGGTTCAGCATGCTTCTATGATATTAGGACAACATCATGACTCCATTCAATGCTATAGAAAGATAATTAACTACTCTAATAATGAGAGAAAAGAACTTGCCCCCATCAAGGGACTTCAAACCTGCATTCCATATGAATTTAGACTCTTGTGATGGTTGTCTCCCATTTCCTGATGCTGCTTTTCAGACATGGCTCCATCTTCCTCCTGTTTCTCCCAACAACCACTCAAGTCACAAAGAACTGCTCTTTACCTTAAGATTAAAACACTTAGCCACTTTGACAAAAGGCTAATTCTTGGTGGCTTTATGATCAAAGGCTTCTCCATGGCGACAGCCTTTTTGCACAGCTTTGTTCTTGATAGAAGACATTTTTTTGTATACGTTAAGAGCCAATCATATTTTTTTGTTGATCACCACAAAGAATTACCTGGAATGACAATACTATGAAATTTTCACTCAAAGGGGTCAAATTGTCATCAAATGTAATGAATAAATAATAAAAAGGCAAAGCCGGTCCCTACAGGGCTTCAAGCACTGCACAGCTTGCTTTGGCTCGGGCATTTAAAACACTGGGTCCAGAAATAAATATTTTTTTATTACATTGAAATTAGATTACTCCTAACTGTTTTGGATGGAATAAACCTAAATTCTACAAGGTGTTTTGGGTTAACCAAACCTTAAATACTGACTGTCAGCTCATATTCCGTTTTTTTTTCCAGCAAAATAACACATTTTATCCATGTAAAGAAGTCCAATTACTGAACTGCAGCACCTGCATTAGCACTGACCTACCAGCATGGGGCGCTATCACGTGTAGAACTGCAGCATCTGCATTAGCACTGACCTACCAGCAGGGGCGCTAACACGTGTAGAACTGCAGCGTGTAAAACTGCAGCTGCAGGGCTCTCCGGCTCTGCAGACACATACTATTGTGGAAACCTGCTGGTGAGGCATCGGTGACGTATGCCGATACACCGCCGGTCTACCAAAATACTGCTAGACCAGCTGCGCTCCGCCTGCACTGAAAGTTGACCAGGTTTGAATCGGCGAGCTTTCAGCGCACTTTAGACGCCGGTGGCGAGCACGAAAATGTCACTGCGCCCGCTGATTCTGTCGACACCTCCCCCTGCCAAGCCACCATGCCCAGTTTGGCGGATCTCGGTTCGCCTCCGTGCGCCTCAGTCCACGAAAATACCAAACTGGCTGTACGCCGGGCTCCGCCAGACAAAAATACAACTGCGCGGGGCTCACCGCCCTCCGCCGCCTCACGGGTGTACACGAAAATAGAGCCCCCTGGGTTGACCCTGGTTGAATGAAAAGAATAACATATCTTTGACTGGGGGGTAGTTTGGACATTGAATCTGTACAAAGGTAATAATGTGTCTTGTATGTTTTTAATAGTTGTAGTGTTTTGGAACTTAAACTCTGTGATTCGTGTTTTCCCTTTGGATGCCTAACCAGGGCCAGAGCGCTGAAATTTAGCCATGACACCAGATTGAATGGCATCTATTATGTGAACATTATGAGGCAATGTTTCAGGTATGTGTCCCTATTAGATAAAGAAGTAAGTTAATTATGAGCTTAGAAATAGAATCTTTTATGTACTTTGACATGTTCCGCTGAAACATGAGTCAAGCGAAAAAGTACAAATTTAACATTAGCAAAGTGAAAGACAATTATGACATATGTAAAGTGTGAACATGCAGTAGTTATAATGGTGTGAACTGCAGACTGAATCTGTATTAAACTTCAGTATTACACCGAGGCAGTATATTGCATGAGCTCTACATATACTGTTTAAGACAAACGTTTATGTATGTGCTGCTTTCACTAAACACAATAACTAAACTTCAGACCAGGAGCAGGTACATTATCTATGAAGTGTAGGCTACTGAAGCGAAAAACAAAGAATAAGTTACAGTGACTCAGTAATTCAGTCACCTATGAAAGGAGGCTGCAGTCACAGAGACTTCAGTCCCTCAGATTAATGCTGTTTGAGAGGAGGTCTTTGCAGGCTGACAGTTACATGGTTTGGACCTGATCAGCTGTGCATTTAAATTAAACAGAGGGAAAGATGAGACTTTTGAAAAACTTTAGATACTGGCGAGAAAAAGCTTTGAAGCAAACAAGGGTCCATGTGGAAAATGTTCATTCAACTGAGCAAAAGCATCAGTGAGTATAGTCTAATTTAGCTGTAATATCTGTTGTTGCAACTTGTGTAGAATGTGTCTATTTTGGATGTAGTTATAGCCGTGTGTGTGAGTGTGTGCGTGTGTGTGTGTGTGTGTGTGTGTGTGTGTGTGTGTGTGTGGGGGGGGGGGTTATTTCTCAATCAAGAATCGTCCATGTGTGACAGCCAATCAAACTAATACCCGAGCAGGACTGCTGTGAGTGACAGAGTTCTGAGCCAATAGAAACAAATGATATTATGAAATAACAATCTCTGCCGAGCAGTTTGAATTTACTTCAATATAAATGTTCAACTCCATGAACTAAAATACCAAAAAAGGTGTTTGCAAATGAGACAACACTTGTAAATTTGAATATCTTGAAAATATTTTAGCTTTCGATTAAGGTTTCCTAAAAACGCTCCTTGGCTGCTGGTTTCCTGATTTTTTTTGTTGTTTTTTAAACCTAACCCGTCACTGTTGTTTTACTTTTACTTTCACTGCGGATTGTGTCGCAGCAAGAAATTCTAGAGGTGAGTAAACTCGATTCAAAGTTTATATAAAAATATCCAAACAATACAAGTCATCGTAGATTACCTTTACTACGTTTGTTTTATGTAATTGTTATGCCGATTGGATTATACAAACTAAACGTGATGTCCGATTATCCTCTACTCTGAAGACCAAACTTCAGTGAAAAATCCTGAAAATCCTCACAGCCTTTCCTTTAACTTGGCTGTTCTGAATCAAACTCCTGCTTGTTTCCACTCATTTGTTATTTATTAAGATTTTTAGACATGAGTTGACTTACTAAGAAGTCTGTGATGACAAGCATCAGAAAGGAAGTAAATTCAGGACGCCATTACAGATGTCAGGAGAGGCAAAAGTCATCAGCTTTGGTCTGACACGTTCATTTTGGTTAAAAAATCATGAACATGATGTTGATCCAGCTGCATCAAAGAGATTAGACATAGATAACAGAATTAGATCATTTTCACAACAATAGCAACACTAATAACTTTGAAAAACAAGGTTACAAAGTGCTTTACAAGGGCAGAAAAGAAAATATTGGATAAAAATAGAGCTAAAATCACACAAGGCCAAAGCGTCCTTTATGCATTAGCACTTTACACAAACTGTAGTTGATCCAAAGTGCTTTGCAGCAGTTCACAGGGAAATAAGTCAAATGAAAGAAACAAACACAGCTAGGGGAACAGAGAGGAGAACAATCTGAGTGGTGACAAAGCGATGAAATCGAGTTTGTGGAAAGAATGACAGTATATGTACTATCTGCCATCATCAATTGTTACAACTTGTCACTAACATAACCATTGTAACCATAAAACAGCCCAGGAAAAACACCTGAGTTAGTCAGGGGAAGTTAAAAGCGTAAGAGTAATAGAGTTCCTGAGCTTTAAAGTGCAGATAAAAAATAAATCAATTCAAATAAAAATTCAAAGTCAGCTGGGATCAGGAAAGGCTCTAAGACAAGAGCGTGTTTTCAGAGAGGAGTTAAGAGTGACCACTGACCCAGCTCATCTAATCTCCTCCAGCAGATCTTTCCAGAGTTTTGGGGCCTTACAATTTTCTGTCCTCTTTAGATGTCGGTCTGATATTTGAAACAAACAGAAGAAAAATATTGAGAATATCAATGAATGGGTCAACTTGTACAACACTAACACGTCTTAAAGGCAATGGAGGGCTTTAAAAATCATCAGTAAAATCCAGAATTCAGTTCTAAAACATACAGGTAGCCAGTGTAAAGATGCTAACACAGAAGAGACGTGTTCATGTTTTGTGGTCCCGGTTTAAACCCTGGATGCTCAGTTCTGAACTGACAGTTGATGTTTGGTGCAGCTTCTTACCAGTAGATGGCAGTAGTTGCTTGGTCATGTGTTGTGGACAATTGAAATGATCTGTTTTGCTTGAATTAAGCTCTAAATGTTTTGACATCACTTTGAATGTATTGGTGATTCTCGTGGTAAAACCAGGTGTGAAATAGATTTAATGAAAGTGAAATATTTTCCAATTCTTGCTTGTCAGGATTTCAGCCAATAAAAAGTTCAGGTTGTGTATTTTCGCTGTGTTTTTGGGTCATGATATGAAATGTTTCAGATAGGTTACAGTCAAGACTACAGGCAGACTGGTTTATCAGCAGGACTCTTCTACGACAGAGTCATGCTGTTATAATCCCTGTTGTCACAATGTGGTTTGTTATGGTCTTGCTGAAATATGAAGGTCTACCCTGAAAAAGTCTTTGTCTGGATGGCAGCAGATTTTGCTCCAAAAACAGAGCAACTGTGTGCTCAGAACAAGCCTGGTGAGCCCCTCCTCTTTAAAGCGAGGAAATTGTGTTTTTTATTCGCACTTTTTTCACTCAGAATACAAGCTTTTTTGTTTGAGATTGGATGCTCATTTTTATTTTACTTTACATTGACAGTGCCAACTTCAGCATACAGCCATAGATACTAACAGAACACAGGATTCGTAAATATAATAAATAAAAAGACATGAAATTAGATGAACCTGCAGAATCATTTTCTGAGACATAGAAAAAAAATTGCACCCAAACAGGGTTACACGTTTGAACTGAGCCGGACATTATTTTGAAATGTTTTTTATCACCCCAAAAAGATTTTACTCCTTTTTTTTCAAATCCTCAAACTCTGCTCTTTTGTAGTTGAATTGGTCTGTGGTGTTTCCAGCAGAGAGAGGTCATGGCGGCTGCAGCAGCAGGTGAGTTTTGTCAGCCTTTAAATAATCCAGGTACCTAACCCTAACCCAAACCCTCCTTTCATTTACATGTTATAGAGGAAACTGAAGTCCCCCCCCCCCCCCATCAGTAATTTAATCAGGCCAGTGAGTTCTGGATTTAAGAAACACAAAACAAGTATGAACCATCTCTAGGGTTTACAGAGAATGGTTCGAAAAAGAAAAAATATCCAGTGAGCGGCAGTTCTGTGGGCGGAAATGCCTTGTTGATGCCAGAGGTCAGAGGAGAATGGCCAGACTGGTTCGAGCTGATAGAAAGGCAACAGTGACTCAAATAACCACCCGTTACAACCAAGGTAGGCAGAAGAGCATCTCTGAACGCACAGTACGTCGAACTTTGAGGCAGATGGGCTACAGCAGCAGAAGACCACACCGGGTGCCACTCCTTTCAGCTAAGAACAGGAAACTGAGGCTACAATTTGCACAAGCTCATCGAAATTGGACAATAGAAGATTGGAAAAACGTTGCCTGGTCTGATGAGTCTCGATTTCTGCTGCGACATTCGGATGGTAGGGTCAGAATTTGGCGTCAACAACATGAAAGCATGGATCCATCCTGCCTTGTATCAACGGTTCAGGCTGGTGGTGGTGGTGTCATGGTGTGGGGAATATTTTCTTGGCACTCTTTGGGCCCCTTGGTACCAACTGAGCATCGTTGCAACGCCACAGCCTACCTGAGTATTGTTGCTGACCATGTCCATCCCTTTATGACCACAATGTACCCAACTTCTGATGGCTACTTTCAGCAGGATAATGCGCCATGTCATAAAGCTGGAATCATCTCAGACTGGTTTCTTGAACATGACAATGAGTTCACTGTACTCAAATGGCCTCCACAGTCACCAGATCTCAATCCAATAGAGCATCTTTGGGATGTGGTGGAACGGGAGATTCGCATCATGGATGTGCAGCCGACAAATCTGCGGCAACTGTGTGATGCCATCATGTCAATATGGACCAAGCTCTCTGAGGAATGCTTCCAGCACCTTGTTGAATCTATGCCACGAAGAATTGAGGCAGTTCTGAAGGCAAAAGGGGGTCCAACCCGTTACTAGCATGGTGTACCTAATAAAGTGACCGGTGAGTGTATATCCTACATGTTGCACCATGAACACTCAAGATAGGAAACCAAAATCACTAAAATGGAGATTATACTAACAAGATTAAGAGTAATCCAGTAAAACTGAATCAGCTAAAAGTCTAAAAGAGAGAAAAAATCGATCAAAGTTAATAATAAGAATTTCTCATAATGATAGTGATAATTATTATAATTTTACTGGTATCATACGTTTCAAAAACAAGTAATCAAGTGCTTAATGGTTAAAAATAGATTAAAACATAGCAGTTATAACATTTATCAGCAAAAAATTAGGATAAAAATTCAAACGCATAACTAATAATGACAGATTACAAATAAATAAGATCCAGTACTTAAAAAATAACTTTTGGCTACAGACACTTATAACAAAAAGGATTTAAGAAGGATTTAAAAGAGGACACTGTGTTAGTCCGTCTGACATCCTCAGACAGAGAGTTCCACTGCTGTGGAGACAAACAACAAACGCAATTGCCAGTCTAGATTTAGGAACCACGAGAAGGGCCCTGCTAGAGGACCTCAGAGCCCTCTAGAGGTCAGGTTATAGGGACTTACCAGCTCACAGATAGAGACTGGAGCCATAGAAGACTTTGAAAAACAAGCAGAAAAGAACATTTTAAACTCACAGGGAGCCAGTAAAGGACTGGACTGGAGTTAAAGCAACAGCATTTTGAAATGATATTGGTCTTTGTTTGTTGTGCTCACTGATGCCAGAATAAAGTCCACTACAGTCAGGAGAGAGAAAAGAGCAGGTTTTGGTTTACTGTCTGAGCTGAGCAAAGAAGGCCTCCATAACTGCTCACCTGTGTGTCTTTGCGAACATTATAGAGAAGACACACAGGCTGGAGGACAGATCATAAACATAGCTGACTGGGGGTGGAGGATTAATCACATAACTTTATCACATAATCTAATAACTTTAGATTTGGAGTCATTCAGCTGCAGAAAATGTTTAGGACATAATGTGAGACACATCTGTGGTGCCAGGTTTTAACAGGGCATAGAGCTGAGTGTCATCGGCATAGCAGTGAAAGTTTATACCATGCCCCAGGGGAGCATGTGTACAGTGAATAAAAGGGGGCCTGGGATAGTCTCCTGAGTGGCTCCACATGGGAGAGGAGCACAAGAAAAGGAGGTGTTACTTAATGCTGTATAAAAAGATCCGTTTGACAGAAATGTGGCTTAAAACTAAGGTTTGAACCAAACATATCAATTCATGTCATACTCAATATACAAGAGGTCAATGTATGACCTGTGAGCAAAGTTTGGTCTGTGTCAAGTTTTTCAACCCCAGCAGTCAAAGATTTACATTTTATTACTGAACTGATTTTATTCTGGAAATGCCAAAGAGCTATGTCCTCAAAATGAATCTAACCCCACTTCCCTCAATAATCAAATATGTCATTCATTACAGATATTTACTGTTCCAAAAGTTTAAAGAAATGCTTTTTCTCCAGCTGGCTGACAATCGTCTCTGTTTCAGACATTAAAATGTACATTATAAATGATACTGAATGTGTTGTTGATGGTCTTGTTGGCTTTTGTAGGTCATTGAGAGGCTTTAGTATTCATTTCAGTGATTTTCACAATTGGTTTAAAACTCTTCACTGGAGCTTTAATAACTGCAATGGTTATAGTGAAAGACTTTGATCACCCATATCCATATTTGTCTTTCTGATTTTAGATGGTCCATTCCCTCTGAGGCGAAGTAGAAGCTTAGATTTTTTGCCACCTTGGAGTGAGTAAAACTTCCTTCCCTGAGAATCTGTGATCAAAAACTCTTCGTAGATAATCAAATGTTTGAAATGAAATAGGAACAAAGTTATAAGTCAATGCAGGTACAAGTCAATCTTTCTAAATCCTTGTTTCTCACAGTGTCTGAGCTGAGGGTTGTGCTGCTGGGTAACAGCTGGTCTGAGAGGAGCTCAGTGAGGAACTTCATAGTGGGAGAGAGTGTGTTCAACGTAGAGGAGAAGTCTGGTGGCTGTTTGAAAGAAAAAGGTCGAATAAAGGAGAAAGACATAGTTCTCATCAACACTCCAGATCTGATCAATCCCGGCATCTCTGCAGACAAACTGACAGAACATGTGAAAGACTGTGTGAGGCTCTCTGATCCTGGACCTCATGTGTTCCTGCTGGTTTTACAGCCTGAGGACTTCACTGAAGAACACAAACTGAGACTCTGCAGAGTCCTTGAAAGCTTTAGTGATCGATCATTTGATCATTCATTGATACTGATATCACCACCCAGAGAGCAAGGCTCAGGTGTCAGAGGAAAATATCTGCAGGATTCAGCCCTCAAAGACATGATCAGAGAGTGTAGATACAGATACTTAGATCAGACAGACCTTGAACTTCCAGAGCTGTTGACACGTTTAGGCCAAATCATGAAGGAGAACAGAGGAGAGCATGTCATCTGTGAAGTATTTGAAGACACTACAGCTTCTTTACCAGGTGATCACCAAAGCACCATACAGAGGAAAAAGCAAACTTCTATTTTAGACGATGTTCTGGCTGCTGGTAAGTACAAAAACAAAGTCGGCAATAATCAAATCTCATGTAAACATATATTTTGTCTTTATTTTACCACAGAACAAATAAAGCTGCATATTCATTGAGATTACTTTCCCTCAGGACTGTCTGGAGCAAGAGGATTGACTTCAAAAATCATGGACTGGGATAAGGACCGTCAGACTCAGGGCAAGTAAAGATAGATTTATGATGGTGTCTTTTCTGAACCACCAGCCTGAAGACATTGCACTACTCTGTAATATCTTAAGTAATCCACCAGAATACATTTTTTATACCACATCTTAATACAAACTGAGATGGATGTCAAAAAGGACACATGGCACCAACAGGAGTGTTTACACAATGTGCTCCACTAAATATAGCGACACTGAACTGGCAAAGGGAGATGTTGAGGAGAAACTGCTACTGCACAAGAAATACCAGGAAGTTATGCAGCTAGCAATGGTTAGCTCTTTTACTCTGCCATGTTTGTTTACTTTAATACCATGTTAGGCTAAAGACTGTATACTGAGTGGACAAAGCATCAGTGTTTTTTGTAGATGGAAGAACATTAACCAGCCTTTAACTGCTGGAAAAATCCCTCATGACAACAAATACAACAGATTTGATATGAATTGTAACATTCTGTAATTTTTTCTTTATCTCTGTTATTATACAGCATCTGGATTCAGGATTGTGCTCCTGGGAAAAAGTTCTGACAAACAGATAAAACTGTGTAACATCATCATCAGGGACCAAGCCTCTAAATCCTCCAAATTGTCCCAAACAAAGTGGAGGGGGACACCAGTAACAGTGGTGAAAACTCCAGACTTGTTCAGTCTTTCTGTGGAGGCTGTGAGACGAGAGGTTAAGAGCTGCGTGAGTCTCTGTCCTCCAGGACCAAATGTCCTGCTGCTGTTGGTGAAACCCTCTGATTTCACTAAAGAGAACAGACTAACACTGAAGTTCATTCTGAGTTTGTTTGAGCAGGATGCTTTTAAACACTCAATGGTCATCATGACTCACAAGAATATGGGCAGCACTGTAAATCATCTTATTGAAGACTGTGGAGGACAATACCAGGATATGGAACATGAGGATCATAATCTGCTAATGGAGAAGATTGAGAACATTGTGCGTAAGAACAAAGAAACCAACTTAACACTCACTGAAGAAACCAGAAGATCAAAATCTGAACACATGAAACCAGCGTTGAACCTGGTCCTGTGTGGGAGGAGAGGAGCAGGGAAGACTTCAGCAGCAGAGGCCATTTTAGGTCAGAGAGGTCTTCATTCAGTTTCCAGCTCATCAAAATGTGTGAAACATCAGGGGGAGGTGTGTGGACGTTCAGTGTCTCTGGTGGAACTTCCTGCCCTGTATAATAACCTCCTGGAGACTGTGATGGGGGAATCACTCAGGTGTGTCTCCCTCTGTGATCCTGAAGGTGTTCATGCCTTCATCCTGGTTCTACCTGTGGGTCCACTCACTGATGACGACAAGGGAGAGTTAAAGACCATCCAGGACACATTTGGACCTCCAGTCAATGACTTCACCATGATTCTGTTCACTGTGGAGTCAGATCCTTCAGATCCAGCTGTTTTTAACTTTGTGAAGGAAACCGAAGAAATCCAGAGTCTTCTTCAGGACTGTGGAAATAGATCTTTTGTCCTTAACATCAGAGATAAGAGGCATATCCCAGAGCTATTGGACACGGTGGAAAAAATGCCAATCAAAAGATCCAGATACTTTACAAGAGACATGTTCACAAGGGCTCAGATGAAGATGGTGATAAGTCTGAAAGCTGAACTGCACGAAGTGAAACACAGTCCTGAAAAGGAAGGGGAAATCCAGAGCAGAGAGTGTCTCAGGATTGTGCTGATCGGGAAGACTGGCAACGGGAAAAGTGCAACAGGAAACACCATTTTGGGCAGAGCATGTTTTTTGTCTACTTCCAGCTCAAAGTCTGTGACCAAGTTCTGCCAAAAAGAAACCGGAGAGGTTGATGGGTGGCCTGTTGCTGTGGTCGATACCCCTGGACTGTTTGACACAAGTCTGTCCAGTGATGAGTTTCAGCAGGAGCTTGTGAAATGCATTAGCATGTTAGCTCCTGGACCTCATGTGTTTTTATTGGTGCTGCAGATTGGCCGCTTCACACAGGAGGAAAAAACCTCGGTGGAAATGATTAAGAAAAGCTTTGGCAAGAACGCAGGAAACTTCATCCTCATCATATTCACCAGAGGAGATGATCTCGATCAGCCAATTGAAAGTTACATTAAAGAAAGTGATGATGTTTTGCAAAGACTGATACATGACTGTGGAGGAAGGTACCAGGTCTTCAACAACAAGCAACAAACAGACCGCACCCAAGTCAAAGATTTAATGACAAAGTGTAACAAGATGCTGAAGGAAAACGGCAGCAGCTTCTACACATCTGATATGTTCCAAGAGGCCGAGGCAGCAATACAGAAGGAAGTAGAGAAGATCCTGAGGGAAAAAGAGGAAGAAATGCAGAGACAGAGGGAGGAGCTCCAGAGAAAACATGAGGAAGAAATGGAAGCAGCTAAGAAAAGAATGGAGCTACAGAAAGAAGAAGCTGAGCAGAAGAGGGTCAAACAACTTAAAGAAATGGAGGAAAAAATCAGTAAAGGACGTAAGGAGAGGAAGAAAGAGCAGGAGATCAGAGCACAGGAGGTCAGGAGGAGAAAAAGGCAGGATGAACGTAAACAACAGGAATGGGAGGAAAAGCTTGAAACCCTGGAGAAAAGAATTCAGTCAGGATTAAAAGAAAAGGAAAACACTGACAAGGAGTTGGAGCAGAGTAGAGAGGAGATGAAAAAACAGCGAGAGCACTGGGAGAAAGAAAAGAAGGACTGGTGGGAAAAAAATGAACAAAAAAGAAATGAGGAGCAAACAAAAATGCAAAAACTTCAAGAAGAATTTGAGCTGGAAAAAGAAAAACTTGAAAATGAAAGAAAAAAAGAAGATCAAGTTAGAAGGGAACAGGAAGAGAAGGAGAGAAGAGAGTTAGAGGAAAACTACAAGAAAAAGATGGAGGAAATGAAGAGAAAGTATGAAGAGGATGCCAGAAAACAAGCTGAGGAACTGAATGACTTCAGACAGAAATACACCAAGGACTTTGCTGCACTGGTAGAGAGACACATGGAGGAAATGTATGAACTGAAGAAGAAACATCAGACACAACTGTATGAGGCTGAGGAGAGGCATGGCAAAGAGTACAGTCTGTTAGAAAACCTCTCAAAGAGCAAAGACACATACCTAAAACAACAGATGGAGAGATTGAAGAAAAAACAGGAACAAGAAATCCATAAATTGAAAGAAGAATACAAAGGCAAATGTGCCATCCTCTGATATTCCTCTCATGACTTGGTCATTGTAACGGTCTCCATAACAAAAGTAACTCTGAATAATGGAAACCAAAACAAGAGAGAAAGAGGCCAGGGAAGATGTGACCTTCATACAAACACACAAAGCAGAGCGATGGACTGATTCCCCAACTTCAAGGCATTTTCATGGTTGTGCTTGTAACAGACTTAAGCTTGGGTTACGTGGACCTGCACCTGCAGTATTTTTTCTGTTTTAAATGTATGTTGACATATTAAAACTGAGTGCTGCCACCAGAGGGCACTCTGTCTTTGAGAACAAGGGATGTGATGTGACTGCTGCCTCTGTCATACACATGGATACTCTTCCTCTGATATGATCTGGTATATTTTTATTCTTCTATAAAAATGATGCTTCTGTGTTTCTTGTGTTTAGATTGAACTATACCTACTTGTGTTTTTTTTCATGTTAAAGTTTCATCTTCTTACAAAAATCTCATCCCACTGACTTTTGACCAAAGTAAAATAAAGAAATTGTAAATATAGGGCTGTTTCTTTTGCTTCTTGGCTGACATCTACCCCCTCGCACCAGCTTCAGGCATTAGAAAATTATATCAAGTCAGTCTTGTACCTGATGGTTTTGTTTCCTTTTGGATATGATGAAAAAAAGCATCAATGTGAATTTTAGTCTATTTTATGATTGCTAAGAAAACTCCTCACAGGAGCTTTGGATTAGTTTAAGTGCAAGTTTAAAATTCCATTAATTGAGTTTAAAGTCCACTTTAACGATCTAAAGGACTTAAGCCAATGTCCTGATTGTGGTGTTAAATGAATGTGATGAAATGCACATGATGATCTTGACATTTAGATACTGAAATAAATGTTTGACTGATGAACCCTGGTGAAACTTTGTTTCTTCAATGATCAGACATATCACAACATGCCCATCCAAGGTAGTCAGTCACCTTGTCAGTTTTATTCAGTGATGTTTGACCTGCAGGCAGCTGCGCTAGAGTCATCTGTCTCCATCGGTTTCATGCACAGGTCCATGGTGACTCTCTGAAATAGTGCTGTGCTGTCTTTTGTGATGGAGTTGCCTTTTTCACCAGTCTAATTAGCTCCACCTACATGCTTAGCTCTTAGGTGGTTGCTCAAAGTACTTTGGTGTTATTTTGATCCTAGTTGAGACAAAGTTCAGATCACTTTTGACTCATCATCAGCTGAGCTGTCTTGGGGATTTTTTTAAAGTGAAATGTGCTGGAGTGTCATTTTTGATCATGGCAGCAGTAAGAAGAAAGAGACGAAGCTGTGGCTTAGCTACGGTGGACTGTTGGGGGAAATAAGGATTTTGGGGAAATCAAGACTTCAACTGTGAGCCGTTGTTGCATCTCAGTTAGCCGATGCTGACAGTCCTCCATCAAAGATTGACTTTTATTAACAAAAATGCTAAATTTTTGTGATGATATGAGATGTGATATAAAATAAGATAAAAAGAACTTCATTGATCCCAGAGGGGGGATTCAATATACTTGATTGTACCTGCGGGGAAATTTGACTCGGGTAGTAGTGCAAAGTAACATGAAGCTTGGTGTGACTTTGAGCTTCTGTGAACCTAGTCCAGATACGTTCTTTGCTCAGTTTAGTGATTTCACTGGACTACTGTCCTTGTCACAGTTTATATGGGGCAAGAATGGAGTTACTGCCAGAAGCACTTGCTGTCACGCCCCTTTCCAGCTTAACTCTAGTCATCTCCTGCTAGCCAATCAAACAGCAGACTGAACAGGTTAACAAGAAGCTAACAGGATCTACGTGGAATGATAAAAACACCATCACTTTTACAGCTCTGTGCTGTTTGTTTGTGCAGTAGGAAAGTTTTGTCTTTTTTTATTATTATTTTCACACAGGGTTAGTTTGCTCCTTTATTTTGGAGGACAGGACAGCAGACTCAGAAGGAAACAGGGAGAGAGAGCGAGCAGGGAGTGGCATGCAGGAGAGGAGCCCCAGGCTGGAAATGAACCCGGACCACCCGCCTGAAGCCTAACCAATGCAGCTAGAGCGGGTTTAGACCTCTAAGCAAGTGGCCTCCCAGAATTTGCCTTTTGCTTTGTCCTATAAGGAGATTATCAAAGCTGTTTCAGCCAACAGAGCATATTTTTAGGTGTCACACTGGTGTTTGGCATTATATTCTTGAACTATTAAATTCAGTTCATTTAGCCTTACAATAAGTTTAATAATCAGTTTAACTGATGTATCCTTGCTCTTAATGATGTTGTTTGAAACAGATTTTAAAAGCTCATTTTTAGGGTAGAGAAAAATCTTCAGAAAACAAGTCTCTGATTTAGTAGTAAAGAGCATTTGTTTTTGAGACAGGTTTTATATTTCTAAAGGAGATACTGCCTCTGTCTGTGTGGCCTTTAGTTCCCTGTCATTACCATTATAATCAGCATGTAAGGACCTGAAAGCAGCTTTCAATCAGTCAGTCAGTCAGCATGTCTCTGTCTGTCAGGCTTATTCTCCTTAAAATGACCATAAAAAAACTGAACTGTACTCTGATAAAGACGGAGGCAGACATGCTTGATTCTCCTTCTGCAGCAGGTTTCATGTTCCTGCATGTAGATTTTCATTGAAAAAAAAGGAGGTTGACTTTTGTAGAGATCTCTCAGACGGAGGATTTCTGTCCTGTCAGGAAGTCTCTCCAGCACTCACACCTTTTTTGGTCATTGTGTTTGGCATGTTAATCAGTCCCTGTGTGAGTGTGTGCTGTGGCAGACTGACACTCCTCCGGCTCCCTGAACAGGCCTGAACTGGCCGGAGAATGTGGGAAATGCTAGTGCTGCCTGGCTTCAGGGCGATGATCACAGGTCAGGGCTCTGAAGCAGTATGCTGAGCAAACTGGTGCTTTGACTCTCCTGCAGTCGAATCCTGCAAATCAGAGCTCTGCAGAAGGACAACCACTTCAAAAGAGTTTTTCATTATACTTGAGCGGTACAATTCATCTTTGAGTTTAGCTGAGAAAACAAGGATTGGCTGAAACTTCTGAACATTTTCAACATTAAAATTGACTCTTCCTCAGAAAATGTCAAGCAGTGCTCCTCCCATGAAATACCATACCTTTTTTGTAGATTCTAGGATGAAGTACTCTTACTGATGATGAAAAAAATCACAGAAAAACTTTGACAGAAATAACCTGCTAAAACCACACAGGGAAAAGACTCCTTAAAGGTGTAGTGTTAGTACTCAGCTGGATTTAGCTGAAGAATGGAATATAACATTGATAGGTATGTTTAAATCAGAGAGTAGTCACCAAAGATCAGAATCTTTTATTTTTTTTATTCACTCAAAATGAATCTCATGAGTGGACTCCTTCCATGGAGGCCACCATCTTGCACTGCCATGTTTCTTCAGTGGCACAAAAAGGACAAACTAGTAGCATAGGTGTTTGTGTATTTAGGTGATTTTTCATAATGCAAGAAGTGGAAGAAGAGAGTGATTAATAGGTGAATTAATGGATGTTATTAATGGTGGATAATTGGATGCTCATGTGTCAGAGGAACTTTTTGCCCTCAAAGGCCACTGTCACAGACTGTAGGGGTGAGAAAGGGAGCTTTTCAATCTAGAATCTGACAGCTAGAAATGGCTAAATATTATGAGTTCTACACACTGTACCTTTAGCTAAATCCATGCAGTCTGTATCACTGCTGTGAAGTAGTGATTTCAAATATATATATTTAAATTACATTAACATTAAACATAATTATGAAAGGTAACATAAAGACAAGGTGAACAGGACTTCTTGTTTTTGTCATTTCCAGAGTTATAATCATTAATTAAAACTAATAAAGATGAAAACTAGAATTGAAAATACATTTTTGTTCACTGAAATAAATAAAAAATATAATTTAAAGAAAAAAATGATAACTAACTGAAACGGTATTATGTGTTTACAAAACTAACTAGAACGTATTAAGATTATAGAAAAAAATCCCTTTGTTTTCATTTTTTGTCAATTTTGGATTGATATGAAATTGTTTTATTTTGCTTAAGCAATTTTACGTAAGCTAGCAGCACTGTACAGCACCTCACAGTTCATCACTTCTTGTTTACAGTCAGCTTCTCATCACCATTCTACCTGGCAAAATGGCGACAAAACTCGGGAGAAGGTGACAGAGTCCTATATGAAATTTCTTTAAATAGAACAGCGAGAAAGATAAAATCAAGTGCCTTGAAAACTGGTGATAAGTATATGGAGTACTTCTCAAGAGAAAAAAACCTCACAAATCTGAAAGTCCATTTGAGAAGCTCACACAAGAACACTGAATGCGAGTACCTTGACAAAGTGGCCTCTCTGAGTAACTCCCCTGAAAAAGAAGCAACATCTCAGCCAGGAGATAGCACCAGGAAGCAGGAGACAACTATAATGGACTGTTTTCAATGTCGACCAAAGAGCTGCTGGTTAGTGAACATGCAGGAACACCACAAGTAGGAAGATGCACTCGTAAATATGTTCATTGAGGCTGGTATTTTTACAAGACTGTGTGAGTTGATTGCTTTCGAGAAGTTTAGCTTTTCACTTTTCAAATTTAAATCACCCGGTGCTGCACGAGTAAATAACCTTATTGCCAAGTATGAAAAACTAATACTAAAACTACTAAAAACTAATACTAAAACTAATCATTTGGAACAAATAAAAATGAACAAACCGGCTCTAAAAACGGATTAAATCAGGTTATTTCTGTCCTCATTCAGGTCTCCTTCACCTCAGAGCTTTGCAGTTAACACACCTTTAAACATAAACGAAGCTAATGTTAACTTTTAACTCTACCTTTTATGATTAAGAGTTACTACTCAGCTTAAAAATGCTCTCCCAGCTCTGCAGCTGGTGCAGGGATGCAGGACAGGATGTTACTTCACCTATCTGTTAGAGGAGGTTGAGGTCCATTACCTATTCATGCTGCTTGCATATCTGTGCACACTCTAGATCATTATATCCTCACCCTAAAGACCAGCCTGAGATGGACACCAGGGTTTTTGCCACAGTGTTAACAGGCAGATGTGCAATAGACCTGTCTTTCCAAGTTGATTCAATATGAAGTATGTGTTCCTGGTGTTACAAAATTAAGTAATTGCATTTGAAGATGGGAAGCAGTTAAAAGGTTCTTTGTTGCTGGAGTTTAAAAAAAAAATAAAAAAGCACAAATAGGCAAGAATCAGAATTGTCTTCTTTTAAATTGTACTCATGTGAGGCTGCCTTCCATGACTGTTACCTTCATCTAATCTGATTATTTGTTTCTGCTGAAGTCTCAGGTGCCTGCGCCCTTCAGGTAAATGTTGTGTAAGAGCAGCAGGACGCCTCTCAGCAGCTCAGCTGTTTCAGCTGCAGTCACTTCCTTATAAGGAGAGAAGCAGATCGCAAAACACTGGGGTTTTCAGCTTTGCGAGGAGCAGTCAAATTTGGGTAAAAGGTAGAGTATTTATCGTGAAGACAGGAGTTTGGGGAAGTATTTTAATTGGATGTTGATCTGAAATTATAAAAATGTTCTCACTGATAAATAAGCTCTGAATCTTGTCAAATTTAAGGATTTGAAGCTCTCAATGTAACATTATTAGCCTACATTTACTCGGCTTTTGAATGGTTGTTGCATCTTTCAGGTGCATGTCAAAAGTTTGAACTGTCACTTATCTGTAAATCTCTCTAAAGTTCAGCAGGACTTCTGTGGATCTCACTCCCTCCTCTGCAGCAGCAGCAGGTGTGTCACTTAGTGGAATTTCGGCTGCAGTTAAGTCCATACAAGGACAGATGAGTCTGAAACTCAGGGGGCGTGGTCACACCTGGTGAGGAGCAGCCTCAGGTAACACCCCTAAAATTCTGCATTATGTTTGGCCCAGTTAGAAGTTAAAGAAGGAAACAACTTAGAGGTTCATGCCGTGAACAAAAAGGAGCATGTTTATCACTGTACATTAGCATAATTCAGTGGAGAGGAGCATTCAAGTGGCTTTAAATGAACATGTCTGAGCAGGCTCAGGGTGTGGACGCACAAAAGAAACACCTCTGCAACGTACAGTTAGGCACAACTACTGTAAAGACACATGTTTGTTTTTGAATGTGAGTAAGTAAGAGAGTAAGACCAGGAAACAGAAGCAAACGTTTGGGACAACAATGAGCAAAATAATAAAGGAGGACAGAAGATAAAGAATAGACAAAAAGATCAAAACTGAATGAAGTCGGTGGATCAGAGATAGATGATTTCCTGTAGGTGGTGTCCTCCTCAGATTTGAACACTCCTGCTTTTTTGGCTTCAACCATGAGGGACTTCCTTGTTTCAATGAGAGCCATATATGACCTGATACTGTCAACAAGACCAGTTCAAATTCAAACTACCAATTAAGCTTTGGTTTATCTCCTCCTGTTGTCCACTCAATACTCTCTCTGTATTCATGCCCTGCTGTCGGGCTTCTCCTGCAGCTGGATATTTAGATTTGAAGATTTGAAGATGGAGAACCCCCTTTTCACACATAGACTTGTTAAGTTTTCTAGATCATTTCAGGCCCACACATGAAATTGACACATGAAGCTCACAGCAGGAGTTTTTTTGTGTTGTATATATCCTGATTACTGGAAATACTGGGCCTGGAGGTGAAAGGAAGCAGCTGGACTCCTCCCCATCCTGTGTGAGGAGGACATACAAGCTTTTGAGCTAGCTGATCATAAAATTTTAATTATTAATCTAGAGTTATTTACTGGAGTCTATAATGTAGCATTTAGGTTGCTCTCCTTCAGCCTTAAAAATGTATCCTCGTCAGTAGAAACTTCCTCCTCCAGTGCCCAATTTACACATGGCCTGGGGTTTCACAGGGTTCTATATTAGATGAAAACCAAGTACATGTCCCCTACTGCTGCTATGTCTATGACACACATCTCTACAGCCCATTAAAATCCTGAGTAATGACTTGTTACTCCTTATGTCCTGCACAGCAACGTACAAACAGCTGATCCTAAAGGGTGTTTTTGTGCGAAGGGTGCTGAGTGCTGAAACTGTCACTGTTCTCTGTGAGGAGGAGGTACTTTATTTATGTTCCTGAATTTTGGCTTGTAACCAAAGGTGGCCAGACATCCGGCTGAACTCCCTGCTAGATGATCTGAAAATTCAATTTCCCACTATCTCAGTTTACAAGCTCCAGGCAAGAATTGATTTATTGACAGAAGCATATTGGCCTCCGCTACAGTAGGTGGCCACATGCCTCCTTTCAGCTCAGTCCCATCAGACCGTCTCGTTTCCTGGTATGTTAGACTGACTTTGAAAAGTTTGATTCAGTGCAGTTTTAGTTGGACTTACATGTTTACATTTTTTTTTACAGAGTCCAGTTTCAGTTGGACTACGGCAGACAAATTGACTTTTTTTTCACTGCATGTAAATGTACTGAATGAAAGTTTCTGTTATGAAGCTCTCTCTGAACTTGTGCACTCTTGGTGTTTTATTTGTTGCAGCCCCTCAATAAAACAGTTTTTACCTGCTTGTTTTCTCCTTGTCTGTCAGTGTTTATCTGTGTGACATCTTGTACCTGTGCTACCTAAATAAAGATATTGTTATAACATTTCCAGTTTCTCCATAAGTATCTCTCTAACATGTCAGACAGTGTTTCTTCAGTACAAATACAGCCTTATAAAACATGGTCCAGAGGTCTGAAGTGAGCTGTAGAGGGTGTTAGGTGGAGACTGTGCTGTAAGTCTCCGCCCACTCACTCACTCTGAATGTTCCAGACTCTTACCTGCTGCATTCACACCTCTGCTTCACTCTGACAGGAAAAAAACTGACCCATCTGGCTCAACCTTAGTGATGTTGGTAAACTGCAGACCATGTTTGAAAAAGGCTGCAATATATTTCTGACTTTTGAACAGGTACTTAATGCAAAAAAGTGTCTGCTAACCCCCAACACTCATGCAAACACACAAATGCACAGCATGACAATTAAGTCCAACATTAACCTGAATTCTGAAAGAAGCCCCCAAAACACCAACGCTTGGGGCACCTCTTGCGTGGTTTGGGTCCAGATGAGACTCTCCAAGTTGTTACAGCTTTTACTGATGCAAAAATGACAGAAAACATTCAGGAAAATTCTTGAGGAACAGAGGAAATTACATCAATAAAATTTCATCAGGCAAAGAGGAAACAGGAACTGACACTGAAATAAGTTCATGTAAATTCTTGTTGTCTGTCCTGCTTTTCAGGATTTTCTGGTGGCTTGAAACCAAAACAAAAGCAGAAACAATCTCCCGGCTTCTCGTTGTTAACCTGTTTTTTTTCTTTCCCAGTGTCAGTAATTTCACCTTTGGCCAAATGAAGGTCCAGACTTCTCCAATGCTATGAATAAATCTCATAACTGCTATAATGTATAAATTAATCAAAGTTTTCCATCAGGATTAAGATTTGTTTATGGCCTTTTAAAAATCAGATATTTTAAGACAAAGTATTGAGAAGCAACTTTTGCATGAAGCAAAAGTTGATTCACAAAATCCTCTTTTTTGTTGTGTTGTGGGAACTGTTTTCAGGTTTTGTAGAAATTTCCTGTGCAACTAATTAATGCAGCTGCTTTCTTTGCAGTAGATTAAAGATGTTGGGTCTAAAAGATCCAGAGACGACTGTGAAACTAAGTGTGCTGTTGTCTGAAAACTAAAGATTCTCACCAAACATGGAACTTTCTGGCAAAATATGACACCACAGGATTTTTACACGAGCCACAATTTGATGGTTTATCATTTGTCACCATGATGGGCGCAGATTCTCAAAGATTTGTCACCTCAGTGTTTTTAACATAGTGCATTATAAAGGTGTTTTCAGAAAGGGACCAAAGAGAAAGGCAGAAAAAAAGCACATTTAAGGAGCTCAAATGTCACAATGTTTTCTACTTGCAATTATATCAGATCATAACCTCTGGTAGTTGAATAGTCCAACATAGATCGTCATCTTTTTTTTTAATTCATAAAAAATCTAAATCAAAAGTAAAAAAGGAAAAAAATCTTTTCAAAACGCTGTCTGAAATCAACACAACCTGGCAGCAAGCACAGAGTCTAACTCTGCAGTCACTTCAGGTCTTCATTCATACATGTCTGCTCCTTCAGTCAGCTCTGCACTTCCTCTCTGGTTTACATCAATGCTTTTACATATTTTGCATCACAAATCAGGTGCAGGTAACTATGTAAACATGACGTCGGTGTGAACGTAGACAACATTGAACATAAACATATAACAGCTTTTTGGAAGAATTTTTTAAATCAGTTTTCAAGCAAATTTACTGATGTAGTAGCCTGTTCGGTACAATACACTGCAGCTGTTGCAACTTAAATATGCATGAAATATGATCTTTTAATTCAATGATATCTCTAATAAAAAAAATTAATACATGCAAATGTGCAAACATCTATATTTTTGTGCAAATACATGCCAACATATGCACATAAACACCCACACAAATGAAAAAATTACGCTTTCAGATTGGGGCCTCTGTTCTCTCTTCAGGGGTTTACCATGACTGAGATTCCTAATGCTGCATTCACACTAGGTGCAAATAACATAATTTACTGACTATATAACCAGATTTTTTTGTATTTAGTTGCCTAATTTTCATCACTCCATCCAAGTGGATGTAAATGCAAGAGTCCAAAGTTATCTAAGAGAGGCTGGATTTTCTTCCTGCTACTTCTGTCTGTTAGCATCTGTTAAAGCTCAGGGTAGACGCACATTTTCATGTCATTTTGTTCTCCATTTTCCAAGAAATGAACCGTCATTGGTTTGTGGTTGGCATACCTCACTGGGGGTCTTCAAGCTGATTGGCTATTACTGCAGTTCAGATTTTTCGACTTGTTGGTGTCAAACTTGTCATGTAGATGAGTAACCTTAAGCACCTATTTGTAATAGTATTCGAATTTATGGTTTATCTTTGGCCATGTGACTAAAACGTCTTTGGAGCAGAGATTTCCTCATTGAATGGATGTTCGTCATTCTTTTATTTTGATATTCTCTGTCCTGTGTTGCTCTGATTCTCGCATTTTGATCATTGACTGTATATAGAATCGACAGAGTCTGCCTCCTTGCTGGGTGAAGCCACTCCGAGAACAGCACCCTCTGTTGACGACTCTCCCGCCGAATGCTTACAATGCTACTGCTACTGGTTTCAGGAAGTGAAGAAAAATTGCAGAAATACCGAGAGCTTTTTGGCTTCAAATCCGTATACAGGCGGGAGGCGGAACCAAGTTGTCCATAGTGTATACCAGGGGTCGGCAACCTTAAACACTCAAAGAGCCACTTGGACCAGTTTCCCACAGAAAAGAAAACACAGGGAGCCACAAAACCTCTTTGACATCTAAAATGAAGATAATATTGCATATATCTTTTTTTTTTACCTTTATACAAAGTATATAAAAAACTGTAGCGAGTTGCATTTATGAAATAAATGAACTATTTCGGCGAGTATCTGTCTTCTTCTGTAGTTAAACCGCAAGATATCAAAATCTACCGAGATACAGCAATGCTGCTTTTTGATTGGCTGTTCAGTAGATATACTTTATTTGATTGGCTTGTGCGTGGCACGCAGCTTCTGAACTCTCGGAGGAACTCGGTTGATTTCCCCCTGTTCCATAGTTGAAGAAGTGCAACTTGGTGGACATCACCGTGTTCATTTAAATGCGTGAGAAATACAATGTGTGGTGTGTGAGCGTGTGAACGAGTGGGAATGCGTGTGTCATACGCTGAATGCGTGAGACTTGAGAGCCCTGTGCTCACGCATCATCGATGTACTCCCGAGCCATGCAAAACGGTCTTTGCAAATGTTGCTCTGAACGCCTTCCTTTTCAGTCTTGGTGAAGTTTTCCCACACCATGGGTTGTGTCCATGTTTTTCTCAGCCCTGCCTCGGCCATGGCTGTTTCTTTTCTGTGCGTCCTGCTGATGTTTACACGCCGGTGTCCATGGACATATATAAAGACCCGACGAATCGATTACAGAATTTGTTGGCAACGGATTTTTTCGTCACGACGAATCTACTTAATCGATTCGTTGTTGCAGCCTTAATAGTTTATTTAATGTTACAAGAGCATTATAATCTTTGAATTTAGAATTACAAAAAAATAATAATAATAAAATAAAATAAAATGCAATTAAGTATTTATTATTTATTTTCCAAATCCACTGGGAGCCGCAGCTTAGGGAAGAGAGAGCCGCATGCGGCTCCAGAGCCGCGGGTTGACGACCCCTGGTGTATACAGTCTATGATTGTGATACTATGCTTTTATTTTGAAATTTTGTACTTATTGTAGATTATCAGTTACAGATCTGAATGAAAACAGTTTAAAAAAAGTGAATAGGTTTAATTGTTCAAATAGATTGTGACTCAAAGAGATGCAGACATAAACCTTGTTTGTGGATTCTCCATATAAAAAGTGCTGCATCGTTTTTAGTGGCCTGAAAATGATTGAACCCGTTCCATTTTTAATCCTCACCTGATCCAAACCACTTTGACTTTAAATGAATCCATCTCAGCCTAGAATGACATGAAGATCTGCAGCTCACAGAGAAGAGAAATAAACCTATAAACTAGATTGAAACTTTTTTCTTTATTTTCTTTCAGCAGCAGAAAAAAATGCAGTCATTAAAAGTTTTAAATGGTTGACAGTGAAGTTTTTGGAGGCTTGTCTTCTCCTCCACAGAGACTTCTTATCCTGTACCCCACTTTCCGGTCTGACGGGCCAATCACAGCTCTCTTTGGTCAAACCCCTTCAGATGCTTCAGGTGCTATTCTCTGCGGGGCGGGAAGAGTAGCTCTCTCACCCACGTGCCCCTCCCCTTTGACAGATGCTTGCTGCAGCCCATCAGGGCGCGAGCTGAGAGACTCTGAGGGATCCTGCTCACCTGGACCAATGGGAGCGCGTGCTGAGACAACCTTACCTTTTATGGACAACGCCAGCAGCCCCGCGAGCGCAAATAAAACCGGTACGGTTCAGGTGGTGATGCTGCATTCACCAAGCACAGCTGGGGCAGAGAAACACCTGCGAAACTTCACCGACAGACACACCTGAGACCCAACTGCACAGGTAAGAACCAACACTGTAACTTCTCATTTCCATTTGATCATTTAAGGCGTAAAATCTCCCCAATTAACAGCAAATTTAACCCGTTTAACGTTTAATGCTGCAGATTCACTGGTAAGAGTGATCAACACTAAAAGACTTCAGGTGTGTGGCTGCAAACGTCTTCCTGCCTCTAAACGCGTTATTTTGGCTAGAAATAAGTTTTAATCAAAGTTGAACCAATTTTAAAAACTTTTAAAACTGCAGACTTACTTTTAATCATGTAAGGTTTCATTCATGTGCTTCTTATCTCAACTAAATGTTAAAATTTGCACAGAAAACTGGTGTGTTCTTATCTATAAAAAGGCCAAAATTTAATCAGGAGAGGTTCAGGATGCCCGGGAATTAAGATTAGATTTCTGCAGATCCAGGATGTGAATTTAATCTCGATATTTCCCTCTTCAGATAAAGCCGGATTGTTCATTTTACAGACAAATAATGAGATTATTGTAGACTCAAAGCAGGTAGATGGGAAGATGTTTGAGTATTATTTAGGAAGAGAAAAATGTTATGTCAAACCTGAGAGAAGAAAATCTCATCTGAAGTTTAGATGAAGCAGCTTTTATGATCTATAATCAATAACAAAGGAATCATCTTCAATTCATAGCATAGACATTTTTAGTAGTTTATTTCTTTTAATTTTGTGAAATTGGGTCACATTTTCATTGAATGACAGGATGTGAGTCTACAGAGGGAGGAGCAGCTCCTGTCAGCATCCAGCTCCTCTGTGTCATACCTTTTTTTTTTTTTTTTTGGCTAGATAAAACCACCTGATTGGTTGGTACTTCCTCTTACTACAGTAGGTGATAAAAAAAAGAGAGGGTGTAGCTTGCATATTTAAAGTCTGTTACATCATGATGGAGATGGTGTAGACTTTGTTGGAGGTGTGGTTTCTGTTCTGCCTCAACTTGTTTGAGATGCCCTGTGGCTACATGACTGAGAAAATGTTACACAAGTGAACTTTCCAGTTATTCGGCTTAAGAAAAAGCCACGCCCGAAAAAAAAAAACGGGTGCCATACTGGTGTCGTCTGCTGGAGGGAAACTTTTAAATGTGCAGAAAGTAAAACAAGTTTTAAAAGAGGGATGCAGAAAGTTGTCACACTTCAAAGGTTAAAAAATCATTCACCTCCTAAAACGATTTCAACATCAACTTGAACCTCCTTATGCTCAGCAGGATGTGTCATCACTTTTAGTGTCACTGACATGTTGAAATGTCATTTGACGCTCACAGAGAACAGACTGCATATCCCTGCTTCTGCACGCTGCCTTAACTGCCGTTTCCTACAAAAAAGATAAATATGAAATATGTGCCAACTCTGAGTACTCTATGCATGTGCCTGATTAGTAAAGAGACTTTTTAAGATTTAAACCTATTGAGCTTGGACAAATAAAGAATGAGAGACATCTAAGAGATTTCTGCTGTCATGAGACTGCATTCAACATTTCCCCAACACTTTTCTTGCAGACATGGATGAAGATGTTGCTGCCCTGGTTGTTGACAATGGCTCTGGCATGTGCAAGGCCGGTTTTGCCGGAGATGACGCCCCCCGTGCTGTCTTCCCCTCCATCGTGGGTCGCCCCAGACACCAGGTATGAACCGCCACATGTCACCCTCTGAAATCTTAACACGCATAGATAAATGCATGATTATGTTTGACTGTAAATGTGTGTTTGTGCGCAGGGTGTGATGGTAGGAATGGGACAGAAAGACAGCTACGTGGGAGATGAGGCTCAGAGCAAGAGAGGCATCCTGACCCTGAAGTACCCCATCGAGCACGGCATTGTCACAAACTGGGACGACATGGAGAAGGTGAGGACTTGTACAAACCTGCAGACCAGACAAATGTTCAGTTCAGCCAAAAATCTGCCTGAGATTTGAGGTTTATTTCCTAGGAATGATCGCCAACCTTTTTATTAAATTTCATTCACTCACAGTTGCAACTCTAAAAACTCTCACATTACCTGACTGGAGTGCTAATCAGATTTTTAGATCAATTTTGTCCTGAGTCAATGCAAAGCAGGAATTTGTGGTGTGGGTGTTGTGAAAACCACTAACTTCCATTAAAACCACACCTGTACAAAACCACCAGATGACCCAAATATCATTGCTCATGTGGAAAACTGTGCAGAATTCAAAACCTTGATTGAAATCAACATGACTTTGAAATTGATGCAGAAACGATAGCTATCAGTCAATTGCATCACCTTGCATCTAAATATTTTATAAAACAACTTTTATAAAACAACAAACACTGACTTCTGCTCTCCTTTCCTGCAGATCTGGCATCACACCTTCTACAATGAGCTGAGAGTGGCACCTGAGGAGCATCCAGTCTTGCTGACTGAGGCTCCACTCAACCCCAAAGCCAACAGGGAGAAGATGACACAGGTGTGTGTCCAGATACTAATGCTACAATCACTTTAACATCGGCCATGATTTTGCAGAAGCAGTAGTTGCAAACATTTGAGGGTTTTGGCTGGGGGTTTGAAGCAGCTTGATGTGATAACAGCAGATTTCTTTTATTTGAAGATTGGATTTCAGTAACAGAACAAGTGCTCAAATTAGTTTTGGACTTCTGTCTGACACCTGACTTTCTCTCTGATTCAGATCATGTTTGAGACCTTTAACTGTCCCGCCATGTACGTCGCCATCCAGGCTGTGCTGTCACTGTACGCCTCTGGTCGTACCACAGGTGAGACTTCTACACGACTTCAATTGTGTATCTCTAAACCAAAACAACAAACTTGTGATTTTAAGAGTTTTCATCCTGAAACCTGAAAGTTTCATTCTCTGGTGTTTTTTCTTGCAGGTATTGTGCTGGACTCTGGTGATGGTGTCAGCCACACTGTTCCCATCTACGAGGGTTACGCCCTGCCTCACGCCATCCTGCGTCTCGACCTGGCTGGCAGAGATCTGACTGACTACCTGATGAAGATCCTGACAGAGAGAGGCTACAGCTTTACCACCACAGGTATGACATTTGCATCTTAACATGGAGACAGAAGAAACTCCCAAACAGTTGCAAACAGAATATTTGACTTTTTTTCTTTTTTCTCCCCCTCTTACTCCCAGCCGAGCGTGAGATTGTGCGTGACATCAAGGAAAAGCTCAGCTATGTCGCCCTGGACTTTGAGCAGGAGATGCAGACTGCAGCTTCCTCTTCCAGTCTGGAGAAGAGCTACGAGCTTCCTGATGGACAGGTCATCACCATTGGAAACGAGAGGTTCCGCTGCCCTGAGACACTCTTCCAGCCCTCATTCATCGGTGGGTATCGAACGTTAACTTAATAAAGTGATGATCACATGCGTCCATTGGTTTGCAAAACGGCAACTGTTGCCCCCTGTGTGTTCCATCATAGACTTCACCAAATCTTTGGATCTGTTGCTGCAAAATTGGTCATTTTAGGCTGCATCAGGCATAGAGGAAACTTATCCAATATGAAGAGTGAATAATGACAACAAAAACGCAAAACCAACATTTTAAAGTGTCAATTAAACCTCAACTTTCCTACCTTTTTTTAAGAGGTAGGTCTCGAACTCTGAGTAAACTCTTTCTTGATCTGTTTCAGGCATGGAGTCTGCCGGCATCCATGAGACAACCTACAACAGCATCATGAAGTGCGACGTGGACATCCGTAAAGATCTGTACGCCAACACCGTGCTGTCTGGTGGTACCACCATGTACCCCGGCATTGCTGACCGTATGCAGAAAGAAATCACAGCCCTTGCTCCACCCACCATGAAAATCAAGGTACAGATTTGATCTTACACACATCAATGAAGGACACTATGGAGAGTATGCCTTTTAATAAGAGCCAGTTTGCATTTGCTTAAGTCCACTCAAGCCCCTTAGTCTGCAGGTTTTACTTAGAGGATTAATTTCTAAGTAAAAAGGTTTAAATTTCTTTGACTCTGGTCTTCAAGCTGCTGCTTCAAGTGGACCGACCTAAGTGTTCATATTCTGCTAAACTTTTAGCCATTTGGCGAACAAATGCAATATAACTGACTGGGGGAAAAAAATAAAATTTCTGGACAATATTGTTCACTCTTTCAATTCGAATACTTGAGGGTTTGGTGTGTTGTTTTCTTACCTCATTTCTCCCCCCTCTCCTCCAGATCATCGCTCCCCCAGAGAGAAAGTATTCTGTCTGGATCGGTGGCTCCATCTTGGCCTCCCTCTCCACCTTCCAGCAGATGTGGATCAGCAAGCAGGAATACGACGAGTCCGGCCCCTCCATCGTCCACCGCAAGTGCTTCTAGAAAACTCTCCGTCCTCTTCCACTTTGCCCTCTGCCCCAGCGGAGAAGACGATGTGCTTTTCAGCTGTTCCATCCAAATCCAGGCGTCCCTGGTTTATCTTGTATGAACTGACTAAGATGTGAGCTGCCACATACCAGATGAATCCAGAGATGGTTTACATTTTAGCCTCAGCTCAGCAGATCCAGCAACTACATCTCCTACAAACTTTCAAGCAACATTTCTCATCATGTCCCTGCTACTCACTTCCCCCGGTGATAAACTAAAGTCAAAGAAAGCAAACAGTATTATCACTAAATATCTTTTCTACTTGTCTTTTGTACCTCCCCAACAATGTCCAGCAGTAATCTGAACATCGGTTTTCTGCTGTTGTTCTGTCTCTTGACTCTGTCAGAGTTGAGCTGTAACCGTACTCAACATGAGTGTTTACTTTATCAATAAAATGCCAACATTTGATGTTTACAGCTTCCCTGTTGTCATTTTGATACTTTGAGTCTTCTTGTCTGTCTGCTGCTGCACTTTTTTAAATTCTGAACAAAGTTTAGTTTGGTCCTGTAAGTTGAGCAGGAAGGATTAGATTAAACGTACTCTGAAAATAAAACTTTTGAGCAAGTGACCAATGGTTCACAGTGTGTGGTATCTCAGACGCTGTGTCTTGTATTTGACCTCTACAGGTAAGACCCAGAGTTTGGGGGGCCGCCTTCAACTAAACTGTTCTTCCAAAGTGCCTAAAAACATGAAGTGTAGTCGTAAAAGACCACATGAACTTAATAGCAGCCTACTGTATCAGTGCTTCATGAAAGATGCATAAACAGCAGTGGAACTTGTTTTTCCAAATAGAATTAACCTCTTTTTGAAAAATATCCAAAAATCTCAGAGTGGCAGGGCCAAAACAAGCATTGGGAGCATTTCTCAGCTATTGGACGAAACAGCCAAATATATACGTTGAAGCAAAAAACTTAAACATGTTTATTTTAGTCTGATGCAGCTCAAGGAAGAACATTAATGATCATTTTGCACTGCAGGCGTAATAGTTCTTCTGCCTTAGCGTCTCGGTCTGGTTGCATTTTCATGAAGAAATGATCTTAAATGTTCTTCCTTGAGCTGCGTCACCCTGCTGCAGTCGGTGATGGACCCGTCTCCCTACAAACAAGCGGCTGCTGGAAGAGAGTGGGTGAGTTTAGTTTAGTCTCTTTGCTAAAGAAATTAGGCAAAGCTAAAAAGATGTTTGGTGGTTACTGCTGTGGCTGGGACCCTATATGTACTGTTGATGAAGTTGGGTGCTGTTCTGAGCATTATGTGTGGCAAAAGAGTGGCGGTTTGGTTGAGATTTGTTTATGGCTCCTCAGACCGCTGTGTATTGCTATTGTCTGGTTGTTACTAAAGTTGGTATAACTAGAGAAGCAAGCGGTCGGCAACATTTGTCTCTCGAGGGGATGTTTAACTTGGTGGTACGGTGTGTTTGAACATGACTTAAAATTTACGCCCGAATATCCCTCTCACTGTTAGTTACTCTCTTTGGTTAGTATGTTGATTGATTTATTTGGATCCATATTAGCCATGGCAATGCCAAAGTTAATATTCCTGGGGTCCATCAAACAACCTTACAATGCATCAATGCAAAAAAAAATAAAAAATCACATACAATACAATCCTTGTTCAAATACAAGGCAAACACAAACAGATATACAGAACACAACAACACACGAACAACACAAGACAGCTCCCAGCCAGCAGGACCACACAATCTCCACATATCACGATATCAAAATAGGTCTACATATATCATGTACATAGTTCACACTACCAAACCCCAATGTTCTAGCACCTTGATGTCCAATCTACTTCAGAACCAAGCAGTCCAGACAGCACTCAAAACAGATCCCCATATTTCCGACCACCTCTGTTGCAAAAAGGCGCTATCTATCTATCTATCTATCTATCTATCTATCTATCTATCTATCTATCTATCTATCTATCTATCTATCTATCTATCTATCTATCTATCTATCTCATTTGTTTTATTGTGTTCGTTTTTGTTTTGGGTAATGTCAAATTTCCTCTAATAGCACAGCCATGTCTATCAGAACTAATAGTTACATTATTATACTAAATTGAAGTTTTTTTTATTTTTTTATTAACATATTTTTAAAGAAAACCAGCAGTGAATGCAATAATCTCTTTTTAACTGATAGCCAGCCCATAAAGTTGTGCATAGCTATGATGTACAACTTGCTGCTCTTTGTACGACTTGAAACTTTTAATGTTTTCTTGTGATGTATTGGACCAGACTACTGGACAGTAGTCCAGAACTGATAGTACTAGTGCTTGTAACACTAGTTTAGTTAAATTTAGTGATGCTGCATGTTTAGTCCAAGACAATTTGTTATTTAACACAACACCCACTAATTTTGTTTCTTGTACCTGTTCCACCACCACAGTATTTATCAAAATATTCAATTCAGGCTATCGTTTTAAGGTATGTGTAGTGCCAAATATGATGCCTTTTGAGACATTAAGAATCAACTTATTTTTATTTATCCATTCCACCACAGATTGCAATTCCTGCTGTAGGGATGTATTTAGTGCTGAGCATTTTAGTGCTGCTAACCAAATAGTAGAATCATCAGTATACATTGATATACTAGCCCTATTTAATATAAGTGGTAAATCATTTGTAAAAATTGTACAGGACTGTCTCAGAAAATTAGAATATTGTGATAAAGTCCTTTATTTTCTGTAATGCAACTAAAAACATGAAAATGCCATACATTCTGGATTCATTACACATCAACTGAAATATTGCAAGCTTTTTAATTCTTTTAATATTGCTGATACGGCATACAGCTTAAGAAAACTCAAATATCCTATCTCAAAAAATTAGAATATCATGAAAAAGTATACTAATAGGCTATTTAACTAATCACTTGAGTCGTCTAATTAACTTGAAACACCTGCAAGGGTTTCCTGAGCCTTTAAAAACACTCAGCTTGGTTCAGTAAACTAAATCACAAGTATGGGGAAGACTGCTGACCTGACTGCTGTCCAGAGGACCATCATTGACACCCTCCATCAGGAGGGTAAGACACAAAAAGAAATTTCTAAAAGAGCAGGCTGTTCACAGAGTGCAGTTTCAAAGCACATTCACAAAAAGTCTGTTGGAAGGGGGAAATGTGGCAGGAAACGCTGCACAACCAAGAGAGAGGACCGCAGCCTTAACAGCATTGTGAAGAAGAGCAGCTTCCAGAATTTGGGGGAGCTTCAAAGACAGTGGACTGAAGCTGGAGTCCAGGTATCAAAAGCCACTGTTCACAGACGTGTTCGGGAAATGGGCTACAATAGCCGTATTCCCATGGTCAAGCCACTCCTGAACTCAAGACAACGGAAGAAGCGTCTGACTTGGGTTATGGAAAAGAAGCACTGGACAGTTGCAGAGTGGTCCAAAGTCCTCTTTTCAGATGAAAGCAAGTTTTGTATTTCATTTGGAAGTCAAGGCGCCAGAGTCTGGAGGAAGGCTGGAGAGGAGCAAAATCCAAGTTGCTTGAAATCCAGTGTGAAGTTCCCACAGTCAGTGATGGTTTGGGGAGCCATGTCAGCTGCTGGTGTTGGTCCACTGTGTTTCATCAAGTCCAGAGTCAATGCAGCTGTGTACCAAGATATTTTAGAGCACTAGATGCTTCCGTCTGCTGAAAAGCTCTATGGAGATGATGATTTCATTTTCCAGCATGATCTGGCACCTGCCCACAGTGCCAAAACCACCAGTAACTGGTGTACTGACCATGGCATTACTGTCCTTGATTGGCCTGCCAACTCCCCTGACCTGAACCCCATAGAGAATTTGTGGGGTATTGTGAAGAAGAGGCTGAAAGACGCCAGACCCAACAATGCAAATGAGCTCAAGGCCACTATTGAAGCATCCTGGGCATTCATAACACCTCAGCAATGCCACAGGCTAATTGCCTCCATGCCACGCCGCATTGATGCAGTAATCCGTGCAAAAGGATTCCCAACCAAGTACTGAGTGCATTAATTGACATTTTCAAATGTTTGATTTTGTTTTGCTCTTATAAATCTTTTTTTTTTTACTTGGTCTGAGGAAATATTCTAATTTTTTGATATAGGATTTTTGAGTTTTCTTAAGCTGTATGCCATAATCAGCAATATTTAAATAATAAAAGGCTTGCAATATTTCAGTTGATGTGTAATGAATCCAGAATGTATGACATTTTTGTTTTTTTAATTGCATGACAGAAAATAAAGAACTTTATCACAATATTCTAATTTTCTGAGACAGTCCTGTATATAATGAAGGCCCCAAACAGCTCCCTTCAGGCACTCCACAGCTGACTTCCCTCTCATCACAGTAGCTACCATTAAAATAAACCATTTTTTTCTATTTGTTAAATTGCTTTTCAATCATATTATTTCCAATTGTGAGAAACCATACCTTTCCAAAACAAAAGCTGCTGTGTAATTTAATTAATCGAACTGCTCCTACTAACTTCTTTTCTCAATATTCATCAACCAATTGTCCGTCATTTGAGTTAGGGCAGTTGCTGTGGAGTGCCCTTCCTTATATGCATGCTGGCAATCTGTGGTTTAGTTATTCAAGGAAAAATAATTCTCAGTTTATTTACAGACCACAGTCTCCCAAATTTTACTTAATACAGGCAGTAGACTTATCGGGCGACCATTAGGGCCAGAGAGTGACTGGCTTGGATTCTTTAGCAGTGGTGTTATTTTTGCCTTTTTCCATTCTTGGGGACATAACATTTCTGTTAAGCTTTGGTTAATTATATGACAGACACCAGGGCAAACAAATCCGCTGCCAATTTCAAAACCTAACCGTCTCCATCAATACATGGTGGCTTATCCTTACAATTTTTCAACATGTTTTCTATATGACTAATATTCACCGTATCAAAACTAAATTTACAATTTTTCCCTGGCATTATTTGAACTCTTATCAATAAGTATGATGATTTGTTATCAATGTCTTTAAATTTATTTCTTAACTCATTAATTTTTTTCAATGAAGAAATTATTTAAGTGGTTTGCTATCTCTGTTGGTTTAATGAGAAAAAGTCCCTCTGTCTCTAAGAAAGATGAAAGGATTGATGACTCTTTCCCATCAGACTGTTCAGTGTACTCCAGACCTTTCTGCTATCATTTGTTATCTCTTTTATCCTGTTTTCATAATATCATTTTTTTCCCTTCCTATTTAATTTGGTTAAAAAATTCCTTAATTGACAGTACACCTGCCAGTCAGATTTAATTTTAGATCTATGAGCTGTTTTGATTTCATTCTATAACATATTCTTAAAATTCATTGTCTAGCCACAGTGTGCTGATACTTCTGGCAGTAAACTTCTTCATTGGTGCATGTTTCTCCACCACTTGCATGAAGGTATTGTTAAACTTCATCAGTGATGATTCTTGATTGGTTTCCATTAACACATGAGACCAACAGATGGAGCTAACCTCCTGTGTATGTCTGCTT